CGTTCCAAGTGCTGGTGGATGGTGCTCCTCAGAGGGAAAGGCACAAATTACGGAACCATCATGCAAATATGCGGGCGGCTCAGCATTGCATACATTTTGGGGGCTGGTGAATCAGAGGTGGCAACAAGCCGTTAACAGTTGTCATCCGATTCTGTATCCTGTCCCTGACATTTGACATGACAAGCGAAGAAAAAGAAGCATCTTTTCTCTAAGCTGGGGCTCATTTGCATGCTGTTTAGGCGCCTCTTCAATTTCGAGCGGCCCCAAAAAATGCATAAAACTTAAAGTGCGCCATATGTTCGCACAGTTAGCGAATATGTCAGTTGGGTATATGTCAGCAGCTCTGTGCTTTTATTGCTCAACGAACTTGCGAATCTTGCTTGAGCTTCGTTTTTATGTATTCGTCTTATTTGCAGGACACTCAGCACAGGACAAAGGGCTCATGTATTGGTTCCCAACTTGTTGGTTTTGTTTTTGCTGTCAACAATTTCCAGCGCTCGAAAACTTAAATTGATGGCAACAGAGAAAGAATAAAGGAATTATGGAGTGAGGTGCTGAGCTGAACGGAGTTTCTACAGAAATAACGTTCAGCGGTTCGCTTCGGTCTCTAGTGTGTCTGCTGGTTGTCAGTATTTCTTTTATTTATATATATACATAAATATATATATATTTTTTTGCAACTATTCATCCATGATTTTGAGCTTCCGCTCATTGGCCAAGGACGAGCTGTCGTCTGTCTGGCCGTCGATTTGTCCTGTCCGACTTGGATGTGGATATGGCAAGTTAAGCTTTAATAGCCACACCAAAATTGATGTTGGCCATTAAACGCAGCGCAAGCACTTGAGCAGCACTTGAGCAGCACTTGAGCGTTCGGAAAAAGCTGAAGCACAGCTGGCTTAAGTCTCTCAGCAAACCTTTAAGACGAATCAATGCATCAAAAGTTACAACACAGACATGTCAATAACCCCGTTCGATCGGCGCGTTTCATTGATGTAAGACTTAATGTTGACAGCTGCATTATTAATGCTTGACTTAGGCGACGGCTAATGCCATTTTCCGGCACAATTCGCAATTTTAATTGCAAACATCAAGAAAATGCCAAACAGACCAGCAACTGGGCTCAGACTTGACTGGGCTCAGACTCGAATATTTCTCCTCATAAATCTGATATCTTTGCAGCACAATGATATTTAATATGTTTGTGCACAAATGTACACATATTTATTTACATTTATGTATTATGTTCATCTTTGCATCGTAACATGTATCATTGTGTTACGAACTTGTTAATCTTTTCGACGTACTTTTCCTTTGCTCATATCATGTAAAATAACATATAACTTATAAATTAAATAATATGTATTAAATTAAAAGAGAGAAATTAAATTACAAACTTAAAATTAAAATGAAATGAATGAATAAATCTGCAGATGTTAAAATATTTAATAGTTAAACATTTATTGCAAGGATTGGGGAATCTCAGTAAATAAGCTAATCAGACCAAAAGTTGTTAAGCTTTGGTAATTAAGTAATGAGGAAAGTAAAAGCGTTGAGCAGGTAGATAAAAAGAGAGATATCTCTGAACCTAGATAGCTTACCACAATTAAGCACATTTGTCGGAGATATGTTAGTATCGAAAAAGTAATTAAAGGAAGAGAGATTTCCCTCGAATTAAAGCTTTATATTTTTGAAGATATTTAATTTCAATATTAGAGAAACTGTGCTTTTAAGATATCCAAATTATTGCGCTTGATAATTATAAGTTGCATTCACGCAATTTGTTTAACTAACTTACAACATATTCTGAGAAGATAATTTTCTTTTATTATTGTATATTTTTATATTCAGAGTGTTCATTTAAGTAGACTTAATACCATAGCTGCAAGCAGATGAAAATATTTGAGATTGCTGTGCAAATCATGGTTAGGTTTTGTCTTTAGCAGTTTGTGTATGAAAATGCTTGTGTAAATGTAATCGTGATTTGTTTTTACGCATGACATTCTTCTTTTTCTCTTTTTTGTTGTAAAGAGCTGTAAGAGAGTTAGACAAATGTCATACTACGAAAACCTAAAAAAATTACAATGCCATCGTACTTTTTTTTCTCTCTCCCACTCTGTCCACTGTCTCCTATCCCTTGGGCTTGCTTTGAATTGTTTGTTGGTTGCTGTTAGGCAAAAAATGTAGCTACGTTTTTTGTTGACAGTAAATTTCTTGTGCTAAATTTTCGCTGTCAGAGAGACAGACAGAGAGAGAGAGAGAGAAAGAGACAGAGTGTCGAACGGAGATGCAAGGCAAGGCAGCAGAGGAGTAGTGCTGAAGCGTCCGTTAAAGTCGTGTGTTGTCTTTGTGGCTGCTCACCAAGGCAGCAGAAAGCATTCTCATACCAATGATTCCCTTCCGAATTTTCCCTCTCTGCCATTTGCTTGCAGAGTACGCTTTAATTGCGGTCAGCGTGGTTATGTCTTTGTCTCCCAACCAAGTTGCAAACAGGGGAAAATTTTAAAGCACCGCATGCAAATTCCGTTGCATACTCTTAGGCGCTTGCAACTCGCTTGGCAGATATTTGCCCGTAAATTCTATGCAGGTAGTTGTGCTCAGGTATTCTCTTTATATTTTTTCATTTTATTTCATCTTGTTTTGTTTTGTGGTCTCATTTTTTTTTTTTTTTTTGTGGTTGTTCTGTGTGTTGTTCTCCTTCTAGTTTTTATTATGTCCTTTTTTCTGCTTCAGTTTTGCGCATCAGTTTGTTTGCATTTACAACTAGCAGCGTATTGATTCGCTGTCACTGCGACGTCAACGTCAACGTCAACGCTGGCAGCGACTGTAACATCAACGCATTTTTCCCATTTGTCGGCCTGTGTCCAAATATATGTCCGTCCGTTGTCCTTATGTTTTTGCCAGCTTTTGTTCTTGTGGCCTTTTTTCCATTTGTGGCTTATGCAGCATTGATCTGAATTTCCAATGCATTCTGACAAAAAGCAAATAGTTTTTCTCACAACCCAATGTTAAATGATTTCCCATTTGATTTTTAAGTAAACAGCATGTTTAATTAATTATCTTTTGGAATTCAATTCGTATTATAAATTCACTATTTGTAATTTAATTCACAAGAATACGATACAAATTTCACCTTATGTTTAATTTTCGTGACTGACACGAAAAAGTTTCCATTATGAAATTCATTTAAAGTTAATGGCACGATAAATCAATTATTATTTGCGGTTAAATGTGTATTATACATTTATGAATCTGATGCGTTTTAATCAGTGTTATAATTTCATGAATTATAAATTGATAATTTGTTAATTAATTCCCAATAATATTGAAATAGTGCCTCGGGGTAAGAGCAGCATTTCATTGTATATTTCATTTTGTGACTGATACGAAACAGCTTCCTTTATTTACTTTTTATGGCTATTGATTTTGCAGCTCCTGCACCACTGTACTCAGCAACGTGGCAAAGGCACGTTTTGACTTTCAATTAAGACCGACTTTTTTTATGCATTGATGGGCTTTAGGTTTTAATAACTGCAGATGAACCAGTTGTGTATTGGCGCATCGATTTTTCCACTATTTGGAATATTCAACATGCCGTTGTTGCGGGCTTGGTAACTATTTTTGAGTTGGCCATTAACACAATATCGAAAAATCGACCATAATTGTTATAATTGCTGAAATATGAGATGGCCGCCAATGCGTATGCGCGATTTATTGCATTTGGAGCTCATTAGGCCTACGCTGTATGAAATTGCAATTATGTATTCAATCGCAAACCGCATAGGCCCTACACACACACACACACACGCACACATACATTTATAGATATACAGATGCATATTACCTATAAAGTAGCATATGCTCCGTGACTGGGTGGGTAATGGGCTAACCGCTTAATTGAACTAAAAGCAACTGCTGCTGATGGTAATGACGGCGCTGATAATGATGATGATGGGGATGCCGTTGCTGGTGCTACTGTTTCTGTTGCAGCAACTGTCGAAACATTTAAGTGATTTATGAGGGTCAGACACACGCACACAAACTCAGCACACACGGAAAGGCGACTTCTTTTTTTTGACGTTCATATTTCAGTGTACATATTTCTCATGCATGTGTATGACTTTTCAAGATTGTCAAGAGCTGACAACTAGTGCATGATGAAGTCCCTGAAATCGTCGAATATAATTAAGAATTAAATATTTACTTGACATGAAAATGGGTTGGATATCCAGCAAGAATTGAGATGGCAAAGAGTCTGACGCTTTTTATGCTTCTCACTAAAAGTGAATGTGAATCCAGTGAAAAGTATAAATAAGAGATGAATTTTTTTTTTAAAAAATCGGCTGTAGGACAGTGTAATCATATTTACCCAGAAATGCAGTACTGAATTTCTTTGAATCGGAACAGTAATTACAAACGAACTACCAAATCAGATAATTTTCAATTTCTCCGAATTGAAAATGCAAAAATGAATGTTTTTTTACAACATTAACGTAAATAAACAATGGAAACCATAATGAAAACCGCACTGAAATTCTTGGGAAAGATGATTTACATTTTGTGTGGTCGAAAACGTGAAGTTGATTTTATAATGAATGACTGAAATATATAAATATAAATTCTTCTTGTGAAATATCATATTTCACAGATATCTTTAATGTTGACTGCTTTAATTAAATAAAAACCTTAACCGAAATCATTGCAATGAAAACCAACCTTGCATCAATTACTCATTAATTTTTTTTGCTTTAATCAAAGCATAATTAGAAACATTTGTTAGGTTACAGGATTAAAATGTTAATTAAAAACTCATCGATTACTTAGTCAGCTAAGTGGGCGATGTATTTCAGGTCTGATTGATTCCGTGCAAAATGTCAAGTGAAGCAAAGAGCAATTGTCAGCCGTAAATGAGTGCTGAATGAATGAAAACTGTAATGAAATAGCAAAGGCAACACATTTAATTAAGCCAACTCACACGTCACGACACGACACAGCCCGGACAGATGTCGCAACTACCTCAACTAACCTCGCCCCATTCGAGGCGATACGCAATCAACGTCGATGCAGTTCAGGAAGATCAACACGCGCTGTCGCCGAGCGCCCCCACAGGTCTCCTCCCACAAAGCGGTGACATAGTCAGCGCCATCATCGTCGTCCTTCTGCTTATTCGTCCTTTTGTTCGGCTCCACGTCTATGTTGCTCGCTCATGCAGAGGCATCAGAACATGGCAGAGATATACCTTATGGTTTCATGCTGCCAACGAAAGCTTATTGAATACCGTGCCTCTCATTTCGCTTCCGCTCCTGCTATCGCTTTCGCTATTCCATTCTCTCTCTTTTTATTCCTTGTTGTATTTACCAAGAGTATTTATACCACGTACCATCAATATGATGGGGTATGCTGGCAAAACACTTGTGTAGAAGTAATTTGAATTTGCCTTAATTTGACCAACCAACTGGAAGCGAATATCCAAGTTGAGTAAGTAAAGTAGAGCAATAAAAATAAACATTATTGCTCAGTCTTGGTTAGAGTATATTATAGTTGAGCAACAGTTTGTTTTAGATATTCATTTTTTATTTTCCGTTGCATGTGCACAGTTAATTCCATTCACTGCGTGGCTGTCGTGTGTGGGGCTTATTTGAATTGACTTTATTTGATGGATTGCCGTCTGCATGTTTCGTATGAATTGATAATGCAGCTGTATTGTTGATTTTGGCCTGGGAAAAGCATTCATTTATATTGTAAATTAAATTGACAAACCCATAGTTGTAGATTGTCTGGCTGCTGGAGGGACAACTGTGGCATCCTTTCAACAACTATTGTGACAATATTAACTAGATTGCTGCGTTCTTGCTAAGTATTCAAATCTCATAACGATATCAAAAGCTTATCAGAATTTAATTTCTGTTCTCAACAGAAACGAACAAGGCATACGAGATTTATTAGTGGCAATTAAATTTCAGCCTTTTCGCTAAGCTGTTCGTATTTGGGTTTCTGGCATAGCCGTTAAGCATATGCCGCATGAGCTGAGAGGCCAAATAGTTTGACAAATGTGAAAAGCAGTATCGTAAATCAAATGTGCACAAGATCCGGCCCAAAATATGGCCAACATAGCATAAAGAACAACTCTACATAAGCTGCTGTTAACGGGAAATTGGGTAGATGATGAGGGGAGAGATGCTCAAGATGCTATGACGAAATTGTGTATGAAAAGCACTTGACGCTGGCGGGGCAGAAAATATATTTCCGCCAAATGCAGAAAGTGTCGCGGAAGTTGTCAAAACATTCGAAACGAAGCGATACGAAGCGAAATGACAGATAACAGAAGCCGCAACAGAAGCACAAACGATTGCCTGTTGGTCTAAACTGACAGATAGACAGACTGACAGACAGCGCGCACACATACACCGGACACTGAAGCTGCAGGACAGCAACATACACATACACATATAGAAGAGAGTGGGAGAGAGAGTGGGAGAGAGAGAGATAGTTGCTTTCGACCTTAAATGGAGGCCATCTTTCAAGCGCACCTTGGCTGGTCTTAAAGTCTCTGGCTACTCGTGGCAGCTCGGCAGCCAACCAACTGGCCAGGCTGCATCTTTGAGCCGAGGCGTAAATTAATTTTTATGTGCTTATCGGGCGGGGAATTTATAATCTCAACCACTGGTCGCAGAGTCCTCGGCGCGAGGTTTTCCTTATTTATTGTTTAACTGCGCAAACACAGATAATAAATTTTGCCTTCATTGTCGTTGTTATTGTTGTTGCTGCTGTTGTTGTTGCTGCTGTTGTTGGCATGATGTTCCAGGCGTGAAAAATTGTTGGCGTGCATTTTACATTTATTTCATAGCATTTTTTGAGCAGCCATTAAATATGCAGCCAGGCCATTTTTGCACACTCGTCTCGCGTTACTTTTTTTTCGGTCGACTATCCTTTTCAAGGACTTTGTGACAAGCTTTTAATGAAATTAATCTGGCGGGCAAAGCCTACGAGTCAGGCGCAACTGCTGCCAGCAATTCTGCATATAAATTGTAATTTAAGATGACCATTTATCAATGCTCATAACTTTCGATGAGCCCTCAGGCCCTCATCCAATCTCAAACTGCAGGTCGTGGCTTTAGCTGCATACAGTATGTGTATATATATAGAATATAAACGGGTGAATTGTTCAACCAATGGAGAACTTAAAGCCTTTAGCAATGATTGAGGATTGAGTGAAACTTAATTTACTCTCGCGTTAAATCAACAATACTTTTTCGTGCGCTTTATTTGATTATTGTTACAAAAGCTTAGCCAACAGCTCAATAAAACTTTGTCTTAATTTATTCATATGTAAATATATATTCTTGGTGTTCAAAACTTTGACATTAACTTTGACATTTTGTGAATAATATGCTGTTTATTCAAGGCCCTGTAAAAGTAATAGCAATGATATTGAGTATTTAATTTATTTCAAAATGCAATTAAACTTGTCAAAGAAAATGCATAATGCAAACCGTGTTTGAGCTATTGGCCATTTGAGATGCGCTTACGGCAATCATTGTAATTTGATTATATAATAATATAATATTGAATGAAGTGTACTTGAATAAATATAACATTACACATCACAATGTACACCTGACTATAAAACTAGCAGATATTCCAGGCTTTGCTGGACAAATCAATTTCTATCAATTTCTACTCATTTTGTAACCACTTACTTTAAATCTGCTCTAATTCTTGATAATGTCTTGATAATTTTCTGAACCTTGAGTGAACAATGTACAGTGAACAGTAAATACAATGATTCAGCATAGTTCTTATATTAACGCAATTAAATAGTGCACTCAAACTTGCTTTACCTAAAACATTTTAAAGATTTCTATATTCAATTTGGTAGTTTTATCATTTATTTAATTGATGTGTAATGCAAGGGTATTATATCTTATATTTATGGGATATATTTTCAGATAGACTCACGTACATAGAATATATGTAAATGTATTGCCTGTGCCATGTGCCATGAATAACATTAAATTCGAGCTCAATTAAACAGACTTTGACAGTTTACTGTTGGCTGGTGGACTGTGGGATAGTGGGGCAACATTCGACACTAACTGACACGACCTCGTCCTAACCAGCTAACTGAATGGCATATGAGACAATGCAACTGACAATGCCAGAATTTGCTAAATTTGCATAATGCCTACGTAACAAACAACAAAACAGCTTGCGGTAGTCATTGAATTGGCGTTGTGTAAAGCTTCCACACGGACAAAGTGCACTTTTCAAGTCAATTTATGCAATTGCTGCAATAACAAAAAGCAGTCAACTTTGTCTTTAAGCTTTTAATGTACTTGGTCCAAATGTTCATAAGCAATGCTCAACCATATTACTCATACGACGCATGTGATTCAGCGCTTACAGCATGCATACATCTCTCACGTGTAAATAGCTCATTAAAAGTTTTATACACCCACACACATATACACGTACACCTAAACATACATGCACTCGGTAAGGCCATTTATTAAATGTTAGCTTTTCTATAATTTCATGTGGGCAAACATTTTGCTATAAAACAAACGAGCAGCGAGCAGACAAGTAGACAAAAAATGTCATAAGGCAAACAGTGAGCCAGAGCCAGAGAGCAGCATGGAGGCATGTTAAACATATATTTATATACACACACATATATATATATATAGCATACCTACTATATATAGCGGGCATAACGTAGATGGCATAGCAAACAGGGATGTCTACTTCCGTCTCCCGCTTTTTGTCTGCCTGAGTGTGCGAGTGTGTGCGAGTGTGTGTGTGTTAGTTTTTGCACTCTGCCTGCAGCGCAACACTTCCTGTTTACATAAACAAACACGTCAATGTGTCTGACGTGTAGCTTACCTCCTTGCCCCCTCTCCCTCTCTCTTTCTCTCTCTGTCTCTTTTTCTCTTTCACATCGCTTCACTGTGCATGGGCTTCGCTAACCCTGCATGCACAAACATTTTGCATTAGCTCAACAAGGATTTTGTTTTCAATATTACAACATCACATGGAGGACATTTTGGTGGATTTGGCTATCGTTGTTATTGCTGTTTTTGTGGCATGCTGAAGGATGCATTGAAAAAGTTAACTTTGGCCGCCGGCAACTAAATACATTTGGGAATATTTTCAAATTGATATTTTTAATGATTCATTGCTTTTCAACTTTTTCGATTTGCAATTATTTTATATTCAATATAAAACTTTTCGCTTATATCAGAAACGTTTGAGCGTAATTTTTTTACAAATTGATTGTATTTAAATAAGTAATTTTCGTAAAATATATTGAATAGGAGAAAAATATCTCTATGAAAATAAGAAAATTGTAAAATTAGGTTTCTTGGAAATCCGTATAATATTTGCTGGCTAAAGTTTATAAGCTGAACAGCAAACATTTTTACTACAAGCTTAGTGTTATTAGCTGAGCTAAGATTGAAAACTTATAAAGGATTCACAGTTGTTGTAAAAGCTTAAGAGGTTTTACGCATTTTGCTTGCGCCACGCCACATAGTTTGTGAACAACTCTTGGCAACATTAATGCCACAAAAATATTTTCCATTTTAATTAAATTGCATTCCCTGCCAGTCTGCTGAGCTCGACAATTGCCCCAGAGGCAAACAACCCACTACCTTGAATTTTCTGTTAATCAAACGCAGCGCTCTGCATGAAAATGCTGAATTGTATTGTTACATAACTTTTGAAGACGGGGCACTGAGCACTGAGCACTCAGCAATGAGCAAAGAGATGAGCTTACTCATACCATGCTTAAGAGTTACATTTTTAATTTTGAGCACGAAAATTGTGTTCTTCATGTTGGAAGTGAAGTTCGTGTCACGCGCCCACCTCTAGCACACAGCTGAAGTCAATGTCTGTGTCAGCGTCTGAGTCTGCAGCTGCCATAATTTATTTGGCACTCGATACAAAAGTCTTCGGCAATTAATTCACGCGCCCGTTACTGATAAATCAATGCGGGATTCCGTTTCAAAGGATAATTAATACGTTGCGCAGCAACACGGCCTGCATGTGACAGCAACAGCGAAGTTCAGCAGTAAGGACTGCCTTTGTGGGATTTCATATTGTTGTTTAAGTTCTGCAACACATAATCACATAAAGCCAATTCAAGTAGCTAATATAAGGATTAAAAGGAGATTACTGCGTACATTTTTGAATTCACTATTATTCAAAAATAGCTTATGCTTAAAAGCAATGTGCATCATGCAAGCAGTACGCAATGCAATGCAATACAATGTTATATATATATATATATATATATATATATATATATATATATAAGTCTGTTCAAACAAGAGGTACAGTTGCTGGGCGGGGCTTAAGGCGCAAGCGGACATGTTGCGACATGCTTTTGTAATTAAATTAGCATTAATGTTGTCGCTGGGCTCCATGGACTGCCAGCGCTCTTGTTAGCACTGTCGTCATCAACGTCTTTTCTCCGTGTGCGACTTCATTAAACATCGCTCATACGACATGTTTGCTGGCCAGCGGATGTGCGACTGTGTCTGTGTGTGTGTGTGTGTGTGTGTATGTATGTATATATGCCTTGCTTGAAACGTACTCAAGTGAATTTCTGACACACTTTCTGCTCACAGTTGCCTTCCTTGGACTCTCTATTACCGCTCTTCAGCTCTTGCTTTTAAGCTTCCATTTCAATTTGAATTGCAACAACTATGCAGGATAATTATTTTTGGATTTTATGAGCTGCAAAGTCAGCGTGCTTCTAATTGCTGCTGCACACAAAATTATACGAGTTCGTGCATTTCTGCGAAGTGGCTATAAATATAAACCCGGCACAGCCAAAGCAGCCAATCAAATTTTGCTCAAAAGTCCTGCAAAATTGTAATTTCTTCGTTTTTTAAGCTTAAACAGAAAAAAGTAAAAATGATTGAAGCATAAAGTTGAAGCTCAAAGTTAAATGAAGTTTTTCAGCTCAGCGCAAGCAAAAACTAAGAATTTGCAATGCAAAAAAAAGTATAAAAAAAACTTTTGAAAGTAGTTTGCATGTCTACAAACTGAATTTCAAATACTCTTTCCGTAAATGGTTAGTTTGGTGAAATTTTAAAATAGTAATTTTTCAGAATTACTTGGAAATTGTGAAGAAAAATAATTTGTAATTTAATTTAAGTGCGAAAATCGGTAACTAAAACCTATTTTGAATCGTACATTTATATTTATACATCGGATAACTTATCTTTGAAATGTGGACGATTTTGGGCAAATTCTTTAGAAAGTGTAAATGTTGAACAAGTTTGGCCATAAATATATTTAACTATCATTTCAAGAAAGGAGAAAACAACTTTATGACATTGTTATTTTATGTGCCAGCTGTTGCAAGGAGCTCGTAATAATGACACCAAAATCGAAAGTGTTGCGTGAGAACCACGCACAGACTTTGCGGCCGGAAGTGTATAAAGAAAAACGTGCTTCTGGTTGGTTGTGTGTGTGTTTTTGTGTGTGTGTGTGTGTGTTTGTGTGTGTGTTTGTGTGGTAAATACAGTTGTGTGTGCATGTGACTGTTGCTTGAAATTTCAAGCTGAAAGCGGTGTGAGTGGCATTCAAGCAAATTGCCAATGTAAATATTGCAAGAACTAGCAGCAGTCGCAGCAGCAGGAGCAGCAGCAGCAATAACAACAAATACGACCCTTGTCGCAGCAGTGTAAACAGTGGCAATAACAACAACAATGCCGATGTTGCTGACGTCAAGAGACACGCACACACGCATTCAGAAATTCACACAGTCTCAGCACACAAATTACACACCAATACTCGCGCACACAACCAAAAACACTCACACAAAATGCATTTAGCTCACGTCTCTCTATATAAATCACGAGACCCACCTCCCTTGCGTACTATTTGGCTCTGCTTCGAATGTTCATGCAGACAACACAACTCAACTCAACTCAGCTCAACTCAACCAAATTATAGCGAACTCAATTCAAGAGACCGACCAACCAAAATGGCCGCAGCGGAAGTAGCTGGCCGCCATTTGCCTTTCAGCCGCTGCACGCGCGCTTCAATTTGATCTGATTTTATTGCTGCTGCTGCTGCTGCTGTTGCCATTGCCGCATTGTCCGTGTTGGTGTCGTTGATGGTTGTATTTGGTTTTATTTGATGTAGTCGTTGTTTCAACATTTAGTAAAGCATTTAAGTGTGTTTATTTGTCACAGGAAAACGACTCACACAAATCATTAGTCGCTCCATTAGTCAATCTCATCAGCAAAGGCTTTGCTTAAGCCACATTCAGCTTCTGCTAGTTGCTCCTGCTATCTAAAAGCACATATGTTTTATGTGCAGAAATTTAAATGCGAGAATTAACAGAAATCAAATTAAAATCATATTATGTGCATGGATTTCACAACAAACTTGGCCTTAGCACTTTTGTCTTAAATATATACATTTAGTACTAAATCTTATTCATTAACTTGAGTTTTCAAATAAATATATTATAATTAGAAATGCATAAGTGTACCAACAACATGATAACTTAATTATTTGTTTCTGCATTTATTTGTTATTCTTTAAGTTGCAGCTATAATTAAGTTCCCTTGTGGACTCAATTTAAATAACTAGTTAGATAATCATTTAAGTCTATTTTAATTTGGTGTTTGTAGGTGATCAGAAATATGTATTTGTTTATAATTATGGCAATAACAGATTTGTAGTTCAGTTAAAGGTATAAGTTGGCTGAAGTATAAAATCTCAATGATATTAAGCTTTATAATTTTAATTGAATGCCTGCCTTCACTGTCGAGGTGCATCTTTGTATTTCCATTCAACTTGCTGGCTCTGAATGATTTCTGTGGTCCTTTGATGCAGTCTGAACTTGTGAAAGGCTCTCAATAAGAGAGGGCTGCATCACTGTCTGTTTGTCTAAGTGAAAGATGCTCGCGGTTGCTATTCGCACCCTCAAGTTGTAATTGAAAGCCACAAGGCGTATACTTAATTCCCGTCTAATTAGTATCCTAATAGGCTGGCATTACACATGCGAGAATTACTCGACTCAAAGCATCCTTTTCACTTGTTCTACTTTCAGCAGCAGCAGCAGCATCAACAGCAACAACAACAACATCCGCAGCAGCAGCAACCACAATACAAGCAACGGCCAAAGCAGCAGAAACCGCAACAACACTTGTTAAGTGGTAGACGCGAGGCAAACAGTAAACAGCAACGCCTTCACATTGGATTACGCGCAGTTTTACTTTAGACCGGAGCCAATTAGTGGCCAACAGCAACAACAACAACGACAACAACAGCAAGTGGCGCGACAACAACAGGCGCAGCCGACGCAACAACAGCTGCAGCTGCAGCGACAGCATCAGCAGCAAGTGCAGCAGCAATTGCTCGCTCAACAGCAGCAGCAGCTGCAGATACAACAGCTGCAACAACAACTGCTGCTGCAACGGCTCGAGCGTGAGTTGCAGCAGCAACAGCACCAACAGCAGCTTGCCCAACAGCAGCAGCAATTCCTGTACCATCAGCGACAATACTACGAGCGCCTGAGCACACCCGGGCGCCATCGTTGGCTCACCAACAGCAATCACTACGATTACAGGCCACTGCATCAGACGCATCAGCAGCAGCAACAGCAACAGCAACTGCAGCAGCAGCAACAACAATACAGCTATTACTTCAGTCGAGGCAGCAGCAGCAGCGGCAGCGGGCTGGGTTTAGGTCTGGGTTTGGGCTTGGGTTTCGGTCTGGGCAGCAGCAATTTAGCCAGCTGGTACCATCTGCCCTCCACGTCGGCGCACATTTACATTGGCAGCAGCAGCAGTGGCGGCGCCCCATATCCGTATCGGTTAGGATACAGTGGCGGGGGCTATCCTGCAGCAGCGCTGATTAACTTTGACGCCTCACCCACACCGCTGTTGGGATCGGACAGCAGTTCGCCGGGTTATCTGCCACCACTGCCGGCACCGGAACTGCCACCGCCACCACCGGCGCCAAGCGTAGCCACCGACTACTATTTTAGCAGCAGTCGCAGCCGGAGCAGCAACAATCGTGCGCCCGCAATAGTTGCTGCCGATCCCCCGTTTCAGGAGTACGCAGCGGCAGCAGCAGCAGCAGCATCAGCAGCAGAGGCAGCCGAAGCAGCAGCAGCAGCTGCAGCAGCAACAGTTGCCTCAGCGGCGGCGGACGAGGAGCTACAAGCTGGCGCCTATCGCTTCAAGACAACGCCACGCCGGCGCTACGACGCGTACGACAACTACGGCTATCTGCCGGGCCTTGCCAGCACCACCGAGGACGAGGACGATCTGCTTGAAGAGTGCCTGCCAGCGGCATTGCTATCCACGGACTGTGAAAGTCTCGAGGACGTACGCTTCCTCCAATACAATAGCAACCACCATCCGGAGTTCAACGACTACGACGACGACGAGGAGGCGCAGCTGGCGCACATACTCGACATTGATCTGCCCGATTTTCTACGCCCTTACAGCAGCAGCAGCGGCGGCGGCGGGAGCAGACACAGCCACAAAACGCCGCCGCAAAACGAATATCAAACGGAGCACGGCGCCTCAGCCGGAGCAGGAGCGGGAGCAGGAGAAGGAGGCGGAGGAGCAGGCGGAGCAGGCAGCACCAGTGGCGATCCAGGGAATCAGTCACACCGTGAAACGGAACAACATCGCTATCACCACTACCAGCAACAGCAGCAGCAGCAGCAGCAACAACAACAACACCAACAGCAACACCAACACCACCAGCACCACCATCAGCACCACCAGCAGCAGCAACTTCTGCCAGGGCAGCAATCACAACAGCAACAGGCCTATCAGTCCTATCAATACCCTTCGCACGACAGCTGCGAGGGCTTCAATCAATTCGCCAACGACGCCAGCAGCTGTCTGGGCAACCAGAGAATGATGGTTAGCAAATTGTGGAACAGCTGCTTTCCGGAGTTCACGCCGGACCATGTTCATCGGCACAACTTCTACGTGTGCCAGGTAAGACAATTTACTTTAAACAGCAAACGACGACCAAGCGATAAACAGCAAACGACGACCAAGCGATGCTCCACTGATAAACATTACTACAGAGAAGAATTAAATAAGAATTGTATATTAAATTAAATTTAAACATTATATATATTATATCCAAAGTATATTAGAATCATTAATTACACCCTGAACCCATTAGAAATTGGAGTAAGAGAGCAGGCAGCAGAAACATCTCCTCTAATCAGCATCAGCAGTCGAGTCAATTCAGTCTGTCTGTCCTTCTGACTGTCCGAATCTCAGACTTATAATTTTAAATATAAGTTCCATTTATTTTATAGATTAAGTTTACTTTATTTTATAGACAACTTTCCAGACTTAGTGAACATTGATAAATATAGATTACCGATGGAAATAAAATCCACAATTGTACAGACTGAGCCTTCCAATAGGATATTTAATATACATTGACAAATTATATGTCTCACTTATTTATAATGTGCGAATAAGAAACTGCCATTATATTTGTATTGTATTTTTTTTATCAGGTAATTGCAATTGATTTGTTGTGTGTCTGCCACTAATTAATCGTATAATCATTTTAAATATCATGCGCAGTGGCAGCGGAATACGCAGGTGCGTATTGTGTATTTGTTCTATCGCTGGATAACAGCGATAACCTGTTTGGCGGCATTGGTCTGCTCGCTGCTGGACATTGGACGGACAGAGGAGCACTTTGAGCACCACTATGCCAAGTGGTGGATCTATCTGACCCACTGGGGACTGCTCTTCTGTACGGTGCAGGCATGGCTGGCCGCCTGGATAGTCACCCAGGGCATGATGGTGGAGCGTGAGGACTTTGAGATTGTGCGGCAGGCGAAGAAGAGTCGTCTGCACCACCTGTACTGGGTGCTCTACACCTGTGCTACAGTTTACGCCTTTATTGTCACAATGTGCTACTGGCTGCTGGTCCACAATCCGGGTAAGTAAATCAAATAATACGAAAAATAAATAAAATTAGTTATTATAAAACATTGATGGATGGATAACATGGATTGCTGCTCTTTAAGTTCAATTGATTACTTCAAATGTATGAATCATTGACCGCTTTTGACAAAACATTACATCCTGACAGTCTTCCGATTCAATAGCTGTGTTGGTAATTCGATATACGATCACCAAAGCACCCACAGTGCAACCATATGCGATATACATTTTGGCCGCCAGATGCAGGTAGCTGTACTCCGTGATGTATTCGCGGGAAATCGCATGCAGCTTATGCGTATTGTACATGGTCCAGGGCCCAAAGACCATGAGGTTAACACAAAGCGGCACGTAGCAGTGCATAGCGAGGCCGGTAATCAGTGCCAGAGCCGAAATGAGCACTACGGTGAGGCTTGAGAATATCAATATCCATAGATTTGCCGGCAACAGGGGCGGCATCCAGAGCCCAAAAGGCGTATAGATAACCAGCACAGCCATGCCAATGACTATAAAGTACCAGGTGAGATCCAGTTCACGCATGCTCAGGCACATTATGAGCAGCGTGAGGCTCTCGAACATGCAGGCAAAGACGATCCAGTTCAACGGGTAGATGTTCTGCAATCGCCGAAAACCGATAAAACCCAACGACAGATTCAGCCAGGTTAGCAACAGCAGCAGTACAAAGAAACTGCGCTCGTTTGGATTGATAGATGGCCGCCAGCGATATGTGGCGCCCAGCCATTGGAGCGTGGATAGAAGCACCTGCAAGCCCAGCAGCACATAGACGTTGGCCAGGAAGGCCAATCGCGAATAGGTTGGGCTGAGAATACTCCGACTCGGTTGCTCTTGCGGTGGCTCCTCCTCCTCCTCCTCCAGCTGTGTAGTTTCGGGTGCATCTATAATCGTATGGCCCGATGGGGTATGGAACTCATTGGATGCAGTGGTTTTCTTCTTTTTTTGCGTTTGAGTTTCAACTGACCGTGCATAGAGTTCGGGCGCTGAGGCAGATTTGTAAAAAAAACTGCTTGTCAAATACATCCTTCAATTCAGTTCAGTTCAGTTGAGTTCAGTTCAGTTGAATTTAGTTTGCTTTTCCGTTCGAATATCAAACTGACAAAAACACACAAGCAAACATATACAAAAAATTAAAATTGATGAGCGAACCGTTCCGGGGATTGCCGCAAAGCGTGCGCAGTTATTATCTACAGTTATTTGGAGCCGCACTTGTTTCCATACTAATCTCCGTGCTGTTGCTCCATCTCGTTGGCCAGCTGCATGATGTCGTCGTCAAAGACGAGGATTGCTGCATTGCCGCCATGGTACTGTTTGTGCTCGGTTTAACTACATTGTGCATCTATGTCAATGTAATTCAACTGCGACGCAAGTTTCCAGTGAACTGGATTATTTGCTGTTCGATTGCCCTGCTGCTTGCCTTGGGCAATTCCTTTCTGCTCGCCCAGCAAGACTCCGAAAACCTTCTACTGACTCTGGAGGTCCTTTCGCTGATGTGCCTCTTCCTGCTGCTCGGCTACTGGCTGCCGGCCCATTGTCCGCCCCTAATCTATATCGGCTTGACGTCGCTAATTGTCTTGGTGCTTGTGTGCATAATATTGTCCATAATATCACATCTATCCGAGGATGACAATACTGTCGCCGTTCACATGGTTCATGGCGTAATGTGGGTCTGCATGTGTCCAATGCTCGTCTTCCAGTCCCAAGTGATCAATGGGCATCTGCAGAATGTGCTGCCAGTTTTGGACATTCCACTCTGCTCGTTGCTCCTGCTGATCGACTTTATGGCCTGCTATGCATTCGTCGAAGCAGCCGATGACATTATAATGGCAGTTCAACTGGTCTCTTCTGATAACAGGAGAATCATATACGATGGCATAGCCAATATGCTGGAAGAGAAGCTATAGTTCTCTAACTCGAATAGAATTCAATATTGTTTTATGAGCCTTATTTTATATTAAAATTTTAATAGTACAAGGACTTTTCTCAAAGTGAAGTGTGAGGGAAATGAGAAAATTCAGTTAAGAATTTGACTATTGAAATCAGGTTGGAAACGTTAGCATTTAAGTTATGCCTTTGGGCAACCTGCAGCGGTCTCAACTCTTAAAATTTGCATATTTGTTAAGGCCAAATGAAGACTTCAGATCTTATATAACAATCTTTCAACTTAGTGCAATGCTTAAAGTATAAAAGCAAAGCGCCAATTAGCTTAGAATAATATATGGCTAAATAAACAAAATGGCTTCCTGCTAGAATGGCCAGTTGAAGCTTACATTTTACATTTTGGTTAACAAGGATTTTTGTTTAATGGCCGTTTCTCGAGTGTTCTCAAAGGACAATTTTCAATTAAAAAGCTTTAAGCAAAAACTAAAGTTATCAAGCAAGTCTAAGTTCTCTTTCTCTCTCTATCTTTCTCCCTGTCTGTCTCTCTCTCTCTCTCTGTCTCTCTCTCTCTCTATCTCCCTCTCTCTGAATATATCTGACTGCACTTCTGCACATTTTTGTTTGCCTCTCTCCGCCATAGACATCCACAAGATTGACACACTGAACATAATGGTGCACGTGCTGAATACGATTATAATGCTCATCGACTTGGCCATTGTGGGGCATCCGATTAAGATGAGCCACGCCTACTTTACTACAGGCATTGGACTGGCGTATGCAATCTTTACGGGTATTTATTTCTTGGCCGGCGGCACAGACAGGTAAGCCTTAAACTTAATATTCAAAACCAAATTCGCATAATGAGTTTTTGTGTTGTTTGGGGAAATTAGAAAAAATCAAACTGCCATCTATCCGATGATGGACTGGACCAAGCCAGGCAAGGCCATCATTGTGACTGCGTGTGCCATCATCTTCACGTTCTTTGTGCACTTCTGCTGTTATCTACTCTATCGTGGACGCGTCTGGCTCTTCACCAAGCTCTGCATACGCGGACGCCACAATCGTGATGGTGAAATGGGCGAGGGACTCAACGATGATTCTGGATCGCGCATGGGTGCTGGCGGTGGTGGTGGTGGTGGTATCAGTGTTGGAGGTGGTGTCGTTGTCGGTGGTGGTGGTGGTGGTGGAGGCAGCATTGGTATTGGTGGCGCAGCTACTATAGTTGGCGGCGGCGGCAGCAGCCAGGACTATGCTCATCAGCAGCAGTATCCCATTGCGCATACGGAGCAACCGCGCCCAATTTCACAGCAGCCGCCATCCAGCTACCAGCTGCCTCCACAGTATTCGGGCTATCTGCAGCAGCCGGTGGTCGCCGGCGTCAATGTGGGCGTGGTCAGTGCGGATGGTGTTTATCAGCCGATTGGCACAGATACGGGACGCACCAGTGGAGGCGGTGCTGGAGTCGGCAGCGGCAGCGGTGTTGATGGCATTGGCAAGCACAAGGTCACCGGTTCCGGTTCCGGCTCTGGCAGCGGTTCGGCACTGACACGTACTGTGGCCCATTTGGATGCTGCACAGCGGGAGCAGTTCCTCAATCCCAACAAGATCGTCGAGTATAAGATGTAAAGGCGTTGTACCCGGCACCGGTATACGTTCCGCTTGTCCATGAAGTTTCTGGAGAAGCACTGTGCGCAATGTGAGGCGGCGCGTCTCGCGGTCAGCGAAGAGCAGCGCCATCTGGCGACGGCAGAATCTCACGCGCACAGTGGTTAGTTTAAGATTTGCTTTCGCTGTTTGATTTCCAATCCATCTGCCAGCCACTTACGATAGATAGTATGTATGCTAGCCTAGTAAGAGCGCTTAGTATTCGGTAATTGGTATTTAGTATTTGGCACTTGGGCATTTGGTATTGTAGCCTGTGTATTTGGTATTCGTAGCTGTAAAGTAGTTTCGTAATTTTGTAAAGCTTTGCCAGTGTATTTTTTTTAAGGGTTTTTTGTAAGTGTAGCCGCATTGCCAGCTACAGTAGTAATTCGTTTTGTGTACCAGCGCGCCCGCCCAGCACGAGCGTTCGCATAAGCGCAATATTTATCTTTAAACTATTGATGTATGTAGTTGTCGTATCCTTTATAGAGTATAGACAGACTCATCGATTTTGAGCAATTTCAAACATTTTCAATGGACTAAGTTGAACATTCTTATGTTACAACTACACACACACACACACGCACACACACACGCCCCCTCCCTCTAATTTAATTAACAGCAATTGTGTTCAAAAATATATATGTATATGTAGACAACAAGATATAGACACACAGCGTCCATTAATGAATAATTTGTTTTACCAAACTATTAAAGAGGAACACATACTGCCGCAAGTTGTGGCACTTTCAGCACATTATACAATTCACGCTTAACCTTAATTGCAATGGTTGATTTAATGCTTGATTTATCCACAATTTTAAATATACATTTTTATCGGTGCAGGTGTACAACAAAAATGCGTGCAAAATGCGTTCTGAATGCAGCAAATAATGAATTTGAATTTTCTGTTGGCATTTGCTTGCACTCAGGACACTGTGCGCACGCTTAAAACCATAATTACATAATTGGCAATATTTTGTGAGGCGAAACTCACCATAAAATAATTTTTAAACAAATATATAAATAAATATTAAGTTTAAGACATGCTTGGCATTGCTTAGAGTTTACACAAAACACAAGATCAATGAAGCAAAATACAAAAAAAAAAAAAACAAATCACAATTTAAATTAGCTAACAAGTAATTGAGTATTTTGAAGCAAGCACAAATGCTGCACAAAAAGAAAAATAAGAAAAAAAAAATCAATGAATCAAATATACAAACAAATACCTAAATCAAATATTTAAACACTCAAAATTAACATACCTGTACGTATGATGTTAAACCTATTGAAAACAGTATTAAACTATGTTATGAACAATGCTTTTTGCTCAGAACACACAAAATAGTTATACGATGTAGTTGATGTTGAATCGAGGGCTCAATGATTTGTGAATCGCATACCTTGTACCACAATTCAATGACCTGAACACCTGGACAACATAATATACCTAAACAAGACCTAAATAAATGAACATGAAATGTAGCAAATGATTAGAGTTAATGCAAATACCTAAGTATATGTATTTTAAATACTTATGTGTATGTAAATAGTTGGTTTTCATATACGTTCTATATGTATATATATACGCAAATGTATATACATATTACATATGTTCAAATACATACGAAAATGTTGCAAAAAGTAATTAAAGATCTTACTACAAGAAATACTATGTGAAATGTTGTAATAGAAAAATTGAACAAAAATAAAAAGCTAAGAAAACAAAAACAAAAACAAAACCAAAATGCAATGAATAAAACTCGTCAAGAGGAATGTGTTAACAAACAAATAGATACAAAATGATATTTAACTGCATACATACTACACTCATCTACAGTAAATGAAATGCAAGAATCCAACATCATATCCATCAATATACAAGCTCACATACATATACACACACACACACACACACACACACACACCATACATGACACACACACACACACACACACACACTATACGTACACCATGTATGTATAAGAAATATGTGAAAATTACACTTAATTTTCGATAGATTTACATAAACACAATATTAATAATAAACAGGCACAGACATTTAAACCCAAAGAATATAACAAAAGAAAGATAGATATATATATATATACATATATATATAACATCTTTAAAACATATAGTATGTATGTATGTACATATTAACAGTTTTAAACAAGCATTACCCATTTAGTATTTCCGTTTTATATACCCTAGCAGAGGTCGATTCAACACAAGGATGCAGGTTTCTCAGGCCTCAATTGGTCTTCAAATTCTTAATCACAAATGCTCTCTGGTGTCCGTCAATTCTCTTATCCGTTCTGCCAGCAGATAATCAGACTTGTCGCAGATCTTTTTTTACATTCACACGGTCGATCGATCGATATTCAACTTTATAATCTTCAAATTTGCACAACACGTAGAAATTGTTGAAAAATAAGCATTTTTTTGGTGTCAGTCTGCATGGGTATTGAATCATCGGCGTGCCGAAGATTATTGTATTTTTTTTTAATATTGTATTAATAATCGTGTTTTTTTTAATATGCATAATATAATGTGTGTATGTTTTTGGTATTTTCGAAATTTATTTTGTATTTAACCAGTTTTGGTTGGGGTTTTAGCAGAACTGAAATTATGCTTCATATTTTTGCTTTTCTGTTCAAGCCTTTAGCATAAATGTATAAATGTATGTTTATATAGACTGAATATTATTAAATAAAGATCTAAAGAAGAAAAAAAAAACAAGTAAAACAAGTTATTCATATACACAAATTATTAAAACAGTTTTGAATTGTGTAACAAATAAATGAAAACTTCGTAATAACCACAAAATAAAACAGTAAGCACATATCAATAATTAAAGAATTAAAACCAAAATTTAATAAATAAATAAAATCAAAAATAAGCAGAAATATTATTGAAAACAAAACATAAAGTTGCATATTCTAAAAACCAAATCAAAGTTGACCTCATCAAAAACCAAAAACAAAAAAATCGAAGAAAAAAAACAACATAATTAATAAACATGCATAAATGTTAAACAATCATAAAATGTATACATTCAAATATATTAAGCAAAAGAGAAGAAAATTAAATATTATATTTTGTAGATTTTTAGTAAATTAATTGAAATGTCAAGATACATACATATATATCTACTATATACTAACTATAATCATCAAAACAAACAGACACATAACACACACATACATACGTATTTAAATGAATGGTTAGCTATATGTACTCGAGACGAGAATCCGTATTTGTATTCAAATGTTCAAGCAACAAACGAGAAATGGCAAAGCTTTAAGATACTAGAACTGTTGGACGGAAACTTTTTACTGCAGCTTAAATCAGTAATTAATGTTTCAGTTCTTAGCAAGATGTTGGCTCATTATACAGATTATACATAGAGTACATAAATATTTACGTAATGTCGGATCCCAAGAATTGCTCAACAGGCACTAGCAGTTAGTGACAAAACTATACTATAGATAAACAACAAAAAAAAAACCAAAATCAAAAACTTCTTAATGAATTGCACATCAACAAATGAAAATTAAAAAAAAAAGAATAACAATTTTAAAGCCCGCAAATTTAAATACGTGCGTTGAAAATAAAAGCATTCGCTTATACAGAGATATACATTTCAATATACTTAATTGTGAAATTTAATAAAAGCTACACACAAATGAAATAAATTAGACCTTAAACCAATTGTTTACCTTTAAAGTATTTCTGCGCATTTAAGCAAAATGATAACAAATTAAAAACTGTTCAAAAATTATTTAAAGCAAAGAGCCGAATTTGTGTTTATAACCTGCGACTAAATCAACAAAAATTGAACAGAACATTTATAAAGCATATTTAAACCAAGGTTTTTCTTAACGACAACTATACAAGAAGAAGAACATGAAGAACTTTTAAAAGCGAAAAATGTAGATGGAAGACAAACATTTTAAGATAAGCATAGCAATTGGAGAACTACATGTATTATTACCAACAAAAAAACAAAACAAAAAAATACAAAAAATACAAAACTAAAAAATAAACCCATAATTACGCATATATACTTTAATATGAAGTATAATTAACTATTATTATGTATTTGAAAGCAAAGCATTGTGAATTAGTATTAAAGCAACCAAACAACAAACAAAAAGGTGGTAAATAAAGATTGTAAACGAAATCAATAAAATATTTAAATCATGTTGGGAGATTGGGGTTTGCATTGGTGGATTAACTCCAAGTAATCCCTTCATAAGTGACCATCGGCGTGGTACAGTTCATCGATATAAACTGTAAGATATTGAAATGGTGTTGTCCTTAACAAGAAAATAGCCAACTTATAGTTTTCATACATTTATTAATATATGTTGTGAGTTCTAATACTTAATACAAAATCTATTTGTCGTTTTCTTTTAGTTTCATACATTTATAATTGATTTTCAGTTTATAGTCATAGATACATTTAGTTTTACTTTTATTATTACATTTTTATTAAATAATTAGTAACATAATTTGGTTTACTGCGACTTAAACATTAAACATCCTTTAAATGTATACATAATCACTTTCCCTTCCTTTCATTTCCTTTCCTTTCCACTTCACTTCACGTTTCGAGTAATTTATCAAATGATACATACAAAACAATAAAGGGAGACTGCGAAAGTTAAGTAATTACACTTTATATCACGTATGCGGTTTGTGTGGTTGGCAGAACTTGGACAAAAAAAACAACAACAGAATCGTATGCAAAAACAAAATCAATCTTACAAAAGAAGTGCAATATAATTTAACAAAAATAGAGATATTTCATTATATTCAAAATTTGTCGCTTGCTCGGTTTGCCTTGGTTCCACCACATCTAAGACAGTTTCAAATACGACGGAGGCGAGCATTTTTTGCGCAAGAACTTTATTATGTACAGGGGCAAGCAGGACACGAGCGTGATGAGTGATACCTTCCACAGAAAGTCGTACGACCAGATGAACTCCCAGTCTACAAATAAAAAACAACATTAGATACATATCGCAGTTGGGGACTTTTGAAGATAATACGCACCGAAATACTCGTGCAGTACAGCCAACGAGATGAGATAAAGTGCCAAGCTGAATAGCTCTGCCAAGACCATTAGCCTATTAAATAAATAAAACAATTATATTATATTTACACTGGAAAACTGTAAATAATTTGAGTTACCTGTGCCAGGTGCGCACCGTCAATGCCACCATAATGAGTTCCGTCATAATAAGCGCCGAGAAACTGATGGCCACAATGTGTATAAACTCATCCACAAATAATATGAGTGCACCGTACATAATGACGCCACCCTGGTATATGCTGATCAGTACCCAGATGAAGAAGGTCTTATAGCTAAGACTGCGTCCCTTGGAGAGATCCTTGTACAGTTCCGGATATGTGACTGCCGTCTCTGAGGTAATGTCCTGATCTAGTACCAGAGAGAACACCGGAAACATTGTATACAACGTGGAATAGCCGACCATCAAGAAGCCCTGATACAAAGCCACCGAACTCAGATAAAACACCGCCGAGAATACTGCCTGCAGTGTGGTAATTATCAGTCCGCGATGTATGACAAACTGGGAGAGAGCCGCCGAGCGTTTGTAACTGCGCCGACCGTGAATCAGCAGCAGCTTGGCAATGTGCGAGAACTGCGGAATGCTAAAGTCGCCGGCCAGCGATGCCTGCCGGCCCTCACGTCCCTCGATGCCGACGCCCGCATCAGCCTGCTGAATCATGCTCACATCGTTGCCGCCATCGCCGACGGCACAGGTGCGCTTGCGCGTATGCTTCTGGATGAGCGCGACCACCTGTGCCTTTTGAGTGGGCGAGCAGCGGCAGCAGACGACCGCCGGTGAGGCAGTGGCCAGCTCCAGAAACTCCAATCGATAATACTGCAGACACACCTCCAGGGACTCGCCGGATATGACCAGAGCGTGGCCCTGCTTGCGTCGGAATTGGTTAAGCTCTTGATGCGCCTCCATGCGCGTCTTTACCGAGCGCAGCACATGCAGCCCCTGATTGCGTCCAATGAGCTGTGACGATTTGGCAATGCAGCAAGCGGTCTCCAGCTTGTCACCCGTCAGCATCCAAACACGCACGCCGGCATTGCGCAACAACTCCAGCGTGGGACGCACATTCTCCTGCAGCCGATCCTCGACACCAGTGAGACACAGCAGTTCCATTTCCCGTTCCAGTGATTCGACGACGGCAGCCACTTTGGCCACACGATCTGTAATGCTGAGACGGGCCGCATTGTAGCGCATCTCGAAGTCGTTGTACTGCTCCTCGGTGAGCATCTTCTTGGCAACGACGAGGGTGCGCAGACCCTCGCGCGCCATGTTGTCCGATTCCTCACTCAGCCAGTCGTTGTACTGCACAATGCTGGACATAACCACATCGGCGCCCTTTAAATAAAACGTTATCTGACCCGTCTTGCTTTCTCGCACAATGATGCCCATGCGTTTGGTCTCGCTCGTAAAGGGGAACAGCTGCAGGATCTGATACTGCATCAGTATGTCATCTGTGCAGAAATTAGTGGGATTAGTTAGCAGATCGATTCGATGTCACTTAAAGTAGATGCAAGATACTTACTATCCTCGGTGGCCGTCTTCACTTGCAGCGTCATTGTGTTCAGATCTCGGGCTATGAGTGTTAGGCCTACCTGTTCGGTCCACTTGACAAGGGCTATTTCGTCGGGCGAGGCGGCCTGATACTGGTGTTCCGTATCGGTGCTGCCAGGCGCCTCAATGTTTATCACAGATTTGGTGGGTGAATTATTGCCACCAGTCACCGTCGAAGCGGTGGACACCGAACGATTGTCCTCATCATCGCTTACTGGCGTCACATTGTGGCACAAAGCCAGAGCACGTACCGCCTCCCACTCCCGCCAGCCCTCGGGACGGCGCATGCGATTGCCAGCAAACATGGGCTTAATCGACTCGCCAGCGCTGCTGGAACTTGAGAGACTGCCCTGCTGTTGCATCAAATTGCCCGAAAGCTTTTGTATGATTTGGCCAATGTGATGAAATGTGTCCAAGTCGTGGGACACAATGCCCAGATGGATCTTCTTGAAGACCATCTCGTTTTGGGTGAGTGTGCCCGTTTTGTCAGTCAGCACATAAGAGATGCGCCCCAGCTCCTCGGGTATTGTTGTGGAGCGCACCACGGTGCCTTTGATATTGTCATCGTTTTGCATTTGCCACGAGTAGAAGGCCTTGCCCATGTCGAGATTCACGCGCAGACTAATCGGTATGATATACGAGAAGAGCAGCACAAAGCGGAACATATAACGATACCATGGACCACCGAAACCCTTCAGCATCATCATCACTAACGATAATCCTAGCACGGCACAAAATAGCACCTATTCGATGGAAAAGAATATGAGTTAAATTCATTCTCAAATCATTAACTTGCCCATATCTGAAATATATATTTCCATTAGCAGTTCTTACGCACCTTGGTCAGTCCGTTGATTTCGGTGTCCAGCAGACCCACCTTGGAGCGGGGCTGTGAGTTATTCATTACGCTGCGCGTCTCGCAGCCCGTGTAAATGACAATTCCGGTGGCAGTGCCGGCAGCAACTACAGTGTTGGCCCACAGGGTGTTCTCCACGCTGAGACCGGTGTCCTCGCTGCCATCGCTAATGCTGAATGTGGCTATAAAGCTGTGTATATCATTTTGTGGCTTCTCCACATAAAAACTCGCATCGATGTTGTGCAAATCCGCATCCCGATTGAGTTTCTGGGTGTAGGGCACCGCCAGTCGTGGCTTCCAGTCTGTTTCGCCATCCAGTTGATCGGTGCGCACAAAAACCGAGCCGCTGCGATCGCTTGTGCGCAGTAGTATAAGATCTGCGGGTACTCGCTCGTTCTTCTCAACAATGATGACGTCTCCCACTTTCAACTTGGAGCTGGGCACCATCTCGTAGCCGCTGCCATGTGTCGCCGAGAGGCGTTTGTACTTCTGCGAGTTGACCTCATGATCCCGTTGATGGCGTCGCAAATCGTCGACTGCCTCGCGGCAAATGGTCACCATCAGCACAAATCCGAGTGGACCCCAATACGTGTAGGGATAACCAATGCGTATATCTGGTATGAACTGCGAGAGTGCCATCAGCAGAAAGTACAGATTGAGAAAGAAGCGAAACTGCTCGAAGAGAACCAGCGGCAGGAACGTGATGAAATTATACTTCTGGTTTCGTATCTCGTTTGGCGGAAACTTCTCCGTATTCGATCTGCCCAAGTTGACGGAGCGAGCTCGCAGCTCGCGTGGCCTAAACCATTTCTTCCAGCAACTGCAAGATAAGAAAACTATTAGTATCAAGTAGCTGAGTCTTTAATTTTGAAATTTAAGTTTTGCTTCAAGCAGTTAGAAAAAATAGCTTATAAAACGAAGAAGACACGAGCTGCAAATTTTCGATTTTAGGACAGCTTTAATTTCTATATAATATATTCTTCAAATTTAAATTATTATTACTTATTTGTTGTCTGATTTTCTGATTTTTTGCATTTTCTCAAATCCATGCAACAAATGTTGGACCATATTGCATTTAAATACCACAAGAAATCTTCAAAATATTTATAATTATTTTTTAATTTTAATTTAATCTGTTTCCCTTTTGAATTTTTTGTGCCGACTGATTTAAGTTAACATTATATAAATAAAAAATGCTTTAAGCACCACCAAACAATTTCCAAACAAATTGTATTTCATGTTTTATCCGAAGTAAATAAAATAGTCGTAATTAAGAGAGTGGGAGGAATTGCCAAGTGACCTTGGCGAAAATGAATCAATAATAAAAACATCGATACACACAGCTGTAATACACAATGTACGTGTGATGCACCCACATTGAGGTACACCCAAGCACACGAACACAAACACACACACAAATACCCATGCGTGGGGGGAGTAAGTTGAAAGGTTGTTGAAAAGGGAGCGAGGCGAAAGAAGAGACAATTCATATTAACTGCAACAGTGCTCTCGCTCTCTCTCCCGCTCCCACTCTCTTATCTGGACTGTCGCCTGTGCGAAAATGCAGATAAACCAGAATTTCCGTTAGACGGGCTGGGGATGGAGGTCAGAAATGTTGAGATGGATGATTCACCTAAATGAGTACCAACGATTGCGCTGGCGATTCAGCAGCGGAATATTCTCTCTGGTCATTGGGGCTGCTGCGGAGGCTTGCGAAGTGCCGTCATTCATTTTTACCGATTTGCTCTAATTTCACAAATTTATAGCTCAATTTTGCTACTTTTTTATTTCGCTTTGTTCTAGCAGCAGCAACAGCAGCTGTGGCGTTGTTTGTTGTTTTTGTTGCAATGTTTTTACACAGTAGTGCACAAGGTGCATTGTATACGCATTATTTGACGCATTAGCATGCCAAATTTGATTAACTGAATTATACACTTGTATTATTATTATTATATTCTTGTGCACAAATTTAACGCAAATGAAAATTCCGTGTCAAAACTACTTTGTCTGGCATTTGTGGAGCAACCCTGTCTGTTTGCAAAGAGAAATCAATAAAAAAAAAGCCTGTGCGTGTGAGTGAGTAAGAACGTGTTTGTGGTGAGTGTTGGCAGAGTGCAGCTAGTGTAACAATCACGGCTGCCAACAGTCTGGCAACACTATGACGGCGAGATTGCGCGCGCTCTGACACATCATTTGAAATGCGAAATGTCAAGCGTTTTTAAAAATGAATGTTAACTGGCAAATGCTGTAGCTGATTGCGCACTTTGCTGCGCTCGCAGACTGGTGTTAATTTAATAAGCAGCGTCAGTCAGGCTTTCGCTGTTGCCGACAGTCGCTTCTTAGATCATAACTATGAGCAGCAACCGTCTGCCACAATTGTATTTGGCTTTATTTGCTTTGGCTCTCTGGGTAAACTTGTTTTTTGCTTTTATGGGCTTTTGTCTGTTGCTGTTGTTATTGCGGGCGTTAGCGTATTTGTGTTTGTGTATAACTCATTCAAATGGAGTGCGCCTTTATAAAGTTTTGTCAATATTGTTTTGAAAGCATGCTCGCTGCGTTTTCGTGCTATGATCTCATAAGAAAAAGTTGCCAACCGAAAAGAAGCAACCACCATAAAAGTGAAGAGCAACCACCTCAAGAATGCCAACAACAACAACTGGCATAAGGAATGGCAAAACGAAAAAAAAAACGGTTCAATGACATCAGCGTGCTTAATTTCTTGTAAAAAGCTCGAAAATTGAGGAATGGCCAAAGACAAAGATCTCGACTCGACACCGATACAAAGGGTCGTCAGTCGTCGACTCGCAGCTTTGTAATATGTAAGACAGGCAGAGCTAGTATTATGATTTCCATGGATCTGGAACTCGATTTGAATCTCAATTCGAGTGCGAATTTTACTAGGCTCTGACTCAGACAAGGCAGACTCAAGGCAAATTGCACTTCAAAAGGCTGCGCCGCAATATGTTTGTCACCGTTCCATTTTCATAGCGCGTGCTGCATGCATTTTTTTTGTCGTTGTATATTTATCGTTGCTGTTCCTCATAATTGCTTAGCCAAGCTGAAAACGTAAACAGTGCTAACTCGTTTCATTGGCAATTTCGTTGCTCCGCCACTAATTACAACATACGAAATGCATTCGCTGCATTTCGCTATAATTTTATTACAGCACGTCTCGGAAATACGAATCGGAATTATGAAACATTTCAAGAACTGACAGCAGATATCATTGTTGTTATTGGATGACAAACACGATATTTATCTCTTGATAAATAGTTGAACAGCTGTATTTATTCTTTTTACACTTATTACGAATAGGGACTGTTTGAGATCATTTCATTTGATTTTTACACTTTAATCACTATTTGCTTAAGTCTTTATTTGCGAGTTTAGATATGTGGATGATCAAATACCCTACCCTGATATTGATGATTTTTGTCCCAATGTGAGGGGCATTAAAACACTCATATGGGCTAAGTTTGACCCCGTTTCTTGTTGAAAACAAAAATGTTTTCCATACAAGAACTTGTCTTTCGACTGATTGTTCCCATGGGAGCCAGATGATATAGTGATACGATCCGTATGACTTCGATTTATGTAGCAGTTCTATTAAGAACATATACATTATATATATTCCTATGGAATCGGAGACGTCTCCTTCAATGCTTTACAAACTTCTCGACAAAATCATAGCCCACTGCGGGGTTGTAAAAAGATAATTTTATGAAATGCTTTTTAGGCTTAATAACAAGATAAGAATTTAGTGATTTTATAGATTAATTTTGCATGAGATATTCTTTTGTCTACGTTGTAACTTAAATTCCCCATGCATTATTCATTACGTGGTATGAAAAGACAGTCTCTTTTGTAAATTCTTATCCGGTATAAATAGAAAGCTGCTACATAATAACAAATTAACAACATTCACGTAGTCTTATAAACCGGATCTCTTCTGCGTTTTATTTGAGAGCATGTCGTAAGATTTGAATACAGATCTCAACAGAAAAAGCTTGATTAAGAAGCAGCACGCAAATCGTTGGAGCTAAAAATGTCTGTCAAATCGAGAAATACATTTTATTAAATTTTTATGACGCTTTATGTACGAAATTATAACTCATTCATGATCTAAAAACCAGTGTTTTTCTATTCTTATTTCCAGGGTGCACTTTTCTGGAATGTTTTTCTTTTCATGTGTACACAGAACTCCAACATCAAGTTTTTAGATACAAACATTTTAAATATACTTTTATTTTCAAGAATTATTTTCTTTTATCAAATAATAACTCTCAGAAAAATAGAAAAAAGTGAAGCAATTTTTGAATATAAATTATTTCTAAAACCCAGAAAAAGTATATATTTTTCATGATGATTTTCTTCTATTATGTATTATGTACACATATATGTATATAATGAATACAGTTACTCGCACCAAACTGTATTCAATATGGCAATTGCACACGGTTAAACGCGCAACATACTTTTTCTCAGGTTTTTCACTGCGCGTTTCTGTTTCCATTTAACTGGCGCTTTGGACACGACTATTGTAGTCGTGCAGCATGCAAAACAGCCCCCATCTTGCCCCAAAGTTCCAAATATATTTGTAGGGCCCGTCAATGGCAACGCCTAATGTTATTATTTCAATTGTGGTTTCTGTTGTGCTTTTTCTTCTTCTCTTTTTTTTTTTGCTTGTTTGCGAAGAGTTGGAAAAGCAAACGGTAGATTGTTTCACCCACAGCTGGCTGGCAATGCGGGTTAATAAGCAAAATAAACGCAAGTCAACCCGGCTGCCCTCACTTCCCGGACTGTGACCAAGCCCTGGCTATTTATAACGTATGCTCCGTGGAGCCACTTATCATTGTCGCAGAACCTATTTACACAGAAATCAGCCGAGCGGCGATTCGATTCGGGGCGCGTCTGCCAAGTCAGGGGCAAGAGGGGGGGGGGGGGGGGCATTGCAGTGGGGCAGCCAGCTTGTTGACACACAAATTGAAAATTAGCCAGTGCGAGTCGATTGTTGTTGCTGTTTCAGCTGCTGCTGCCGCTCCGTTAGCGGTTACCGACAGGTGCTAAGTGCCGCATAAATTATGCTCCATAGTCAGTCAAGCAGTCCGTCAGTTCGTCATTTCATCAGTCCGTCAGTCTAGTTGTCAGCCAACAGCTCATTGTCTGCTCTGAAATTAATTCCTTTGAGGCGAGTGAAAATTTCTGCACACTTTGCGGTTCTCGGTTTCTAGACAACAATTCTATTCTCTCTTAGCTGTTGCACATTGTTTGTGCCACTATTTCTAGCTCAAGGCAAAGATAAACGGCTTATTTGACTAACAGAGAAAATTACAGACTATTTCAGAATTTGAATAACGAGCAAAACACACTTCTCAATGTTTATTTTGATGAAATCATAAATAGAGAAAAGTAGGGAATATAAATTAAGAAATAAGTTGAGATCACAGCCGCATTAATTTGTATATATTTTTACTTAAAGAAAACTACGTAAGCACTTATGATATATATATATTTTATACTTAAGATATCAGTTTCTGCTTTTAATGCGTTATTTTTCGGTTTATTATCGCACAAGCTGAAAATTACAAGTAAGTCAAGGTCATTTCGTACTTCTGGATGTTATCGCTAAAATGGGGCCCGTCGTTATTTACCAAGTTAATTTCAATTGTTTTGGTTAAAGTTCGCAATTAGGCCATCAACAACAATAGGTTAAGTGGGGATGGAAGGTGGGCAAGGTGAGGCCAGTTAAACGACACATTTTTATGTGTACCACTAACTGCCGACGCATTTGGGCCAAACTAGAGCTTGAGCCAGGTAAATGTGTTCAAGTGAATAAGGCCCAGTAAGAAATAAGACCTTCCAAACAGCACCCAAATGCCCGAAAAAAAAACAAAAAGGAAGAAATTTCAACTGTGGACACTTCACAAATGAGGCAAACTCAGGGTTGCTTTTTCAAGAGTTTTGTTTAGTTCAAACTTGAGCGACGACGGCAAAAAGTTCAAGATAAGTGTTTAAATATTTTTGATTGGCTTTGAAATTCAAAACGGGTTTAAGTGTGTGTAAATCTGTGCGTATTTTACTTATAAATAATATTTATAAGCATAACATAAATAAATATGCTTCATAACTAAACTTGATTTTCGCTAGATAAATTGCAATATAAAAAAAGATTTAATTGGGTGTAAAACAATGCTATAAACAAATGTTTTGTAAGCAAGCATGTGAGACATGTCCTAAACGCATATATAATCTTTTGTTAATTTAATGAAAACATAAATAAATGTTTCATAAATAAATTCGTTTTAAGTTGTCGCAAGCTAAAGCTACGACTCAAACTTAGTACAAGCTTAAAAGAAGAACCAACTGACTCGGTCGTCAATATTATCCCTGTAAAAGCACCTAAACAATTAACTTGATAGCCTAATTGCAGGATAAGAATTCAATAAGTTGGAAGCTTGACAGATGCAATTCACTTAATTTCTGATAAGAATTCAATTATACTAATGCAATTCAGAGTCATATTTTTCATTTGATAATGATAAATAACAAATTTCCACAAAAACGACAGGCTTTACATGTTATGTGCTGATTACAAAATAAACAAGTGCTCGTATATAATATAATTGTTGTGCCACATGCCCAAACAATGGGTCTTTATTCTCAGGCACACATTTTGAGACTGTTATACTAAGTTTATAATATATATATATTTATATAGTCTATTTGTAGTAGAAATTACTCAACACAAATCTCTTACCAGCTATGCAAAGCGTTGCGGTTTTTATTTTCTTTCCAATCATTGCGAAGACTGGTCACTGAGCTTTGACCTCTTTCTGATAAGCCACGAGGGCACATAACTTTCAATTTTCGACACAAAAAGAACGACACATAAAAAGGCACACAAAATATAACTAATGGAAAAAAAAGAAACATGCTGGATGCGACTTTTGCTGCGGAACTTGTTTGTGCTTTTAGAAACCTTGAAAAAAAAACAACAAATAAGTAAAATGCTCTTATCGAGTGAGCTCGACTGGGAGAAACCCTGCATCCAACATTTAAATATAAATTACTCTGGTTTAATTGCAAAATCCCACTTTAAAAATATTACGTTTTAGACTATAACTCAAGTGATTATTATGCGATATTAATCAAATTTGTACAGTTGATCAATAGTATATTAACGGCGATAGTTATCGATTAAAGATAACTCCTCGACTGTTGAAGCTGAACATGAATAAATATATATACGTTATAGGCTTGCAGACACTTTCTTCTGCCTGTAATATAATCTTGCCCAACAACAATATACCCAATTGAATCATTTTAAATGGGTTCAGGGTATACTAAGTATCTAAGCAAACTGGTTTCTGTAGTTCAGTGTTTGCTTCCTCCAAGTTGAACGGCAAACGACATCGAAAACGAGTCGCGTTAGTTTCGTTGAAGGAGTTGCACGCCAAAATTCGATTACATATGCAAATTTAACAAAGCCCCCGCCCAACCCCGCACACCACCACCAACGCCCCGTCAACTTTCGTGATGGGGAGCATAACAATTAGAGGTCTACGTCTAAAATGGCTTAGCGTGAGAAATGTGTCGCTTGTAGTGCGTTCTCACTTGACAGATATCGCAACATTTTTAAGTAGGTGGTTCAGTTTGTTTGATATTTCCATTTTCCCTTTTAGCCGGAATACATAGGTATACACATATATACATATATTCGTATTCGTTTGTATATAGACGCGACGTTTTGGTTATTTGCGGATCACGTTTATCGATTTCAATTTGGTCGCAAATGGCAAAATGTTGTTCTTTATTTATTTTACCAGCGGCATTTGCCGTCTTTTGCACTCTTTCTCCATTTGCTTGTTCTTGTTTTTCATCTAATTAAGCAAATTAAAAATATATATTTATATAGCTAAACTATATATACTTATGTCTGTGGATATAATGTGTGCCACGCATACAATTTTACTCTCGTTTTGAAAACATGATTTTTTCTTGGAAACGTTTCAAACGAAACAAATTGTCTGCCTTTGCAATTTGCTTATTTTTGTTTTGTTTCCATTTCTTGAGGATTTCGAAATGTTTTTATTTGCTAGTTTGAATTTCAACGAATTGTTGTTGCTGTTGCCGTTGCTGTTGCTGCCAGTGGCTGTGGCAGCCTCATTAAACAGCAGGCGTAACATCAAAACGATAATAAACAAAGCCACTGGAGCAGAACTTGCTGCCCAGAAAGGTTTCAAGATGCGATTATTGCGGTTTATTGAGGTTTGAGTTTATTCCTCAAGCATATGCCAAGTTAAAAAAAAGACCCGTAACTCCCGATGTGGCAAGCAGGAAGTTGCATCAAATTAAAAGCAAGTTATTTTAAAACCGAATCTAATAAATTGTAAATATTATTCTTTAGGAACTACTGTTAAAATACAGTCATCACTCGAACATTGTAACTTTGCAACCGTTTTCTTTAAGTTTAGAGCAGTTTTGTTAATCTACAAAGCACTATATTTGTTTTTTTTTTCACTATTTATAAGCCAACGGCGGGAAATGAATTGCGGAGCTATCACTTTTTGGTATTCCACTTGTGTTTGTTCTATTAATAGTTTAAAAAAAATTTGGTGTTCATGCCATTAAATTAACATCTTTATGCAGTGTCAGCAGCTAGCGACGACTATCAAAACAAAGAAATAAAATTGTTTTCATTTAAAGAGTGTCTAGAAAATAATACAAAAATATATATAAAAATGGGGCCAGTGTTAATAGTTTTAATAAAAATACACATTAAAAGCAAAAAAAAATTTAATTGCAAGCACAACTCAATTCGAATTAAAAGTGTTTCAATGTTAATTTCGATCAATCAACGCAAGACACACAATTAAATGCAGTTGCGAAAGAACAACTGTTCGAGAAGTGTGAGGGGGCAACTAATAGTTGCCAGCTGTTTTTGTTTTTTTTCTTCGGGTTGATGAATATTGTGATTGAATATAAGCAAACGGACTTTGGGGTTAGACGTACCTGCACAGACACATTTTGCAGACATTGCCGATGCTGCGTCCTTTGCTGCGTCTGCGATTGTTCTGATAGAAGACTGTTGAGGAGCCGTTCTCGGGATCGATTTCGGTGTGGGGGCCAATGCCGTTGGGTGCACCAATTTCAGTGGGATGCGGGGCAGAGCCATCGACACCGCCGCTGCTGGCGTCCGTTTGTGTTAGTTGCGCCAGTTTCGTTTGAACGGACGTTGTCTCCGACGTAATGTGTCGCGTTGCAGTGCCGCTGCTGCTGTTGCTATTCGAGTATTTTGCGCGCTCGCGACTCCGCTCATTTCTATAACGTATCTGGCCGGCGGCTGAGCCAAGACTGAATAGATTACCTAAAAAGCTGGCGCTGCCGCTGGTTGGGCTACCAATGGCCCCAATGCCGCCGTAACCAGTTGAGCTTTTGCGTCGTCTTTGCCCATGGCTGTTGTTGTGGTTGTTGTTGTTGCTGTTGTTGTTGCTATTGGCAATGGCAGCGTCACTGTGTGTGTGGCGTATGAGCAATTCTGTTTCCGAATCAGTCTCTTCGCTCTCTTCGTCAAAGTCACGTAGCGGCAGTGCGTTATCAGTCATGGCGTAAGAGAGCGCTCTCTAAATGCAAAATGTGTTCGAAGAGAGCCCAAAAAATGCGAGCAGATTCTAAGCAGGTGTGTCTTCTTCTCACGATTGCCTCAAATCTTTCTTATTTATTTATTTTTTCTTTGGCTATTTTTAACGAAACTTTAATTAATTTTTTTTAGTGCCGCTGTTATGGTTGTTGTTGTTGTTTGCTTCCGTTTATTTGCTAACTGAAATGCAGTTCAATGCTTCGCTGACTGTTGAAGCCAGCTTTAAGTGTGAGCTTGCCACGTTTTCAGTGACTAATTCGAGTTCGAATGCACTGCCCTTTGTACACCCTGCAAATAAAACGTGACGTTTTTATTTGGGCGCGTAAACATTTATAAAACACATGGCAAATCGTAAATCAGATAAGCCAGGTAAATAACTTTTAACGGCCTCAAAATTCCATAAATCATACTGTGTTTGCTACGAGTAGTAATTATTTATGTGTCGCAATGGATAGCAATTGATTGCCAATTGAAACTGTTCAATATCACAATCGAGACTGTTGAACAACAATAACATTTTTTATATTAGCAGTAGCCAATCACAAATATACACACACCAACTCATATGCACTACAATATTTTCATCTACTTCGTTATATTGGCCTGTTGTTGAAAAGCTCACGTTTTGCATTTATATAATTAAAATATTCGTATATAAAACTAACTAATATTTAAAATGAAATTTTAGCACATGTTTGAGTACGTTTCTGCCTATTTCTGTTAAATATGTTGATATTGGCCGCTGGCCAATTGTCTCAATTTGGCCAAACTGTTGAACAGCTGTGCGTGTAGTGTTGGTCAACGGCGGCAATGCTTGCATGTTGGGAAGCGTTGAATGCAAATTTGAATTTTAATTGGTAAAAACTCGAAATTGTTTAACGAACTTTGCACACGCTTACTTCAAAATTGGAATGATTTAAAAGCCTTGGTTATATTTTATAAAATTGTATATTTTTGATTTATAATTATGTGTATATCTTAATAATTTAGTATATAAACGAAGAACGGGAATTTACAACGAGATCTTAACCAAATAAACAAGTAAATATGCACAAATTATTTAATAAATTTAGAGTTTTGCTCATTGAAGCAGTCTATAATTAAAATACACAATACACAAGTGCTTCAAGTACAATTTACGTTTAAAGCGCTCTAATCAAAGTTAATTCTGGCTAAAACGTAACGCAGCAACTAAATTCGTTGCTTACTGTTATTTTTTCAATTTGTTTTTTTTTTTTTTGGGCCTTTTGCAATATTTTTTATATATATATAAATATAGATACTTTTATAATGTATACATAGGTAAATATGTGGATATATTGCAATGCAGCATGCAGCGCTCGTCCTATCTGCGCTCCACTTGTAGATTAATATTTGAGTCCGAATTGGAATAGCTTTGCTCCAATCTGGCTCGAAAGTCATCCTCGCCATCCGAGTAGGAACCCACAGAGCGACAGATTCTGCAAGAGATTTGCCAAGTTAGTTTCAGTTGGAAAAGGGAACTGTATCTGATTAAAACTGGTTAAAATAGTGCTCTTTTTGAAATCAACTATGCAAAAATAAAATTATTGCTCGATATTTAAAAATTATTACTCATACCGCTGCGTTGACGCATAGCCTTCGATGGCCAGCGCCTGACTCACGCCCGCTGGCATCAGATGTTGCATCAGGGCATCTTTGGCCACATTTGCCGTTGTGGGCAGTGGTACGTGATTCATATCTACCGAGGAGTGCGACTCCGATAGCTGAGGATTGCCAGCCAGAGTTGCGGTCAAGCCGTTCGCATGTCTCACATTTACCGCCCACTTGTCGCCTGAATCGACCTCGTCGTTCTGCTTGCGCAGCCAATCGAATAGCACCAGCAGATTGCCAAATGTGTTCCGCATATCATTGCGCTCTGTGATGACATAGCACAGCTGCGACACATTCTGCCGCAGCAAATAAATGGCATACTTCGTTTGTTGAGATGGCAGAATGGAGCGTGTATATAAAGGAAAACTACAAAAGCGAAAACAGATAGAAAAATATAAAAATATAATGCGGATAATATTGATTTCGCTTGGTTTCTTGCTCACTCTCTTGTGTTGTAGGTCAGCTCTTTGACATTGTCGGTGATGCGAGCACGCGACGGTTCGTAGGAGATGGGATTGCGCAGCGGCAGATCCATAATGAAGGCCAGCATCTGTACCAGATGCGCCACATAGCTCAGCGCCGCGCTCACCGCCAGTGGCGACACATTGCCCAGCATTTGTGCATTGGCCGCCTGCCGCGACTCGCACGTATAATGCTCCATGTGGGGAAAAGCAATGTCACAAATGCTAAACTGTTGCGAGCCCAGACTCTTAATGTTGTAGATCTCCTGCAGCTCCAGCGCCAGCGTGAATCTGCGTCGCTTCACCTGCAATATTAAACGATTTGATGATCTCATCGAGATGCGATTTATTTTGCTGCTTACCTGCAGATTAATTTCACACTTCTTTTGTTTGCGCTGCGTTTGCCGCTGCGGCGACTGCGTACGCCACTCCAGATGCTGTTGCTCCAGCTGCAGCCGCTGGTTGTGCAGCTTAAATTGCAGTTCCTCGCGCTGCTCGCGCAGCATCTGTAAACGCTCCTTTTGGCGCTCATTGCGTTCCGCGAAGGTGGCGCGTTCGGTTTGCAGCAAACGCTGCTTGCAGCGCAACGCCTCGATTTGCAGCGTTAGCTGCTGGGCACTGTAGAGGGTGAGGGGCGCAATCTCTTGCTGTTCGGCCAGCAGCTCGGTGAGCATGCGGCCCATGGAATGACGATAATGCTGCGACGTCTGACTGCCATACGGCGAGCCCGAGCTCGAAGTGGAGCGCGGCTTTAGTCTTAGCTCGTTGCGTGTAATGCAGCGAACGCTTAGCCGAGCAATCTCCGCGCTTACCGCCAGCACGTCCCGCCGATGCTTGAGCTGATCACGCTGGCGACGCTGCAGCAACAACAGAGTCTCCAAGTTGTAACTGTATCGCATCTTGGTCAGCTCACAGCCAAGCTGAGTGTAGCGCGTGATGCTCATCCGCAGCATGGGGCTGCTGCTGCGACTGACTGGCGGCGAATTGATGCCACCATCGTCGCTTTCGACATGCTGTTCCTTATTGTCATACTCGGAATAGCGCTGGTACTGCAAATGCAGCTGGGCGTGTAGACCCTGCTCACTGATCAGCGCCGGCGAGGTGAAGTGCTCACCATTCAGATGGAAAATCAAACAGTTGGCCCGACAATTGGCCAGCGACAGCGTCGCCAGCGGTATGAGGCCGGAAAAGTAAACGCCCCAGCTGAATACGAGCTCCGGCGGTCGTGGCAGCTTGTGGGGTGTTAACTGCACATTGGCCAGACGTTGCGTCAGCTGCGCACTGCAACAAACAAAACATTACTAATTAGATTTATTTCACGACTCATATTGCAATCGATTATCTAATTTACAGACATATCATATAGATAAGGGCATATGACACGATTTCTAATGCTGCCCAAAAGCAAAATAGTTATTTATATATTGGAAAAAAATTATAATTCTGGGCATGTTTGGAATCAAATTAAAGGCACATTTCAAATCCTTTTGACTCATCCCCTGTGAGGGACCCACTGAAACTCACCTTTGCGCTGGCTCCGCTGTTGGCTCAGTCTCGTTTGGGCCACTTGTAGTTTTTTTTTCTCTTTGCTGGGCGGCTGTTGGCTGATAATGGGCCCAGACTTTGACACAGACGCATTGCGCATTCGATTTGCGCCAGACGTCGTCGCCCGCAGAAATCTCCGCCCACTTTTGGTGCTGATGGCGCTGCGGCAGCGGTTCGCTGGTGTAGAACGCCTCACTGGCCTTATCAGCATGTAACGTGTAATAGAGAAGCAGCTCTTGCTCCTCCTGCCCCGATTCGAGATCCTCGCCGCCGGCGTTGGCGATCAAACTGCACTCGATGTTAAGTCCTTGGATGCGTGCCAGGTTGCGAAGGCGCAATTGCTGCGTTGCTAGCGGCAGCCATTCGCTGCAGCGCGGTCGCAAATGCATTACGGATTTGTTGGGCGTTACCCGGCTTAGCTGGCCGTGCACATGGTGCACATATACACTAGAAATTTAGCTTACGACAAAAATTCACTTTAAACAACACCACTTTGGCTACAACAGCTGTTCTTTTGGCTGAACAACGGCAAGCGCTGTGTGACCGTACTCAAGCAATTTCTATCTAACTGGCAACGCCAATCTATTGCACATTAGTGCTGCGAGCAAATCTGTGCCAGAATTACAACTATCTAAAATACAATTTTAAATGGTCTTAAGGCAGTCGAATGTGCGAGAAATTATTTCTCCAACGTATAACAGATTATTTAAGGGGAAATTAAAAGAGCAAATTGTAGTTACAAGCCATTTATACAGTCTAGCTATTTTTTTGTTTTCGAATTTGAGCATCACTGCCGTTTGCTGATAAGCGTTAACCACACTGGCAACGCTGGCCAAGTAGTTTACATTGGTGCGCTTAAAAGGCAGCTTGTTGCGAGGTTTGCTGAACAAAAAATAACATTAAATACGCATTTACAAATCGAATTAACTATGCATTTAATTGTAGATGCTCAACTACATTAAGGAAACCATAATGGCGCCGTCCACACGTGGTAAATGCAACCAAAACTCAAATTCCAAGGAATTGGACAAGGATCGAGATAAGGACAAAAGCCCGGAACAACCATCTCCTGCCAAGATGAAGGGCTACAAAATAACTGACAATGAACGCTCGCGAAAATACGGCATAGGTGCCAACTCATTGGCAATGCTTGTGCAGAAGGCACAGCTCAAGTTCCCGGTAAGTGTCTCGAATATATTGCAAATTGCGTTTCTACATAGAAAAAAATCAACAAAAAACTGCCTCAGCCCACTATTGTCCCTGTCCCTGTCCATGTCCCTGGCGATTCAAGGCCAATGTTCTCAAGCTGGCTTCCGCATTGTTTGTCGCTCTGCACGATTCAATGTCAGCAATACTCCCTTCCACTGCAACCAATGCGCATGCTCCAAAATTGCAAAGTAATCACAAAAAAAAAAAAAACAAAATCAGAGCACCTGTTGATATCCTCTTGGTTCTTGTTTTGCTTAGGTCAGGGTCCATTTTAGTACAAGTCAAGGGCAATTTACTCATGTCTTTTCCTTACAGCTTCAGGAGCTGCACATATATCTGGCCCTCGACGGCTTCGAAGTGTCCGATGATGAGTATTTTAACAGTTTGCCAGCCCAGACGCTGTTAATCGTTGCTGGCCCCGACGCTGTTATCACCACAGGTAAGCTGGCTTATCACAAAATAAATAGACTAATGATAAATATATATTTAACAGATGCGGATTTTGAGTTTGAGAAAATGCGTCAACAGTCGCCGCTGCTGAAGGTGGCCGACATTTTTTACGACTTCATTGAGCAGCATCCGGACAAGTTTCGACGCATGATTATGGAATACGAACAGCAGAAGCAGCAACGTGCCTTGGACAACACCAAGGCACACTTAAGCCTGAAGGCCGAACATATGGAATGGTTCGAGGGCAGCGAGGAGCGCTTCCAATCCAAGGAGGAGGCCATGGCCATGCGGGCGCAGACACGTGTGCGCGGCTACTACTACAAGACAAAGGAGGAGCTGACGCGCACTCCGCTGTACAGGCAGAATTCGAAGGCGCGTCAGGTGATCAATTCGGTGCTGGAGCAGTTTCGCTATCTACTCATCGGCTGCGATTATTTCTCCATGATGTTCAATCGCAAGTGCCAGCAAAAGCATGAAATATTGCTACAGCAAATAGGTGAGGAGCAGCCAGATGCGGTGAGTGTACCCAACAAGCGGTTGCGGCAAGTGATTAAGGATTACACTGTCCGAAATGCAATACTGGACGAATGGTCCGTTTCGTTGTGCACGGATCTGGGCGACTTCTATTGCCAGGGCGCCTACTCGGACAATGGCAATTTCTGCTCGATGCAGCACACCATAAATCCGTATGCCTCGCGTGAGAATCTCATATTGTTTCAAGTGTGGAATCTTGACCATCAAATCGAGCTGTGTCGCTCAATTTTGCCGGCCTTGGTGGACAATGTCCAGGAGCTGGTAACACAACCGCAGCGCAAGTGTGCGTTGCACAAGAAACGCGTTGTAGACATCTCTGTGCTGGAATACTTTCTGGAAATATTCTCGCTAAAGAATCTCAAGTTGGTTCACATTGTATGCCATGAAAAGGTGCAGCGTGTCAATCGCTCCAATGGTCGTCTCTTATGCGCCGATTGCCACGAGTATCGCATAGTGCAGGAGCTGATGGATCTGCAGACGGCGCACACAACTTCCTAGAGAATTAAGTGTTAGGCAAATACACTAAAGCAATATATTATACAATAAATACATATACTATTGTCTTGTATACATTTATGAAAGCTGTTATAACCGGGCATAGACCTAAAAATGTGTGCCAAGTTAAGCTATGTATATATAAATATTTATATATATAAATATGTGTACTATATAATTTAGACAGGTCTAAAAAAAAAATTAACTGAAAGCTAAAATTGTACAAATCTGAAGTATCTCAAAGTTAACTATCAGCGTTTAGTATTGAAGTATTGTATTTATAATCAAAGACATATTTATGCATTTAATATACTATCTATGGTAAAAGTTGGCCTGCATACCATTTACTTAAATATATACATATATATAAATATACAATATACATTTATGAAATTAGCTTTAAATGTTGCTAACTGTAGAGCGCGTAGCTGAGTTTTGAACAGGTATTTTGGCCGTTGCTTTGTTCAACAAGTCCATTTTAAGAAATAGTATACTCGAAATATATCATCATGACCTAATGTTACAGTTAACCGGTACATGAATATATATATATATATATATATAATATATATGAATATAAATATATAATAACCCGATTATTGAATTTAAATTGTATCTGGATTCACTGAAGTGCAATATGAAATCTACTTAAAGCACTTTAGAATAACTTCATATTGATGTATGTATATAAGTAGGTATATATATGTGCAACAGCTTGGTTTTTGCTACTCTCGGCTTCTCTGTACCTCTGACTATATATATTAAAAGAAATATATGAGTTTCAAATGTTTTATGGTGTTTTCTCTTCATTCATTTTATTGCAGGCTTCCAAGCAGGAGTCATTTTTCATATGATTTCCAAAAAATAAAAACTTGATTTGATTTGTTTTGATATATTTCTTTATTTACTAAAAATGTCACTGCATAAAAAATTACACAACACAAAATATATGATTATAAAATAATAATAGTAGTCAAATAAATTTGATAACACATTCGTATGCATACGAATACCATATGTATATGTATATGTTTTGTATAAATAACTATGACATAAACAAAAAGAATCATGTTAAAAATGATAAAAGTTTTTTTGTGTTTTTTGAAAATCTGTTTGCTGCTTGATGAAGACAACACACAGAGATTTCTTAAACCAATTTTATTTTATTTATGTTATTAATCGTTTCAATATGCGCTTTCGTATTATCCGGATATATTTTATGAATGGGTCGATTCTGTTGTCATTGCGTTGTTTTCGTTTCGTTGTTACCTCCTCAATGCGTCTAAATGTTAATTCACTCGTGTAAACTTTTTACAGCTTAAGAGTTAAGGTTAGTAATGATTCGCTTCGCTAGTGGCTTTCGTAATTTGTGTTAGACGTTTTAGTGCTGCTACCAAATCGCATTAAACAATTGAAAACAAAAAAATAAAGTACATTTCCATGTCAACTGCAATGCTAATAGTGTTAGTTTTAAGAAATTTACTATTAAAAAAAACTGTTACTGCATGGCCCGTTCCCAAGCTATTTGACTGTGGTGATCCTAAGTGTGCTGGTACTTAAACTAAAAAAAACATGTGCATTTAATTGCATCGCTGTATTTGCTGTATAGTCTGTTGTCAGCTATAATTGATTTCTATGGCTTTTGAGAAATAATTATAGATCCGATTGTCCAGGTCCTGAAATAAAGTAAACAAAATCAGAATTAAAAACAAATTCGCAAGCATAACTGTGTACACAAATAAAGCTAACAATAAGAAGTTGTGGAAAGTTGTTTGTCTTCGTTTTTATTTTCGCTTAGTTCGCCTAAACTTTAAAGATATTTAAATCCGAAGACCAGACATACGTACAAAGGTAACTATATACACATAAAACGAAACGGATACAAATGAAGCGGCAAATAATAATTGAAAATTGCAGCAGTGCAAAGCAGCCAACAGAACTTCGAGAGGAAACTTCACCTTTATTGTTTACATTATTTTCTTTTGTTTTTTTTTTTTTAATGCAAATTTTGTCAATATTCTTTAATTTGTAGGGAAAAAGCCATTCATATTCATTATCAGAATCATTCAAATTAACGATTAATTTTTGTTAAGAATATATATTTTAATTGTGTGTAAAAAAAAAAACAAGTTAATCAAATATAAGAAAATAAACATTCAATTATGTATTGTAACTCATGAATGGTTAATGTTACGAACGACTTTTCATTTTATATTGTACAATTTTCTTTGGTTTATGCTCTTTTGATGTTTTATTTGTTTCACTAATGCAAAAATCTTCATTCGTTGTTCAGCATTCTGTTCAAGGTGGAGTTTGCTCTCCAAAATTCGCTTACGAGTTTTCCAAATTTTTGTATATAAATAAAGCATTGTTGAAAGGTATAATAATTGAGTAAAATATTTGCGATGGGACATTTTTGACTATATGTTTCAGTTTGTTTATCTAAATATTGTTTTTAATTAAGCCAAGTTTGAACTATGTAGTAAGGCTCTTTACTACGTGACATCTAAGTTGGGTTAATATCTTGGGCAGCTACAGGAAAATTGTGTGTTAATTGTGTAACATTATTTAGATACAAACCTGGTTAATTTGGATTTCATATTTCAAAGTAATTCAAAGAAAATGTTCGGCCTAAAAATGTGACTATCGCAAATATTTGTCGCAACAAATTAATAATTAAGAAATACGGCACATATAATTATAAATCAAATAGCGGCAAAAATAAAATACATAGAATAGATAGAGAGCAAATTTGAAATATATAATGAAAACATTAAAAAAAAATTAGTTCAAATTTGGGTTTGATATAAATTTTAATTTAATTTAGGTACCTTAGGATTTTGAACGAGTTTTACAAAATCATTGAGTTGATGAAATTGTTTTTTATTGTGGCGATTTGATAGATTTTTGTGGTTTTTGCTTTTTGATATGTTTTCTTTTTTCTTTCGTTTTGTTGTGGATTTTTGTTTTGGTTTTTTTTATTAGTTTTTTCTTCTTTTTTTCGGTAAGTATTAATTGATTCGATTCGAAAGTACATACGAATGTATATATGTAGTTGAATTTAGAAATGACTGGCGAAGATTTTACGCTTTTACTGAGATAACAAACGAACGAGCGAACGAACGAATGAACGATTTTTCTTTGGTTTCAGTTGGTTTATATACATTATACATTATTCATTAGATAGTATTTAGTTAATTAATAGTCTGAGTGTTGTCATATTGTACAATGTGATGTGATGTGAAATGCATTAAATGACCCAACACTTGGCCAGGGCAGTGACTGTTTGCTAGTCGGCCTTGTCCACAAGGCCAAGACACAAAATGCAAGTTGCCTAAGTTGCTACACTACTAAAAACCTATTTTTCTCTTTTTTTATGACCCCTCCCCGCCCCTAGTTATACACAATGAGCTAATCCCTTAATAGACTCCTAGACCTTACGCCAGCTACTAACGGAGCGTTCCCTAGACTGTTGTCTGAAGCACTCGGGACTTTTGCTCCCACGACTGCTCAGTATTTCGGGTGACTCTGTGACCCGCGCCAGATCCCGATTGATGGTCTTGGAGCTGAGGACGCGTGGACACCGCACAGTCCACGGACTGCGTCGCGGATCCTGCAGCGCTCGAAAGGCTTTCGATGGGACAATCTCCTCGCCGCCACTGGCATCGGTCCAGCTGCTGTAATAGTCAGCGTATTCCTTGTCCTGCTTGGGAGTTATGGCCGGTGTGCTGTCCAGCGAGCTATTCTCCACCGAGTCCATTTCCTCGACCAGGGCACGCTTCGCTGCCGCCTGAAGTCGCTCCATGGGCAGATTGTGCAGATGAGTACTGTCGCTCTTGAGCAGCAGACTCTGCACCAACTCGTTCACCAGCTTGTCGCTGACCACGCGCTGTTTGCTGGGCGATGGGCCCACAATCGGTGAGGCGGGGCTATTGGGCGTGGATGGATTGTCCGCATCGATGCTGGTGTTCTTGCGCAGCGGCAGCGAGAGGCGCTCCCGTCGCTGTGTCATCGATTCGGCTTCGGCCAATGCATTGGGATTCTGGCGACGTGTGATGGACACATTGTGCACAATCTTGCGTCTGCTGGGCTTAAACTGGAACTCGTCCGCCTGGCCAGTCTCGCCACCCTCGGGCACATCGTTCTCGTCCTGCAGCAGCTTGAAGAGTCTGGAATGTGTGGCGGCTCGCTGATAGCTCGTCATCTTGCGCAGCTCCGGGAAGCTTTCGGATTCGGTATCGGTCTCAGACAGCTGTCTGTTCATGTCTGTCACTCCGGAGTCATCCTCCTCGATCTCTGACTCGGAGCGCTGTGTGCTGCTGTTGCGGGAAAGTTGTCCCTTGCCACGGCCACTGTCTACGGATAATGATTGAAGGTTCAAAGCCTTGTTGGGTGTGGTTACATCTGTGGTCGGTGGACTAGACTCGAATACATTAATGCGGTCACGCACTGATATTTTAGATGATTCATCAAACTTATTCACACCGAGATCGGGCAGACCGTTCGATAGAGGTTTTCTTTCCTCCTCCGGCTCTGGTTCTGGTTCGACGTAAACCTCAGGCAGTTGTGCCACAGCATTGGTTGGCGTTACACCACCAGCTCTATCTTCTTCCTCGCTATTCATAATTTGTGTAGTATGTTGCTCCATTACGATGCCATCCTCGCCAACAATCTCATATTCGCCTGGGGAGCCGAGTTCGATTTCGTTGGTCTCCTCGGATTCCACGATGACGCTGTTTCGATTGGATTGCGACTTTTGCTGCAATTTCTGCTCATCAATGGAGGTATTAAAGAATGCCATGGCCTGGCGATAATTTTGACGTTTCTGTTCTGCTTCCTCGATCTGATCTTTCTCGGCGCGTTTCTCTTCGATGTCGGCCCAGAAGTCCGGCTCATCGCTGTTCTCCTGCTCCCCATTCGTCTGGTTGTACAACGTCCAGGTACGCACTGTGGCTGGCTCATGCATGGATGCCAGCGACATTGTATCCACATGATTGAGATTGCTTTCTGGTGCCTCAATTGGGCATGGCTCCTCCTCTGTGGGAGGCTCCTCAACGTTTTCATGCTCTAACCCTTCATATTGAACGGCCAGAATTTGCTCCTCTTCGACAACAGGATCGACTATCTCTGGCTCCTCTCCACGTGCTGCCTCCAATGTGGACCACACATCGATATCCACTGCTGGCTCATCGGGCAGCTTGGCCCGGAATGCTTTGGTTTCTACGGGCTTGAAGGGCGTCTCTTCAATGGAGTGTTGTCGCTCTTTGCTTGCCCAGAAGGTCGCTGATTTTTGGAAGGTTACGTCATCATCATCAGGATCGCGATTCGCTTCGAGCTCTGCCCAGAAATCGATTTCTTCATCGGTATCCACCTCGCGAGGCTCCGCCGGGTATTTTGTGGGATCAAATTGAAAGTCGGCTGGTTTGTTGTCTGCGATACATTCATTGGATTTGTTGTCAGCCCAGAAATCGGTCTCTTCTTCCTCGGTAATTTTCTCAATTGGATGGGGGTCTGCTGGCTGGTCTGCCCAAAAGTCCACCTCCACTTGATCGATAGACTCATTTGGTTCGGTTTCTTGCTTTGGAGTCTTCTCGGAATTCGTTTTCTCTACTGCCGCCCAAAAGTCCTCCTCATCCTCTGGCGTTTCTTCAGCCTGTGTTTTTTCTTCTACCACAAAATGGACTTCTGCACACTGAGATTGCGGCAAGTATTCGATTTTAGATTTTAGGTTTTCTGTCCAATTTTTCACTTGGCATACAGTTTCCTTTTTCAGTGGAGTATATGTAACAGTTTTCTTTTTTTTCGTCCATTGACTTTCCTGTGTGTTTTTTTCTTCACTTGCCCCGAAGTCAGTATCTTCTTCCTGTTGTGGCTCAGTCTCTTTGCCCGCAGTTGCAAATGTGGACCAAAAGCTGTTCTTGGCCGCCTCCAATGAGGCCTGGGTCTTGGTTAGATCACACGATTTTGGTCTAGCTGGTGTCGGTTGTGCATCGTTTTCCTTAACTCGCAACTGGACAGTCTCTGTTGGAGCACATTCCTTTGGCTGTTCTTCAACTGGTTTCGTTTCGGGCGTTTTCCAAAAGTTCTTCGACTGTTCCATCATTTTTTGTGCTTGCATTTTAGTGGCCAAGAGTGTGGCAAAGAAATCGAATTCCTCTTTGGGCGCTGCAGCAGTATCCTCAACTTCTTCTGTTGCCTCTAATTTTGCAATATTGTTGGTAAGTCCGCCGTCGAAGACATCAGCCGAGAACTTGTTGCGCATTCCCAACGAGAGGGAAGTGGAAACATCCTCATAGCTAGTTCTACGGCCGCTTGTGAGAACCTTTTCGGCATCACAGAAGTTTTGGGGCATCGAAGATTTCTCCACTGAATTAGATCGCGAGGAATTGGACAAGCTTATTGTGACGCTAACCTCACAGTCATTATCCTCTTCATCATCGCTCTCCACCTTGGCTATGCTGAAGGAGTTGCGCTTGTATTCCAAGCTCGGACGTCTCTCTTCAACCTGTGTGGTGCTTCCCACTTCAACTGTGGCGATATTCTCGTCATTTGAGCTTCGACTAAAGGAGAAGCGCAATGGCAAACGCACCGTAACCGAGTTGGACTCGTCATCATCATCATCCACGTTGCCCTCATTTTGATCATTGTCCTCAATTTGCTGATCCAACGCATCGTCTTCTTCGACTTGGCGATCTCCGAGAGTAGCACTGGAGCCATTGCAGTTAATAACTGTCCTGGCATAATTGCTGCTGCGTTCCAGATCGCTTTCCTCCTCGTATATGGTGCTCAGATCCTCTTCAACAATATAGTCCTCATCGAGATCTTCAATTAGTTCCTCTTCCACCTGCTCTTCTTCCTCGTCTAGCATTTCATCAGCTGTTGTGCCATCGTCATCCTCACTTTCGGAGTCCAGCTGCTCAGCTGGAAGTTTACCAAAACCTTTGTAGACCTGAACATTGGTAACCGACTTAATGGCCTGCAACGGAGATGGGCGACTGGCATGTTTGGGTGTATCTGAGTCCTCCTCATCCTCATCGCTGCTATCGTCCGTGTCGCTATCGTTATCGTCCAGCACAGCACTGATCTGCACTGGCGAAGCATTCTCGCTGGGTGAACGTGCTCCCAGCTCCTTTAGCTGTTCTCCTGCATAGCTTTTCTGCAGTTGCTTTGATAGATTATCTTGGGTATTGCCACCAGCGATTTTATTGATGTTCGCCAGTCGCTGGCTGAGCATATCGATGACCTGCTCCTTGTTGTTGCAAATATTACGCGATTTCGGGCGACTAACGAGCTCCTCTATCTCAACGGAATGCGCACGCTTCGGAGGCTCTCGGGGCTCTACCTTGACATGGTGTTTCATAATGACCTGGGAGGGCACATCATCGGTGCTGGGCGTTATAATAATATCAGGTAGTACACTGCTAGCGTGACTCTCGGTCGAGGTTTGACTGAAACTGGGTGCTACCGGATAGGCATAGGGACCGTAGGGTGGCACAAACTGTGGATAGTTGGGCATTGTCTGCTGGGGATCGTTGGGATTATTTGGCTGACCATAGGCTGGTGGTGGGGGTAGATAATAGGGGTAGTAATATGGATAGGGTGGATAAGCATCGGACTGCTTGCCATCCACCGTTGAAGGCATTGGTGGTGGATAGGGATAGGGATAGGGCCAGTTCACCATTTGGGGTGGCTCCCCATTTGCATGCGGGGGCGGCATATACCAGGGATAGGGATAGCCATAAGCATAGGGAAGGTGCGGTGGCACGGATTGCGAGCGCTCGGGTTGCGTCCGTTGTGGACAAGAACTTTCTGAACTTAGTGATGAATTGGATGAGTATGTCGCGTGAGATGTGCTTGTGTGTGTGTTTGAGTCTGTGTCTGTACTGGTTGGTGGTGGTGTGGGTGTGGCTGATGTGTAACTATGACGTTTATTGATTTTATTGTTAATTTCTCGGTTATGGTTACTATTGCTGTTATTTTCATTATTCTCATTACCATTATTATTATTATTATTTTTATTATTATTATTACTATTGTAATTATTATTAAAGTGATTGTTATTATTATTATAATTATTGGTTTCGTTTAATTCAATATTTTCCAAATCCGAGTCCAGCTCGGGGTGAATTTTATGTTCTGAGGTCGGTTTGGTGCACGGTTATCAAAAATAAAAAAGAAAGAAGAAGAGATATAGACACGGTGAGAGTGCATATTATGTTCAACACACCAACAATTTGGAAAGTGAATGTTTTTTTTTTTTGTTGTTTTACTTTTTATAGTAGATTAAACGATCAAGCAAAAATTACTATTTACAATCGAGTGTGATTATATGTGAGGTGATGTGATAATAGTGAAGCCCTGGGGGTAGATGCTTTATAACGATAAACGAAAGATAGAAATACGTGTATAGATATGTTGAGCTGATCGGTTGTGGATTTCAACATGTATCATACTCAATACCTTTAAAAATAGAAGGGTTGCTTAACTCTTATGGGGTTTCCAACTTTAACAATAAGGCACAAAATATTAAAGTTATTTTTAATAAGGTGAAATCTCTCCATAGAAAATACAATCAAGAACATAATGCAGGTGTTCGTATAAATGTGTATATTTGTGTGTTTTTGTGTGTGTGTGAAAGTTAGTGATGGTTTATATGATGGAATATATACAAGTGATGTTAGCATCGGAGCTAACGTTGGTAGATTGCAATTGTTGAACATAAAATAAGTAAAAACCCAATTTCTCGCAGTGTTTCTGTATTATGGTAACCTTAATACACTTACCGGCATTCTCTGGTGTTGTCATTGCCTGTAAAATCTTAAATGATCGACTTGGTATTGCGCTACCGGTATATTTTTTTGGTTCCAATGCCTGTTGTTCACTAGCTGGTATATATTGTTGCTGGGGTGTATCTGTAGCGAGAAGCAGACGCTCAAACAAAGTCTTAACTTAAACAAAGTCTTTGGCTTACCGTATGGTGAACGCTGTGGTGTAAAGCGGTTCTGTGCCGATACGCCGTTACCTGCAAGAACAAGCGATTTCACAGCGATCTATTAACTGATTCCATTTTTTTACAATTTCCAAACGAGTTTATTCTGCTTAGTAGTGCTGGCAATTTTGATTTAAATTCTATTGCGGTACCGTTTTTATGGTGGACGCACACACAAGAAGCATATTAGTTCTAAAATGTTCCAAAATGTTTTGTTGTGGCAGCTTAAAGCGTTGTAGTATTAGTAGTAGAGGGTAAAGTACCCATTTTAGAATTAGACTAAAGACTAGAGACCAAAAACCCAAAACCCAAAAAACCAGACAAAGACGACAATCAAGAAAAAGGGGAACCGAATTGAAACCGTGAGACACTCTCCAAAGACAAAACCTTACCAGTCCACTTTTGCTATTGAGATGGGGGAAAAGGGCACCGTTCAGAGCTCACCTTGCGGGGACCAAGCTGGAGGCGTACCCGACTGCGACTGATCCTGTGCGATTTGCAGCCGCCTCATTTGCTCAATGGTCGGACTATTGCGCGCCTGCTGAGCGCTCATCTGGCGAGCGAACTGTGGACGCTGCAACTGCGGCGTCTCCAATTCCAAATGAGGCTGCTGCTGCTGTTGTGGCGACTGTAGCCGGGCATCGGAGCTGCCATCGTCCACTGTGTCGGTTATCTTTTGCAATATTCTAAACGATTTCGATTGTATGGGCGGTGAGCGTGGATCGCTGCAAGTAGATATAGGCGTATGTTAGGTTAGGTTGTTGGTTAGCATGCACTCGAAATAATGGCTGAAAACCAAATTACAAATTTTTCTGCTGCTGCTGGATGGGTTGGGGTTAAATTGTTTGTATTTTTTATGAGTGCTTTGACACCGAAAGTCATTTTTCATATGCGAGATTTAATTGTAATGTGCGTTCTGGTGTTGAAAAATGAGCTGATTTTCAAATGCCTTTGCAAATTACCAATGAAATGACAAATACACAATACACACAACATTGAAAAACAGTATCACAGAATCTTCGAGCAGATTGACGAGTGTTTAAATTGTTATTGCGATTGATCCAAGCACTAGTTTGACAACACTGATAAGCACTGATTTGTGTTTGGCGACGGCGACTTTGACTTTACTACCTGAGTCGATTCTTTCTGTAGCGTATCTCAGCCTCGAGCGGACATTGATGCACATACAAATTGTAATTGCCTCTAACAAGTTGTAAGTCGTTAGGGTTTTTTGTTTATTTTATTTTTTTATTGGTGTTGTAAGAAAGCACAAAAATTAATACGCATTAGTGCTGGGTAGTTGTTGTTCAAAACGATTAGTTGTTTAGTGTTGGTAAAGCACAAAGAGTGTTGTAATTGATAGCCTTGGCTTCAAATACACAAACTGTACTTACTTTTGCAGCACAACTGGCGATTGGGAGATGTGTCCGCCTCGTCCTCCTTCGATCGCAATTGGTATAATGCGTGTTGAATTGTTGTTGTTGTTGTTGTTGGCGTAAAATTGTTGCTGGTGCTGCTGTTGGTTGGGCGACATGGCTGCTGTTGCTGCTGCTGCTGCTGGTGGATAGTTGTTGTAACCTTGATCGACAAATTGATTAGCTGAGCGAATTATGTGGCCAGCAGGCGCTTTCGTAGGAAAGAGAGAGTATACATAGACACATATTGATATCGAGATGGAAAGTTACACAATGGACGGTAATACATTCGAGGGGGAGGAGACTCGTAGGATTGTGGAGAGTGCATGGGTTCGCATTCGGGGTATACAAAGGAGGGAACAACTACATATGGTGGGCTCGTTTTAGTGACAAACATTTAGGGTTTAGGAAAGCGCCAGATAGAGTATTTAGGAAACATAAACAAACGCACATAGAACAAGCTGGAGAACTACAACACAAACTTACCACCAAAATTGGGCTGTGCCGCAGCATAGGTTGGCGTTTGCTCCAGCGTAATGGGTATAATGCGCTCCTACAAAGATTCCAATTAGCAAATTGTACAAAGACGACTAAGTAGCCGATTTTTCTTATTTTACCCTGGGTCCACTTTGGTTTGCATTGCTGCTGTTTACATTGGTGTTGATCTGCAGCCGCAGTCCGCTCTGCTGAGCATTTGAGCCAAAGTTTTGCTGTGGAACAGCAGCTGGAGCTGGAGATGAAGCCGTTGCATAACCATTACCCTGTGCCATCATCTGTGGCTGATAAAACGCTGTCGTAGTGCTCTGCACTGGCGCTGGCGCCGACGGCGTTGCCTGTCGCAAAGTGGATGGCACAACATTGCCATTCTCCTCGGGACGTGCCCAGGGCGCCTGCTCCTTGCTCGCCGGCTGAGAACTGAGCCAGCGCAGTGGCTGACCACCAGCCTGCTGTTGCTGCGGCTGCTGTTGTTGCTGTGGCATTTGTCTCATCGGTGAGTCACGGGCACCGGCCTGTTGCTGCTGCTGGAGCAGAAGGCGCTGAGCCTGAGGCTCCGTCGGTTGTGCCAGAGGAGCTATGTAAAGTGAGCCAACGTTGGTCTGCATGGACAAGGATTATAAATATATATGACAATTGCTGCTTGTTGCTTATTCTTTGGGTACAATTTAAAATTAATTATAATACTAACATAACCGACTAGCACTCGCTTCAAGTTCAAAATTCGTGTTTGGCCTTTGGCAGTCTCTAATTTTAGCTGCTGCACACGCGAAATGCGTTCAATGTTCAATTTGCTGTGCGATTCTTTTGTGGCAGCCAACCGAGTTGGTTTAAAAATAAAATGGAATGCTTCCGCTTATGCAGCAACAGCACACAATGAAATGCAGATGTGAGATGCACAAAATTGTTTCTCTTGGCCGCATAACGAAAATAACATTTGTTTCTATCTTCCATCGAACACATTCTTTCATTGAAAATGATGATTGATGATGCTGTTCAAATATTACGCATACGCCATGAGTGTGCCACTCATTGAATCGATCAACATTTTAAAGTGTGGGAACCTATTATGGGTATTACTGACGAGGTACTCACTGGCTTTGCTCCTTGATATTGCGAGTTTTGTTGCTGCTGTGCGTTGAAAACTGCTGCTGCTGGCTCTGTTCGGGCTGGGCTGAAGACATCGCGAGATCGTTGTTGCTGTTGCTGTTGCTGCTGCTGCTGTTGCACATTATTGAAAATGGGCTGCGGATGCGTTGGCTGCTGCTGCTGCAGTTGCTGTGCAGCGGGCTGAGCGCGTTGCGTTCGCCAGGGCACAGTTTGTGCTGCCTGTTGCTGCTGCTGTGGCTGTTGCTGTTGCTGAGCCAGCGGCGAAATTGCTGTGGGCGGACGCGGCTCTTGTTGCTGAGCCAACGGCGAAATTGCTGTGGGTGGACGTGGCTGCTGCTGTTGCTGTTGCTGCTGTGCAAAACGGAAGGGACTCTCCGTGGCACGCTGCTGCTGCTGCTGTTGCACCTCGAAGGGCGAACGTGGACTGTCCGTTTGACGCGTGTAAACATTAACAGCCGGCGATTGGGGCATGGGCACACTGCGGAACTGTTGTTGTGGCTGCTGCTGCGGTGGTGTTGCCGGTGGTGTTGGCTGCTGTAGTTGCTGCTGCTGATACTGCAGTGGCGGCGATTTGGGTGAGGGCGCTTGTGGCTGCTGCTGCTGCTGCAACTGCTGTGTGTAGGGGCTGTAGCTGTTGTTGCCATTGCCATTGCTGTAGTTGTTATAGCCGCCATTGTTATAGCTGCTGGCGTTGTCAGATGGCCTGTAGGCTGCAGGAACAAAAAATCACAGATACGATTAGACTCCTTAAAAGAAAAAACTGTAAGTTGTGATTCAGATTTTAGTGGCGTTAGTGGGGGGAATGCCAATAGATAATGACGCTTGATGTCTGGTGTTAGTCAAATGTCGTTTTAAAGCACCAGAAACCGCTTAGTACATTAGCCGGCGATCAACATGAGGCGAGCGGAGGGCCAAGAACTGTACCAAAAGAACTTCGGCCCACTTCTGTGACGGTGGGATTAGAGAGTGAACCCAAAACCAAACCAAAAAGCCAGCGAATATGATGCGATATCCAAAGTCAATGCTCTGGAGAGCTCACCATCAACGGCATCTTGGCTGATGTTGTTGTTGTTGCTGTTGCTGCTGCCATTGCCGTAGTCACCATTGGCATTTTGGGCTGGCTCCGGCAGGGGACTCTTGGAGCGATCCTTAACATACTCATCCTTCCAGAAGGTGTTCTTCTCGACGGGCGGCGGCACCTTGCGCAGCGCCGCCATTGGATTGGCCGGTATTTTGATCTCCGGCCGAAAGCCAAGCGGTGGCGGCTCAAAACGTTGCGGTGTCGGCGATTTGCGTGCTGCTGCCGGCGAACCGGGTGCACTGCCTCGGCCCGCTGGTGGTGCTAATGTGCTTTGTTGTGGGGGTGGTGGTGGGGGCGCTGCAGCATTGTTACCATTCTTACCCTGTGTCTGTGACTGCGGCTGCGGCGGCGGCGGTGGCGGCAGCACCTGAAAAGGCATCCCCATTGCAGCGGCACCCATGGCACTGGCAGCGCTGCCACCAGTGCCCGAGCCTGGCGACTGCGGCGATGGTCTGTTCTGTTGGGAGGCGCCAGTGGCGCCCTCGGCTTGCGCATTGCGCGCCAATCGCTTGGCCATGCGCTCCGACCGGATTTGGGAGAGATCAATGCCGCCGGGCGTATAGGTGAAGGGTTTCTTGTCTTTTGTCATCATGGCGTTCTGCACACAAGCTGGTGCCTCGTAGCCACCGCCTCCAGCGGCGCCTCCGCCTCGTTGCCCATACCTATACCAGACAATGAGCAAAACAGAGAGAGAGAGAAGGAGAATGATTTATAATTAGCATATCCGAATTTAATATTTTGGTTTTTGGTCATCAAACGGTTTTACGGTTTTCATGCAAATTTTGTGTGATTCCTATTTCTATTTTCGTTTCATTTTGGTTTGTGTACGCCTCCTCGTTTTGCCGTTTATTTATCGAGCTGTTTGTCATAATTTTTGGCTAAGTCTATTGTTATTAACTGTTTAATTTTGACGCTCCATGTCAAGAGCCCTCATTTGTCTGACCACACTTCAAGACCTTTCTTCCACACAGCTTGACTAATGACTCGCTCATCGACAGTTCAATGAGCCAATTTTTTTGTATTGGCAAACTTATGTGTTTATTTTTTGTATTATTATTTTTTTTTTTTGTCAGAGGGAAAGTGAACTGAAGATGGTGCCATAGGCATTTATACCCTCTTATTAGTTGAAGTGCAATGCTGAGGGCCCTAACGGTTGGCAGTTGAAAGTGAGAGTTGGACAGATGAATGGATCTCAGCAAAAAACAGTAATTAAAAAATGATTGTAAAAACATTAATGAACTACCTTGACGGTCGCTTTAACACAGAAGGAAAAATTTATAGTTAAAAGCTTAACTTATTTGTATAATTATACTATTCTAAAGTGATTTGATGAGAAAGCTTGTGAACTGGCTGCATGGGAACAAAATCATAAGATGACTAAATGTATAAAAATGTATTCTTATATACAGATTTGGAAATTTTATAAATTTCGTTACGCATTCTTTATACCCATTCCATATAAAATAAGCTATGCAAAGCCTTGCAGCTTCTAAGAAATATATATCAAATGCTACTTATCACAATTGCAAGCTGGTTCATATATTAAATTAAGCTATTTCAGTGGACTTTGCACATGCGTATATATAAATGTAGATTAGTACGCCATATTTATATACACTCGACAAATATTGAGCATGTAGGAAATGCGCATTGCATTTCCAACAATTAATATCTGGCAGTTTTCTAGGCTTGTCAGGCTTGAATAATGCTCATAACTGCGCTACCTTAAATGGTCAGCGACTATTAACAAACAAATTAAATGTGCAAAAAAACAGTTAACGAATAATCCAACTTGCCATAAATGTAAGGTGCAACTTTAAGGCGCCATACACAGATGCCTGGCTGGCCGATGTCAATGGACGTGAGTGAGTCGTGAGAGAGATAGAGCAGGAGAGGAAGAGGAAAGATTGAACAGAAACTAACTGAACGACCTTACAATTTTGGTTAAATGTGGAAAATGATGGAGCGATAAACTTTAGCTAATAACTAAATGCGACTAATCAATGACAAGTTCACGTCTTTAACTGGCTGCGCATAGCTGGCCATAATTTGAGATGATTTAATATGGTCAAGTAGCATATCAAAGTTGGCATTTCTGCAGTAAACAATCTGTAAACACAGGCATATATATATATATATATACATATATCTGTATGCTTAATTAGTGCCGCCTTTGTCATCGACCGCAGGCAGTTACGTCACGGCTCGACTTGGATTTGGATTTGCATTTGACATTGATGCACTCGCTCCAATTTGCATGTAAAGCGGATTGTGGGATTGCCGCACTCAAGAGTTGTGGGTGCTTTTGCAATACTGTCTGCGGTTTGCCTTCGCATTTGCGGTTAACCCCAACGAGCCTCAAGTGATGGCAACACTTTTGCTATGACAATCACTTGGCAATCGGTACACACTGGGCCACATCGCATCACCTGTTCCTGTTCGCCTGACCCACTTAGCCAAGTTATTAAAAGCGAATCAGTCACGCACCGTCCATGCGTATGTGTGTTCTATGTATGTGTCTCTCTTGTTGTTTGTGCACATAAAAACTAATGAAGCTGACAGGCGACAAGCTAACAGACCACCACATAAACAGACCATCAGGCCATCCACTGGCCAACAGGTCAGACAACTTTTCAGAACCTCCAATACGAGCCGGAGAAAGAGAGGGGCAATTCATGGCCAAGAGAGACACCTGCCCATCACTTTCTTTTGGCATAACTGACTGGCCATATAATGATGCTTAACGGGCCTATGTTTTAACAGGCCTCAACAACAACATCTTCAGCACTCAGTTTTAATTAACAAAATGTCCACGCTCAATGCAACTAAATTAAGTAAATTACGAAGAGGAAAGCGCACAGCAAACATGCACACAGAAATTGCTGATTTCTGATTAAAAAATAAAGAAGTTTAATTATGTTGTGTCTTTCTTAACTATTTTGTATAACACTTGATAGCATACTGTTAAATTATGGTTTTATTTCAAGTCTTTCAACTTGTTTTTCAACTTGCAATTATCAATTTACAATTTGAAAAATTGAAAGTAATTGTAAAAACTTGAACATCAAATGCGTAAATACTCATTATATTTCTTCAAAAGAAAATAAGACTGAACTATAAATCATTTTGTAATATGATTTGAAGAAAAACAGTTCTAATAGTTTAATAGTTTTGTTCGTCCTTCCATCCAACTGTCGTCATAGACCATTATTTATTTCATTTTTTTTTTACTCACACGTGCCTAAAACAAATAAAACACTAAAATCGGTTTTTTGAAAGAAAAATATATATAAATATGAAAACTTTTTAGACACACACGTTATATCTGATTAGTAAAACTGAAAAATTGAGCACAAAGATCAGACGTCACTGCCTGGTCTGGTGACGTCAATCTGCCAAAAAAATTGGCATCAGATCCCGCAATTGAAGACTGCTCTGGTTTGGGGAAGTAAGTAGAGCATCATCTGATCTTGACAGTGTCGGCAATTAAAGTGTCAACTTGGCACCAGGAGGAAGTGTCAGTAGAGTGCAAACTTAGTCAGAAGCAATTTAGGAATAGCTGGCATTCAATTAGCCAGCACATTTGACATAGTTCACTTATTATTTGCATGTGATTCATTGTGACATTTGCAATTTGCATACTAAGCTAAAAATAACAGCTGTAATTTATATATAACCATATCCATAATAGCTATATATGTGTATACATGTAGTATGCGACATGAACAGATGAGAAATATGCCAAAAATAATATTGAAATTGTGTTTGGCTCCCCAGGCCATTAGCAGCTGGCATGCGTGAGGAGAAAACAGCAGAAAAGAAAAAACATATGCAAAAACATAAATAAACGATGAAGAAATTGTTGAAAAACATCTGTACAATTTACATTTTCACTTTTTGCCTGCATGCAAATGAACATGCAAAAATGTGAAATGCACAACAACCACACGATACCCGGGACCCGGGAGGAAAAAAACTGGATCTAGTGGATCAGCTACTCGAGAAGTTGCCAGTTTGCGCATATTTCAAGATCAAGGGCAGCCAGCACAACAACACACACACAGACACACGCTACCTCAAAGCTGCCACATGCAACATGACATAATGATAGTCATTGTCCGCCTGTTCTGGCCACGGCCTCTATGCCTTTCTGTGAGTCTGTGTGCGAGTCTATAAATAGAGATAGAGCCCGCTACAGGGTGCTCCATGTGAGTTGCACATTCCACAGTGCCTAATCTTGCGTCAGTAACAAAAATATTTACATAGAAATTGTTTCAGTTTTTTGCGCACTCAATCCTTATCGCGCATTTCTGTCATAAATTCTAGATACTTGCACTCGGGTTAGATAGATACTAGATACACTAGATACACCCACCGCCCACTTACGTATCTACAGCGCTTTTCACATGACCATTCGCCATGCCATTCAGCGGCATCTCCAGCTGAAATCCACGATCCTCTCGCACCATATAGGCGGGCAGTGTCTCAATGATGGCATTGGCCTTGTCGTTGTAAGAGCCCAACAATTCCCGATACTTGGAGTATACGACGCGTTTCAGCTGCGGATTCTTGATCGCAGCTGGACTCGGCGATGCTGTGGCACTCATTGTGGAGGTGGCCATTATCTTGTTTTATTTATAAGTATTATTTTTATTATTAGTCAGTCTCAGACACTTTGCATAGCTCACTGGCTCTGTCCGAAATGAATCACACATAAATGTCAATCAATGCGTTGCCGGAAAACTACTGATAACAATCCATCAAGTTCGAGGCGTGAATAAGTTGCACAAGCAAACAATGAATGTGATAATTAGCTGCTATATGCAGCAATGTCTGTTAAAGTTAAGCATTTAACACATTAAACTTAATTTAATTTTGCTGCTGTACTGATGTGTGTTTAATATTTTAAACAAATTATTGCTGAAGCGCAATAAAAACAATGGAAACATAGAAAAGGTAATTTGTGATTATGTATGTGTTATCCACTGGGAGTTAACAGCTCCAGCTCATTTGCCTACTGATAAGCTTAATGTGACAAACGCAAAGCTAAAATAATACATTGTTTGATTGTGCAACCCATTTCCATGTCCGATACCCGTGCAATTATTGACTTTGCCGAACAAAGGGCACGGGAGTCAAGCAATAATAAGAAAAATAAGACCTGAAAGACCCAAGCTACTGAGTCAGTCGATCGCCTGATCAATTGACTGGTGGCAACGATCTAAGCAATACCAAGACCTTTGGCAGTCTGATGAGTCATAATCATAACAACACAGCATCAATTTGGGCATCTTTATCGTGAAATAGCGTAAACTATGCCGGGTCGGCTGTGCTGAATGTGTGGCAGCTGTTCTGTGTATCTAAAAGATACGTTTTAATTTTCGCTCACGCGTATTTTGTATTATGTATTTTTAGATATGAGCTAAAGTTTGACCAAATAAACAAAATACAAGAAAATTGCGACATTTGCTACGGTTGCTTGGCATTGATTGGACATCTGTGAGAAATTACACAGTTAGTTAGAGCTTACAGCGGCCGTTGTTAATTAACACTCAAATGCTTAGAACACACACAGAAACACCGTTCAATCGTTTGAATAGAGGCGCGTCGCGAATGTATCTCGAAGTTACGATAATAGTAGTATCTGTATCTGAAGCGTACGATGCGACTGCATACGGCAAAGTCTCGAAGTGCTTTGAAGCCAAGTTCGTTTGACTCGGCGACTTCGACGCCAATATCAGCGTCAACGTCGGCGTCAGCGTCAACGTTGGCGTCTACATCGACGTTAGCAACTTGTTGCAGATACATTTGTGGCAGTCGCCGTTGTTACAACTGCCGCAAAAGGAAAACCGAGTGTATGACAAACGTTCGGCCAGCACGCGGCAATGGCGACGACTGCATCGGTTGCGGCAGTTGTAGCTGCAACATACAAGATACACGGCCTGCTTGACTGCCTGCTTGCCTGCCTGCCACACTGTGAAGCAATTTATATGTCTGTCAATTCGATGGCAAGTTGTTGGACGGCCGCCGCGACTGGCATTTCAAACGCGGCGACAAATTTAAAGCTTAACGCCAAACGCTTTTGACTTTTGGCTCCGAGAGTATCTTGTAGTTTGTTTTGTATCTCGTATCTTGCATCTCGTATCTGAGCCGTAATTGTTTTCGTTTGGTAGTCATGTCGTCTGCTTATTACTTTTGTATCTTTTCATAATTAAAGCAACATTTATCGCCGCTCCCGACTTTTGTTTTTCACATTTCGTTATCTCCACTTTTGGCTCACAGCTCGTAGAATTTACGCGTTTTCTTTTGCCAAAAATGTTTTTCAGGTGCGGAAATATGACATAGCCGTCTTGAGATACAAATGAATTTGTCAACTGATAGTGCCATACTTCTTATCAGTTTGCTCTTCACCCATAAACACAGTTACTACCTAACAAGCCCCATGGAAAGATTAAAGCAACCTTTAAAAGATGCAATTATTGCAAGCGAAAAATAGATTAGATTTGTATTCACAGTAAAGCTACACTGGGCAACAAAATTTTGTTAAGCGAATTTTGCAGATTCTTTCGAATTTTATTTACATTTGTTATCAGCTGCATTTCCTTTTTTGAACTATTGAAAATTAATAAAGTAAAGTTCACTTTGACTTAACTGTCAAATGAATTATGACTTAACTGTCAAATGAATGATAGTTGCATATTTTTTTGGTTGTAATTGTTTCTGCCAACAAACTAAAATTTCGACGATAGAAAATTTAGAGAAAATAGTTATTAAACCTAAAAGCATTGTTAAACTATGGTAAGTCATATTGCCAGATGCATAATCATACACAATCGATGACTGGGAGATTTCGCACAGAACGCCAATTACCAACTTGATTACATTGAGGGCATTCCCGCCAAATGTCCTGTGATTGGTTGCCCGGCCCAACTGCCACCGCAGCAGTTGCTTGCGCATCTGCTAATGCTTCATCGCCCCGAGGACTCGATGCAGGAGTTGGGCGACGAGTGGCAAAACATTTGCGAACTGGACTTGTTCGAGCTAAGCCCTGGTTCTAATCACGTCGTGGACGCGATAGCCTATGCCGGCTCAGGCAAGGCGAACCGCAGCCGTCCCATTGGGCAGGAGCTGCAGCTGTTGCATCATCTGCCCATTCTAGTTATGTTGTATGTCAGACCGCCTAAAGTAAATGTGGAGCAGCAGTATATACTGTATCTAGTCGCTCCGGTCGCCTCCCGCAGAGTGAGGGCCCATGTCAGTCTGCTGAGTGAGTGGGATGGCAGTGAGTTGCGTGGAATGCGTTGCCTGCGCAACTATTTGGACGCACCTCTAAACGATAGCGAGGAGCTGCTGCACTGCAACATGGACTATCTGATTTACAAGGCAACGGACGTTTGGAAGCACTCCACCGCCGGCGCCATGTGCACAATTCAACTTAGTGTGGTGCTGCTCGGCGAGCCAAACTTGTTCGAGGTGCCTGATGACCAGCAGGAGCAGTCAGCCTAACAACAAGAGCCACTCAGTGAGTCATGTGTGGTGGCTGAAAACTAACAGCTGGGCCGCAACCAACAGAAAAAAAGAAAAAACTATTCGAGTCCATTGACGCAGACTTGTGATCTGAGTGCCTGTCAATAATACTTTGTTGTTGTTGGTTTTGTTATTGAATGAAACGCTGCTCAACTGTCAGAAAATTGTTTCGACTTATTATTCATTCAATAATTTCTTGGCGTTCCCAAAAGTGGGTCAGACGCACAGCTAGATACCAACCAAATAGATGCCACACACACTTACCACATTAATACACATGGGCAATAATCAATCAACAAGCCTAATTAGATGGCCAGAGGGGCATTTTCATAGTTATTGACTGCATTGTTGGAAATCGATAAATGACTGGGAAACTCTTCTAATTATGTGTAAAATGTTATTTTTCTGTTTCAACACCATCTTTTAAATATTTCCTTCTTCTTTTTAACACTTGTTGGCCTAATTTGCCTGCTTGGAACGTTCTTGAATGATTTGCCTGTTCAATCTATGATGAGTTGTGGGGCAATACTCGATAGCTTGCAGACATAAAAAAGTGTTTTTTTCTTTTTGCTTTTCAGAGACAAGCCATTTTGGAAATTTGGATTTCTAAATTTAATATTAAAAAACAATAATTTGCTGGTTCTGTAAGTTTCCGCTGTATTTCAGGCTAACGCCAGCCCGTCTGTTTAAGGCAATCATAAATTAAACACACAAACGACGTTTCAAATAAAATATTGTATATATACAGTATACATTATAAACAAAAATAAACAAAAAAAAGCCAATCAATTCGCACAAAATCGTATCTGAAAATGCACAATAAAGTTGTCAAAATTTATGCGCCATTAACAATGGTACAAAAGAAAAACGAAAATGAGGAAAAAACTGAGTTAAGTACTGCGAAATAAAAAACTATTCCAAATCACACCCACGCACATCAGTAAAAAACAAAAAAAAAATAAATACAAAGCACTAAAACAGCACGAGCATTTATTAAAATACGATTTTAGCCCGTATTCTTAGTGGGCTTTTAATTATTATGGTAATTTATTTTGTATGTGAATCATGTGCGACCTTGAAATTAAAAGTTAAGGGAAATTAATGCAAAACACAACAAAAAAAAAAAACAAATATAAATCGCGCAACAAGAAATTGACAGTCAACAATTGAATCCGCTAAGCAGAGCTCATTCCTCATTGATTTGCGCTTTCTACGACTGAGTCTCTGGTCTCCGGTTTGTGGTATGCAATAGCAACCCGTTTTTCATTTGTCATTGGACCTGGCCTGGACCGCATTGATTGCATGACATGAGCACATCAGACAGCCTGGCTGCTTTTTGCCTGGTTGTCTTGCTGACTGGAATCATAATTATTTATATTAATCTGGCGGGTCACCACCGTCGCGACTTAAGTGAAAGTAAAGTCTGCGCCCAAAATCCAAACTAAAGTTGCAAGTCCGATTCCACGTCGAAGACGAAGTGGCAGCCAGCGCCTGTTGCACAATATAATGCGGCTATATTTCTTCTTCAGCTGAGATATGAGTATATTTTATTTATTTATTTACTTTTTTTCTATCAATTTTCCGACCATGGCCACATGTGGCTTGACTGTCAGCCAGTTGGTTGGCCCCGCCAGCAGTTTTTACATTTTGTTTTCGAATTTGAGTAGCAAACAAATTGTTTTGTATGCTCTTTGTGTGTGCTGTGAAAAATTGCAGCGATATTGATTTGAGCAAATGAAAAATTATGCCAGCAAATTGTTTTTGTGGAAATTTGAATAATGTGCAATTACACTTTCGCTCAAACAAAGCAAAATAAATGATTACTAGGTTTTTTTCTTCATAGAGCAGCTGTGAATATTTTGAATTATTCACCAAGTACATAAAGTCCTTAAATTTTTATTGTTACTTATAATCTTCGTTCGTTTCTCTTTATTTGCCTTGTGGTGATTTATTCCGTTTGTGAATTTAAAGGTATGAACATTTCACGGTCATTTCGCATGCACTTGAACCCAAGCGCAAATACTGTGACAACAACAACCACTGCTGTAAAAATCCCACTTAAAATGTTGAATGCAAAAATGCGTAAAGTAAAGTAAATAAATTCACACCTGATTTACGTAACTCACAAAAAAGAAAAAAAAAAACCAGCAAAGAAGTGTCAAAATAATTGTCGGTGACACAAATCAACTTAATGCATCACAAGCATCATCGTCAAATACACCGTCGAACATAAGAGATACACAAATTTAGTGCATCAAAACAAGTTCGCACAAATCGCACGAAATTAATGGATTTTTGTGCATTTGATATTTTGTTTTGACGATTTATGAATGTTATGGCTGACATGAAAGGGGCGAAATTGTATTTTGCTACCAAAGAAGCAGCGTATGATTGATGATAGACGCTGAGTGTTAGAATTATGATATGACGTATTGTTGGGAAGAATACATTTAAAAGTAGAATTTCTTAGCTTTGAAAGACAAATTTCTGTTATAATATATATATCTTGATGTCTAAATTACATCTTGTTAATGATCAGGAATATAATAAAAATAAATAACTAAGAAGATAAATATAAGCTATTCTATTCTTCTAAAATTGTATTTTTCTTTTCTCTTTGTCTTTCTGCGAAACGGGTTTTCTAGTACATGAATTTGACCCAATTTTCACAATATATTTTCGAATTTCGCAAAATATTTTGTTGACGGCCGTTGAGAATTTATGCGAGACACATCAACGTCAACAAAGAAATGCAAAAAAAAAAGTAAATCGGCTCTTTCACAAAAACCTCAAAAAAATGAAATGCATTTCTATGTCAAATTCTTGAGTATTCAAAAAATTTTTTTTTCACTTTTTAATGTGCGTCCAATATCTAAAGTTCGTCGCACAAAACTTCCGGTGCTGTCGCCAGCTAAATTTGCAACACGTGTGCTAAATTTTTATAAACCGCATAAAATTCGAATTTTAAAGGCAGGGTGAACATTTAACGGCAGGAGGGGTTTCATGAATACGCCGCACACAAAGTCAAGCGATGCTCAAAATTGAGAAAATTACTAAATTAATTCGTGTGAATGTGGGAAAGTAAAAGAAAAGTGGGCATGTGTCGCCTGCCAAAAAGCGCGTGCAGTCTCGAGGGCTGCCACAGAAGCGACGAGGGCAGGGGATACAAAAATACAGTGGCAGTGTTGTTTCCTCCGCCTCCGCCTCCGCCCCCGCGCTCTGGGCATGGGCGTAAGTGTGGGCGTTTGCTGGCCTTCAAATTTTATATGAACCTTAATTGTGTGGCTCTTGTACATGTGTATTTCGAATGCGTATATATGTATATATTTATGGGCATACATATAGAAAATTTTGTTCACATATGTTTTATTTATTTCAGCGAAAACACAAGATTTTTTGTTCAAATTTTGCCGGGCGCGAGGTTTTCATTATTTCAGAGCTTTAGCAAGAATAGCAGCTGCTTCGAATTGTATAAATTTTCTCACTGGACTGGTCTGACACTAACAAGAAGTTGTGAAATCAAAAAAAAAAAAGAATTAAAATTAATAGAAAAATTCAATTTAAATTTGTCTCCCAAATGATGAAATAACCATAACATAAATGATGAAATAATAATAACTGTCATACATTAAAAATACAATTTTACTTAAATAATTATATTTCTAATAAGATTTTTCCATTTTCAGAAACGTGTTTTATTTGATTTCAGAAATTATTGCATTTAGTGTTTAAAATGATTTGTAGCGAATGTCATGTTCTAAATACCATTTAATTATGAATTAGTGTTGAATTAACTGTGTCTCCATTCTCTATTTCTTAATACAAAATTTAAATATTCTTGCAATTACTGTGGAACTTACCCAGAATTCATTGCTTTTTAGATTTATTTCCTGTTTGTTTGGACTTAAATTTTGTTCTCACTTCGCACAGAAAGCAATAACTCGTAGTCGTATTTTTGGTTGTTATTTGCACTCAATTTCTACGAAAATATTGCCAATCTATGCACATAGAAACACTGAAAATTTATAGAAAATTGAAACAGTTGTTATAAATCAAGGGTCTTTTGCTTCTTTGTTTAAGTTTCGTATTTTCGCACAGAGATCACGCCTTCTTATATAACATCAAATTCAGCAACGCGAGCGCGCAATCAGACACACACACACACACACACACACACACTCACACACACTCACACACACACACACACGCATTTAACAGATAGTTTTATAGCATATTTAGTTAGGTCAATCAAACACGGTTATTCTTTTGGATTTACAAGAGTCAGTATGAAAAACCTTTTTCACAATTTTCGCGCAAGAATTTTGTAATTATCTATTTTTAAAACGCGACACGACGCATTGCTCACTTTTGCCAGTGCTGCAGACTCAGCGAATAGATCTATATATACCGCACTCGGCTATATAGACAGCTAAATAGATAGATGGGTAGATATATGTTAGTTTATAGTTGATGATTTCTATTTCGGATGGTTTTCTCGTTTGCAACGCGTTCAAGTTAGCAGCCCAAGTCGCACTGAATTCGCACACGAAATTTTCTTGGCCGAAAAGCCGAAAAATTCACATTTCGAAATGAATTTCCTCTATATATTTCGGGTCTCTGTGCGTGTGTACGTATGCATGTGTGTGTGTGTGTGTGTGTAAAGTGCGTCTGCTTGGAAAATTCTATGAATTTTGAGTTTATTTAAAAGAAGAATTGGGCAAGCGGCAACCAGTGGGCGATCACTGTCGGCTGTTTGTACTTTTTATTTATTTATTTGTACTTATAAGCATTCAGCAGCCGCCAGAAGAGCTGCAAATGTTTGCCAGGGGCATTATGGCATATTTAGGTAGACGATCTTTTTAAATATACAATAAATTAACGACGATGCTCTGGGCTTTGAAAAGCATCGTGGAATCATTTTCGATAGTTCTCTCAGTTTCGAAAACCGCATGAGAAAAAATATATAAACCACAAGCTGAGAAAAGGCCTTAAGTGTTTTTTAATGAAAATAATGCAAACGACACTAGAAAAAAAAATGCATCCTTCGAAGCAATATCTCAGTAGTAGCAGAAGCAGAAGAGTTTACGAGACTCGTTCTTCAAAGTGTATCTATTTACGTGGCGGTGATTGTATCTACTAGTACTTAAAGTGTACATAGCACTGGCAATATGTTTTAGCTTTTTGTCAAATTGATCTGGTGCCAAAAAAGCGAAACGCCAAAAAGAAAGAATATAAACAAATAGGCGCATGCAGCTCGTGCCTGTTTGAGAACTTGTATATAGCAATAGCGCCGAATCAGCGAGAAAACGTATATATATATATTATATATTATAAATATATATGTATATGGCATATCTATGAAAAGGTCGGACCAACAGCCGATAAATATCATGCACACAACGCTGACAATCAAGTATCATAGAGAAGTGAATGATGCCAAATGCTTTGGTTAGTCGGACGGCCCTGCATCGAGGCCATATGCTGGGATAAATCATAATTAATCACATTCTACAGTATGCTTGACAGGAAAAGCAATAAAACGAAAACTAGAAGATTTTTAGGCATCGGGTATATACTGTATGGAAAACAAAACATAAGCTTGGCCAGACAAATCAGTACAATATATTGCTTAAAGAATATGCAATGTCTGCGGCATTAGAGATTCATTCATCTTAATACAAGAAAGCACATATGTATATATAGGTAGGTGTGTATATATATATAATATATATAAATACTTGGTTCGAATTTGATTTGATTATTCACATGCGCAGCTATTAGTTTGGACCACCTGCCTAAAATTCTAATTGAATTTTGAATTTTGCGCACTTTTCCTCGCTGTGATCATTAATTAGGCTAATGCGTTCATTAATTGTGCATATATTTAATAATATATATGCCGCATATATGTACAAATTGGTTTGTACTTACTTTATTTTTGTGCATAAATGCGCCATTAAATCTTATAAATAGATTGGCGAAAAGCGCAAAACGGCTGGGTCTGACTCAACGTTCCTCGAACATTAACCTCATTAGAGAAGAGCGTAAAACATTTTGTATAAATTTCGATTTGGTATATTTGAGTATATGTATAAAGCTTTCAAGTGGCCGATAAATTGTCTATAATATGGGTGCGGCCGACCAAAAATTAAACAACAAACCATTGAAATGTCGTTGAGTGACTTGAAATGACAGCTACTTAAGTCTGATCATAATAATCCAATCAATTGTATCGCTGAGTTTCTACTTTTACTTTTAATCCTATTTATAGGATAAACATAATATATCGAATGCGCAAATCTTTAACTGAACAATGGGTTAAAGTGTGACTCATCGGAACGATCAACAATTTAGTCACGAAGTGGATCTGACAATGATTTATTTATTCTTTGATCTGCAAGTGTTTCTTAATCCTTGAAGCGCTGAAGAAAACTAAAAACGCAAACTTGTAATAGTTCTTCAGTTGTTTATTTTAGCCATATACGGCTGCAAAGTGCATAAATAGGAAACTATAAGAAAGCATAACATGTGTTTTATGAATATGCATATATAGTCCAGAAACACATTAAGAATTAGAAGTCAGGAAAAATGCCATTAAAAGTTCAACGCACCCGTCGCTTAGATATTTAACGAAATGTTTAAGCAAACCGCTCAAAGAAAAACTACAAAATACATGTCATGAGCATGGGCATATCGAAACAGACACAAAAACACTGAACGAAATTTGCCATCACTCGTTGAGGGATGGTTTTATGCGTTTCAAGTTGCGTGAATTATAAACATCACTGCGCGTGTTTTGGACACGCAAATTGGCTAACATCGCCTCCCCCCGTCCACACACGATTGTATATTGCAAAAAAAAAAATACTTTAAATTTGTGCTAAAAAATGTCGCCAATAAAAAACCGCAGCATGAGCCTTGACCATAGAAATAAACGTGGTGGCATCGTAAGTATTTCAATGTTTTGTGTATTTTTTTTCTTGTATTTGAAATTAAATTTGTTTGGCATAAAAAACTGCGTTAAGACGTAAGGCGTAAGTCGTATCTCTGTAGTGTTGCTAGCCTTATTTGTTACTACATACACACATATATCTGACGACTTGCTGTTTAGCTTTGTGCGTCAGCGGATATTTGGCTGGCGTTTAAATTTAGCGCAATTGAATTTTTTTATTTAATTAGTTGAACGAAATGAAATGAATGCCAAGAAGAAAGAAAACCAACAAGAACAAGAACAAAACAAACAACGTCCTCGACACACCCTAATAGTCATCATCGCTATCATCAGAGGATAAGCGCACCGACTCCCTGCTAGCCTGGGACAAGGATATTCCATTTACATCAACCGACAATGGCATCATCATATCGTAGGCATCCTCTTCCGGATTGCCGGGATAATAATCGAGGAGCACACGACGCAGAGTGTAGCCCAGTGCACAATAGAGCTTAAGGGCGGACTGATTGCTGCAGCGCAAAAAGAGATCCACATACCAGGCATACTTCAGGTCCAAAATATGCGCAAAGTATTTCATGAGAAGCGATGCAATGCTCAAGCGACGATAATCCGCGGAAACTGTTAAGGAGCAAACATGCCCATGCAACTGGGAACTGTCTGTGAATTTATTGAAGCACTTGCCAAAAATGAAGCCCACCAGCTGACCATCAGGTGCTGTGGCAGCCACTGCCAGTTCAGGCCACAGTGCGAGATGGCGCAAAAAGAAGCCGAGGTGATACACCTCCGTTAATGGGTCAAAGACCAATGCATTGAATTTGAACAGATCATCAAGTTGAAGAGCGCGTAGTGAAGTCATGCTCCAAGCTGCGCTGGTATATACTACTAAGAAAATTAATTTTGATTACAACAATAAGTTACTATAAATATACTATAATTATTTAATGGACTGCTACGATTCACAATACATTCAAATTACAGTCTGTTAAACAGAACAACATTCCGTAAGACCGACTGACCGTCGCAGGTAATCTCCCAAAATATGTTATCTTGATGAAAACTAGAAACAATCAGTTGTGCTTTAAGTACTCGTATAGCGATGAGCAGATGGATTGCGGTCTGGAAGGGTATGCAATATTAGACCTGCCTCGATATCTTGCAAACTTGGTGCGATTTCATGCAACAATCCGAAAAATGTTGCATACTTTTGGGCTGATGGCAAAACTTTCTTAGCAGAAATCAGAACCATTTTAGCCCTTGCAATACCAAAGATTTTTGATGAAGTTGCTTACAAAAGAATAAAAAACCTATTATTGTGTTCTTTTTTTCCATATATACCCTTTTTTACATTATAATACTATATTTTTGTCTTATATGACCAAAATTTCCCTTATTAATTTTACACAATGTAAAATATTCAATTTAATGCCAGTCGTGAAACAGAAAACATACAAATAAATTTTTTTTTTAAATGTACAAAAGATGCCAGCAGATTAAGTCTGGTCAAAATGGGTATGTTATTTTCGGTGTTTTTGATTTATTGATATTGCTATTATTTATGCACATAGTAAATTATTTTGTGCATAACGAAGGAGACAACCACTGCAAATGCACTTTATAATGTTTATTACACTTGTCTCAATATCACGACTTAAACTATATACATTTCGAAGTTCATTTAATGTTCTTATAGATCCATGGCAGCAGCGCAGTGACACGCGTGTAGACGCCCGGATACTGCCCCTTGCCGCAGCCAATGCCCCAAGAGACGATGCCCACCTGCGTATAGCGGCTGCCCTCCTTGACGATCATCGGACCTCCCGAGTCGCCCTGTCAAAAAATTTACCAATTTGGTATAGGTTAGTATATACATAAGATATATGAAGAGTGAGCTGGGCTCTTACGCTGCACGAATCCTTGGCAGCCTGGCCAGCACAGATCATGGACGCGATGATGCCACCAGGCGCAGCACGTCCGTATTTCTGAGCGCACTCCGGATTTGCCCAGATCGGTATGTCCACCTTCTGCAGAATAGATGGCTGTGGTCCGTTTTCGCGCAGACTACCCCAGCCGGCAACAGTTGCCACATGGCCGCTGTATGAGCGTGCCTGCTGTGCCACCGATGTTGGCAAGCAAATCGGTTGAATCTCCTTGCTAAACGGCACTGGCTCACTCAGCGTCAAAATGGCAATATCATTGTGCTACATAAAAAATCAAATATGTTTTAAGCGGTGCACTCTGCAAATATGTATGTTTAACCCACAAGTGTGCTAAATTCGAAGCCCTTGTGCCGCACCAAGCGTTTGATGCGACGCGAAACGTGTTGCACCTCAAAGTCCGTGCGTATATTGTAATCTCCCAAATGAGCAGTTAAGGCAGCCACATCCCACGATGTCATGCTAGGATATGGAGAAGAAGATTAATATTTCTTTACTAGACTCTGATGAATTTGAATTTGCTTAAGAATCTGTTTACAGTTAATATCACAAGTAATTAATGCTATACTGAAATCAATTCGCTCCAGTTTTGAATTCCTCTTGATATTAACTCAATTCACATAGTTTAAGATATTAATATAATATAATTTTGTTGTCTAGCTTACCGTGCCACGCAATGAGCCGCAGTAAGGATGTGACTGGTGGTAATCAGACTGCCGCCGCAGAACTGCTTGCCTGACTTGAAGAGCACCGCAATCCAGGGGAACTCGTGCGGACTGGCATTAATGCCGCCCACAATGCGCTCCTGATCGGGTGACACGGGATTCTTGTTGCCGCACTGCAGTGGCAAGCCCTCCGGACTGGAGCCGCTCGCCGGACGACGAGTTGTGGTTGGTTTCGATGTCACCGGAGAGCTGGGTCGCCTGGTAGTGGTGTATATGCTGCTAGGAGGCCTGCCCAATGGACGTGGTGTGGTGCGTCGAGTGGTCAGCACCGAGCTGGGTGTACTGTGGATGGGTCGAGAGGTCGGATGCGTGGGATACTGATGACTCGGCGGATGGGTCGGAATTGGAGGTGGCCAACCGCCAACGGTGGGTGGGTGTGTGGGCACCGGTGGCGGCCACTGTGGCAAGCCACCAGCAAAGGTGCCAAAAGGCCATTGATAGGGATAAACAGCTGTCGTGGGTGGCGTAGGCGATGGTGGTTGTGCAGGTGCCGGCTGCACCTCGGGAGCATTTGGTTCAATTGTGTTCATGTCCTGAAAGTCGGGGGTGTCCTCCACGCTATTGGCATTATCTACGGGATCAGTATCCTGCTCAGTCGGCTCTGCATTGTTAATTGGCAACACATTTGTGGGATCTTCCTCTTCTCCTTCTTCAACCACCCTGTCAACGTCATCGTCAGCTGTCGAGGGCTTCTCTGTTGTTGTGGTAGTTGTCGTTGTCGTCGGTATTGGAAAAACGCCAAATGTGTTTCCATTCATGTTTGTGCAGCAGATGCCATTATTGACGCGTCCCAACTGATCATAAAAGTTGCATATATTAGCACCCAAGCCCAGAGATCCTGTGGGCTGCCATTGACGCACTGCTATGAAGGACAATTGCCGCACTGAGCGATAATACTGCTGGCAACTTTGGATGCGGACACAAACGCCTTGCTGACCATTCGAGGTCAGGCATCTGGACCCCTCCCAAGCGCCACCGCCAGTCAGACCACTCTGCAGTAGAAACAGACTGGGATCAAAGAAGAATTGTCGCTGCTGCCGGGCATTACCTTCCAATTGGAAAAAGTAAATTAATAAACAATCAGTGATTCGAATGGTTTGGAGTGTATTCACAAAATTAAAGATCTGACAAGATCTGATTTGAGTACCACTTGTTATTGTCATGGTGCTCGACAGCTGTTACAACAATTTAAAATCCATCAAATGCGATTTGTGTATCAATAACAAGAAAAATAAAAATGTTTCCATGATTTGGCCCAGATGAGTAATAAGTGTTTTGGCTTTCTACAGGGATTTGTTTTGCACTCGCATTCAAGTCAAATGACTCACAGTATGCCAAAAAAAAAGCCAATAAAATATTTATATGCCTCTTAGCTTCCCTACTAACATTTTGTTTTGACTGTTTACCGTGCGTGCAAAAGTTCCCTTTGTAATATGCAAATCTCATTCACAAAATGCTCATTCAATATGCGTAACAAGTCTGCAACATTGCCTCCATTAGGCCTTGTCCACGGCCAGGGCAAAACACGTGCGAATATTTATTTTGCTACCCGATCGAACTATATGCACTTTTAAGCGATAACTAATGTTACATCTTGCTGGCGGACAAAGAAACTTGTTAAACAAAAATAAATACAAATTTATTGTTAATCGATTATAATCAACTCGGTTCATAAAGCCAAAAATAAATCTTCGGCAATAAAGGGATATGTGGAATTTTTTTATGGCCAAATTATAATGCATACTCTTAAACAGAAGAAAAGGGCATGTCCATCCATTCAGCTTTATCTTTAACAGATTATAATATTCAATGTATACTCATAAAGCACTTAACACACAAAAGCACACTAAACGACTCATTTACCCGATTGTTTTTTTGTAGACGCATAAATCAAGTCCAGCCTTAATAATATGGGCCACACTCGAAATGCTAAATAAATTAAACAAATGGCAGATTTATGTTAACTTGAAAGAACAACAAGACCAGCTCGGACAAAGCTAACGCACAAAAGAAGCCCAGATCACTTTTAAGAAGCTGTCATTTGGCTAGAGGCATACGAGCATACATACATATGTACATGTATGTATACATAGATGTGTACGAGACATACACTTGCGTAAGTATGACAAGTGACAGTAGAAAGTTGCTTAGGGGGAGCGACTCGGCTGCTTACAAAGAAATGTTGTCAATTGTGCGTTGAAAGGCGCACATTACACACAAAACAAAAAAAGATAAGAAATAAAAAAGACATGAAAAAAATGGCACAGCAATTGTCATTCAGCTTAAAAAGCGCTTAAGTTTATTGTCAATATTCTGGCTTTTGTTTTTGTCATATTTTTTTCATATAGAAATGTCAAAATATTGAGTAATCACACGAAGCGTGGACCCCAGCTTCGAATTGGAACTCGTAGCGTGAACGAATGTTAAGTAAATATTGGTTGGTCTTCTTTTGTGGTTTTTTTTTAACTTTTCTACTTTGTCAACACACGACAGATTGGCTTAAAAATTGCGGCTGGCTGAAATAGTTTTTAGTATGTGACTTTTATCTTTGCAAAGGCTAATGAACTCTAGCTCTGCACCAACGTGCTGTAAATGTTTAAGTTACTCCTCCATGTAGTCTAATTATATTTTCGTACATATTACATTGGAGATTCCTTTCAGATTTCAGTCAAAATACACACCCTAGAGCTGCAAACTTATTTAATTTAGTGTCATAAGGCTCTGAAGATATAAAACGATAAAACGAGAATAGGGCAAACAACCAGTTGAAGGTCTAGACATGGCCCCCTTCGGTCTAGTCTTTTCAATTCGATGCACAAATTAAACTGGACTGAAACAAAACGTGAAATAACCCGCAGGACTTGTAAGCTGAGCCGGGCAACCTTTATGAGGTGTGAGGCTTTAATATGGATAGGCAAGCGTATCCATGTAACTTTTATTTATGGCTTCCTGCAGTCGTTTAACAATTCGATGTTCCTTCAAAATGTAAATCCAATTACACAATTAATCTGCTCAAGTAAACAGATTATTTTCGCTGCCAAAATCGATTAATAGGCTTATATTATAGCTATGTTTTCACAGCGAAACATTCGTGAAGATCACGCCTAATTTAAATTGTTCAATTGTTGGCAATAAATAAATTCGAAGCGAGCACTCATGTTGCGGCCATTGACAGATGACAACCACACAGTTTCAGTTTCAGGCCCGTTAATTGTGTGGAAGTAAGTCAATTTGAAAGCTCTATAAGATACGCCTCCACTGCGACATTTGTTGTCTATTTTGGAGTTGAGCACATACATAGAGTAGAAAGTAAACAACGCAATTACAATGTGGAACAAAGGGACCTAGCTTCGAGACGTATACGAGAAAGAGTAATTCCCCAATAATTCTCAATCTCTATATTGTCACTCTGGATATTATGGGATTCTGAAGGTCACATAAACCAATAGTGCTGCGTGCCTAGCATAAATTTATTAGATACTATAACGTAGCACAAAGTCATTGAACTTTTGCGTGATGTAAAATATTTATGTACGAAATGTTAGCAAATGAGATGCTTCTAAAGTGAATATTAATAATTAGTTTATTTTAGTGGTGAGCAAAATAGCAAACATTATTTTGTCAGTAAATACAAGAGATTCAAATGAGAATTTCGATTAATCGCTTGCATTATTATATATTCTTACAAATTAAACATATTTTTATAAAATCTGTTATTTTTTCAAAAATTTTGAGTTTAATAACAAAAATTATTTTTAAAAGTAGAATATATTTTAAGCAATATTAGCTGTTTATCAGCATCAGTTCATCAAAAAAATACCAAAGCATATTCGTCTGTTAAGTAGCAAGTTCGTTGCCTAAGTCTTTTGTTCTTCTCTAGCAATTTCACTTTTCATTGCGGCTTTCTCAAGCTTCCGCATTACTCACCGTCCACAGGGGCAGCGAAATCTTGATCAACCGTGGCATTGACAGCGGCCTGGGAGTCAACCGCACTGGTTTGCGGAATTTGATCCGATAAGGTTGTTGCTGATGTTCTTATCGATGGCACATTCTCGGCTAATGTCGCTTTAAAATGCAACAAATGCACACAAAGTAATAAAATCTGCCAAAATGCAATCATTTTGCCAGCAAAATACTTGTTTTTTGTTATTTTCTTTACTATTTTGTTTTCGTTTCAACTCAGCGGGAATTGCAGACCCATATATAAATGGTACAATATAGTATAAAACCGCAAACCGAAACGCGTCTCGTGGCTTTTAGAATGCGGCGCACGTTGCCCGATGGCATTCACCTGGACGGGCAGACGACTCTTAAGAACTTCTCGTCGGACTCTTGGCTCGCGGTCGACTTCGCGCGCTTATTAGAAACAGGACCGTGGGCAACCGAGATCCGCGAGCTTCTGAGCCAAGTGCCGGCACCGTAGTTTGGTTAACAGCTATGTCGACGCCAGTCGACGCCAGCGACAGTGACAGCGACGTTGACTGCGGCTTTGGCGCAGACGCAGAGGCAGACGCAATCGAAACGTCAATTACTCTCGCGCATCGATTGGCTTGTTGTTGAATGCCTGGTAGGCGTTGTATTGGCCGCCTTTTGGCTACCTTTTAGCCTGATTCTTGCTTACTTCATATGCTTATGCCGTTTTGCATATGTAAACTAGTTATATTATTGCTTGGTGGCATTCATTTGCTCCTGCTCCATCGCTTCCTTGGCCCGATGGCCAGACATATCACAAACAGGCACGTCGCTCCAATTGCAGACAAACTGGGACTTACACCGGGACTTGAAAGTCGCACGGCTCTTGCAGCGTACTGTTAAAATACCAAGAACGCAGATATGTCTTTCGAGCCGTTTGTTTATTATGCACTGAACTAATACTAGTGTCAGTTGATAAATAGTACTTTATTTAATTATTCACCGCATTTTATACTTACTTTCCTTAAGTTAAATTTTATCCATATTTATTTTATTCACAATTCTGAGTTAAAATTAAAACAAATTTTACAGAATGCTCACTCAACTTTTTCTCTGTATCAACTTTAACTCCTGTATCAACTTTCCGCTTAAAATTGGTTAAGACTTTCATAATTCATTTACTCTTACATCGCGCATCTAAAGTATGGCAAGGGTAAATTTTGCTGCAACAGGTATTTTGTATATGTTTCATAAGAAAACGGGTCAAGCGAGTCTCTTGAAACTAAAAGCAAGGCAAGGAATTTTTCAAGCTCCTAATGGAATAGCTAACGGATTTATCAAATTCGTTCATACCAATAAATTATCGCTTTAATTTCCTCTCTTGGTCAAAGTATACCTCTGAGTCGGTTGAATTGGTTTTCATTGGCTCCCGACGGGAGCAAATTGCTGACTGTCCCAAATAATATGCGAAGCTTTACGATAATTCCGAGCGTATTTGTTTGAATTGTTGGAGATATGCGATGCAGGATTCAATTAAAATACAAATAAATCGCGATCAAGTCAAATTGCATTGTCACTGTTTGTTTGTTAAAAATATCACAAATTAAGTCAATTGTTGGAGAGAATTGGCCAGTTCATTGTTAGCTCACTTGATCTCCTCGCTGAATGGATAAATGCTCGCCCACCTTTAATGAATGTGTGATGTTCTCGAGTGTCACCGGCATGGTGGCCACAACCTTTTGGCGACATGACAAAGTCGATCAATATTTTGCCGACTAATTGTCTATAATTGGATGCCAAAGGGGCATTTGCCTTTTGATTGATCGCAAAGTGCTCTCGATTCGATTTGAAGTGTTGTATTTTTGAAAGCAAATTCGCTGAAGCGAACAGGCATCAAGATCAAGAAAGAGACGAATAGCCAAGTAGAAAGACGAATAGCCAAGTCTGCTCTAAGAAAATTTCATTAAATTTCAAATATTCAAATAAGAAATGTGGACTTTCAAATAGTCCGTGTACAAAGTGTAATTCCAAAATCAATTGACTCAAGTGAAAGTTCCAGTTATAATAAGGGTCAAATTAATTCTTAGCTCAGCCATTTATTTACTCTTCAATCTTCATTCATATTTAAGCGTTTGCTATTTATTGATCCTGAACATTTATATATTATTTATATATGACTTTAAAATTTCGCCAAAACTTTCCCTTCTTTTCTTAACTGCTGAAAATTATGCTATATGTTTTTAAACTAGTCTTTTATTTGAACTTTATTTTGTTGCCTTATTTTAGGCGCGACGAAATTAATCCAATGGCTGCAAAACCTGTCCCACCTTGTACTCATTTAAAGTGTAAGTTGATTGAAATGCATCAATTCATTTATGATTTAAACATTCGAATTTAATAATTTGAAAATGCAGAAACATTTTTGTATGGATTGTAAGATGTTTTTTTTTTGTTGCTTAAATGACATAATAAATATACATTTTGTGCTGTTCAAGAAACAATTCTTGTCGTTAAATCGCTGACAATTCAATAAGCTGAGTAATTATTTGGAGGCAGCATTAAAAATTATTGATATTTTGTAAATAATAACTAAGAACTAACTAGCTATAAAATACGATCATTTAGAGCATCGATCACTTCACTGAACCAACAATTTCTCTATAGGAACCGGAGCGAAGAACTCATTGATATGTGCAACCAAAATGGGGGCCCATTGCTCACGGGTGGCGGGAATTCCGACACGCGTAATCTCCGGCAAGTTCTCATTGACCAGATTCAAGATCATAGCATCTGCAAGTAACAAATATGGTTTAAGAAAAAACAGATCACGCCAGCGCCAGCTACTCACTCAGGTTGCGATCCGAGAAGATGCCATTGGCCAAGACTCGAGCGTTGCCAACGTTGACATTCGCATTCAGTCGATGTAAGCTCAAAGTGTGCTTGCCGCTGGAATGCTTCTCAATATGACCATCGGTCAGAACGGTGGCCTTAACATTGTCTAATTGAAATTTAAATTGAAATATTAATTATGTCAGCAATCGATTGCCTGCAGAGACACTCACCAATCGTGATGTTGAATGGCCCCTTGGGCACGAGACGCAGACCGCCGAACTTGACATCCGCCTTAAAGTAGCCGCCAGCCTTCAGCTGTGGCAACTCCACGCCCAATTTGATGACAAACCCGCTGTCCGTGAAATTGGATGACACGCTGTTGACTTTCAAACTGCTGATGCCATCAATTTCCATGTTCTTGATGAGCAGGCCACCCTGTATGCCATCGTTCGTGTAACGAAATATGCCTCGTTTGTAGAAGTACGGATCAACGGAGCCCATGTTCAACTCTGACAGGCCCCGATTCTTCAGTCTCGGCACAATCGATTGGAATAGTCCACGTATGCATTCATCCAGATCCGACGAGCTGAGGCTGCAACTGCCGAGGTCATCGCCAGACGTTTGTGGTGCAGTAACTGTGGCGAAAGTGGCGGAGATTAGTACATAGCAGTTGGTGTTGGTCAAAAGTCAAAATATAGTCGGTTAAGTTATGGTTGGGCTAAAAGTGTGCGTATTAAGCTCAGTCAGGCATGCATCATTGCGCATAGCGCCTTTCGAGTCATCCAACCAAGCGTGGCACAGTTCACAGTTTGGCATGCCCCGCACAAGCTTTTCTCCAGTTTTGACATTCAAATAGTTGTTGTTGCGTGCTTTGTGTCAGGGTGACAGGTGACAACGACGCGTCGCAGTCAAGGTCTCCGATCTAGGCCCCGCACAAGCCGAGGTAATTGTAAATGGAGTCAGTGGATTGTCTTGTACGAGTTTTGGAGTACATACTTGTACTTATCAATAGCTTTAGTTCATAAAATTTCTCAAATTATCAGTAATTTGCAAAAGTTTTCGCATTTTCTTTTAAATCTAATATAGGTCAGATATAAATACAAAATGTTGGATGTATTTAAAACAATAATTAAAATTTTTTATAAAGCTTAAAAAAACTTGTTTGTAAATTATTAAAAATATTTAATATTGATTGTTATGTTTTTCAAATTTATTTAAAACATTAGTCTCCGCTCCTGTTTGGCTATGTGATTAGCATATAATCAACATAATTTTGGAGATGACCTCAAGTACAAAATTAGTCGGACAGACAAACAAACAGTCAAAAAAATTGCAATACGTTATTGCGTCATTTTAGCGCTGGCTGTAAAAATAAGTGCAAATAACATTTGAGTTCACTTGGTTAAATCTTCACATGAAAAGTAAAGTGTTTAAATCTTTAAAGCGGAAATGGATAAGAAAGATTGCAATTAAATTTAGCATTCCCTGCAATTATGTCAGAAAATTACCCAAGTACTTAAAATAGTTAATTTGGCACGAACAAGCAGACAATGCTTAGTTTTACCCTTCATATATTGTCAGCTACTTTTAATACGGATTAGGCTTACGATTTGCTCAGCAATTTTGTAGTCTGTAATTTAGTTTGCCAAATTTTGAGCGCTTTCGTGTTCGGTGACTTTGTCTATTCGCTGTTGGCTGACAAGTTCAATGTCAAAGGTGAACCAGCCAAAATAAAAAGAAGACGAAAATATGCAAAATAAAAGCCCAGTCAACACGTTGACATTAATTACACTTTGACAGGCGTCACAAATGTTTGTGATCTGTTTTTTTTTTTTTTTCAGGGCGCGTTTGGGCAAATGTCGTGAAGTTCGTTGCCTAAGTCTTTCGTTTGCTTACGCTCCCAGTGCAAATGTCAATCAATTTATTGGGCTTGCTGTAGTCAGCATTTTGACTGCTATTGCTGCTCGACATTTTACGCAATTAGTTACAAGTTACAGCTGCAACTCACAGCTCAAACTCAAACTCAAAGGCCCAGCGACGCTGACGCCGTTTTTCGCATTGATGTAGGTCAGTTTTTAGCTTTATGCGTTTAAGAAATGCGCGCATAAGCAGCCGGTTTTTTATTTGTTGTTGTTGTTGTTGTTTTCATGTTGATATAATGTAAACCTCTTTGTTGACGCTGGTGCTTTTGACGCGAATACTTTTTCGCAAGCGCCCCACACCAAATACATACATAACATACAAATCATTTATTTCTCTGCGGTTGCTTGAATTAATTCAATTGGAGATAAATATTGCAGTCTTGCCTGTTCGACTTGCTTTCGACTTTACGTATTCGGTATATTTATTCTGCCATTTATTTTGCATAATCCATCAATATACATTTTTGTTTTGTTTATTTTCAACGCCTCATGTGCGGTACTGCTTGAGAGTCACTGTATTTCAGCATTCACATTCAGAGCGTTTTTTTGTTAATGCTCTCTTGCGGTTTTATAACTTTTACTATTCACACGAACCAAAAAAATGGAAACGAAAATATATGTCAAGTTCAAGCTGCTCAACATTTTTAGTGTTGTCTCAGGTGTTAAAAGTCAAGCAAATAAAAAGTATTTTTTTCTTATTTTTGAGCTGGCTGACTTGCTAATTTCTATAGCAATGGCATTATTTTTAAAGAAATCTCATTAAAATCACACTTTAAGATTAAAATTGCTTCAGTTGTTGTTAGCTGCTTTTATTGGACTTTGAAGGTTGTAGGCGTAAATAGCTCGCGTAATCTTTTCAATAACAATACAATGGGTTAGTCACCGAATTACACTCGACAATGCTATAAATGACCTATTTAGAGATTAATACAGATCGTACTTCTCTAGCTGGATATAATTGTTGCTGGTATAACTCGATATGCGCATTGCGATAATATATCTTAAGTGAAACTAACTTAACCTAATCTTGATCGACTGAAGTTTAATTTATTACATTCCAATCAAAACATTTCCTGCTTACAATTTCCGTCAAAACAAAATTGCGCAATTCGCTTTAGGCTTCGAATACTTCAGATTTGGATTTTCATATATTTGTCATACAAGTCAACTACAATATTATTTATTTCAATTATCATTTTCAATTGTCACTTTGGTAAATGAATGACTCTGGCAACAAACTTGCTTAACAGCTCTGATTTTTCATTTCGCTTGTCATTTAAATATCAAGTTCTTGCAGTCTGGTTGCATAAGAGTAACCCAAACATATATCTACCTGAATCGAATTGGGAGTCTGATGAGAAGGCGGTCTGCTGGGGGTCGGTACTAAGTTCATCTGGAGCGGATGTTGGCAGTATGGCGGACGCGACACTTCCGAGTGCCACAGCCGCGATGGTTAGCAAAATGTACAACGCTTGCATATCGATTTTGTTGATTTATGCAGTTGTTGTTTTTGTCAATTTGGACAACGCTCTTTTCACAATTGGCAATGTAAACTTGTTTTAATTGAATTGTTGTAGTGCTTTGACGATTTTGTGGCTTGATTCAACACAAACACACACACACTCACTCACATACACATACAAACAAACAATGTGTGCAATTTTCGCTTGCTTTTTTTTTTGCGTAATTTTAAAACCGGCTTCACTCTTATTTCTACACGAATTTTTACAGTTTCTTGTGGCTGTTGTTTTCTTTCGGTTAACTGCAATTGTTGCTGCAATCGCGAACACCGACAGAAAAGCACACACACACTCCTACACTATACTCTAGCTAGCTAGCCAATTGCCAAAGACACCAAAAAATGCTTCTGCAAACTTTAAAAATCAGCGAACGATTTCGTTGGCGGCCCGCCGCTTGCAAATCTTTAAATGAGCGCTGCATAAAACTCACGTTTATTTATAGTTTTCAGCTCGAGTTTTTTAAGTTTTTCCATGCGCACGATGCCAAAAAAAAAAAAAAAAAATCAACAACCACAACAACAAATAACCAATTTGAAGGCTTTTAGAGCGCGCCGATTGAGCTTTCAAAGCTTTTGGCTTGTTGAGTTGCTGAGTTGAATTGAGAACTTGTGCACCACAGTTTGAGCAGCGCTGTACCTGAAATGCTCAGCATGAGTTGGCATAACTGAGAGCCACACTTGAATGTTAAGTACGGTAAATTTAAATCACGTCTCAGACGTTGGTATAAATTAAATTAAATAATACTTATTTAATTACAAGACTCGCATGTTGGATTACTAAATAACATGTTATTCTCAGAATAAATAAACAAAGCATTTATTTTAACTTGAAAGAAGATAGATCGATTTTCAACACAGTTATGTCATATTGAAATTCTAAATAAATATTATTTAAGTAATTTGAAATTTTCCCCAAATTTTTTTTATAGTGAGTAAACATTTTTGTATTCCTCTTTTCATAAATTTAATACAACTGCTTAAAGCTACTACTTCATAATTGTGGTTGTAATTATATATAATTACAAAAACATTTATACAACTTTAACCACTTAATACAACATTATTTTTTTTAATCAAAAGAAAATTATTATAATGAATATTTTTTTGGAAATTGTTATCTAAGCACAAATAAGAAAGAAAATAAAGAACTAATTTTGCTTTCGCACAGTGACATCTTTTTTTTTCTTATTGACCTTGAAAAAAGTTTGCAAAGCAATTTGTGCTTGGAATCTCCCACGACGGTAGTAAATGTTCTTCAGCATAAGAAACTAAATTACTCCATATATATTATTAAGTTTAAGGCAACACTGCGCATTCAAGCGTTAAATCTGCTGATATTTAGAAGCTTGAAGACGAAGAAAAGCAAATAGATTTATAATTATGCATAGTCAAGTTAAATTACTAAGATTTTCAGATAATTGGGGGATATAATTACTGGGAAGCGAAGTTGCAAATTATTATTTATTTTATATGCCATATTCAACTTTTGGCACTAACAATTCTTAAAGTAAAAGTATTAATTTGCGCAGGGTATTTAAAAAAGTATACGATTTTAAGGCTGATCAAAAGATATGTAATTGTAATCATATCTCAGTTGAGTCAATGTCAATCAATAAATCGCACCCACAAATCAATCAATCTTAGAACAATGAGGAAATTATCAGCTGCTCCCATGAACTACACACCTACAATCCCAAACCCAATCCCAATTCCAATTCCAATCCCAGTTACAGTTTGAGTCGCATTGCAGTAGTTTAACAAGCACCGGGCCTAGTTGAGGCATTGGTTTAGCCCTCGACTCTGGGCTACTAAGTAAAATGTAGGCCAGTTGTTAATCTCTTGCCACAAACTTGCGCACTATATTTATGAAGTTTTGGGGCGTCTATTTCCAAGGTGATCGACGTGACTTGTTTGTCATGTTGCAATGCATGCCTGACATCCAGATTGTTGCACTCTAGGTGCTTCACTTTTGAACTTCCGATGAACCAAACAAGTTACTGTGGCGGTTCCTATGTACAGGTGCGTCATAATATGTTTTGGCAAATCTAATGCTCCAATGCTTATTATGCTCGGCCAGTCTTGTAGCAGACGACACTTGATCGTGTGCCTGGCATATCCATTTAGCAATTAAAATATTCTACGTATGCATATATGTTGCGAACATATCCACAACAACTTTTCAAATATGCGAGGCACATCGCTTTTTATCGACGTTTATAAGACATATATGCATAAAAGTGTGCAGCACACACTCTCATAATAATGAGCTGCTGATTTATCGCAGAGTTAACGTCGCGACCTGGGCGCTAACGTTGCCCTATGGAATATTACCTCACTTTCTATGCGAAGCCAAATTCCGAGCTGCTTTGTTTATGTCAACCTCTAGAGCTTGTTTATGCCCCATAAATAAAGTAAGACGGCCAACAGCCATTGCTCTGGTTGACGTAACCAGACAGCTGAAACAGTACACGACTTGGTAATTCTCAAACTACAAACATATATTTTACTAACTTAATATTGAACTGTTGCATACTAAATGAGTTTGCCTGACATTTAAGACTCTCAAGAGTACTCCTGTCCATAATTTGTATTTTAGCCTACCATCGGAGCTTGCATCTACCACTTGGGAATTGAGCCCAACACCCTGAAGTAGGCAATGCTATTTACTTAATATAAAAATAATAAATATTCAATACTAAAATAATTCCCAGAAACCTCTGAGCACGCTTAACTGTGATAAACATATATATATTTATTATCTGTCTCACTCCTTAAATCGCTCTCTGACTTCTTTACTTTTTACTTTCCTTGTGACTAAACGACTAAGGCTTAAAAATATTGATTTCTTTTTTCAATTTCCCCAATCCTTACATTAAATTGTGAACAGTTTCAGATTTTATTCCATTTTTTTTTATTTAGGTTTTTTTTATTTAAATTACCAAATAATAAAATTAATAAAAGAAAACATTTTTCTACAAATTTTAGAATGTCCTGAGCCCACATTAAATAAATGAAAATTAAATTTTGCATATGCAAAAATGCTAAATCAGTAAGAATGCGCTCATTTCTAATGGGTACATCAATCAATTTAAGGGTACACTCGAATGACTTTTGATATGAATAGAAACGCAATTTTAAAGTGCTTATTTAGGCGACAGTTGTTCTCAAAAAGTTGGTTACTGAAGTTGTTTCAAATCGTCGCCGACTCATTGCTCAATTTCACACTAAATGCATGCACTTGACCACATTCGAATATAAATAGATTGATAGATATGTATGTAGATATATACGAGTTTTCAAGGTCGACGTGCTGTGCACTTAACCCCATTAACTGGGTGCAGTCAGTGGGCAGTTACATAAAGTTAGTTAATTTTTTTTAGGCACATAATTTGATGCTAAATGAAACTGGGGCATGACCAAATCAATTAAAACCTGTTTCAATCTGCCCGTTAATTGTGCATAAGCCGAGTGCGCCTGAATTTAATAATCGCATTTTAATCGCTGGCTCGAATTTTATTAGAGGTAACCCGGTTTCATTAAGAAATTTCCATACAAATACTAAAGGCAATCACAACCGCTATCTTATTCGCTTGACTGGAGAAAATCATCGATTGGCACATTTATCAGAGCCTGGTTAATAACGCGCAGCAGGACAGGCAGCCACGACCTTCTTGTTTCCGGCAAAATAACGCCATAGATATCACGCCAGTAGTTGTTAGCCACATTGAGTGCAATCTCATCTGCCAAGCATATAAATTAAGCGTTAAGGAAATAGCGATTCAGCTAAAATACACACTTACCTAATTCAGGATCCGGGAATATGCCATTGGCCTTAATGGTCAAATCACGAATCTTTGGGTCCGCTTCGATATCGGTGAAACGAAAATATCTGTGTCCATCCTTGCTTAAAATGTCTCCATCCGTAACCACATGGTTCTCCACATCAACTGCAACAACAAAGATATGAAGATGCGTGTATAAAAATGTGTGTAGACAGTTAAAATTCTTGTATATTTCACTACTCACACAGCGTTATGTTGAAATTGCCTTTGGGTTTCAAATGCAACGAGTTCACCTGCATTTCCGCCTTGTAAATGCCATTCATATTCACTTTGGGTATGGTCGAAATCATTTCGAATTTTACCTTGTCGCCATTGACTTTCATACGCAGTTTCTCGATTTTGTGTTCAGCTAAGCCGAAGAGTTTCACATTACGCACCGAAATTCGACCCTTAACCACTCCACTTGAGTAATGAAAACTCGAACGATTTATGAGCAAAGGATCATACGGCTCTATATTTAATTCGGGTACTCCAAGTCTAGAACGTTGCAAAACCGTATTGAACATGCTCTTGATACATTCCTCAGCGTTGTCGGCACCCTCAGGACACTTTGCTAAATTGAGAGCTAAAAATTATAGAATTAAATATGTTATTCACAACGTATGCGCAATGTGCCCTAGCTTCATACACACAATCAAAATCGTTTGTTTTATTTGCTGCTTCCTCAGGCGCCGCCTGAGATCCACTTGCCAGAAGGCACAGCATTGCCACAACAATGTACAGCATTATGGTTAAACTGATTTTAGTATCCTTTTCGATTGTGTAGTCCTCTTGATTCTTCCGTTGAGTCAGCATCAACCTGTTACTTGTATGAGCACCCTCCAACTGAGCTGACAAGGCACTGGGTGGAGCTATTTTATTCTCAGATATATTTTAGGTTAGTCACATCCACTTAGCCAAGAAAAATAGTACTTATAAATCAACAATGTTGCAGGCAAACTGACTTCGATAGATTGAAAACCGGCTTACCCACTGATTTAATTTCAAATCATTAAATGGAAAACAGTTCAAACAAAATTAGCCCCGAACCCCGCAAAATACTTTCTGAATTTAGTATTATAATTATTTACAATAATAATTTCAATAATAACCTGTTTACTATAAGCATATGCTGTGCGTTTGCGATTAACTAATTATACCCTAAACACATCGAATATTGGTAATAGAGCGTTACAGTCTCCAACTTGCATAATATAGGATGACACAATTTTATTGAGATTATCAATTACTAACAAACTGATCAAAATACAGTCAAAGGAGTAAAATTATGTTATTACTTATGATATTAATATGCTTAAAATTGCGAAAGAGTCTGGCCTGTATAAAAAGTGAATAGGTACAGGGTAACTTTAAGTCGAACACTCTTTGCTACAAATTTTTTTAATTGACTTTTGATTCCCAAAGCATTTTTAGATAATTCATCAAGCCAGAATTAACAATATAACATTGAGAATGTTTTATTTTATTTAATCTAAGTTTTTGTTTAATATGTTCGATTCAATATCCTAACTTCTGTAATTTCCAACATAAATAAAATTATATAATTATATAAATTGCAAACAAAATATAACCATTGAAATGGAAAATTCGAAAAGATGCTTTGCAAAATAGTAAAATGTTTGAAGAATGCTCAGTTGTATCCCCCAACTGAACCTGCACTCTATAATGTATGTAAATAACTTAAGCACCCAATTGAAAGGGCTTGATGAATATTAAACAGATTTATAAAAAATCGTCAGAATCAATTAAGAATATTACCATAATTGTAAATTGATAATTGATATTTTTTCCCCACTGTTAAACTTATTGACTTAATAATATTTAGTATCTGTAATATGCCCCTCTCAATTTGGCTAGTAAATCTTAGCTTGAACAACATACAACAATTTTCTCTTAATTATAATTGTTGATTTTATTTGTCTACTAACTAAGTTAACATATTGAATAACGCTTCTACCAATAATATGATTGCATCAGCACACCAGAGATTGCAACGGACTTAATCCTTTGTGACAAGCAAATCGAATGGCAGGGCAGCAAAGAAATCATTGCCCGCTTTGAGCATTAGTGGCTCCCAAATGGCCATAGTTTCGGGTAGCATAGCCTGATATAGCTGGCGCCAGTACTGATTGATAAAGTCCAGAATGACATCATCTATGAATTCAATTGAAATTTATATAAATATGTATTCATATATCAATCGATGCGATTATGCTGTGTATGCACTCACTCAACGCTGGATCGGGCACCAGGCCATTGGCATAGATGCGCATGTCACCCACTTTCGGCTCCGCTTCGAGCTTGGCCAGACGCAAATAAGTGTGACCGTCTCGCTCGTATAGTTCGCCCGAGGAGCGCGATTTCATGCTGACGTTGGCTAAAATGTCAAATTTGATTAGCTGAGTTAGTAATTACATGCCCAGCCGGTAGTTGGTAGTTCGTATTATTATTTTGCTTACTCAGCGTAATGTTGAAGGTGCCTTTTGGAGTTATCTTCATGTCGTTCAGTTTGATGTCCGCCTTGTAGGCACCCTCAGCCAGCATCTGCGGTATATGGCTGAGCATCTCCAGGCGTACATGATTGTTCTTCAGACGATAGTCGACCTTGTCGATAATGCCCTCGCTGAGACCATGCACCACCACATTCCTCATGGCAATGCGGCCCTGCAGCACGCCCGAGTTGTAGTTGTACGAGCTCTTGCCCAGCAGGAAGGGATCCATTGGTGGTATATTCAGATCACTGATGCCATTTTTCAGGCGTGGCGTCAGCTGCTGGAATCCCTGCTTAATGCACTCATTTATATTTGCATCTTCTTGGCGGCAGGTCGGTATATCGGCGGCTGTGTCAAATCGAAATCAAATGCAATCAATCAATGAGCACAATTACACATAAATACAACATTCATGAACATTGCCCTGACATACAACTTATAGTCATCTCATATCATCAATGATCTCTGCGCTTTATGCCCAGAACGTGATATTTTAGACGAGAGTTCCGCTTTTGTTATTCGTTGTCGCGCATAATTGCTGGTCTCCCCTGCGCTCTCTCTCTCTGTCTCCCCCTCCCATTTCTCCACCTCCCTTTTCGCTATTTATTTGCTGCTGTTTGGATTTTAACTTAATTACTCGGAGCATTTTGTTTGACATTATTGTCAACAACATTTAATTGCTTATTTTGTGACAGAGCATTGACTAAGCGTTTCATTGTATTGCATATCGCACAGCCGAATCAAGTTTGTCGCTTGAATCTTTTGTACTGAAGGCTTTTTGCAACGGTCGCTGCGGCAGGGGAAGGCCAATTAGCGGAAGTGGCAATTGACTGCGACCTGCTCCATTCGACTTAGAGCCGGAAAGCTTCTGGCCTTTATTGGGCAAATATCAGTCAAGGCTTCTGAGTATTCTAGTTGAATGCCGCAACTGGGTAAAAACTGCTGCCAATGCTTTTTATTTTATTTTATTTTATTACTGAATGTTTGGTATAAAAAAGGAGCACCGAAAATATTATGTAAATTCTACAAATTTATTTTCAAACTATTCTATTTCGTTTTTTTAAATTGCTTTTACTGTTTTAAGTCCTCCGAAATTGTTATCCATACTAGGAAAACTTGGCTATCAATATCAGTACTTTTATATATTCATGAGATGGGCTTGTTCCCCCAGGAATATTAATTATTTATTTATTATTTCGACTACACTTTATTAAGCCATATCATTCATTAACATACTGTCACGTCTTCGCAATTGCCAAAATTACCATTTAAACAACTATTATACACTCAATAAATAATAGGTAAAAATAAAATAAAAACCGTTTTAGCTAATTTGATAAACAAATTTATTACCATGCAACTTTATAATAACCATTTTATTTTTATAATATGTAAAAATCTATCGCTCAGTCAACAGTTGCTAAATTCGAATTGAAATTGAACTTTAGCATACGTAATGGCTTTGATATACAATTTGCACAGCTTTTGCGTGTTTCCCATGATTGTTGCTACTCGATTTGCATTTTAGTATAATTAGTGATATTTATCTAGCAATTTAACAGTTTTATTGTCATCTATGCCTAAAAACTTATATGATATCTTAGCTGATAGTAGTATACAAATCCAACTCAGATCATACAAATGAATATAATTAAAACTTTTAAAGCAGTTTGGACCCTTTGTGTATATTGCATGCAAACAAGTTTAAACATGTAAGTTCTATGCAAATATTTACATACGAATAATTATTAAACACTTTAAGATCACCGATTTTACCTCTAATATTTGCATATACGTTACAAAAGTCAACACAATTTAAAAAAAAAACTGTATTTACAACATTAAAAAACTTGAATTGCGGTTTACAACAAATCACGTATGATTCAATTTCCAATACTCACCCAATTTGGTGATGGGCTTGTATTCAACTGGAGGCAGCGTAAACCCTTCTTCAGCAGCCAAACTCACGCCCAGCAACGTGACAACAACAATAAATGCACTCAAAACACTTGCCATTTTCTTTAAATTTGTAAGAACAATTGTTGAACTTTCTTTTGCAAGTCAAATCTCACTTTCGTTGGAGATATGGTCAAGTAAAAATGAAATTAGACAACGACGCCCCCGGCTCATACAAATGCGAAACGACATCTGATTCAACGACTACTCGTCCGTTGTATTTATGGCGAAAATAGAGAGTCAACTCAGTGCTGTGCCCTGAGCGAGCCGACAGTAACAAATAATGGGCACTCAGACAGCCGGGAACTGAGCTCTGGGATTAGGGGGTCGTCAGAGAAACGAAAATAGCTTGGAATTAATAATAGCGACGATGACGCTGAGCAAAAGGCAAGACCAAAACAGAATCAGTAGTGAAATACAAACGACATTATTAAATACCCTAGACAAGAGTCGTGAAGTTTGATCATTCCCCCCATCTGTTCGTGCCCAACCAGATCTCTCACAACTACCGGCAGCTGTCCGCTTTTGATGCGCTCCAATCCATTTAATGCTTCCTCGTCTCGCTGATTATTGGCTTGGCTAATGCGAATCTAGTGGCCAGGCTGCCACTTGAGCAGCAGCACTACCCAGGCGTGAAATAGCTTCTGCTTCATCGAAGCTAGCAAGACTAATACCAATACCTATTTATATGTTGTAACTTCACAGATGCTACTGCATAGAAACCGAGTGCGCTTGGTTAAAGTGTCTCATCCCAATTCGTATCGGATTGAACTTTTACTTTCACATTCTCTGTGAAATATTATAGTCTATATGATATAACACTTTGTTTTCTTAATTTAGAATTAAAATTGAAAATCATTTTACTTTCGACAAAGCTCATTAATATGATCATTCACATGATTTTTGTGTATAAATAGATACAATATACAATCAATAAAGAACCAGTTATAGATGACAAAATTCTAGTTTTAAAAAAAATGTTTCAGACAGATCCCCCACAAATCTTGCAAATCATTGTGATATCAAGTAATAAGTAGCTGTAGCAACTCGTGTGTAGAGAATCTAATTAAATGACTCTGCAATTTAGTTAAATTTATTTAAAGCACTACTTCAACGAAGTGACAAAGTAACACCATTAAAACTGGACATTTCATGGCACATAAATTTTTGTTTGAGTGGTTCTACAGAACACTCTATAAATAATATTAAATTTTACATACACAGTAATTCACAGATAGGATCTCTTGCCTTTTTGATATAGCCATTTATTAAACGACTTAATTTAAGTGTGTTCCTTGTGGTACTTCCCATATCCAACTTGCGGTCTATAAGTAATTAGAATATTTGTTGTACAGCGAAAAAATGAATTTATCTGATTATCTTTCATATTAGTACTCTGCCTGCAAAGAAAATAAAAGTTGATGAGATAATTGGTGATCAAATAAAGCTAACAGTGATTATTTATTGTACTTACACAATATCAACTTTTGTTTCCCACTGCTGGGTTGACTTTCAAAATATAAGTAACTATTACAAAAATATATTTACTTCACCTCTTGTGATTTTGTGTGCATATATCACTCTTTTCTATTTAGAAACCATTCTTAATTTTAATTTGTTCAAAAATTCCTAATAGCATTTCGCGTCATTCGTGTCTTATCTTGGTTCGAAAATTGAATCTAGTTTTTTACCCCGCAGCTCTTTTCAAATGTCTGCACCATTCACTTATCAACGGCTAAGTTATATTAATCTCGGCTCTGTACAAAGCCTAAACATCTTATCGGCTGGCGTAATGCCAGTGTCTGTCTGCCTTTTGCAACCCGAGCTGGAGTCGCTGAGAGACGACATCACAGAACAAACTGCACTTCGCATCTTATCAAAATCAACAGCATGATGCACCAGGCCAATGCCAATTCCAAGAATAGACGCTCAACAATAACAAGGGAGAGACAAGTAGGAAGAAAAACAAACCAGTTCGGCAATATCTTATCAATTGAGAGGCACACAAAAAGCATTTTACCCAGGCAGTTTACAGTCGGACAAATGAGCCGCAAATACAAAAAAAAAATTGAACAATTCAAATAGAATTGAAAATAAAAACACATGGCAAACGCCTCAACTATTGACAAAAGCTGCGACAATGTGACGAACAACAAAAGAAAAATGAAAATTATCTGCAAGCGGAACAAACGCAAATTGAATGAAAATCAAACAAAAGGCGCGCATTTTGCCACCTAGGGAGCTGGCCAAATAGGCAAGACACATATGTATGTATGGACATATGCATAAACAAATCCCAAGAGGATTGCCAAGGGCAGCTCATTAACTAGGCCTGGTCACACTCATGCACGCAAGCACAAGCACGCACACACAAACGGCTTATCAGCGGGTGGCTGCAACGTACTTAGGTAACGATTTGTGGCAGCGTCGGCGCATGCGCGAAACTCCGGGGCAGCAAAGGGTCGTGCGCAGGCCATCAGTTAATTTTATGATCTTGTTTTTGTTTTGCAAAAAAAAGAGAGATGCTCTTCGATTTTGTGTAAACAAAGTCATAAACGATAGCGGATTAAACTAAACCACATGATAACAGCAATCGCTATATAAACTTGACTGGCAGCGGCACAGGACATCAGTCAACCCACAGACGACAGTCCAAGCGAACGCACTTGACAGCTAAGACATGGCTCTGAAATTGGAATGCAACAATTCAATCAGCTATCGCCACAAGAAGTTTGATATGCGGCGACCACGCACCGACGAGGAGGAGCTGCACATCAAGGAGGAGTTGATCTCACGCATGGGCACCCCGGCCAGCAGCAGCTACAATGAGGAGGACACCAGCAGTCAATGTTCCAGCGAATTTATGTTGTCGCTGCCCAAGCGACGTCGCCTCAATAGCACCATATGCGACGGGTCGAATGAATCGGAATCCGCATCATCTTCGCAATCATTGCCGCCATCCATAAGCCCCGAAGCCCTGAGAGATATCTGCAAGTACCACGGTAATATGGTGCGAAAATTTCCGAAAAAAGAACGCACACCCAAGGATCAGGATCGACGCAATAAGAACACAATCGCCTGTCGCATGAGCCGACGTGTGAAGAAACTCGAGCATCTGGCCATTGAGGAGCAGTACAAGGAGTTCACCAACCAGCATCTCAAGATTGTCGAGGAGAGCATGCGGGCAACTGCCTATTTCAATCATCTCAATCAGCTGGTTAAGCACGAACAAGTTAAGAGCCCAGCTCCAGTGCCAATTCCATTGCCCTCGAAAAACTTTAGTATTGACTATTTGATCAATGGCATCAAGAGGAAGCAATGTTAGTAAAAGTTCCTTTAATCACCGTGTGATTATCAATACGCTTAAATTAAGTCTGCTTTATTAGCTATAAATTAGTAATTACTTATTAACTCTTATTTTATGTTGTACTTAAGGCTTTCTTTAAGAAAAATAGCTTAAATAAATATAGATATCCTATGTCTTTATCATATTTGTCTCTATTCATTTAACTCGATTCAAGTCTGAAGTTAAACTAGAGCCAAAGTGGTCAAACCGTTAAAAGTGCTTCTGGGAAAAGTGCCAGAAATAGCGCCTTTATCACTATCGCTATTGATTTAGCTTCTAAAAGATGCTAAGTAGTTTTCAATATTACTGAAGTTAAAACTAGAGTCAAAGTGCATAAAGAATTAATAGAAAAAAGATTAGTGCGGGAGATGATGACCTTATCAGTGTGTGCTCTTCTCCCCGCTCTTAAAGTATATATACATATATATATATCTTTTTCATATTTGTCCCTATTAAATTATCTCTTTTAAATAGAGCTTTGTAGCTGTCAATATTACTGATAATTAAACTATTTGTCAAAGATTTTTTTAAAAAATGAGATAAATGCCAGAAACATTGTCTTTAACACTGTGAAAAGTGATTTTTACTTTTCCTCTCAAAGTAATTTTCAACTTAATAGTTTAATATATAGAAGTACTACAGTACTACAGTAAACTAAACAATTGAACTGTTCAATATGTGGAATTCGTCACAGCTACTCTCAATATGTGAGTCATCAGCTAACTTTCACAATGCTAAGCCAAGCAGATAATCAATGGTTCATAGGCAGTAGGCGCATCAAACTAAGTATGCAGTCAAGATAATGTTGGTTTATAAGGAAATTCCTGTTGGAAAACTAATTTCAAATTGAAGCCACTAGAAAAACTGACTCAAGCCAAAGTGCAGTCAACTGTGTTGCACACAATAATAACAACAACGACAACTGCAGATAAATTAGTTAATTTAACTTGAGTATTTATTTGGAGTAGTCGGAACGCCACGCCATCTGACAATTAACTATTTGGCTATTATTTTTTTTTTGTTGGCATTGCGCAATAGCCGAGCAGCTAATTACTTTTAATTTTCATTATAGGCCATTTGATAAAGCGCCAAAGCGACTTCCTATGCTGCACTGTGCTGTGGCAAAAGCTGGAAAGTCCAATGCAGAAATTATCGCCGACAACGGCTAACCACTTAACGACCACATTGATACCATTTTGCCACCACTTCGCAAATGCCAACTATTTTCATTGTTGCCGTCACGGTTGCTCTTATTGTGGCTCTCTCGTTGCTGACTTAACATTGAAAACAGCATTTTGTTTTTTATACCAGCAACAGCGTGCTGCAACGTTTATTTACCAAACGTTGTGGTTGCAACACCTTGCCACACAAGCTGCTGAACTTGAGCTCCTCAAACTCTGAGTCAACTGCAGTCGCACCTTCGGCGCTGCTCGTCTCAGCCAATATTACTATTTGACGGCATTTCGCAAGTTGACTGCAGCTTGATTTCTATTTGTGTTGGATCGACCTTAAGAAGTGAAAAAGAAAAACAACAAAATGAGAACACAAACTGTGCTGTGACTGACCACATTAAAACGTTGCTGAGAAAACAAAAAAAAAAAAAAAACTTTATTGCATAAGCTACTCTAACAACTTGAGTAATAAACATATTATTAACTACAAATTGAGTTCTGTTAACCAAAAAACCTATTATGCCATTAACTAGCCTTAGTCATAATTCACTATAATTCTGCTATCTTAGATTCCGTTGAAGACTGGAGTTCAAGTGCTGACATTTTATTATAAGTTTTCTAAACATAGCTATAAGTTTTGGTAACCCCATTATTAATTCTATACTTTCCAAATGTGAAGAGCATAATAACAAGTCAATAATAATCACTTTTATTATTATTATTATAATTATTAATACTACTACTATATTATTATTGTTGGCGGATTTATATACTGATATCTGTTAGATCTTATGTGCCATCCACCCTAATTCCAATATAAATTTTAGAGTCTTTGTCGGGTTGAGATTTTATGTGTACAAACTCAAGTACTCCCTAGAATACCTCAGCTTTTCCTGACTAAGGCGACACAATCTGCTATTATGTGCTTTCAGGATTCCTTCCCATTATCAAAAAATCTGAGATTTTTGTAAACAAATAAGTTTTGCACAGCAGAATTCATCATTGACAAAGATTTCCAATAGCAACTATAAGATATAGCATATATAGAAGCAAAAATATGAATAATTATTCCAAGTATCATCAAGATAACTGAGCGACTAGTTAAAATAGAAGCTGATAGACAGACAAACTACTCGGCTCGTGATGCTAATCAAGAATAAAAAATCTTTTTGATGACAAACCAGTAGACCCCTTCCCAATTAACTTCAATATGAAAACATTAAATCAATTTAAATATTTAGATAGATTTCCTCTCATTTGTTCAGATTCCAAATTAAAAGAACTAGTTTAGTTATAAAATAAGTTTGTTTTATTTCAAAGTCAACAATAACAACAGCTAAAAGTTATTCAACTAATCACATTCAATGGCTGTTAAATCACTTAATCATATAATAATAGTCTAAATAGAATAGGCTTAATCACTGTTGGGAGCCAAAGATCAGTAATTGCTGCGAAAGTGCCATTTGCTGTAGAAACTGTTGTTGCTGCTGGGGCAGCAGAGTGCCGGGAGCTGGGACTCCCCGCTGGAAGACCGCCTGCTGCAGCAGCTGGCGATAGTACAGACTGAAGCGAACCTGTTGCTCCAGGATGGCTGCCTGCTGGGCACGATATTGCTCATATTGCCGTGCCAAGTGAGCTTCATGCAGTTGCTTGGCCCTCCGGTTGAGCAGACAGGACAAGGTGTTGCGATCCCGACGCTGCTGCTCCTTAGGACTGCGCTGTTGTCGAGGTGACTGGCATTGGCGCACCATATTGGCATGATAGATGCCGCCCGGTGGGATTGGCGTTGAGCTGCGCTTCTGACTCTCGTTGCTGGAGACGGAGGATTCAATATTCTGCTCATTGTCCAGCCAGGGGCGAAAGAAGCTCTTCGACTGGCGACGCTTGCTCGGCGGTGCTTCTTGCGTGGACATATTCTCCTTATTCTGCTCCAGAATCTGGTCCACATCTCGTTTGCGCTTTTGTGACGCAAACTTCTTGTGTTCGTAACAGTTCGAGTTGTTTATCAAGCTGGGTTCCATGGTTGTCGTTGTTGCTGCCTTGACGTTTGATATCTGAATGCTGATGCTCTCCGATTGATGTCCTGTTTATATGCGTGGGATGACGACGATGACGGATTCATGCCCAGGTCTCCCTTCGCAGGTAGCTGCCCTTTTTTTGGGAATCATTGGGTTAGTAAACAGGCGGATTAGCGCAATTTTATTATTAGTTGTTTGGCTAACCGTTTTGCATATTTTTATGACCTGCGTCGGCTAATTACCGACCATTTGCTTGCAACTATCTCTTCTACCTGGCCCAGGGTATCCAAAAATCAAATCTTGTCGCGGTTACCGGAACTGGAAAACACTCGCTGCAGTACTCGAAGCTGTGCAGCTATTTTATTGACCTACTTGACGCCAAGCATTGCGTGTGGTCCTTCGGTGGCAGTGCCTAGTTTTTTTGTCACGATTCCTTGGAAATTCTTGCGGGTCTAGGCCAACAATTCTTGGAGATTGGAAAAACAAAAGGATATTTTCCTTGAATTCCTTTTTTTTATTTGCGCTGGTAAGGATGAGCACATATGTGTTGTGGTTAAGAGTGTTTTAAAAGTTGGCTTCTATTGATGGTAGAACTATATTATACATATCTGTATCGAATAATTAAAAATTGTAAGCTAATACTGAAAGTAAATTAATATTACTTTGTATGCTACTCGGACTTGATTTATTTTTGTCGCGTTTCTCAAATATGCTAATTCCTGCAAAAATGTATTCCGTAATAATCAGAAACTTTGTGAATAAAGTTACCAGTGTCAATGTTGACGTTGCATTTTATTTAAATAAAGTGTTGACACTTATAAAAATCTACATTTTCCATTAGTAGATATAGGCAGAGGCTTTAACACATGCAATTACAGCTGTTAAAAAGAAAAAAGTTCCACTTGAGGATTGATTATATGAATGATGAAGGGCCGAGTTTTTTATTATCTGATTAGTATTGCCGGTCGAGCCGGTTTTTTGTATAGACAAAATGATTCGAAATGTGCTAACGGCAACTTTAAGTGATTTCCCTTAATTACTATTAAAACAAGTTAATTTGTATACCTTTCAACGAAAGCTTACAAGTTGACAGCTAATCTATTCGAATAATTCACTTGTGGTTTGGGTTGCATTGCAACTATTATATTTGGTCTGATTTCCGGAGTTGCCCAATAAATACCCCCAAAAATGTTCTTCAATCTCTTCTACTAAGAATACTGCAATCTGTTTTCTTTTGCATTTTTATTATAATCGCAAATAACTATATAAATAATAAATAGGTTAAGAATTTAAACTACCAAAATTTGCAAGTAACTAAATAAGTACAAGGAGCTCAAGAATTCAATTTCATATTTTTCAATTTTAATTTTATTCATTTAACAATTTTGTTTATTGATAGTCAACAACAATAAATAATAATAAAACTTAAAAAGTCATCACAAGGTCTTATAAAATACAAACTAAAATCGCATTTAAAGTAGTTAATCAAAATTCCTTCCGCTCTTGGAAGTATTGTCCATTATGGGATGCTTAACGCTTCATGCCAGTTGCCTGTTGGGGCCAACACTTGTGGATCTGCTGCAGCGTGGATTGTGTGTCAGACAGTGGAGTTCGTGTCGTGGCCATTGTCTGTTGCAGGAACCGCACATAGTACAGGCTGAGACGGATCTGTTGCTGCAAATTAGCCTCGTGCTGCAAGCGATATTGCTCGCATTGCTCCTCCATCGCCACTTGCCTCACCTGTCTGGCCCGGCGGCTCAGGAGACAGGCCAAAGTGTTGCGATCTCGACGCTGTTGCGCCTTCGGACTGCGCAGTCGTGGGGCATGGGAGCGCACCATGTTGGCGTGGTACGTGGTGGCCACAGTGATGGGGCTGGGCTTCCGAGGCGGTTGTTGATTTACTGAAGTGACAGCTGTTACAGTTGTGGCTGCTGATGAATTTGTTGTCGATTTGGGCTCATCCAGCCAGGGCCGGAAGAATCGACGTTTGGCGGGCAGCTCCATAACGAAGACCACATCTTCGGACTCCTCATCTTGACTGCGTTTACGCTTCAGTGCCGAAAACTTCTTGTGTGCATAGCCGGGGGCAGTTCCAGAGCTGAGTTCATTGTCCATTGCTTTTGATAAATCCATAAAATCAGAATTTCGAATGCCTGATGTGGATGTTGTTCTTGTGCGCTGTCTCGTTGTCGACTGTGCTGCTATTGTCCTGGGCGTTATCTTTTATGCAACATTAGGTAATGGGTATCAGAGCGCTTGACAATCCCAGACGTTTTCCCACCAATCCCTTGCAGGTATTTCCCAATCAACTTCATTCATTCAAACGTGTGCCTGAACATCGAACTAATCATCCAGCACCCCGCACCACGCATCCTCGGGTCACGCTACCTGACCCGTTGTTGTTTTGTTTCTGGCCATCAGGGGAGCAGGTATGTCATCCATTGGCATGGCTAATCCGCCGGCTGCTGGCATTGGTAGGGCGTCATAAACCAGTTGCCCTTTTTCCTCTTCTTGTTTGCTGTGCGCATCTCCAGCGATTTTCACTGGAAATACCTGTTGTGCGCGCAGAACCTGGCCTGGCCTGGCCCGGCCTGGCCTGGCCTGGTCTGTTCTGGTTTGGTATTTTGTAATCCTGGCGCTCATATGGCCACGCTGTCTACAGCCGCATTGTTCGGCTTCCTTTGTGGCACCTGAAAAGTTTTATTGTTCTCGCCGATCCGCAAAGCATTTATGACTTCAGCATGTGAGATCTGTTCTCCAGCTGTAAATGCTACTCAACCCAAGGTGTTGGACATCATTACAGAATCCCAATATATATCTTCTATGTATACACAAGTAGTCCTCGGCTGCTCTGCTCACCTTTCCATTTCCTAAGTGCGTTTAGAATTATGTCGGATTTTTCATTCAATGCCTCTTTGTACAAGTGTGAGTCCATTGATTTATGTAGTCAATGCTGTTCGACGGCTAAGCGGATTTATTTTAGGTGGGCTTGAGTCCTGCCCTCAACAAATGCTGAGTCAAGAAGCAGGATTTCAATTGTTATTGCTGCACATAAGTATCAAAGTGAAAGATTGTCATATTGTTTGATTACAATTCTTATTTTCTGTTAACCGGAAAGAATCGAAAAAGGTCAACTAGTACATTTTTTACGATTATGCAACTGCAACTGCCCCATTTCATATATAATGAGTCATACTATTAGAGGCCTACCAGGAAACGGGTTCTCTCCGTCTGCACTATTGTAAGCGAATCAAAGACAAGTTCTTGGAAAAGATTAATTAAAAAGAAAGCGATATCTGAGGAATGTCGTGAATGAAATGCGTTTTAAATGATTGATCAACTCGCTGATCTTTGTCACATGTGTATATAATTTACAATATAGTAAATTGCTCAGACGATCACTACTGTATCAGTAAATAGCTTTGATTTTATGCATTTTTCTTATAAACCTGTTTTCTATATAGTAAATGAAAGGTAGCTTTGACCAAAGCCGCAGTAAAAAAAGATAAATTAATAATACAAGTCGAATTTAAATACCATAGCAATTGAGCTAAACAAGTTGTGCACAGTAATTTGCTTAATAAAAACAATCTGGGCTATAATCAACAGTCAACAGTTTTTCATTAATCTGCTTTTTATAACTGTATTTATAGTTCTAAGTGTCAGTTGGCTAAAATATGACTTATCCGTTGTGTCTGCTGACATTTTTTCTACGTTTAATTCAGTTTATATGGTCGAGTTTCAAACTCCACATCTGATTAAACGAGAGCTATAAATCTCTACTTGAAGACGAATCCCGAAGGGTTTCGTATATAAAAATTACGAATAATAAAAAGCACTTCGAACTGCAGCCAGCGAAAACATATTCAAAATGCGATTCAGCTTAAATTAGTTTTCCAAAAACTTCCGTAAACTTTTTGCTATTTAAAAAAATTGTATGAAATGGTGCTCTGATTTAAGCAACTAAAAATTCCAAATTATTTATAAATTCGTATAGTATACGTTATATATGCAGGCAATATGGTTTTATCATATAAGCAAAAATTTTGTTCCAATTGGCACGTGTCCAAAATTTAACGGCTTCCCTCGGACCAATTGGCTAGAACCGATTTATAGCATTTATATATGCAAGTCTTGGTGTAGAAATAAATATGCAAAATTCTCAATGAATTCGTGTGAGTACATTTCTTCGTTACAATCCTGGTATCAATATCGTCATCAACATCCAATCACTGGAAACTCCCACATCTAAGAAAATCTGTTAAATGCTTACATACATGTCCAGGCACATTTATAAATTTCAATGTTAGCAGCTAATTTAAATGACATGTTTGGAACAGCTAGGAACACGCAACATATTTCGGGAAAATCCCAATAAATTTCCATTCAATTGGCCATTGTCACAAAGCCGGCGAACTGCGGCTCCCTGGAATCTTGTTGAACTTAATGACACAGATTAGCGGTAAGCGCGATAGGAATCTCAAACTGTTCGACCAAAAACCAAAAAAAGGCAATGGTATCGAAATCGGGAATGAAACTCATCAAAGAACATTCGGGGCGCAGGCGCTGGTCGAATGTTCGTGTGTTCTGGAGAAATGTTATCGTCAAATACCAGGAAAACTGAGATGAGAGCAGGCAGGAGACCAGGAGAAGGTGCGAGCCTAGCACCGCTTGGTAAATGAAAAATTAATTACAAAAAGGACAACGGGCAGGTATACAAAAATTGAATTGTGGAACAAATCCTTTTCTCTTTATGACAATGCAGACCTTTTGTCAACGAAGTTTTTCCCACAAACAAGCCGTACTTTAATGATAATTTCCTTGCAGGTAGCAAACTGACCATGATCCCTATATAAGCAGCCGTTGCGCAGCACAAGGAGCACAGTCACTCGACAACAAGCAACATAACAGCAACTCAGCATTCACAATACTCAAAACTCAAAATACCCAAAACGATGGCACCCTCACAAATGGATTATCCGCACAACGAGAACGAGAATTATACGCATAAGAAATTCAACACGGGCTTTTACAAGCACAAGAAATTTGGCAAGCGCAGCAGCAGCAACGCCAAGGATGAGACGCCCACAGCTCAAACAGCCTTGTTCCGGCCATATGCTCTCAGCGAGAATACGCCACGGAAGCGACGACAAGAGTCCGAGCAGCGACAGCTGCAGCAGCAACACCAACTGCCGCCCACGCCACCCACAACGCCTCCCCAACAACAACAGCAGCAGCAGCAACATTATCTGCAGCAGCCGCCACAGCCTTATCATTTATATACGCCCGCTGCCACGCCCACGCCAATAATCAATCATCAGGCATTCGCCTATGTGTTACAGAAGCAGCGCGCCGTGCTTCAAATGCGCCAGTTGCTCAGCATCAATCCGGATGCCAACACCTGGCCAGCGGAACTGCGCAACGCACTCTACTCGATGCTGCAGCAATGAGTGGCAAAGCGATTCTCAGCCGACTTGGTGATTTGCCTAGCAACCAGTGATATAGAAACTTAAGTAGCAGATTGTATATGATATCAAAATGAAATCAAAATCGATAATTGATTTACCTAGAATTAATAATTGTACATAAAATATTTAACGATTTCGCATCTAAGCAAAAATCAAATAAAATATTGTATATTGTATATAACGTAACAGAGCAAGAGTAATATTTCGGGTTGGGAAATTGACTGAAGAACGATACAACCGGATTTAGTTTCAGATAAAGAACTGTATTTGGAACGACACAAAAGTCTGGAAAGATAAGTGATGTTTCAGTCCGGCTTAACTGACTGCTCAAACAATATACATTGTGATATTTCAACTTTAGGGCTAATTAATTTAGATACTGATTCTGACTTTGAATTTCAATCGGCTTCGATTCCAATTCCGGTTAGATGGTTCAGGTTGCAAAAGTAGTTGATCAGTTAAATTTCCTTGGGTATTACCAAAGACCACAGAGATACAAAAGAAAGTCTTCATATAGATAGATAATTATATCTGTAGTTCTGTAGCTTCAACTCTTGAATATATTAGATGCTTTGTCAGTTCTTCCAATATCTATATAGGGCTTTATTCTCTATCATTGCGAAGGTCATGAATATAGCTTAAGATTATAACAAAATAAACCCTTCCATTTTCTAAATTTCGTGCAGTTGAGTAGTCAATTAAAGCAGCTATGCTGTTTTGGAAAACAAATTTTCCAAACTCTGTTGATTCTAGGTCTAAAAATGAATTCTGTGCTCATAAAAAATAACAAAAACTACATAATTAAAAAGCATAAGATACATCTGACGGATATCACAATACATCAATATATATGTTTTTTTTATCAACATAATTTTAAATTTGTTTTTTTTTTCGGACAAAGGCTACAACATTTAGTGCTCATTATTTTGAATGATTGCAAACATTTACTTGTAAACTGAACTAAATCGAACTCTTAAACAATTGTTAGGGTTAGCTTCTTAAAATCTACATTGAATTGTTGAATCCAAGGCGATCGAAAACGGAGTTCGGCTGAACCCGTGACCGATTCCCAGCATTCATGCTCGAGTGCCGGCGTGGACCAAAATGCTGCGGATTCTGATCGTGCTTCTGGGTGCGCTTAGGCGGCGGCTTTACACTGGCTGTTGAGGCTGCTGTTGCTGCGGCTGTGACGCCCAGACGCTTGTGCACCGACATGGAATCCTGGCGTGTGAGCAGCTCATCGCTGCGCATGCGAATTGCTTTGCCCTTGACGGGACTCAGACGCGCGGCTGGCTTCTTTGGTGGAGAGGCTTTGAGATTGTATGTTTTGCGTGTGGTGTGCAGCTTAGAAACTGTTGATTGAGATGGATTGAATTAAAATAATCGCCAGTGATAGCCATACTTATATCAAGCTTACCCAGGCCCAGACGGGACTTGATGTTGCGCGCAAAGTTACTATTGCCACGCGCCTTGTACGGCGTATGTGGAGCTATTTCTCGCACCTCTGCCGTCGAGGCGAACTTGACAATTTTCTCAGCGGGCCCAGCCATATCCACATCCACAAGCTCACCATCGCTGGCCTCGCTGTCTATGTCACTGTCCGTCTCCTTATAGTCGTCATCGTCCATGCTCTCGTCGTCACTGTCGTCGCCACGTTTCAATGGCACCTTGTGCACTAGCAGCACCTTCTGCTGGGGCAGACGCGACCCGCCTGCAGCTGACGCTGCTGTTGCTGTGTGTTTGGCCTTGACTATGGGCGTGTTGTGTTTGACACCACCCACAATGCGGCCACCTCTATTGCCTTGAGTGTTTTTCAAAATAGATTTAATTGCCAGACCAGTTGAGTGATCGGGTGCATCCATCGGATGTTTGCCGCCCAGACGGGCAAAGACAGAATTACTGCTCGAGCTGGCCGCTACCATGACGCTGGGCGTCTTGTGGACGCCAGTGATTTGCACCCGCACATTGCTCTCGCCGCTGCTGGAAACGATGCCCTCCTGGGCATCATCATCGCACTTGTTCTTGTGCAATCGCTTGAAAACGTCCGTTTTCTTGGTGCTGCTCACACGATCTGAGTACACTGCAGCAACAGCAGGAGTAAAACAATAATAAATATCAAATATTCTAATTAAAAATTACTTTCCACATACATTGCTCTCGCTTGGCAAGAATTTGCTTGCTCCGCTCTGTGGTGCCCGAGGGGAGAGTCACTTTGTATTTTCCCTCATGCTCGGGAAGCACGCGACGTGCTGGCTTTGTGGGTGGCGAGGCTTTGATAACGGGTGATGACGCCATTGCAGGTGGTGCCACAGAAATGATAGTTTTTGCCTTCGGTTTGGGCAGCGGCGTCTCCGGAACGAGGACCTTGTCGAGGGCATTTTGGTCGCTTACTTGCTTGGCGTGACGCAGTATGGCTATTATGTCGCCCATCGGAGTGATGCCCATCTCGCGTAGATACTCTTTGTTCAGGTCCAACAGCATGTCGTCCTGGATGCGATTCTCAACGAAGATGTGCGCATAGCTGGCTGCAGCCGGAGATGGAATTCCTCCGGCATTGAAAAACTTAACCCAGCGAGCTGCATTTGCTTGTGTTTTAGTATTTGCCTGAGTGCTTGCACTCTTATACACACCTGCACTTGACTTTGACATGGCTTTGTGTGATTAACACACTACTATAATACTTATTTTTAAACTATATTTGTATTTTTCACATTTATGCAGCGCTTTACAAGTTCTATTGAGTAGTTTGGAATTAGTTCCAGCGAACGGTTTAATGAACTGAAGTATGAAAAAAGAAGATCCCTGGCGTTCATTTCGTTCAGGTCGGCCAAATTGTCTAACACTGGATTCAGGTTCAGGCGCGAACTACCAGTTCAATTTCCAATGAATGAACAGATCAGTCGATGGTCACTTGTCATACAACATGTTGTATGTCGTATAATTAGTGCTTAGTTTGACAATTATTAACCGGTAACTTGGCATGCGAGTATATATTTTGATTTTTTGAAGTCAACATTTTTATTTTAGAGTTAAAGATATGAATTTAAATAATATATGCAACATACATTTTTAATACTTTATTAATAAAATCATACTCAATAAACTGTCATACCAGTTCGTATTGATAAGTCAGACTCGTGCGATATGTTTTAGCCCCTATCGATATCTCGTGTGAGTTACCGCATGCCCATCACAATCTGCAGTGTGATACACAAATTTTGCAATTTTGCGAGCATTGTTTTGCTTAAACATTTGTTGCACTTAAATAAGCTGCACAATGTCTGATAACGATGATGATTTCATGTGCGACGACGATGAAGATTACGGTCTGGTAAGCAATATACTTGAGACAATGCGCCTTGTGCTCTTTTCTGATGCCCGGCGTCCGCTTGGTTTGCGGTTTCAATTGTAGGAATATTCTGAGGATAGCAACTCGGAGCCTGACGTAGATCTCGAGAATCAATACTACAACAGCAAAGCACTCAAGGAGGAGGAGCCAAAGGCAGCGCTCGCCAGTTTTCAGAAGGTGCTCGATTTGGAGAACGGCGAAAAGGGCGAATGGGGCTTCAAGGCACTCAAGCAGATGATAAAAATCAACTTTAGATTGGTGAGTGGAGCACCAAAAAAAAGCAAGAACAAAACAAAGAAAATAATGCATATTTCTAGTGTAATTACGAGGAAATGATGGTGCGCTACAAGCAGCTGCTAACCTACATAAAAAGTGCTGTCACACGCAATCACTCGGAGAAGAGCATCAATTCCATACTGGATTACATTTCAACATCGAAGAATGTAAGTCAGAGTCGATCATAAATGGGGATCTACTGAATTTTGATCTTATTTTCGTGCGCCTAGTCTTAATACAATTGCAACACAGGCTATATATATATTATTGATCAGAACGAGCTAAAAATATCTCTCATTTCAGATGGCATTGTTGCAAAATTTCTATGAGACCACATTGGATGCTCTGCGCGATGCAAAAAACGATCGTTTGTGGTTCAAGACAAACACGAAGCTGGGCAAGTTGTACTTTGATCGTAGTGACTTTACCAAACTGCAAAAGATACTCAAACAGCTGCATTCGAGCTGCCAGACAGACGATGGCGAGGATGATCTGAAGAAGGGCACACAGTTGTTGGAGATTTATGCTCTCGAGATTCAAATGTACACCGTGCAGAAGAACAACAAGAAACTGAAGGCTCTGTACGAACAGTCGCTGCACATTAAGTCCGCAATTCCGCATCCCTTGATTATGGGCGTCATTCGCGAATGTGGCGGCAAAATGCATCTGCGCGAAGGTGAATTCGAGAAAGCGCACACGGACTTCTTTGAGGCGTTCAAGAACTACGATGAAAGCGGTTCGCCCAGACGCACCACCTGCCTCAAATACTTGGTGCTGGCCAATATGTAGGTGACATTTAAATTATTATATTGAGAATGTATAATTAATATGATGCTTATCATTTGTCAGGCTGATGAAGTCTGGCATTAATCCGTTCGACTCGCAGGAGGCCAAGCCGTATAAGAACGATCCAGAGATTTTGGCCATGACAAATTTGGTTAATTCCTATCAAAACAATGACATCAACGAGTTTGAGACTATACTGCGTCAGCATCGCAGCAACATTATGGCCGATCCGTTCATACGCGAGCACATTGAGGATTTGCTGCGCAACATACGCACACAGGTCCTCATCAAGCTGATCAGACCGTATAAGAACATAGCCATACCGTTCATTGCCAATGCCCTGAACATTTGGCCCATCGAGGTGGAGAGTCTGCTAGTTTCCTGCATATTGGATGAGTGAGCACCTTACAAATAATTGATTTAGACTTGGCTTAACCATTACTTTTTCTACTTTGCAGCACCATCAAAGGGCGCATTGATCAGGTGAATCAAGTGCTCCAGCTGGACAAGATTAATAGTAGTGCTGCGCGCTACAATGCTCTCGAGAAATGGTCCAATCAAATCCAATCACTTCAGTTTGCTGTCGTTCAGAAAATGGCCTAAATATGCGCCAACAATTAAAGCAAAACTGTCATTGGTAAAATACTTCAAATCACTGCGTTTTTTCTAAGTGTTTCAGCGAATTTCCAAGCACAGTAAGATAAGTTAATACAGGCTATTAACCGACAGCAACTTTCAACCTAATCTATGAGTGTAAAGGGCTTGATGTTCAGATAAGATCTAAAGCATTAATTATGGCACGTCGAACCGATAAGCCCCAGCAGCTTTCTATACACAAAATTCGGCATTAATTATGACACGTTGAACCGATAAGCCCCAGCAGATTTCAATACACAAAATTCGGTATTTATTCAAGGTGGTATTCAAAATATTATTATTATTAGCAATTATCGTATGTTCCTTTATGTTCCCTTTATGACCTTCGCGATAAAAAATTTTAAATATTTAGAACAAGCAAGCAAGGGGCGGTTTAACGTGCAAATTTTGGAAAATACCCATTGACAAGTCCAAAATATAGGAATTCGAAGAAAAATCTTCAAGGAATTTATAATTTATTTTGAAGCTTATTACTTAAACGGTTTGAACGGTATCCTTGGAGGTTGCCGCTCTGGTTTGCATAACTTCTGCAGCTTCCGGCTTCACGCAGCGCTCGTACATCCATATCCTTAATCTATAGATCCAGAAGATCACTATGCAGAAGAGCAGGGCCAACACAATGCAACCACAAACGCTGCCAATGGCCAAACCCGGTCGCTCCCAGTCCAGAATGAAGTAAATAGCGCGATTGCCAAAGCTGCCACATGAAAAGAAAGTTGGTAAGAGGAATAACAACTCTAAATTACTCACAAATCTGTGCCGCCTGCCCAAAAGTAGATGAGCGAGAATAAACCGTAGAGCAGGCCCGCTATCAGTGGATAGATGAAGTGCATCAGCCGCGTGGGAAAGGCCACCATGAAGCAATCGAACATCATGCATACCGAATTGAATGCATGCGCCCACAGGTTGTATAGGCCAACGGGTCCATCAGACATGGCTAAAGATGGCAATCAGTTTAGGTTTAAGCAAGCTGGACATGGATCAAAACTTACAGGGATAGAGTGCCACCCAAAACACCAGTGTTATCATCATGGCCAACACCGTGGTCGTAAAATGGGAGCCCCAATATATCTTAAGAGCCCAACTGCTGGATGCTGAAATATATTAATGGATATGTATAAAATGTCAAAAATCATAATAATGAAAATTATCAATTTTAGTTAAAGGAAATGAAACAAGGATGACTTCTGCTTACCAAAATAGCTGGGCTTTATAAAGTATATGGTGGCTACCACAGCGCTGTAGGCGCAAGCAAAGAGACACAAGGTGAAACCCCAGTCGGTGAGATAGATGAACCACTTGCCGCCGGTAAATGAATTCACAAGGCTGCCAATGACGCCACCAGCAAAGAAGGCAACCAAAAGCCAACGATAGATCAGCCAGATGAAGGAGCGATCGCCACGCTGCCACTGCGATCGACAGAAGTCGGCGGGCTGAGCGTGTTCCAGTGAGAACTTGGAGCACTGGAACTCATCCAGCAGTGGCTGGCAGCAGCATTTGGAGCTGGTGTCGCGCATGCCGGCGGGATGGATTCGACGTTGACGACGCTTGAGGAACGCTGCTAGGGCTGCCCAGAGCAGCTGGCTGGAACGTTGGTAGAATGCGAACTGCCGCAGCCATGGCCAGAGTTTGCCATTATTTCCGCAAATAGCTGGGGCTGAGTGGCTATTAAACTGTTGGACTTATCAGTTGGCGATCCTTATCGCCAGATATGTGTATTATTTGGAAATACTTCCAATATGTTGTTTTTATTTTATTTTCGATAAGCGCAAACACAACTGACTTACCGATTAGCCATTGTAAGCCGAACTGACTTGGCCAACACAACGTGGCTAGCAGCAGTTGTCCACCTCTGTTTAATTTCCCACACTGACAAAAGCTTTGCCGTCTCCCGTGAAATGTGCTTTAAATTTTGTAAACGCATTTTGTTTTATTTGTTTTGGGAACTTTTGCACATGATTCACGGTCAGATTGAAACTATTGGCAATAAATATTTGCTGACATTACGCTAACTGATATGGTATCGGAGATAAGAATTTTGTTAGCAACAAAAAATGAAATAAAAAAAAAACCCATCCATTTCATTGAATCTGCAGACGCATTGACAATTTGTCAGTTATAATAAACAATTTAATCAAAATAGTAATTGAGTAATGAAGCACGTTGTGAAGGGGGCCTTTGCGTGGGTGCCGCAGCTGGGAAATTGAGCTTAGGTGTTAAATGAATTGGTTACGGAACGCGAATCGTAAAACATCAGATGAGGTAAACATATTGCGGTAGCGGAAAGTGATAAAGCATTTCAGTGCGACCCCAAGTTGAATATACCCTATTTTCTACGGAATACTCAGTCATAATGATAATACGATAATAATTAGCTGATCACACACTGTAAAATGAGTAGGCAACCTTAAACAAAATATTATTAAGATAACGTAAAGTATTATATAGATATGCCCTGAACCCATGAAAAATGCCCAAAAGTTGCGCAATAGTTTGTAACAGGTAAAAGAAAGCATACATATAAAGTGATTCCGCTTGCAAAGGGATCGGATTCAGTAAGAATTCTTCTATTCTTCATCTTAAACAAATAATTATATGACAAATAACAAAATATTTATATTATTGATCTGGATCAACAGCCGAGTCGAACTATTTCCGTCTTTCTGTTTTTATAAACGCACAGATCTCAGGGACTTAAGAGCTAGATACTTTAAATGTGTAATCAGTATATGCAATTTGATCGATAACTCCGCCAGTCTAGCAATTATCGATACAAATCGATTTACGACACATTGATTTGCACAGTCGCTAATCTTCAAGAATTAAAAGAAGAGTGCTCAAGTGATAAGCATGATCGGTAGACTTTCCCACGCCGCAAAAAGCTGGCAATTTGATACGCTAAACTGAAATTGAAATTAAATATTGATCTCAAATCTATTGCTGCTGACATGCAATATCATTATTATGCATATACACTTACTTAACAGACATGCAAATTGTATCCGCACACGAATTGCAATTGGCAGTTGGTATTGTGGTAAGTGTTTGTGGCATCAGTTAGCAACGGTTGACTGTCTGGAGGCCCGTTCTCAAAGATCGTGTAAATTGACACTCAATTAGACTTGTAAATTGAATTTCATACTATAAAGTAAGAATAAAAATCAGATAGCTTTTGTATTTACAGCGATTGCCGACACTTTCGATTAATTCGAGTCAATGGCAAGGTCGCTACAAGAGAACAAAGCAGCAATTGGTAAATTGAGGGGCACGTTTGTGTGTGCCTCCAATTTGTCTGATATATGTTAAGAATATGTACATAGTTGATATATGTATTACTAATTTAGCAGGAATTTCAAATACATAACAAAAATGTGTAATCGATGCCATGTTTATTAAAGTGACCCTCAAGCGATCAAATTGCCATGGTAAATTGGAAAGTATCGCTAATCATGAGTGGGTGGGGCGTAAGCCATATTTCAACAAAACAAATACAAACATATTCTTCAAATTCTTTAATCAATAATTAACGAAAAACAAAAAGAAAAAATTGCTTTCTCTTTGACATACTTTTGCAAAGAACTTATCGCCCGTTAGATAAGGTAAATGTAGGTCAGACATATAATCTTATTACGTTTCCATTGCAGTGGATTCAGCTTGGAATTGCGACTCCCACTCTCAGCGCTTTGGCACATGTCCAATTGGAAGAACGTACAGTTTAAATTGATCGACCTCCATGGCTTCAAGTTCAACAATGTCAGCGGAGTGCGACAAACGATGACGAATGATACTGTTGTCGATATATCATTGATATCATATCACCCAAAACACTTCCCACAGCATCGAGCTTTGGAGGCAGCAGTAGTTAACGGAATGACAGCTTCTCTGCTATTTGACACTCTCTGCATAATTGTTCGAATTCGAATATTTCGCACTCACGATGTGCCTTTAATTAAATTACTTGGTTTAGTTTATTGCTATACGCTGTAAACGGTGCATAAAATGGGTATGTCTGAGTTATGCGAATTTATAAATTGAAAATATATAAATTAATATATTCCTGAACAGCCATACTTACTTTAAGTATGTATAAGATATAAATTTTAAATAAGACTATACATTAATTAACTAAATTATTTTTAAATATTTTACATTTATTTATTTTACAATTATTATAGTTGAAAATTTAAAACAATAAATATATAGTTTGCTGGTTCTAATTGGAGTCAATAAATAAAAAACACTACCTGGAACCAGCAAAACACATATTTCAATTATGAGAATTAATCACCAAATAATAAATAAATAAAATAAAAATAATAATACGGATTTAACCCCCTTTAAGCCATGAAACATTACAATTGTGCAAGCTGCAAACGCGTATTATCTGTGGCAAATGAATGAGTTCGGTTTGAAAGGGTATGTTGGGAGCAAGCACCCCTTTTATTTTTTGGCTGTTGTTATTGTCACAGAGTCTGTTTGTGATATTAATTTTCGGCATTTGTGCCGATCGATTGTATACGGCTTCGTATATAAAGCGTACGAAGCCTGCGCATAGTGTTTTGTCGTTTATTTGCAGTGAGCGCGCATTTCTAATCGGTTCGCAAGTCAGCTCGGGGCAGTCAGTTCGGGGCCGTCAGTAGGTCTTCCAAAGGGTAAAAGCACTTCACCGCTTTCAGTTGGCTCTGTCTCGTCGTTGTGTTGTGCACGAATGCGCGTTGAACGTTCCAAGTGAGGCACCTGTCCAAACGAGCACATCACTCATAATCCGATTCCGTCCAAGCGTGTTAGCTCAGCGCATTTTTTTTTTCAAGATCACCAAGTGCACTGCAAGTTTTCCCCTACTTTATTGTCTGTATGTGTGTCTGAATGCTGATGTGGTTGCAGCGTAAATCACAGCGTTGATTTAACAGAAAGTTTTTTTGCAACTGGCTTATTTGCCAAGCTGACGTTCACATTACCCACATAGAAGCAGCACATTACCACGTTTACAAATCTATCGATCATTCCGAATTCGAAATTCACTCGATTTCCGACTTACGCTTAAAATGCAATTTCTTGAAAGGTTTCGCAAGGGCCTCAAAAATGAATTCCAGAAGCAACATTTCGGCTTCGAGTACAGTCACGTGCACCTATTCTACAAATCCCTGGTGAGTGAACTCCAAAATATAAATGTTGCTGCAATAAATGACATAAGCGGAAGTGTGAAATAGCACAAAGTTTGACTTGAAAGCCCTTTGCAGTTTGGCATTTTATTATTGCTCATTTGTGAGATCATTTCATACACCCGATGGAGTTTCAGTGTGCACACCTGTCATAAAAATATTAGTTAGAACTTACACTGTGCAATACTGGTAGAAAACAGTGTGCCAAAAGCACATTTTCGCAAAAGAAAATCGATAAAAATAATAGAAAGTAATTACTCAAAATTTGAATTGGTTAGATTTTGTAAATTAAATTTTGTTGTATTTTTTTATATTTATATTTTTTCATTTATGTGTACTAAAAACAAAGCATATTATTTAATAAAGGTTTAAAAATATAAAATTTTAAGGTAAAGAAAATCAAAGCTGCATATTAAAGGTTAAAAAGGTTTTAAATAAAATAAATAAGACTAAAGTTACATACTAAAATATATATATAAGTATATATATAATATAATTAATGATTAATGTATATAACCCTTAGAATTCTTCGAATAGATTAGAGTACATATTATAACAACACAAGCCCGCATATTTGCCTAAAATTACAATTAAATCGCGCCACAATTTGTCACACGACTGATTCCGTTGAGAAATGTTTAACACATTTGAATTCAATTTTCGCTCGAATTTTGATTCATTGTATTTAGTGTGCTGTCTTCCGCTATTCGCTGTTCGCTATCTAAATTCCCAAATCAATTCTCGTTATGTAATTCCTGAAGTTTGCCCATGCAAAAGAAATAAAAACACACTCACTAACTGGAAATGCACGAGCCGATCTACTACGTCACGACTTGGCAGCATCACTCGACACACGCTGTGTTCTTAGATAACAGAGAGATAGCCGCTGTCATCATGAGAATAGTTTTGTACTGTTCAAGGTGTGTTGTGATTGCTTCCAGCGGAATATTTTCTAAAATAACCAACCGTAATTTGCGGGGTTAATTCAATAAGCCAAACAAATAAAAAAAAAGGTCAGATAAGGTAGTGCTTACCCAACACATGATGATTATCTCAGATCAATTAACACAAACATATAATAATAATATTGCGCAGAAATATTAGTTCCGCGATTGGTGAATCATAGTTCAAACTACATTTCTTATCTTTATATATATACTATCTTTATATGTACACTATATATACATATATCGATTTTGTTTATAAGGTGTTTATCCGTGCTCTGTTTTTTGTTGGTCAATTTGTGCAAGTCATTGTTTATAGTCTTCTGATAAGAATTTGATTACGTAGCTGACATATTATGAATGTTATTTAAAATAATAATAATTTTATTATCAAGCTGCCCATCTAGCATACGATTTATTGTCAATTTCAATGTCAGCTAGACTATTTGACTGTCACTATAACCTACCACCTTACTAATTTGTACATCTTTCATGCCTTTCTTCTTGCAGTGGCAAAAGAATGAAGTTAGCACAGCTTACTTGCTGTATCGCTGGATATGGGCGATCTTGTGTCTGGCTGTATACATTACCTGCATTGCATTGCAATTGTGTGACGGGATATTCTTCATCTATATGACCAATTGGGGCTTTGGTCTCATCACCGTCACCATGCTTATGGGGGCGGTGCACGTCACATGCTGGCACTACGATATACGGAACGTTCGGAGTCTGGTGCAAGAGTCGGGACAGAAGGGGCGGACCACCACGTGCAGCTTGAAGATCTATTGGTGGCTGTACAATATGTCACTGCTGATGGCCTTGATCATATCCACTGTGTACTGGGTATTTCTCAACGGTCGGATGAGTGAGTACAATATCAATTAGCAGCTAGCTGACCAAATTAACTAATTCTATGCTATCAATTCCATGTGCGTAGACAAACCGGCACGATTTCCGGTAATTAGCATTATAACACATGCTCTGAATAGCGCCTGTATGATGATCGATTTTCTGATCGTTGCATTTCCGCTGCGACTGCTGCACATGGTGCAGACGATGTGCTTGGCCATTGCCTTCTTCCTCTTCACACTCATCTATCACATCAGCGGCGGCACCGATGAGTGAGTAAATTAGCCCGCACTTTGATTGATGCCATTGATTGTCTTCTCTTCGTTCTTCTTTTATGTACAGATTTGGGAATCCCTATGTTTATCCCATACTAGACTGGCATAATCCCATTCGCTGTCTGGTCACATTCGTCGGCATTTTCCTGATGATCATCTGTTTTTGGACGCTGCTCTTTGGCGCCCATAAGCTGAAGCAGGTCTTCAATCGGGCGTTCAGCATCGTCTGGACACCCCAATCCGTGGGTCTTATATAACACTAGACCCACAAAATCTAGCATCACAAAACTGCACTCAATTAGCGATAAGTAGTCCAGCCCGCATATTGTAATTTTCATTTAGTAGTTACATCTTTGTATTCATCTTTACTTGCATTTACTATTTATATCACACTGTAGCTGTACGCACTAAGATTGTTTTTTAGTAAGTGCTTTTTGCTATGCGGCTAGTTTAAGCATTGTAAGTTTTTTCTGGTTCCTTAATGCCGAGGCAACATCCGATTGCTTTGGCTATTACTTTTAAAGAGTATAAACAATTGAATAAAGCTTGTTACTATGGAATCCATAGTGAAATGATATTATGAAGGAAATAAAATAATGTTTTTTGAACATTTTTCATTGGAAAATCGAAATCAACGGCTTAACTTTATGTAGAAATATCAGTTAAAACTGGATAAATAAGCCAAGTATTACAATTTTACAAAATTATTCGAAAGCTATTAAACTCTAATCAATTTTGAGAGAAATATAAAGACAACATAATTAATAAAATCAGTTAAATAGCTTTCTATCTTAAAAAGAAAAAACTAAATGTGACTGCACTGCACTTTTAAAAGAAACTTCTTAATGCACTGAATATGCTCTAAACAAGAGTAAGGGTAATGAGTTCAATGGCATACATACATCTACGTAAATACATACATACATATAAAGCACGTAAGCAATCATGTACGTATACACATACATAAGTATATATGCAGGTACATACATATTTTTCAACTTTCATTGCACGCTTCTCTCAACACACTTTCAAGGGCTGCGAGTTCTTTTTAATTGTGTTGCTAAATCTTGTTGAGCTTCTGTCAAGTGCTTTTTTTTTCTATGGAATTGAAGTCAACATCCAGAAATAAATGTGCTTTGTGTTTGGATTATTTTCGGCACAAATTTCGACAAAACACGGAGAAATACCTTTGCTGTATATTATAAGTCGTATTCAGCTTATTATTATATGCGTCATCACAAAAAATGGATGGAGTACTTCAAAACATTGCCAAATAATTTCGGTCAGAGCATAAAGCCGGCATACAAAAAAAAAAACAAAAACACAAACGAGTTCTCTAAAAGCAGTGCATGATAAAATACACAATATAAGAGAGAACGAAAGAAGAAAAAGAAAAAAAAATCAACTGTACAAAGTTAGTTAGAAAGAATCTTAGTCTTCTTCTTCTTAGTCTTAATTCTGTGTACGTCGATTGCCAAAACGCAAAGCAAAGATAAAAGACTAATTAGGCCTGTCTGTCGGTCTGTCTGTCGGTCTGTCCCATGAGGGAACTCAAAGAGCTTATGCGAAGAACGTTGAGGGGAAGGGTTGAAGACCGTCGTCATCTTTAATTGTTCTGCAAAAGTTGGCGCGAGAAGTAAAATGAGTACACTCAGCAAAAAGAATGGGTATTTATTCGAAGTGAGAAATAATATTATCCAATTACTTAAATAACAAATTAGCAACTACTTTAATTAATTGGTTTACTATCAATTAAATGAGTAATTTATCGGACCAGTCAACGCCTTAATCTCGTTTGCGACGTACACAGAAAAAAAAGCGATGATAATTCGGAATATATTTTGATTCAAGTGAACAACGTATTCAAAGTCCGTTTAATCTAAAACAAACAACGTTGAATCAAGTTTGTTATTTGCTTACTTTTCATTTTTTTAATCTCATTTTGAAGAACACGTTATAGATATGAGTTTGAGACTCTTCACTTAAGCTTTGCAATTCTGAAATGATGAATTCCTCAATTAAGAACGTTTTTAGAAAGTAATTTTTCTCTCTGTGTTCTCTGGGTTCTGAACTTTAAGCTTGTATACAAAGATTATGGAGTATACTTTAACCATTTGACATACGTTGTTATGAACATTTCATACTTAAATAAACAAAATATTTTATTTTATTTCAGTTTTATGATTTAATTGTTGTGTATCCGACTCTCAGCAGAACAATAAAGCTCGCTCACCTGTGCTCAGTCGGCGCCAACCTCAACACAACCTTTTACGATATTGCGACACACGATCTACGATATTCACTTTTTTTTTGTGACAGTGGGTTGAGGCAAACTCAATTTTAAATTTATTAGAAGGGCTGTAAGTTTTGAAATCTAAAAGAACATAAAAAATATGACTAACTATATGACAGTGCTTTGAGGCATATTAAAATAAACATTTATTGAATAGTTTGTAAAAATTATTCTGTAAATTATTTAATACTCAGGGATATATTATATATACTTAGGGCTAATTATCTATGTACACGCTGACCTAAAAAAATACCATCTGCTTATTGGAGGTCGAAGTGCAGTCAATGGATCTTACAATCACAAAACACACAAATAAATACATGATCATTAAGAAATTAATTATTAATTATAATATTTATTAAATAATATATATTATTTAATATATATTATAAAACAAATTGACAATAGCAAGTCAAAAATATACAAACGAAAAAAAATATATATATAGAAGAATGTACTTTTTGTGAATATTATTTATTTAATACGATACAATAATTATTAAAGAAAATGTTATAAATTTCAGAAGGTTGTCGATGTTTTATTAATATGAATATACATTTATATTTAATTAGTTTATGCTTTACCACAAAACTCTAATAAAATATGCGTTAGTTTTTATGTGAATCTGTATTCACGAAGCGATCATTTATGACCACTGTGCGTCTCAACGCAGAGTTTGCCAGCGTCGACGTTGGCCTAAACAAGTTACGATCAGTTTTGGAACGCGCGTCGCGTCAATAAGTCGTGATTTGTTCGGTCGATCTGAGGAGTCGCGAGCCTCGCCTCGAGCCTCGAGTCTCTGTGTGAGTTCCGCTGATTGTCACTGGGGATTCCTTCTAGGATAGTGATCTGAGGGTTGCGTGCTAAGGTTCTCTGTGCTGGTTGTGTGGCATTGTCGTGTGAATGTGAATGTTAACATTGTTAATGTAAATAATGTGATATAAACCAGATAAAATAACGTCCAGAGTCGTGCGCCGTTATGCAAAATGTTTGACCCAAAAAATAATTACTACAGAGACAAAGACCAGGGCAACTATTAGGCTGCCAAGCCACGCGTATAAAACACGCAAAACGCGCTACAAACTAGTTAACAAAAAAAAAAAAAAAATACAAGTTAAAACAATAATAATAAAAATAATAATAATAGCATACTGGCAAAATGGCAAGAAATTCGCAAGACTCTAAAAAATCCATCGTTGTTGTTACAAAGAGCTTAGCCCATTTAAATTGACGATGGCATTATTCTTTTTGGAATCGTGTGTGGAATTTTTATTGCCTATTTTCTTTTTTTTTTTGCATTTGGGTTTTTTTTGTGTTGCCAAATTTGGCAAGCTTTCAGCTCGTACAAACTGATCATTGAGCAAAAGACAAATAGAATTGCATTGCCTGAAGTTATGCGAGGGTTATGCAATTTCCCCCCCCACATGCAAATTGCCTATTGACAAATTCAAATATTTTCCTTGAAAACAGAAAACGAAACGAAAATTTGAAGATCATATCCATATCCAAGTGAACTCGACCCACCAGATATCCGCGTATTGAATTTTAATTGCCGCATTTAGTGGCACGTACTCAGCGCTAATGCACGTTTCTTACTTATCGTAAATGAGTGACATTATTTTTGATTTTGGCCAGGCCATATCCAATTTTTAGCGAACTGAGTAAATAATAATAATAAACAAATTAAATTCCCTCTACTTTAAAGGAGTGGCAATCCAAAATAGTCAAAAACTTGAAAACAAGGGACAAATTGATACATGTTTATGTTCCTAAACAGAAAAACTTCTTATGCATATAGAAACTTCTAATTAGCCAATTCACACCGCTAATAACGGCCACAGTCAAGGTTTTTCTCATAATGCCAATTAGAGTCTCTAATAAAACTCAAGAATGTTTACGACTATTTTCGCAAACTGAATACAAATAATGAAGGTGCGCAGAAAATATTTTGATTGTTGATATTTGCATATGAAACGGCGTTGAACTCTTTTGAATTCACTTTCTACGCGTAACGAAATGGACATGTGTAAAAGTGACTTATTAACTCGGCTAGATGACAGGCGAGAGAAGATGATAATTATGATGACAATGGATCTGAAGATCTAAAATATCTTATTCATCATTATCATAACGTTAAACGTCGCCCTGGGCTACTTTTGGTAATATGCAACGTTACTTTGCCATTTGGCTACCATTCACAAAGTGTGATTATTTACACAGTTGGCTCAGATGTAAAGGTCAACATGTTTTCATAAGCATAGTTTTGTGCTTATTATGCCGCCTATATTCAAGTCTTCAACTTCAAACGAAGGCAAAAGCCGAGGTTCAATGTAGTACAAATCCAAAAGCCATAAACCTACATATCGCACAGACACACATATATATATATATATATATAGTATATAGTACCTATTGTACACACTTATCGTCTGCTCTTTGTTGACGAATATGCAGCTCAAAAGGTGTAAGCGTAAATTAAACGAAAAACACACGAAATAACAGATATGAGTATGTTGTATTGTATTGAATTACATATCTGCTCACGGTTATCGTGGTTAGTTGGACTGTTAAATACTTGGTTCGACTGCCACTCGAAGTGTCTTTCAGACCTGTCTTTCAATTCGCTTTTTTGATGTTCGTGCAAGTTCAGGGACGCGAATGTCGCACACCATAAAATGTTTTTGCTGAAAACAGACTTGAAATTAAATGCGAACAAATGGTGACTAAGTAACAGCTGATGGATCTGGACAAGCCTTTATTGTGTTTTCTTTGGCTTATCACGTATGTGTGAACAGAAATTTGAAATTAAATGGAAAATGAACAACAGCTGCAATATATATTAGAAAAATGTTATAAAATCCAATTAAGTTTAATAGGCTTCTTCAAGTTGTACATTTAAGTGCTAAAAGGGAATAAAAAGCCAAATGAAAAGTCATCTGTAAATCTAGAAAATTATCCGTATCCCTTGTGACCAATAACTTTTCGAACGAATTCTCCAAACTTCCTTACGGTATTCGTTGAGTGAGTGTGTTCCAGTCTGGCGTAACTGACTCTCCATCCTCATAAGGTTGGTCAGGATCAACAGCTGAGTCGATCTGGCCACGTCCGTCTGTCTATTTCTTCTGCATCGGATCACGGAGACTATAAGAGATTTAAATTTGGAAAATATATTCTCCTACACATAATAATGGGATCGACTATTATGATGTTCCACTACGATGATTTGGTTTCGATACGGTCATTTTCAGACAAAGACTATCTGTTCCGGTATTTGGGTTTTAAACAAATATTGAACGTAGGCTCTGATTCCGCTTCCGATTCTCAATTTGAATCAGTTCATGCCGGACATGCGGTTCCGATTCCAATTCCGGTTTGACACCCTGATTTTTATACTGTCCCCATAAAATCTATGATTAAATGGGGTATTTTGTTGCATGAAAAGTGCACAAGAAAACAGTTCCAACCCCATGAAGTGTGTGTATATATCACTGATCATCATCTATGACAGAGCTGATTTGTCTTTGGCCTCTTCCGTTTTCCTAACATCATACAAAAATCGTCCCGACCACTTTTTGTACATATTTTAAAGATGATTAGAGCCAAATGCACAAAATGAAGACATAAAGTATATTTCACCTTTTTAAAATTTGTTTTTAGTGTACAAATTTAAACATGTTAGGGCATCTATAAATAGTGTTAGTCTGATACATAAAAAACCAAGTTTATAAAAATAATGCTCTGACTGACCTACGGCTCATAATGATTGCTTCAATAGTCGTTGAACATTTTATATTTGTTAACCTTGCAGTTTTTAGTTCACCTAGCGGCGACCTTATAATGAATTTATCTTTTAAACAGCATATTATTAAACAATAATATAATTAAAGTTGCCCAAATTCCTACTTATTCGCTGAACTAACTATTAAATACTATAACTAGACGTGGCATGAAAAATAATATAATATAATAATTACAGGGCGCAATTGCACTTCAAATGCAAATTGCAATTACTATATAAATTAATAATCACACATCTTTATCTGGTTGAAACTCGTTCAACCGAATGCGTTGGCAGGCTATAAAATGAATTCTCTACAAAGCCATTTAAGGAATGAGGAAGGAATGACCTTCTAAAGCTCCAAAAGGCCGTCAAGGTCTACAAAAAATAATGCTGTATTCAACTTCTAGTAGGGTATTGACAATCTTGTCACTATTTTTATTTTATGTCTGTCAATTGAATTACAAAATCGAGGACGAATAATTAATTTAGAAAGTAGTGCTAAAATTTGTGCTAGACATGCTCGATTACTGCGTTTAAGAAATATCACTTTATATATCCATTCCGATAGATTCGGCATCAATATTATAAGCAGCATATTGACTATTTGCACGTAAAATTTCTCTGGTCTCCAGATGATCTGCTTTGCCCAACCTTTGCAATCGGCCATAGATTTTGATATATTTCTTGTCATTATCGTGAACCATTTGGCCACCACCTAAACACTCTGTGCAGAGATCCTGCGCACTGGCTTCCTTCTGCAATTGATCATAAACATCAACTGTGGACAGGCAACACATCGAGATACAAAGCGATCATCTACAATCCAGACTCAACTTACAATGGTATTTGACACGGGGTACACCACGTATAACTATTTTGGATTGTTCCGATTCGTCATGAACGAAAACCTTGGCGATAATATATTTAAGCTTGCCCTGACCAATTGTTATCTCTGGGAAGGTCACAAGATTCTTCAATTTTTTATCGTTGCAATAATTACGGGTTGCTTCCAAAGGCAGTTGATAAAATAGAAGTTATTATTGTAGAAGACACGATTACTTACTACGCATTATTGGACGCCAAAATGGCAAAATTAACGTTCGTACTTTATCCATATCGAAATAATTTTGAATGGAATTAAATTTTTTAAATCTATTTTTCGTTGTTTATTATGAAGTACAATCGTTTGGACTGAGAACATAAAATGACGACAATAACATTACCAGACGGGCTACTAAGTTTAAACAATTTAAAAAAAAAAACTGTATTTACTGAGTCGGAATAATAATAAACTTGAATAATATAAAAACTAAATATTATATGTTCTAATAACAATTCACAACCTAAATTGTTTAACCCATAGCGCTGTTCTTCGTCTTGGAAATAATTAAATTAGAAACGGCTAAAGAAAATGGACTTTCTACGATTTGCTCATTTTGCATAATAACAAGCGTGTCGGAACAAGTTACACCATCCTGGTCTTATAAATAAAAACAAAAGCATATTTAACAAAAACAGAAAAGGAACTTCGAGTTGGATGTCAACAAGATGGCAAAGCTTGAGGTGATTGTGCATCCAGTGAGAAAAGAATTTAGGCGTAAGCGATGCGGCTTTGATCATGATACTCCCGATGATTTTGTCAAATCACAGGTAAGTCATAATCCAACCAAAATAAATCACAATGTGGTATAATGTGGTACTGATAAGTCTCCATCATTTGATATGCACCAGTTGCGTATTATGTGTATTATTTAAATGTCAATGTGCGTCACAGGTTTATATTTAACTGGTTAGCCAAAGAATGCAGCTCGAGGTCAGATTGTTAACAGAGCCTTATGAAATACAGTCTAGCAAGGACATTATAGATTAGATGTGAGCCTTAGAAGTAAGCTTAGATTAATTCGATTATACAAAAGACCCTGAAAGCCCCTCATCCCATTCTGGAAAGCTCTACTATTGATCGTCTTAGTCACCAGTACACCAGGTCGCTGCCTTTATATAATCAAATGACCAAAACTGTAAGAAATGGGCGTTGTCCAGTTGCTGGGTTTTAACCATTTCATTGTTTCACCTTGAGCATATTTGATGAATCTATTTCATGCACAGTATCAATAGAATGAGTGGGCAGCTCGGGTGGTTCGGTGGGTTGTGTGGTTTAGCTATCAACTCGATTGTTCTAGCATTGTAAATTAAACTTTTAAAATATTAATAAGCGGTAAAGAGCTACGAACTGTACACAGCCATGCACCGCTTGTGGTGCCAGGTACAATAAAATTACTCACAGCCCCCAGACTCAATTCTTGGCACTATTGTGGGTCTATTGGACTGGTATGTCCACACACACATGGATGTGCATACTAATTTAGACATATGTAGGCAGAGTCGTACGACTTAATATTCATACTCAGCTATTCGAAATTGCAGTGGCAAACCTGTACAAAGAGCATTGCATATTTGTTCTATCGCTGGCTGATGGCCCTCTTCTTCATTGGCGTTGTCATTGAGTCCATGTGGCCGTCGGCGGATCATGAGTACAGCTACTGGATCTACTTTATCTATATGACCAATTGGGGCATATGGATGTGTATGCTAACTAATTTACTCGGCGCTATACTGGTCACAATTTGGCATTATCATCCGGAATATGCGGGTAAGTTATTATATTTACAGCTCATGGCGATAACTATCTTATTCTGATTGTACGAGATTAGCTTAAAACATGCGATCATTATAAAACACTCATAGGTAATTTAGTTAATTTAGTTCTTAAACTCTGATAATTTCTTAATCTCATCGTATTTGTTATCTAAACATATTTGTTAAGAATCGATCGTTTTAGTTTTTCTCCACTCCTTCAACTGAGATTTAAGAGCCTATTGATTGGATAAGAATTTCCCTTTTATAGTCTAACTTAATTTTCCCAAATACTTCAATTTTTAGATTTATTCTGCTCTCTTTAAGCTGAGATTTAAAAGCCGTTGAATGGGATAAAGCAAATTTTAACTGATCTTAACTTTATCTTTCTCAGATAAGCAGGCGCACTTTTGTAGTAAGTTTAGTTAAATAAAAATGACTTCATCTAAAGCTCTGATATTTTATATTTGTAACTCTTGCATTATCTTATAGTGTAACCATATTTGGATAAGGCTTAAACTGATACTTCAGGTTTTCGATTTTTTATTCTCTCCTGCAAACGAGATTTGATAAGATAAGGCAACTATATAACTATTCATAACATTGTCTTCCACAGATAACCTTCTTAATTTGCAACCATTTAGTCATTTTACTTAAATAAAAATATATTCTTCTTATGGTCACATAATTTCTTTTTGTAAAAGGGGCATTACATTATAGCGTAACTATATTTACTGAAGGTTTAACCTATTAACGATAATAAGTTTTTTCCGAGATGCATCAATGCATGCCAATAAAATAAAGAAAAGTTTGACTGATCCTAACTATATCGTCCACAGATAAACTGCTTAATATGCGGGCGTGGACGAGTCCTTTTCGCATATACTGGAGCATGCATATAATAACGCTGGTATTATCGATAGTCATAACTATTATCTACTGGAGCATACTCTACAATGGTAAGTCTTGTTTGTGGTTGAATAATTCACCGAAAAATTTGGTTTAAATGAGTTGCGTCTGTTGCCTTTGCAGTGAATGAGAGTACTTTGGATGCAACAAATGTGCTCACCCATGCATTCAACTCCATTTGCATGTTCATTGACCTGTGGATTGTGGCGCATCCGTTGCGATTGCTGCACGTATTTCTGCCAGTATTATTCGGTATTACCTATGCCATATTCTCCTACATCTATTATCTGTGTGGCGGCATTAACAAGTAAGTAAGCCAGGTCTACTTTATAACGCATAACAATTGTATTATTTCCCTGTTTGTGTCCAGGAAAGGCAAACCGTATATTTATCATGTTATAGACTGGAATCAGCCACAAAATGCATTGATAACCGTCTTGGGCGTCTTGGTGGTCTCTTGTTGCATCTATGCACTGCTCTTTGCCTTCTTCAAGCTGCGTCTCTTTCTCTCGCGTAGCTGTCGCCAGGGCAGCTTTGTACTGCCGACCACAATCGGCAGCGCCAGCAAACAGTCTGGCAAGGCAGCGAATGACAAGCTGGCAATGTCGAACGGCATTCAGCATTCACCCTCCCGCATCTCTATGGTGCTAGGCAACCACGCTGGCTACGAGAATCAGGCCTACAGTCCCAGCACCGGAGAAGAGAAGCCAAAGAGCTAAGCTCATCTCACATCTGACTGATAGCTGGATGGATAGATGTATGTTGGATTATGATGTAATTTTACCTCAGCTAGATGACAAGTGTGCAATTAGCATTTACCTGAATGTTGTCTTAGCTTTTTTTGCAACTTTAGTCAAATTGTATAGGGGAATTTTAGCCCAGTGATATTGTATTATATTGTAGTTTATTCTAAGCAAATAAATGTTGTGTATGTATATCAATTGTATTATATATAAATAAATGTGAATTTTTAAATTATTTTTTTAAATTATTTATATGCAATACTTGGATAATCTCATGATTAAAGCAGTCTCAAAAATATGCGTTGGTTAGGTGACCCCTGACACATCCCATTAAAGCGCTTTCGCCTAGAGAACTCGTAGCATTATAACTTACATTATTTATAGAATTTCCTAAATTCTTTTTGGTTTTAAGTGCGACAATTAAAGTGCGAAAATTATAATAATATTACTAGTATTTTAAACTGAAATTTCTTAGGGCTTCTCCATTATAAATAATGGCCTTCAATATCTATTTACACAAACGTCGATTTAAGTTCAATCATTTCTCCTTGATAACTTTGGCTTTGTACTAATTGTATATGTACATTTTGTATAATCTACTCATTCTGAAGCCCTCATTTATATTTAAAAATGTATCCTTGATAGCGTCGTTTGTGTCCCCATTTTTGAATCAACATTTACGCTCAACTGGAAAACCCAAATATGAATTAAAAATTCCATTAAATATTCAAAGCGCGTTGAACTCTGGCTAGGCGGGGCAGGGAATGCCGTTGGTGTTCCAGGCTTGGGAACTTTACAGTTGATATATCAAAAATTAATGCCCAAGTACATTGTGCTCTATGGATGAATGATAGGCGGGAATCGTTTGCATGTACTTGAAAAGGGTATATAAACAAGTGCTGACAGCAAGAAAATGAATTAACTGATATCGCCGATTTTTAGATACTCTTTTAGTCCATCTAGTCGCGAAGGATCCCACCTTTTGACAGATAGTGCCGACAGATACAGCCGAAACGGGCTCTTAGTCGATCTTTCAATGCGTTCCACATTTTTTGATAATATTGTAAGGCTTTATAATTTGTTAGGGTATACGAATATTATAACAATTGATTAATTGATTGAAGGACTTCGGTGTTGCCAACAAAACTATGGAAAGTTGCTCAACAAACTGCTTCGGCCTTGAGAAATGGGTGAGAACCAATGTGTCATAAGTAAATATTTTACACAATGTCCTAATCACATAGAAATGGTTGTATTGGCCCATTGTCTAAATAGAGTAATCAATCACAAGGTCTGTTATATTTGAAGTGTAGCTATTCAAAGCACAGTTTGTTTAATAATCGAATTACCTATTATAGCTATAATACATAATATATAGTTGATGAAATCTTGGCCAACAACTTTAAGATAAAATATATGATATTTTTTAATTATCATTACTCTCCTGATTATAATGCAAACAAATCTTAATGTTAAGCAAGGCAACTGAAACTATTATTTAAATATAATATATTATTTAAATATTAATTAACATAGATATTGGTAGACAAGAAATTATTGCAAATATGTTGCTTGGGCAAAGTCAAAACCACAAAAACTAGTTGATTGTTGTTTGAGTCATTTAGATTTGGGAATACCTTTAATGTGACCTTTTCAGCACATTAGCACACACGCAGTGTCCTTAATCACAGCTGCCCGATTGTCCAGTCGCCTCCCAACTCCTACCACACGGAGATAGCTGGGGAATCAATTGACACAGCTAGACGAATTCATTAAACTGGCGCTATTGTTGTTGTTGTTGTTATATTTCTTACCGGCTATAACCTTAATTAAGTTTCCAAAAGCATTTAATAACCAATCCCCGAACAGTTGTTGCAAGAACTTAAGGACGAGAAAGACACGTGCTGTTCGAACACACCCCTTCCTTCCACCCTGATGACGATGACACTGTGCTGAGGGAGGCATTCTAATTACGCATATGTTATAAATTTGAGGACCTCCTAATCAAAATCAGAGCAGACAGCTACAATTGGCCTGCCAGGTGTTTGTGTGTGTGCCAATCTTGTTTGTCGTTACTGTCCTTGAGTGACACGGCATGTCACAATATCCACCGCAAATTAACGTCGCATCTGTTTAGGGCACCGATCGATATGTGAACATTTTTGATCGATATGTGTTTTCCTTGAGCTTTGAACTTCTTTTCATGTCCTTGTCGCGCCTATTGACCTGTTCTCCATGCGCCCCGACTGGCCCTCATCATCGTTAGGACAACAGGCCGAAACCAATAGGACGTTCATTGAATACTTTCGGAAATTTCGACAGCTGTCAATGTCAAGTCAATGATTATATTACACTGCACCGCAAACTAGCACCATAATTAAACACAATCAATAGTGTGAAATATTAATTGAATAACTCTGGTTCTTACCACTAAACCATCACAGCTTTTCTATTCCATTGTTAGGCCCCCAGAATTAAACAATTTAGATTTATGGCTCTGTCATTATTGTGCAATTTTCTACCAATAAACAACGCATCCAAGTAATTTTGAATGAAGCCCGATATGCATAATTGCTTAAGACCATTAAAGTGAACCATTTCACCTACGGTGTGGATAATTGAAATACATTCAGCAGCAGAGCAATATACTACAATGGTAAAATAAATAGATTTTGTGGAAATGCATATTACAAGGTTGTATATACTTGATTATCGTAATGAAATTACAGCTACGCGATCAAAGAATAATACAAATAAGCATATTTTAGTAAACAAATAAGTTGTTCATACAATAACTCACATCTCAAACAGATAGCTATAAAAATCGAGGACTAGTTTGCATAGAGAATATTAAGACCATAGCAATAATCTAAGCTCTACATAGTAAACTAAATATTTGAAACTGTAATTTAAAAATACATAACAAGTATTAGCAAATACTTGATTATCGAAATTAGCATATCGAGCATATCTTGGTAAATAAAAAAAGTTATTCATACAATAACTCATATATCAAAACGATCGCTTCAAAAGCCAGAGACTGGTTAGCAAAGGAAATAATCTGCTAATGAGACTGAGCTAGTAAATATACTTTATGCATCAGAGAATGCAATCAAATAGTAAAACATTAAAAATTAAATTATTTTTATTTATATGCAGTCTGAACAGCTTAAGCTTAATATTCCAAATTTAATTTGTTTGGTATACAATCTGAATTAAGTGTGAATTCATAAAAATAATAATAATAATATAAAAAACATTTTTCAATCACTCATCTATTTATGTGGCTTAAGCTGAAGTCCGAACAGCTGCACCTTAGAGGATTTATTTATACCCAAAAACAACAACAGCAAGAATAACAAAAATCATCTGAGACAACAGGATGGCAGTAACACAACAATATGAAATGACAGTGACAACAAGAAAAGAACCGGAAGCATTTGAAGGAGTAGTGAGAACGCACCAGGCTGGCCAGGACATTGTTTGGATTGCATAAACAAACTTCGGCACAGGCACACACGAAGTTTGGTAGAGCAATAACTAACTGATATGTGGGTGTTGTGCACCATTTTCCAGTGCTGGTAGAAAAGTTGCCCGGTTTGGGACACCCACACGAATGCATTGTAAATCATGTGAACTGGACTGGAATTCATAAAGTATTCATTAATTGGAAAAGCGCGCTTGCCTGGCTGTTTGCCTGTTTGGCTGACCAACAGGCGAGGCTTGTAGGTAAAAACCGAAGCATTTGTCATATTTGAAATTCAGTCTCGTTTCGGACGCTCGGGCAGCAGAACCTGTTTCATTTTCTACAATAGTACCAATCGCAGTCATAAATCAGGGTTACACGACGCGTTTAGGGCTATGGTAACGGACCTGCTTGAAAAAACCGGCGCTATGTAGTAAATAATTTCCCTGTGCGTGTTGTCGACGATAAATATTTACGTGTCTCCCAGAGATACCAAATACAAAATAAAAGAAAGAAAAAAAATTAAATAAAAATTAGCGGAAGCACATACAATAGCAAATAAAATCTGAAAACAAGTATTCGGCTTATGAGAAAATTTAACGAGTGAATGTATCCGAAACGCAAGTGGAAAGTTCCATTTGAATTGTGTTACCAACTAACTAAACTCCCTTACTCTATGCGTTAAGTGTGTGGAAGAGAGAGGTAGAGCAGCCAAACAGTATTGCGAAAATTCTGCTATACTGGCCACCGAATGGATAATGGGTATTTGCTTAGACACAGGTAAGCAACTCAGCTTTTGACCAACAGGCCACAATAACACAACCGGCTCAAAGCAACAGTCAAAGCAACCAGCTTGTAGCTCGAGTACATTATGGTTCTATAGTAATACAAATATTGTGTCTGCAATTGGCTTGCATATCGATTCCAGTCATACTTTAATGAGTGGCCAACATAAATAAATGATTTATATGAGGCATTTCGACTGACACGTGGTATCAATAGTAGTGTTAAAGCATATATTAAAAAAAAGAAATAAAAAGAAATTAAATAAACGTGTTTTTTCTCTTATTTATGTACTTAACATACTTATAAATTTAAAAAATAGAATAAGAAAATAAAAGGATTGTGAGTAGATTGCTTATCGATTCAAACTGATTTTTGAGCAATTTCTGTTGTAATATTTTATTAATAATGTGCACAACATGCTTTAAGTTAGTATTGAAAACATTGTTTACATACAAATTAAATACGCGTGTTCCGATTTCATTTCTCAAATCCAATTCTCCTACGAAGTGCTCTGAAAGTTATAAAGATTTCGACTTTGCTTTAAGCTAAAATTTATATACTTTGCTGAATATCTAATTCTGTTTTTAAAATCGAATTTAAAATTCTATTCTTAGGTTGTTATACACGAAATTGCATTGCAAGGGTTAACAAATCATAGAAAATCAATTGTATTTCATTATTTTGACATATTTGAAATTTGAAATGTATTCCTAGGTCAAGTGACAATTTAAGAGATTTTATATATTTATTTAATTGAATTTGCTATTCCCCTAAAAGTGTGCAATGAAAATAATAAAAACTCGTTAGTCGAAATAATTGCAAAATTGCTGTAAATACAATTCAAACAAAATTATGAGTCACAAGCGGCAATCTGGCTTGTTACACACTCGTTTGGAGAGCATTTAGGTACAAAACGATTTGACAAAATAATTCTAATTCGATTGGACCTTGCACAAACACTGTAATTTCCGGGGCGCTTGAGCCAAGCGCGGCCTCGCTTATTGGCCCTTGGACATGTTCGTTGACCATCAAACGGGCAACAAACGCATATGAAAAAATCTGGAAAAGTCGAACAAAGATTAAGTCCGTGTGGGTGTGGGCTGAAAAGGGACAGCAACAATAACAAAACAACATGTCAATTAAATAAAACTGCAGGAAAATCAATAAAAGTGTCACAGGTACGCAGAAGAGTGGAGAGTAGAGGAGAGCGAGTTGGGTCTGAGAACCACCGCTAATCGCATGTGGCAGCCACTGGAAATACGCGAAATTGTCGGCATGGCTGCCGAAGAGTAGGCAACGCTTTTGCGCAGCTGATTTTCCATGAATGAACATATAACTCCGTTTGTATTGGTGACGCAATGCGCGCAACACCCCAATTAAATAGTTGTAAAACATATTTTAATGATGTGTTTGGGGTTTGTTGTTCAGTTAATTTCCTACCACAAGCAAATTGCTTCCGCTCGCTGCACTGGTAATGTGCTAATGCCATTTGACACGTAAGGGGGCGGGTCTCTAACTTGCCAGCACATCCGGTTTCCGGTTCTGAATAATGCGCTGCTCTCAACTGTTGCTTTGTAGCGCTTTAGACTTAAGGAATTGAGATTGGCTGGCTGTAAATTCTGTAAATATGTATTTTTAGATGCCAGCGCGGCACAAGATACCGGCGAACCAGGCAACGATTGGAATCATACACGGAATCAAAATGGCCCAAATGCAACCGCTGGCAGCGTTATGGCACTGAACGGGAATGGAAGACTTGGCTCGGCCAATATCGGCGCTATCGATATGCAAAACGCTGGAAAAATCAAATTCGATCCGCCCAAGGTGCCAGTGATATTTGTTTTAGGCGGCCCAGGTAGTGGCAAGGTCACCCATTGCGATACCTTCATGCAGGAGCGACGAGGCGTCACGCACATCAATATGATGGATCTGCTGCAGCAATATGCAATGGGGAATGGTAAGTTTTCAGTTAACGAATCTGGTACGATCAGCTTACCAAATATATATTACCCACTGCAATGATTTACCTATTTAGTTGTAAAATAAAGCTACAAAACAAACTTAAAACTACACTCAGAAGAAAATCGTCTTCAACTTTAGATTATCCTCATAGTTTTGTCTCCAAGGGTAACTCCACTCATTATTCAGAACTTATATTTCTTAAAGAGAATATTGTATTTTTCTAAAAATCTGGGTTTTGCATCTCTTAATTATACACAGAACTTTTATTAAAGGCTAGTATGATTTCGTTATTGTACTTCTTAAAAAAAAAACACATTTCTAATTTGAAGAACTTTTCTTTAGCTTAGTAAAACCCTTTTTCTTTCAGTAGAGTTTTAATTTTAGTGCTGAGTGTAGTAATTCGCCTTGTCTTTCTTTAATCAGTTGAACACATAATTTCTGTATTTGCCCCAATCTTATTGGATTTATTTTGAATAACATCGAACATTTGCTTCAACATTGCAGATATGCAAGACTTTTCGCAACTATCGTCGAAAACAGTCACCGAGGTGTTGATGTTGGAAATGAAAATGGCTCCAGCTGCCAAAGCATACCTTATATCAGGATATCCACGATCCATGCGCGACGTTGTCGAGTATTCGGAGAAGGTAATTAATAATTTCACACAATTACTTTTAGAAATAACAACAGACATGCACATTCATATTATTTATGATGAAACAATTTGTGAGTCTCATTTATTTGCCTTCTTATTTGTCCAGCAAATTGCTGTTGAACCATTCTCACTAATTAGCTGTCAAATGGGTCAGCATTTATTTATTTAAGCCTAATTCCTATGCATTTCCAGTCGAGTACATAAGAATGATCTATACTTATGCACACACATGTGTTTGTATGTCTATGTGCTAATTGACTGAAGTGGCCTCTAGGGGCACATTGGGGCTTATATAATGCAGGAGGAGAGCTTTGCTACTGCTTAGTGTCAGTAAAAAAAGGACAGATATAGTTGAAAAACCTGCACGCTGTTACCAAATATATAGATATATATTATGTATATATATTTAAGTATAGTGGTATTAGTTGCTAATCTGCTTCTATTTCGGTACACTAATTGTTTTAATAGCTAGCAATTAAATGTAGCGTTGGGTGGCTGCCATAATATGGTATTATTTTAAACTTGAATCGATTTATTCTAAGGATTATTGTATTTTTAATTTTATTAGTAAAAATGGTTTCTAGGTTCGCTAAGTGATATAGAAGTGCGATTTGCTGCTGAATTTCTTAATAGCTTGCAGTTAAATGTCCCTTTTGAATGTTACTTTAAAAGTTTTTGTATTTTTGTTTAGCCGAAATCGATTTTGTCCAAAATGTAGTATATTCATTTTATCAATGAACTAGCTATCTTAGACATCACCTTTGCAGACATCAAAAACTAATAACAAAAATCAATCCGATTTTTCTTATGTCTGATAGTTAAAATCATAATAACACTTGCAATTAGCCAGTTGGTTGGATATCTTGTTATGAATGTTATTCATTGAAGAACTAATTGTTGTTTACCGAAATTTCAGGTTCATAATGTCATAACTTGTATTTATTGAGTTTTAACAAATTATTTTGGTATAGTTGATATAGTTTAGCTCAGCTTCGCACTTTTGCAGTGATGCGCAGCATTTTGTTGTCGGAGCAGTTGCTCGCCTGTTATACAAATAGTTAGACAACTGCCGGTTTTAGTCCGGAGCGGACAATGGCTAGCAAATAAGCGTGAAGTGAAGTCAAGTGCATCAGCTGCTTAAATATTTGACATTTAACTTAAAACAAATAATGTTGCAACAATGTTATGCACTGCTGTCCGCTATTCGATATAAAAGCCACTCAAATTGCAGAGCCAAAGGCATCTGAGCAACTCAGCTAACACGATGCAGTCGATCAAGGGAGTAATACTGTTGCTCACACTGTGCTTGTGTGCAAGTGGCATTCGGAGCAGGTCAACCTCCAACATATTTGACAGGGTATGGGAAGATTTGGGTGATAAAGGCAACACTATCCTCGATGGCCTAAGGATTGCAGGAAATGACGGCGCCACAAGAGGAAGCGAATTGCTCAAAAATTTGCACGACATCAAGGGCGATTTTTGGGATGATTTAACCCAATTGGGGCAGGATTTGTCCCATGCCATTTCGAAGGGCGTAGTTACTGGACTCGCTGAGTTGGCGCAAGTCTTATCGGATAATATTTCAGCCCTTCAGGCTAAAGTGAATGCAGAACGGAACACCATGAAGAGAAAGGTCCTCAGAACTGGGCTAAAAACACTTGTGAAACTCGTCTCAGTGACTAATGAACTGCAATCCGTATTTGCCGATTTAAACGAGAAGCTGGCTGACAAGGTTAACAGCCAACTAAATGAATTTCTTGCAGATTTGCTGAAATGGAGTGAGGAGCAACTGAAACGTGTGGAGGAAGGAACGAATGGAGTTGGTCTCCCGGAAGCGAGCGATTTAATTGAAGCCCTAATCAAACAATTCACGGAGAGTTTAGTGAATGCAATCGATGAGCTTGAGTTCAAAAAGAGCCTGATTGAACAGGTGTTAAACGATAAAATCGATGAATATACCGGTTATGTCAAGGATCTAATTGAAGCCATGAACAATTCCGATAAATCAGACAACAATCAGTGCTCAAATCGTATTGAGGAAATGGTGGAGAATTTACGCGATGCTCAAGAAGAACTACAGCGATTGATTGAGAAGGGCAAAGACCTGCTCAACGATGGTATATTTGGATCTGATACGTTTAACGCCGTCTTGAGTAAGTTGATCAGCGATGCTCTCCAAATCGAAGAAGCCCTGAAGAAAATCATTGGTAAATCGGAACCACCGACAAATGGGGAAAATGAAGGAGATGAAGCAGATGAAGGAGATGAAGCAGATGAAGGAGATGAAGCAGATGAAGCAGATGAAGGAAATGAAGCAGATGAAGGAGATGAAGCAGATGAAGGAGATGAAGCAGATGAAGGAGAAGAAGATGAGGGAGGATGTTAGTCATTCATCAGTCCCGGTGGGCGACGGCATTAGTTTCATGATATTATTATGATAACATAATAACTATCTTGGTAAATAAAAAAAATTTCTCATACAAGAAATCATCTATCAACTGATTGTTTATTTGTGAGCCAAATGAAATATTGATTAGATCCGGCCGATTCTTACTTATTTACTGCCGCAACAAAAAGCGCAGAAGTTACAAGTTTCAGTATTTTATAATTGGTACTCTAGCCTAAATAAATTGTTAGAAGGTAAAGTCAGCATTATATTTAGTCATATTTTATTATAGATATTAAATGCATCGACAGTCAGTCGCAATGTGCACAAGGCAATATTCAGCTGTCTAATAATTGTTTGTTTATTACAGTTCTAGCAACTGTCTAAATGTTTAATGAATACAAATATTGCCTGATGCATTTATCGTTATTATTAAATAATTAAAACTTCTCACGTACTGTACTTGTACTTGAGTAAACAAACGTCAACTTTTATGCATCATCTATTGGTTCTTGCCCCATAATTCTACACGAAAACTTATATACGCTACCTTTTAATGTCATCTATAAAATACATGTGCCATAATTTCATTTAAAAATCGACCTGAATTTTACAACATTGGGACAAGCTTAACTCACATTAATATTTAGAATTTTTTATTTTAATATTTATTTTATCTTTTTAAAATCAGGGAATTCTTTGCTTAATTCAAAGGTCAATTTAAAAAAAAATAGCTCTAACTTTTAGGTTGAAACATTATTATTTTAAAGGAGGTTTTCTAAAAAGAAAGGATTGTATTTCTACATTTTAGTTGTCCTTTCTATTATGAATGTCTTTTTTGTATATCTAAAGATTATTTCTACAGAAAAAAATAAAAACTTTCTAGTATTGAGCGTGACTTTATATAAGATTGCATTTAAGCAGACAGAATTACGAACAGACTGACTTGGCTATACCGACAGAAATTGATACTTTTGATATTAAATCAAATATTTCACTTATTAAACTTTTTTTAAACTTGTTCATATTTTCCAGATACAAGTCGTTAATGGTGTTATCTTAATATCCTGGCGTCAATCGGTGCTACAGAAACAAATTGATTATGGCGCTAAATTAGGTCATGTTGTTCTCTCCTTAGCCAAAATGGAATTAGAAAATTTCTTCAAAAATGTGATGCCGGTCGCCGATTATTTTGATCAAAGTGACATGCTATTGGCCGTAAGTAAATTCAAAACTTTATTTATATGCGCACATTTCCAGCAAGAAATCAAAAAAAATATAAAAGAAGAACAGTATAAGTTAAAGAATAATTTTTCTTGATATGATGATACAAGAAATGATGTGAAAATGTTCGTGGAAATGCGCATTTATAAATAAAAATGTTTAAAATGTTTTTCCAATTTTATTAATTTTTGACTTCATATTGCAGGTAAATGGTGAGCGTGCTCCCACAGAGGTGTATAAAGACTTTCGCACCGCTGTGCTAGACATATTGAGCACGCTCGAGAATCAAGAGGCCATTCTGAATGGAGTAACAGGTATGGGCAGAGGGATACTTGATATACCCGGCAGTATAGTTAGCGTTGACACCGCACCTAGTCAAGCCCAAGCGCCTCAAATTACAGACCAAGTCGCCGCATCTGCGGCAAGTGGGCCCAATTTCACAAGCGCTGTGATATCTAATGTGGCCGCCAACGCAGCTGCCACAGCTGCAGGAGTACTGAGAACCGGTGGCACAAGTGCAGATGATGACAGCGGTGTGGTTGTCACACAACAGCCAAAGTTCACCAATGCCAGCCACAGCATGGACGCCAACGACGAACCTGAGCAGAGTATTCCGCCCATCATTTGGGTGATTGGCGGACCGGGCAGTAACAAGGCCACCCTCTGCTTGAAGGCGGTTGGTCTCAATCCCGGCTGGTCGCACATCAGGTGAGCATTAACTGAACCCGATTGATCCTCGTTGCTAAACTGTTGTTTATGCAGCGTTGGGCGTCTGCTTCGCAATATTACGGACATGGCGCCACGTGCGAATACCGAGAGCTATGCCGTCAAGGAAGCTCTTGCTGCCGGTGAGATGGCACCAGAAAAGTCGCTGAATCAACTGCTGGATAGCAATATTCGTCAGCTGCGCGACAAAACTGGCATCATCATCGATGGCTATCCACGTAATTTACAGCAGGTCAAATACTTTGAAAACAAGGTATGAAAATGAACAGAAATAATGAATAGGAATATATAAACTTATATAACTGCTAATGAGTGGCATTGCCCCTGACTTAGCTTGGGTTACGTCAGACAATTGTTGGCTAATATAGCCAGAATTGGCTCGTTCTACTATCGTGTTCCGTACTCCGTTTTCCTGACTCTGGCTGGAAACAGCAAGATTAGAAGAAATAGTGAAATTAGATAGGTCGACTTGAAAGTGGCTTTCCATCTGTTAATCTCTAACTGGCAAGTGACGAGGAGTAGCAAAATAAGTGTCCTGGAGATTTTTCTTATTACTCCAGCAACTTTCGCAACTAAGATTGCCCAGCTGCTGTTTTGGGAGGGATGAGAAGCACTCCGCATGCCACCAAGCCCACTTGAGCCAAGTTCGGCTTATACCGCATGGACTGCAACCCCTTCTGCTCTTACTTGTGTCACTCCACATCAGTAAAACTAATGCAGCTCTTTGTGTTAGTTCATGTAGAATACGATTTTATTTTTGGTTCATAGCTTATACTTAAAGCGCTTAAAATTTCTTATGGCTTAATCCAGTTAAGTTCCAATTACATTTTTCTCACTTTTCTCACTGTAGTACAAACAACGTCCGCCCACCATTCTACTGGACTGCTCGAAATTGCAGCTGGGTCGCGGACGCATCGACGATACGGTCTCCTCGTTTCGACGTCGCCTGGAGATATTCCGTGAGCAGACGCTGCCGATGCTGAAGACCATGGATAGCAGCAATCGATTGCAGATTGTAAGTGTGCGGCTCATGCACAGCCAATTGTTAGCTAATTGGGAATTTACACTGATTCAAGGTCGATGGCGATACGGACAGTCCCTCCGTGCAGCGTGAGTTCGAGCGTTTGATACGCAACCACATTCAACAGCTGACGAATAAGGTGGAGAGTGAGGAGGTCAGTGAGGCGCTGATGCGCAACGAGCAAACCGATGCCATACTCCACGACCTGGAGACGAATGTGCCGGGTGCGGTGCCCACGATCAGTCATCATGTGAGCATGATGAATGGACACCTCAAGAGCCGTGGCAGCGCTCAGGTTATTGCTAAAAGACCCACCCAGATAATGAATGGCCATGCAGGAGCACGACCCGGTACAGGTCCTGTTGCTCCGCTCGCTCAGCATGTCGATTTTCGGCATATGCTCGAGGAGGCCGAACGCTATCCGGTGGACTCGTACATGTAGAATCGTCTACCCGAAGGTGTCTGCACGCAGAATTAATTAAAAAAAGAAAAGGGAAAACAGAAACAAACTGATTTGTAGTAGTTTAAGTTCGATTGTTAATGTTGATTCGTTGGTATTTAAATTTGATAGCTTTAAGGCCACTTAGTTGGTGAATTTTGATAAAGTAGTATTTAACAAAACAAAAATGGCTCATTAGAATTTAGGCCAATTTTCTTTGAATTCAAATCTAGATAAGATTAGTAAGAAACATTTAAGTAAAGGCTTCAATACAATTGAGGGTAGTATTAGGAATTAGCAACAAGCAGAATGCAGAAACCAATTTAGCTCTAAGTTTGGAAATACACTTTAATAAAAATCTAAAAGAAAACAATTAAATAAATTCAAGTAAGTTACCAATTGAGTATATACATTTTTAAACTTTCCATATTAATTGACGTATAATTATGCATCTAAATATCTTTTAAATTGTTCTTTGATTAATTTTAAAATTGTTTGAAATAAGTTTAGTTTTTAGGGCAATGGATTATTGAAAGTTTTCACCCAGATAACATTCAATTTTTATTGATAGACAATAATAATATTATTGGAAGTTTAAAATGCATGCAGGGTAGTTAGTTTCATATTCTTCCAGTCCACCATAAATGCATTTAATGTCCCTTTGGGATAGCAGAAACAGAATTTCTTCGCAATCTTATTGTTTACACACTGTGAACTATTCTTATAGCTATTCAGGCGACTTATGTCCGGCACAAACAAATTCTCAATGGTCTTCAAATCGCGATTGAAGCGCAATGTTGTCTGGAATTTACCCCCGGCGGGATGGGTGCGGAAACGCAATCGATAAGTGCCAATGTTGCCATAAATTGTCTCCTTGCCATTCTCCTCGAAGAGCACCTTCTTCTCGGCATTTTCCATATCCTGAAGTAAAATGCGTTGACAAAATTTATTGAAACCATTTAGAACCATCCAGCGATTGATGTGATAAACAATTTGTTTGCCCAGCAAATATATATCCCCATCCAGGGCTTGATTAATAAACTCGTTGCACGTGCACCAATGCTCCCCAATGCATGCATCTTGGCAGCTGCGCTCCACGGGCAGAGGATGGAGCAACGACTGGCTACCGGGACATGTGGCCATAAGAGGCAGTTGCTCTGGCGTTGAGGCATTCAGTCGCAGAATATGCCTCAGCGTATTGTGCAAATCATAATTGGAACTTAGACGATTGCGATTTAGTTGCAAGGCCTCAGCATATTTTGGATACGTGTCGCGGAACCAGGGCGGTAGGTAAACATGCAGCATGGGCAAACGCTCCTCTAAGAAACTGTCGGACAGTTCTGAAAGATCACCAAACCGCGCTCCATGATCGCTCATAAGTATTACAATTGATCTCTCGAACAATCTGTGTCTCTCCATTAGACGCAAATACTCCACGAATTTTGCATCCAAGCTCGACGCACCAAAGTAATAGTCGTGTGTGAAGGTGCAACTCCAAAATAGGGCAAATGTCGGCTGATCGAGTTCCTCCACGAATCGAGCTGTAAACTGCGCACAAAAGTCATAAACATAGGCCAAGCTCAGCCGGCGTCCAATGCAGTAATCATAACCGAATCTTTTATAGGTGCGTAGGACGCGACTTATTCCCAACAGCAGGGGACGAAGATAATAATTGACTGGCTTATGCTTGAATCCGGGCAAATCCATTACAAATATTCCCTCGCCCAATATATCCTCTCCCAAGGCTGTGGTATAGCCAGCTCGAGCGTAATCAGTCCAAATCCAAGGCAGTTTATCCAAGCAGCCATACGAGTGAATTTCACAAATATTTTCCAATTGACTGGCCATGTGGCCAGTGAGGATGGGAAGTAGATTGGGCACAGTGTTGTCCGCCACCTTATTATATCCCTCCATTTCAAACCAGCCGGATTTTCTTACAAAATTCAGCGTCTTGGGCATTGTCCGCTGGAAATTCATGCGCGACATGCTGTCCAGTCCGAGGATTATAACGCTGGGTTGACGGTGGAGTGGATCGCTTTCTATTCGGGATTCCTTATTATATACTTGCACCAGGGAAAATGCATCCTGTTGCACAATCGCTGAAATATTGTGTGCATCATGGCATTCCACAATAATTCCGCTCAAATTCTGTGGCAGCGTGCACTTGCCTCGAAAGTATATTGGAGAATGTATGCTAAGAAATTAGGACACGAAAATGGTTTAAGAATGTGTAAAGCTTTAGAGGATTGCTGGCAAATAGTCGACTTACTCGCTGTGACGATCAGGGTCCTCATTGGTGCCTCGTGTTACTGCACGATAATTGCATTTAAATTGGCTCACGTGAGGCTTCAGTTTGGACAAGATCTTCTCATTAACGTAGAGCTTGTAGTGCTTTGTGTGCTGGTCGTAGTTCAGATAAAAGGTGTCGGACTCATTGGTGCAGACCTTCAGCTTTGCTGGATGATAGATTTCCAATGCCTCACGAGAGAAGGGATCGGCGTAGGGCATCTTGCATTTCGTACTATTCACAAAATACCGCGATGGCTTATCCCCAGAGCTGAATTTATTACCGGTGGTTTCATACTCCACATTTGATATTAAATCGGCAACTATTTGGTTATCTGCTATTTCCATCTCAGCCGAATCAATTTCGGCAAATCGATCCACAATTTTGAGACTGTGAGAGTCTTTGCGCACAAGATCACGAATCCGCGCCTTTCTGAAATGGAAACTTGGCTTCAACCATGTCAAAGTCGTCTTTATTGATACAGGTGCAACATGCTCCAAGCCTTTCTTTGGCTGATTACCATTGTGACTTAACCAAATGAATGTCAACAAAAACCCAAAGAATACAAATATATATTTGCGTATCAGTATCATCGTCCTACGTCGAGGCATGTTCGTTTGCTCAGCTGTGTTAATTTTTGAAAGCACTACTAAATCAGAAAGTATTTTTTCTTATTTATCTGACAATTGTTTGAAATATTACTAGCCGCTCCCCTAAAGTCATCTCGACTAGAACTATTTGTCCAGAACATCCCGTCTCTTTAACAAAACGTCCAACTGGTGCAGGAGGCCACAATCATAGACTTACCGAAAACTTTGAAAACCCAGAAAGTTCATCTGAGACATTGAGTCAATGCCCAGCCAATGACACGACATGACATTCCACTATAAGACGTTCTACTATAATAACATTCTACTATAATGACGTTCCACCTTGCAAATGACGACCCACGATCCAATCCTGACCAAAATAGTGTCCTTCCCTCAGTCCTAAAAATAAAATGGTTAAGTTATAATGATAAAATTTAAATGATATTCAGATCTGAACAGATACGAGAATCATTCGATTCACGTCTTATTCCATAATATACGCAGCCATAGTCTGAACTATTTGAAATAATACACAGAACTCATTGCTTGGGACATCCTTACTTGTCAAACTGAGCATCGAGGATTTCACATTGGGTATGCCCGAAAAATATACAGTAGATTGGGAGCTTTCCTCCACAATATTTATTTTATGATCAACATATAAGTTTTGATCTGGATCTATTTTTTATTATTAGTTTTAATGGTTGGAGGCCTACTCCAAGATATTGCGAAATATTTGACTGCATTAAATCAAGTTGAGATAAATAATAAATAGTAGGCTTCTATTGAAGTGTGGCTTAAACTTTTAATCTACAAAAATGTTTCGTTGCTTGATTTGTAGAAATGAAAAACTAGTTCTTATCCCCCTTTTGATATTAATCATTTTTATATATTTAAACCATAAAACGAAGGTTCAGATTGAGAAAAATGCAACACCTACTCAAAATTGTTCAAGTACACTCGATGTGGAAAACACGAGGAGTATCATGGCAAATAAAACCTCCACACCGATCAAGGATTTCTCCGTGTTTGCACAGAACTGCAAAATACCCCGTGTTGATTCATTTTCTGCAGAAGTGATGAGAATTTTTAAGCCTCCCAAATACAAGCAATGTGCCGATCAGCCTGCCTTGGTCACAGTTCAATATAATCAGCAGAAGAAGAAATATATTGTATTCTTCAATCAGTCTCTGCCCACAAATCTATTACAAAACATTTCTGACTATGGCTGTGTCTATTACGACATAGTTCGATTAAGGAATAACTCTCTTACCTGGTGTGTATTGAACTTACGTAAGTTAATCAGGATTGACAGAAAATTGAATAATTTTCCAAATATCTCATATAATTTAGGAATAGAAAACCGGTTAATTTTCAGCAGGCTTGGATCGTGCCTCGTCACATTGAAGGTATTGTTGTGGAATGCCATGAACTGTGCAACAAATCGAGAGTCATTCAACGAGATGCATTTTCCTTTGTCCAGTATCCAGCAGGTCGGAGTGAGAAGAGCGATGAGGAACGCAGTCGAACTCATCCTAGTGTTATAATGCTGGGCATTGACTCAATGTCTCAGATGAACTTTCAGAGGACAATGCCACTCACAGCACAATTTGTGCGCCAGCTGGGATGGTTTGAGATGCTTGGTTACAACAAAAATAGCGAGAGCACTTTCTCCAATCTCTTTATTCTTTTGACGGGCTCAACATGGCAGCAAACTTGTGGTCACAAGACACCAGGTTGTCTAGATGCAATCACTTATCTATGGAATCACTTTCACAATGCCGGCTATTTGACTGCTTATGCCGAGGACACTTCCACCTTTGGTTTCAGTCGACAGCCAGTGGATTACTATCTACATCCAATTGTAGATGTTATAGAGCAGGTCATGGGTAGTGTCATAAGCTCTGCTGTCGACTACTGTACGGGCAGCAGGCAACTTTTTCGTTATGTATTTGACTATGGCCTTCAACTGGTGCAGCGTTTTGTTAAAGATACGACAAAGCCAATTTTTGGGTTGTTCTGGACAAGTAGTTTTAGTCATGATGACTTTAGGGGAGCGGCGAATGTGGATAAGGAATTTGTGAATTACCTCGAGCAATATAAGCAGCTTGGCTTATTCGAAAGAGCAGTTGTCATTCTATTCAGCGATGAAGGACAACGCCAAGGACCTCTAATGAAGTTGAAATCAAGTTTCATGGAGGAGCGATTACCCATGCTGCACATCTACTTGCCACCGTGGTATCGACAGCAGCATCCAGAAGTCGTACAAGCGCTTGAAGTGAATCGTCGTCGCCTGAGCTCCACCATAGACCTGCATTTGACCATTAAGCACTTTCTGCTGCAAGTGCATCCTCGCATGTCCTTTGAGTCGAAGTGCTGGCACTGCCGGTCGTTGCTTCAAACGCTGCCCGACAACCGCAGCTGCCTAGAAGCAAATATCCCGAAACACCTGTGCACCTGTGAGCCACATACCCAAGTACCAAAAAGCGATATAATGCAGAACTTGGCCAAGTTAGTTGTCTACCGCATTAACAAATATCTCGATAGGAATTCTTATGAGCGGCACTGCTATCACTTAGAGTTCGCTAAATTGTTGAGAGCCGAACGTAGGCAGCATTTTGATGATGATGGCCATGAGGTGTCGCCGTCTGACGGAGTTTACTCATATCTGCTGATGTTCACTACCAATCCAAAGGGACTGTTTCGGTCCACTGTTTTGTCCAACGAGGAAGCCAATGTTGTAAAAGTACGCAAGGAATTCGTAGAGCGCCTTAATTCCCATTTAAATGAGTCGCACTGTATTGAAAGCTTCCCAGACAAGAAGTTTTGCATTTGTAAACCAGAAACATAAGTCACATTGCCTGTTTCTTAAACATAACAATTGTCGCATTGAGGATTTCTATGTCTACCGACCTTAAGATACGTTTCTCCAGGGTATTGCATATTCTTCTCGATAAGGCTAAACATTCTAATATGATGTGCTTTGAGAATTCATCCTTATTGTTACAAAGTCGGGAATGTTTTCAACGGACTAAACCCATATAAAAAAACTCTAGGACTTATTGGCAAGTTATTCAACGATTTTGTGTGCTACTTGCTGTATTTTCTAGCTTCCCAAAAGATTAGTTGAGTTAATTTTGTACATAGTAAATTTATTGTAATTTTATTAAATTAGAAACATGGCTAAGGTTGGAGGCTATCAAAACATATACAATATAATTTAGCAATTTTATCATTAATACACATCGAATCCTCTTTATAGGAATTTGTGCGACTTATGCTCTCCACATTGACCTCCAAAGCCTCGGTAATGTTGTTAAAGATGACTGTGGCCTCAAAATCGGCACCATTCTGTTGCACTTTAAACTTGGTGCGATAGACTGCCACATCCACTTGAGGCAGATCCTCTTCCCAGCTAACATCCACACCAGTTCTAATTTCCGTATTGTGTATGTAGTGTAAACTCAAATTGCTGCACAATTGGCTTAGGTTCTTCTGCACAAAATAATCGTTCATACGCTCGATAACAAGGGGTGCAATGCGATGACTCCAGTAGAGCTTAGTAATACGCCGGTACGGGTTGCAGGTGCACCAGTGATCAGCGATGCCCGCCTCGGGGCAGGTGCGGCTCTCGGCGATTGGATGGAACAGGGATTGGCAGGTGGGGCAATCGTAGGATTTGGGCAAGGCTGGTCCATCTGGTGTGCCGCCAATTTCAATTATGTGCTTCAGCGTATTATGCAGATCAAAGTTGGAGCACAGGCGATGCTGATTCTGGGCCAGGGCTGCAGCATAATGCGGATATTGTTTGCGAAACCAGGGTGGCAAATAAATAAACATCATGGGCAGTCGCTCCTCCAAATAGCCCTCAGACAAACTTAATAAGCTACCAAAGCGTACACCATGATCGGCAAAAAATATCATAATGGTATGCTCCAGGGAGCCATCTTTTTCGTAGGCCCTCAAATCACCGAGGACCTTATTCTGCATAGCCGAGGCCATAAAAATGTCATCGTGACTGAAGTGATTCGACCAGAACATTCCCCAAATGGGTCGCTCCTTCACATAGCGCTGCATAAACTGCCTGCAATAATCGTAGATATAACTATTGGCCAAGCGGCGACCATAGCAATAAGTCATATGGCAATCAGGTAAATTATAATTATCCGCCTCGCACTCAAGAGCGCGCAGAAACGGACGAAAATAATAATCGGTGGGTTTCTTTGTGAAGCCCGGCTTCAGGTAACTAAACGTATTCGAGGCACTCTCATCTTCCGCATAGGCAGTCAAGTAGCTGGCGTTCCGAAAGTACTTCCAAATCATGGGTATCTCATCGAGACAACCCTCATTATCCGTATCACAGACATGCTCCTTGGCCTTCTCCGGCGAATATCCACTCAGTATGGCGAGTATATTGGGAAACGAATTATCTCCCACCTGTGAGTCAAACAATTAAGGGCCAAGTCAGTTGAGAAACTTATAAATACAACCTTATTGTAGCCACGCATTTCATACCAGCCGGGTCCGGTAAGATACTTGTACACCGAGGGCATTGTGCGACGCACATTTATTCTGGACAGTGTATCGATGCCGTACATTAAAACACTAGGCTTACGCGGCTGGGGTGTGTTTGACCGATTCGGTTTACTTGTCTTTCCACTGGGTTGATATTGAATGAACATATAGGCATCTTTTTGCAACGTTACAGGTGGTATTTCAGCGGTTTCGCACTGCAGCAGCAGGCCCTCAACATGCAGCGGCACCACATAGTTTTGTGAGAAATATATACTCGGATTGAGCCTAAACGATTGCAAGGAATTTATTACATTATATGCTGGAAAATCAACTGAATTGTCAAAAGGAAGAGACCTTAAAATGTTTTCGAACTGTAGGTCTGAAAGGTCAAATATAGCTGAGTACTGACTGATTCTGTTCTGTTCCTTTGATCAGTTCTGTTGATGTCAAACTAACTAACTATACGTAATATTTTCGCAAATATATGAGCTCCATTTGGATTTTAAAAAAACTGTATCTTTTTCAATCAAGTTAGTTTAGGATCACATCCATACAAAATTACATGTCATAGGTTTCCGTTTCTTTTCCAAGCTGGATCTCACGATAGAAACAATTATATTCCTGGTCACTGGAGTTGAGCAGCTTTTGAGCCACTTGTTCGTTGATATGGAGCACATAACGCTTCAGACTGGCATCGTAGAGTGCTGAGACTAGATCACTTTCATTTGAGCAGGGTATAAAGGTGCGCGGCGAGTAGATCTCCATGACCTCCGGCGAGAAGGGATCTATATAGGGTATCCTGCACTTTGAGGTATGCACAAAATACTTTGACATTTCAACATTTAGTGCAGTCATGTTCACTCCTGGTGTTGACACAGCATTTTCTAATTCTCGACGCATTGCGGTTTCGGACTCGGGCATATACAGTCTGAATATAACCACAAGAACCAAACAGACCGTACAATATTTAAACAAGTGCCCGGTGGCAAGACGAGCACTCATAACGTGGTTTAAACGCGATCACTAACTGAACTCGACTAACGACAACCAATTGCCAAACCAAAGTACGAAACAAAATAATAAATATTAAAATAAGTTTTTACTTGCAATGCCTAATTTTAGGGTTTGTACTTAGTCGTACATGAATAACATCTCTTCTTAATTGTTATGTCATTTACCGTAATATGCACATATGTAATAGGAATACTTTTAAAAAATATACTTTTAACGCCGTTATCTGTCTTCTACTGAATAGTTGGCCGCTTGTAAAAAGCTAATTAAAGTTATGAGTATTGAACTAGTTTTGTCTAATTACTGAGTACCATAAGTGGCTCCATTGTATATTGTCTTGTCAATGCTGTGCTGAGGCAACAGTAGATTTCCATTGTTTATGCCATGAACCCATAAAAAATGGTTAAAAAGTAAAAGTATTCTTCATCAGGATCAACAGCTGATTCGATCTAGTCATGTGCCACTGTTTGGCAGCCAGTCCTTCAGTCTGTCTGTATGAATTAAAGGATTTCCGAGAGAGATAAGAGCTAGAGATAGATAGAGATTTGAGATAGAAAGCCACAATTTAAAAATCATTTATAATTGATATATAATATGCACTTTGCCGGAGTATAAGTATGATGCCATCGGTATCTTAGTATGAGAATAAATTTATAATCTGTTGACATCAACTACAAAATATCTAAATATCAACTCTTCCACCAAAAGCTGCTGTCGCATTATAAATTAATTAAATGTACACAAGATTTATAAACTACGAGATAAGAACAAGATATGGCTATATAAATTTTGCATTTATGTCACCAAAACAAATATTGGACGTATGCCGCAAACTGACGCTATTCTCATACTGATGTGAATATTATGTCGAAAATGTGTTGCCAGCTACAAAATACCTATTAATATTTTGATCTCATTTAATATATCTTAATTTATATGTTTTTGTTTTGAATAAAACTTTAAAAAATTGTGTTTCAAAACGATGTACAAAGAAATCGTGAGACGAGAATAAATCAAATAAAAAACATATTACAAATAAATGAGTAATTCTTTAAGCAAAACATATCATTAAACTATGAACAACTCACATTGACCAAAATCCATTTAAAAACTACTTGTACTCCAAAATATTTATCTAAATTACAAATAATTGAGAGGAAATCAATAAAATGTAATTAATTATGTATAAATTGTGTGTGTCCTGCTGCATAAGCTACAACCATATCCATAATAGACTAAGCTTTGTTGTCTGTTTAATATTACACATATTAAATGTTTACGGGTAACGTTTGTGTCTAGGGCTCGTCCAATGCCACATACATACCCACAATACAAATAAATAGGTGTTGGCTTGTTCTTGACACTGCTCGCCGGAAATTGGTATTAAATTTCAAATTACCACAATGGATGCAGCAACACTACAATGTGTTCTAATGGGATGATAATTGACTTTGACTTCTTATCAATAACTATATGCGAGTGTTGTGTTCTTAGTGCACATTTTATATATTTGCCTACAAAGTTGTCATATTAATAAACGACAATTTATCAGCATTTTGAAGCGCGCTTGCCGATTGCCTGGCTGCGAGTTTGTAAGCCATCGCAGCGCAGACAAACAGACAGGCACCTGATATAGCTCTCGGTTTCTAGACGATAACTCATTCTATTTGGATTGGGCTATAGTGTCAACATTGGAAAATCACACAGATTACGAGTAGAAAGTCATTCTGCTCATTTTGAGATTCTGGCGTTAGTTTGCAGCGAAATTTCACGAGAGTCGGTTCGTTGATGCTTATCAAGCTGCTGGATTTTATTAAAGTTTTGCATAGATCGAGTCCTCATACAATATGGCTCCTAAATCCTTTATGAAACGTAGCACTAACATAAGTGCTGGTCAATTACATTATTATCACACGGATTTTTACTACTCAATGCCGGACTTAAAGAGTAAGTCTTAAAAAGTGTTAAAAAAAAATCATACCTCACTTTATCTTAACAAATTCCTTGATAATGAAATCAATTCATTTTGTGATATCTATTATTAGCACTGTTAAATTATTTTCAAGTGATATTAATATAAATTTATCTGTCTGGCAAAGTGTCGTTTTGGTTTTCTGAAATCGAGCAAAATTAGTCGAATCTCGCTAAATTTAAAATATTCATAAGTTATAATCAAATATAGCCTTTTAAATAGTCCTAAGTCCTTTCGGCATTTTTTTAAATTGTGTTCTACATCAGAGTAAAAATGTACTTCATTTGCAGTGTAAGAATAAAATACTTAATCTTATTTTGGACTCCCATTTTTAATAACTTTGAAAAGTCAGCATAAGTATATACGTTATTTTATTCTGGTTTCCAGTGTCTAAGTGTCTATAATCTAGGAAAATTCGAAAGGTAAATCATAAAATTTGTATTTACTTAGTGGGCGTAATTGTTGCATAAATATTAATCTAAAATTGTAATGTAATTCCTAAGATTTCTGGGAAACTCAAGTAAAGTTCAAGTTCAAGTTTTACATTTTCAGATTTTCTATCGGGGAAGAATACTTTTTATAGGGAAAATCTGTTCTTAAAATTGTTTATACATTTTCATCAATTGTATTGTGTACACGGTAAAGTGTAGTCAAGTTTCAAACCAATGGCAGCACCGCAGCCAACTTCATGTCAAAACAAATGAGTTGATTCTGAGAGTTGTTTTGATTTTTCCGAGCGAAACCAACACAAGCGCGTTAAAGAGAGACAGCACAGCACAGCTGGTGAGAGACAGAGAGAGAGAGAGAGAGCGTCTGTTCACAATGGCGCTTTGTTAGTCTCATAGTTTTTTTTTTGTTATGTTTTGCGATGAAGGAAAAAATTTCCATTGCAACAGAAATGAGTAGCGAGTTTGGTTGTCAGTCAGTCGTCAGTTGTTTGTTGGAGGCAAGCGTGCGTCGCGACGGTTGGCAAAGATTTCGTAAAGTTTTTTGATAGAATTTTATATTAAATTTAACCGAAAAAACATATAGATCTGAAAGTGCTTATAGCCAAAAGAAAAACCCATTGCTCACAAGAAGCGAGCAAGGCACGAATAATAACAAAAATAAATTTGAAATCCAGAGAGAGCTGCACAAAGAGAACAAAACAGAGAGTGTGACGCCAAAAAAAAAAAACAAGCACAGAGACAACAGTTGTTGATAAAAATGTGTGTCAAAATGTTATAAGCAAAACAACGAAGAGGAAGAGGAAAATACAAATAATGCTCATCTTATAATCAGCCAAGTGATAATGACGAAAGCACAGCACGTGTAGATAAAAATGATAATTGTTTTCTTTCGCCGCCCATTCTCATTTCCCCAAGCAAAGAAATGACAAAGAAAAAACACACAGATAATGCCAATAAACAAAACAAACTGCATTAAAAAAATATACAAAGAGATTTTAACTCATTACGTCGCTGGCAACGCTGCTGCCGACTTTGTCGCCAAGCCAAACCGTAAATAAGCTAAAAGCTAAAAGTAAAATAATAAACATGTAAGTTTATAAAATGCAGCACGAACAGAAACATGGGAATTAGATATAAAGAACAACATACACATATACACCACACATACATATATTTAAATACAAATACTTACATAATGAACCTATGTACTTTAGTACGCATACCAAAGTGCATACTTAAGTAGGCGTAATATGTATATTTTATGAGAGGCGCAGCTCGACCATGAATAAGCTCGACTGTAAGACAGTTTCTCAAGGTAGTTCAAGTTTATGGTAGCAGCATAGACATAGGAAGAATACGGCTATTGGTACTTGAAGTAAGCCAAATCAAAATCAAATCTATAAACATAAAACAAAAGTTTATTTTCTACTGGATTGTAATTAAAGATCTTAAACTTAAGGAATCTGGTTTATTTACTTATTTATTGTTGGTTGACTTTTATTTTTTTAAATTAAAATATATTCTCGCTCCAGTCTCATTCGATAGAACTTCAGCACACACTTTTTACATCTAAGATACAGAAATATGGGGCCCATATATGTTACTATAAACATAATCAAATCTATATGTTAATTCGACTCTTTTGCGTTCTGCAAAACAAGTTTTGGGCCGATAATAATTTTGTATATTCGCCACAACAGCCTACACTCAATAGTTTCAATGTCAACTTGTCGAATTTAACCAATCCGTAATTCTGGTGGAAAATTAAAAATGTACAAACACTGGTATCTGAAAAGCTGTCGTGACCAAATCGAAAACCAATATATTCTATTTGTAGTCAAGGAAATATGCGACCTCTGACATTAGATGAGGCCATACTATGCAGAGGAGGTCTAAAGACGTGGCTAACACCAGCCAAGGGCAAAAAATTTCCATTTCAATCTTATCAACTTTACAGCAATATGACTTAAACTAACAACTATTTTTAGCTTTTTATATAGAAAAGTGATTATGACTCAATAAGCAACGTTATCAGTTATCAACTACTTCAAGTAGACGATACCAAAGAGTCTACAACAAGTCTAGCGTCTTGTGTAATCTTTCATGCAGTCAAATTGTCATTTATTAAAGTGATCCATTAAATGTGATTTTAAATAAAAACAAATTGGTATGGCTATAGAAATAAGTGTATTTAATTATAGAAGATACATCAAAATATCATTAATAAATAATCAAAAGGAATGTAATCTTTAAGGAGATTGATCTTTAATTACTTTTAATTAAAGCAGACAAAATTGTTTCTTCAATTCTTTACTCAGCTCTTTGTTCAACTTTTGTTTTATTTTTAACAACACTTTTTTTTTGTTTGATAAGCTTAAGTAAATTTTGATAGTCCACCTGTTGCGTCAACAAAATGTTTTATTTTTTGGCTAGTAGAGCAATTGGAAGCGATTACACATAATATCACGCATAACGCAAAACACTGGATAGAAACGTGATGAGAACGCGATCATGAATACATATTTTCGTGTGTATAATTTAACGTTAATTGTCGTTATTATTGTTGTTTTTTTATATTCTTTTCAGCAGTTGTGTTTGTTGATAACGTAAAGTGTTAATAACAAGCAAGCAGCAGTAAAGTGATAAGCGGCAGACTAATATCAACATGACATTTTCATGTACTACATTGGAAAATAGCCCTTATCATCATTAGCATCAAAAAAAAAAAATATTCTGCATACTGATTACCGATTACATATAGTAGCCGTCACATTGATTACTATTATTTATTCATTTAATATAACAAAGATAATAATGTTATAAGATCAAGAACTTTAACAGAAGCATTTAACATTTTTAACATTTAAATACAAATCATGAAGCTTAAAGTAATGCTAGCTTAAGTTTATATACTGTTGCCACAAAGTATGCAAAGAAAAATGCTGTCAACTTAAATGTATAAATTGAGCTTAGAACATTTTTATCAACTACTTCGTTTAATTTTTCAGTGCAGACAGAATATATATAAATTGCTGCTTATATTATCATTCTTATTATTATTATTGTTTACTCCACTCTATCAATGCAATGGAAGATTTATGTCTTAAATAACAAACATAATAAAAACCATAATAATAGCGCTGTCATTAATGATAGCAGAGATGATAATTAAAATAACAGCATTTATTACAGAATATATTAAGGAACATTAAATGAAAAGATCTCTAAATGAAATCAATCAGTTACGATTTCTGAATATAAATAATATAAAATGAAAATAAATAATAATTATTAATTGTAATAACACGATAATAAATGATTTTAATAACATTAACAACAATCATAAAATTTAATATTATTGCAATTCATTTTTTAAAAGTTTTCTGAATTATATCAATCAATGTGAGACGTCTGAATAAAGCGGCCAATATTAAATGCTAATCAAATAGAGTCTAGCACTTAGTGCACGTTTTGTTGTTCCAAATGAATCTTGTAAATAGCTTGGGTATATATTTGAACAGAATTTGCCGTGGTTGTTGGCTGGTTGATAGGCCAACAAACACATCTATACAACCCAACCCCCAGAATCCCTTCTCACTTATACACTCCCATCGCTTCGTCGTCGTGCGATAGTAAATAATGAAAAACTGTCGTCGGAGGCAGCGGTCTAATTTGATAATCGCAGCATTAAGTCAGTACTCGAAGTGCCCGTTTAACAGCAACACACATCGCGCAGTGCCAAACAGAAAATAAATGAAAATAATTTAAGGATTTCATACGAAAATCACACTGCATCAAAATGCAAAAAACTACGGAATATCATTTTGAAGGTGGTATGAGGAGAGCAATGAATATTGAAATATTTAAGAATATGATTATTTCAACAGATTTTTTGCATTAATTGAATTTATTTATTTCACTTTTAAGACATTTTTGATTCGAATCTTTTGCTAGATTTTATCATATGAATAATAAAAAGATATTTTGAGTGGCTACAATTTCTTAAGTAAATACTAGTTCTGCAAACTGTCTGCTTATCATAAACCTTATCTTTTATCTATTTGTCTCGTTTCAGAGAACCGCAAAATGCACGGCGTAAAACGTGTGCTGGTATTTTGCATTATGATTGTGATACTGCCAGCGATGCTGATCATAATGCCGCTCTATATGCGCAAGACGATCTTTGCAGATGTCGTCTATCCGGTGGCTGAATCGGATATCATTGAGATAAGGGACGGCATCTCCTCCATATTCTGTTCAAAGCACACGCTGCGCATGAGCAGCAATTTCAATGCGTTCCAGTTGCGCAACAAGCCAGAAATATCCACAAATCGCAAGCACATAAGGCTCAAGAATCGATGACGCTGCCCGATGATACCCTCGAATACTGGGGCTTCTTTCTGCTGAACGGTGCACGAGTGTCTCTCAAGTTCTGCTCCCGTTACAATGGCTCTCGCATACTGGTCATCAAAGGCAAGCGGGAGCTGAAGCTCTGCGGCCTAACGGATCACAATAAGAACAAGCAGGGCGCCAACTATGCGCAGGGTCATGAACAGGTCAAGGTATTCTTCGAGGATGTTGTGGAAATAACCGAGGAGAAGCTGCCGGCCGATGGCCTGCTGGAGCATGAGAATCATGGCGGTGAGGATCTCAATGAGGACAATGCGCCAACTAATTCGAGCACAACACCTGCGCCGCCCAAAGGCTTGCGGAAGAAACTGAAAAAGGGCACTCCGCACCAGGCAATGGAATTGAATGAGAGTGAGAGCAAACCGGCTGCAGCAGTGCATCGACACCGGCGACACATTGAGCCGTTGCAGGCGGAGCAGAGGCGGCGCCAATTGTACGAACAGCTGTACAAGCGCAAGGAGCGAAAGAAGCGTGAGAATGTCTATGACCGGAAGATCAGTCACGGCGGCAATGCGGTCAACTTTACGGAAACGGACGAATCGAATTCCATATCGAGCTTTGAGACTGGCCTCTTCGATTGCTTCAATGGTGCCATTTTGCTGGCGGAGGGCTTTCCACCGAAACCGGCATGCAACAATGCCCATTTCCTGGAGAAGGGCAAACATGACACGGTGAAGCATAATATCACCGAGGATGGCTACTACTACTATATCTTCTACAGTGACAACGATCTGGTGCGCAACGACATCCATGCCATATTCGACATATATAAGCCGACGTTTCAGTATTCCAATCTGAGTGAATCTCGCGGCTGTCTGAACAGCACCGATTGCAGCTTCAACATTGGCTTCCTGTCGGATGAAATAGTCGTCGTGGAGGTGCCGACACGTGATGGCATCGAGCATGAGGATGATGATATCACCAATCTAATCTCGACCTGCCATCCGCGTAGCGAGATCTATGCCCTGTTCCCCATAACGGTGCTGGTGCTCATATTGTGCTGCTCATTCCTCTGAGGGATTTCATCACTATTTTGGACTCTAGGAATCTTGTGATATTCTTCTATTGAGATAACTGAGTGATAGACGTGAGCATGATATTTATGCCAATGGCAGGCCCAAACTATTTAATTATATTTTAAGGTTGTATGTCCCAAACCTTATCATTATCATATATCAAAATATGTACTACAACAGTCTGAACCAAACAAATCAACTTAATGTTCATAAATGAAATGAAATATATATTTGGATTTGTACGGAAATCATTTAGTCTACGAATCAATCAACAAATTATTTATAATATATATATAAATATGTATAAAGCATTTTGTACAAATAAAAATAATATTATTTTAGATTTAAAACAAATTACATTTTTAGTGGAATATTTTACAACATGCCCTTTAAGGAGTAACCGCCTCATTGAGTTATTTTATTATTTAACGTAAGTCAAATATAAAGTACATTATTGTAAATTACTGCTAATGCCTAAAACAATATTCCATAAGTTTCCATATCTCTTCAAAAGCTTAGATCACTCGACTCAACAACTTATTTGCCAAAGGAAAACTATTTTGCTCAGCTGTTTATTTTACGATTTGAGCTCAATTCACACGCAATTATTTTTTGTATGCAGCGTGACTTTTTTTGATTTTTAGCTTGCGAACCATGCAAAGAGACTTCTGCAAATACATACCACAACATGTGCAAATGTATTAGTAAACATATTTGTATATTTGATATAATATGCAAATTAAGTAGAAAATAACTAAACAAAAATTTTGTTAAGTGTGTAATTTAGACACGTGTAATAGAAAGGTAGTAAATAAAAAGTGCCTTATAATATTTAAGGATTAATTGATAAAATACTGTCTTTATGTGTATAAGATAAAGTAAATAAATAAAGAAGAATTAATTAACAACATTTTTGAACAATTTGCTATTAAAATTTATGTAAAATCTAGACGACCAGCTGATGTGCAAAAGCTGCTGGCTACAGCACTGCGGTTGCAAACTTGGCTACATACACCTATTAGAAATTAGATGGTTCATTGTCCATTGCGAAATATCCAACTGATTTCTTATCAGTGCACGTTTCTCGCGTTTAATCTTAATGGGCATTTGATTAAAAACGTTATTGTTGGCGCACATTGGTATTATTCTATTTTTGAAACTGGAGGGCAGTACAGCGAAAGCCCAAAAAATGAACTTGCCAGATAGTTTGGTGTTTTATTAATTAAAATATTAAATATTATTAAGCATTTCTTTTGGCCAACACAATAAAATATTTAAAAGATCTAGTATTTGTAGCCACAAAACAAACCATCCCTTCAAATGGTCTAATGAACAGCTGTTTCACTTAACTCTCTCACTCTTATTTCCCGCTCTGTGCCGCTTATGGCACAGCTGTCATTGTCACCTGGCCTTGTCAAAGACAACATTAAATATTTAAGGAAGTTCTGACTGCATCCCGAAGAGAAGCTAATCCCTTCTCCGTCTCTCTATCTCTCTCTCTTTATGGGGTGTTTGTTTTCTTATCAAATGCATTATCAGCAAGCGCTGAGCAGCCAGCCGCCCGCCGGCTTTCGTTCAGTTTTTTCTCTCATTTTCTCTCTCTCTATCTGTTTCTGGACTCTCTGTCATCATCCGCCCCTTTCTCATGCATATGTAAAATTGGGGCAACGCATGCGTCCCTCTCTCTTCTGACGCGTGCAGTTCTCGTGAGTGAGGTCAGCCAGCGCACACACGAATGTGTTCTAAAATTGCTGCTCCTCGCTCAGTCGCAATTTTCGCGCGCTGTCCGCAGTTGCTGTTTTGCTGTCACATTGTGCGCTCGTCTGCTCGTTCGCTCGCACGGCTCGCACGCTCATTCGCATTCGCATTTGCGTTACCCCTTGTGAGAGCTCGGAAAAATAATTTGTTCAATTAAATAATATCAGCGTTGGTGTTTATTGTTGTTGTTGCTACTGTTCTTTTTGTTATTGTTATAATATAAATGCACAACTATTAATACAACAAATACAACACATATCGCGTTAATGCCAATTCAATTAATTCGCCGCAAATCCATATACAAAAGAGCGTCGCTGCCCCAAGGAGCGTCCTGCTCCACAAAAACAAAGAACGCCACAACAAATACAATACAAAACAAAAGCAAAATGCGAATAATGGTGCTAAAAATCAATTGTAAGTAGCGTAGTGCAGTGCTAAATTCTGTAATAAACTCAAAATACAGCAAAAAATACAAATTTTACAACAAAAAAAAAAAAAACAGAAACAAAATAAATTCAAAATAAAACCGAAAACAATTAAAAATATTTTGGTCAGCGTTAATTCCCTGGTCGCAGCTACCAGTTCGCTTAGTATGTCAAAACAGAAATGCATGAGCTCATAAATAAAGCGCATAAAGTACAAAATCACACATGCAAAATTAAGTCTGGCGAATGCAATCAAATATAAACGACACATATAAAATGCATTTTAAAATAAGATTACAATGTGATACATATTACAACAAATAAGATTGTTCAATTGGTGCACAACAAAACTCAAGAGGAAACCGGCGAAGCACCGCGAGAAACAAACGGTCAATTTCTTATTGCCTAAAGTGGACTTTATTATTTAGCCTTTTTTATAACACTATACTTATATGTAATAATAATAATAATAATAATATTGTGTACTTATCAAAACAGTGTCAGCAGAAATGTACTCTTCTCAATAGTTGTAAATATGAACAATTTGTGTATTTAAGTGCATTTACAGTTCGTTGTGGTTGTATTTGCTTAATAGTTGTTGTTATTTATAATTTGCTGCAGCGGCAGCTGCCCTTCGCCTACTGTTCGCTCTCTTACTCGCGCCCTCTCTCTCTCTCTCTCCTCTCTCCTCTTTATGCTGTTGCCATTTCCGTTGCTATATGCCGCATACACACTCTCCCTCTATTTCTCTCTCTGTCTCACTCTCCTGTTGTCACTGCAGGGGTGAATTGCCGCCGCACTTCTTTCATTGAGTCCCAATGTGATTCCTTAAATGTGTCTTCACCACTCCACTCCCCAATCGTCTTATAATTCTTAAGTGTTGTAGTTGTTTTATTTTTACACACTTAGTTACATGAACATATAAATATTTATATACTGTGACATATATATATATATATATATATATATATACATAAATATATATATACACTTAGATTATATTACTCGGCTGACTTGGGTTAACTTGACTGATAAGCGGCTGCAATTGTTTTGCATCCGCTTAAGAAGCAATTCTTTATCTGCAAAGTTCTCTCGGGATAAATAAAATTCTCCCAATTGTCGTTGCATTCAAATATGAAATGAAACTTGAGTCTTTACTTGATCGATGATTAAGTTCCAATTGGCCACTTGAGGCACATGATTAGCATGATTCGCTCTTTCTCTCTCTCTCTCTCCATCCATTTCTATTGAAATTCTCGACAATTTTGTCTTGCAGCCACTTCAGAACCCTTATATTTATTCAAATCATTAAAACATGTTTATCACTAATATATGTACATATTAGCCTTTCGATAATAGAAGTATGGTATATTATAAGTATTATTAGAAAAATCTTTGTATTTAAGACTTTGTTGATTGCGGCACGAAAAAACATGTGTCAATCATTACATGCAATTTACATCTTTTATGGTATTCTTGCAATATTAATAATGTAATAGTTACTTTGAGGTTGCTCTTTTGAGTCTATTAATTTATGCAAGATTGTAAATCTTAAAATATAAATATACGTTTATACCTTAAACAGAATGAATTTAAAATACTAATTATAGCTGCTACTAGTTATAAATATAATAAATTACGAATTACATTAAAGGAATATATTAATGGGTTCGTGAGCAGTGTATGTCATAGTTCATAACTCTCACAGCTCTTTAACTCTGAAGAATTTCAACGTATTGTTTAATATAATAGAATTGATAAAGCCATCATTTTCTATACTGTTTGTTTTCCTTGAGCAGTTTATTGTAGATTCCACGAGAGGTGATTGTCAAACAAAGCAATCAATAAAATACATCGACTCTTTCAATCGATAGTTCTTCTTAACAATGCCACTGAAATTGCTCAACCCTTTAACAGCCAACGGCCTCATTCCAGCTATTTCCCATTTTATCATCGATTAGTCACTATGATTAATATTCAATGGGAAAAATGCTAATTTTACTAGATGTGATTAATAATCTTTTGAGCGTTGCAAAGACTACATAAAATGAAAATTAAATTTTCCTTGCGTATCGTTTACATGTCAGCAGTTAAGTAAATTAAATGCAGCTGCAAATTAGAACACAAGCTTGTCAAATTACCCATAAGATAACCAAAACATGTGATAAGTTCACGTACATGTTATCTTTGCTGCCAATACGACGAAACTGAATCGATAACAAGAAAAAATCCTAGTACTGACAACAAATGGGCTAGTTAAATGCAGAAAACTTTTATGCGAATATTTCTTTTTGGCTGGGGCCCTTTTTATTGGACGAAAATGTGAAAGTGATGATATAATTAGGTTCCGCACAATCTTCTTAGTATAAATATAAACCATATTGACAGTGCACGAAAAAAAGCAACAATTTTTACTACAAAGCAAATTATATATAATTACTTGGAAGATAGCTGAAAACGAATTCTTTTTGACAAGGTAATGTTTTACAGCTCGATAAGAGTGCCGTTAGACTAAGTGCCACACAAGCGAATTGCTTCAAGGCGGATGTCTGAAAAAAAGAAAAACATAACTAAATAATATGATAACAGTTTCCATGGTCAGTTCCTCTAGGACGTGATAACAGAGCGGTTTTCTAGTGGCAACACATTACTATATATATATATATATTATTATTTATTTATATGTATGTATACATTTTTGTTACTTTTATCTGGTAGCGAAACAATTGAAAGTAAAGTACACACACACAAATGCACACAGACTAGAATTTAATTAAATTCTTTTTTTTACTCCGAATCGTGAAGCGTGGCCGATTTTATTGGTTAACCGGCGCGTCAAATACAAAACAATTGAACAATTGGTTTGTTGTCAGTGCCACCGTGCTTAAAGCATCCATCTGTCTACTGTGAATGAAATGTCACGGTATTGTGACCCAGGGGGCTCATTGATACATCTGTTTTCCATGCGATAATCAGTTTATTACGTTGGAACATATTTAAAATATCTATTACGCCTCGCATAATTACTCTTTTAAATTGCAAGTTTATTGCAATACAAATTGATACTTAAAAAATATATACTTTAGTTTATTTAATTTCGCATTAAGTCCATTAACCTTACAGTGCAAAACTTTGTTAACTAGCAAGTCTATTGCAATATAATTCGATTAAATAATACTTTACTTTATTTTGTTTCCCATTAAGTGCTTCAGTTTTACAAACATCTCTCTTGTTCATATTTATTTTAAATTTCCTTCACTTCTCCCTTTAGTAAAAGCTAAATTATGTTCAACTCTAAATGAATTTAAACTCATGTTAATTTATAATTCAACTATTTTCCCACAAATGAAAAGGCAATTTATATAAAATTCAAGGATCTATAATTTCAATACATTAAATGAAAACTTTAACTTTTGTGCATCAAATGACAAAGTTTGCAAATAATTGTTTCAGAAATAAATATGCTTGAAGCCCTAAACCTGTTATAATAAATACCGATTTGATAGCTCAATTATAGAAAATAATTAGGCCAGAATTATTGGGAGTGAAATGTAATAAATTAGAAACACGTTGAAAAATGATTTCATTTTCGTGTGTATCCAGACAAAAAGTTTCAATTTGTTATTTAGAAACTGCACATATTATATATAATTTCAGCTTGAACAGATTGTTCAGCTAAATATGGATTTTTTTTTAAATTTTTTGGATTTGTTATTGCTAATAGTGCACTGTAACATTTACGGGTTAGTCCAGCTTTGGCATAGCAAAGTGAGTCAGTGATAAGCAATTTCTGTAATTTACTCTTAATTGCAATGCTTTTCAAATGCAAAACGGTTTTCAGCAAAATAATTGCCGTGACACGCATTTCGTGCCGTGGAAACGACGAAAACTGGGCAAACAACAATAGTTGTTGTCAATGTCTATATTTAATTAATTTGCAATTGCAATAAAAATTGCCGGAACATTCAAATGAAGTCGCCCAGTTGAGCCCGGTACCTCCAGTGACCTGTGGCACAATTGCAATAACTACATATTTGAATTTGACCGCTAAACGATTTCAACTCATTCAGTATCGCCTTACACTACATTACCAGTATCGGTTTTCGACTATTTCGTTAAAGTTGTCCTCATTAATGTTGGCAGGTTCCTCCTTTGCCAGCGGCAAAAACTCACCCAAACATTTGCACAATCATTTGGTGATTAAAACAGTGAATTCATATGGCATTGTCTCATATCATATCTTATCAACATATATATATTTGTAATACCAACAATTCGTTTTTTATTATGGAATTTTTTGGTGTTTAGGCAGATAGGTAAATAAGCGATCTCGTCCATTTTTACCAATTTCAAGATTTTGGGATCCAGAATGTCATTTAACACAATTTCTTCTATTTTAATAGATGTAACCAAGTGTTAACAAAAATTTAAATACAACAAGAAAATATTCAATATAACCTAGTAGATTTATAGATAATAAATAATATTTAATTAACTTTTTATTGAAAATCTCAATTCCAGCAACAAAAATCGATTATTATTATATTATAGGCAGCTCAGGTAACACTGCACAGACCCATTATTTTTCGCACATACAGTTCATGTCCACTACTACCACGCCTACCAATAACAACAATACAATATACTGATATGCCCAAATATATATTGATAAACTGAAATGATTCATTTCGGCTACGAACTTAGTTCATTTAGATTACTTGCATTGTATGAAAGCTGAAAAAAAACTCATAAAGAAAACCATATGTTTAACTCAATACCGAATGTATTCTGTTTTCCACTGATAACGATTCGTGCTGTAAGTTTTACCAACTTTATTTCCATTTGGGTTCAGCAATAACACAGCTACAACAATTGCAGCAAAAGCATTTGTTGATTAATGCCTTAAGAAGCATTGCCTGTGTGCACAGTGGGCTCAGTTGCCGATCGTAAGCGAATCGTGCAAGCCGATGCCTGTGGGCAAATTCTCAATTAAAGTTTAAACCAATATAATAAATAATTTTAATTAAAATCCAAACGTACTCTCTGTCAACCAATTATCAGTTTTTGATGTGGTCTCAAACACGCTTAAGCCAACGCTTTAAAGTTGACTAACTAAACGAACACACGAGTCGTGACGTGACCGTCAAAAAAATATATAAATATGAAGAATTATGTTGACCCAGTAGAGGTACATGTAAACAAACGAAACACACGTGCCGTTGATAATTAATTGATAACAACAACAGCACATTATAGAATGCATTAAACTAAGAAAATGAGTCAAAAAGAATAAGCCATAAAAAAAATATAAAAAAATAAATGCAAAAAGTGTGCAAATAAGAAAAGCGTCGCATCTGAGCTTAGTTTGATTGAACGTCTGCCAAATGTTTCAATTGTCACGTTTTCGCATATTTAACAACACAGTTGAAGCCATCATCGCCCCGTCATACAATTCTCATTTACATAGATGACACTTGTAATTGGGAGACAGACGAGTGTAGAAGACTCGGTGAATTGTAGAATTGCAGACTTGAAGACTGATTATACTGTGCGTGACTGCGATGAACATGAGAACATAACAATTTCAATTTATTATTTATTTACATGCATACTTATTTCTGGTTTTTCTTGCAGAAGATGTAATGCGAACAGCAAATAGGAGCTCCAACTACGTAACGCAACCAAAGAGGCCTGAGGCCCACAAAACCCAAAGAGTAGGTGCCTAGTATTGAGATTACCGTAAACCAAATCCCCAAACTCCTATTTACCAATAAGCCAAATGACTGCCAATAGCCTGCTAGGACGATCCTTACTTAACGAAGGTGAGTTACGTTCTGTAAAATATCAGACACAATAGTAAAGAACAAATAGTCATAGACAGTGGTCCAATTCGCCTAATTCGAACACATTTACTAAATGTATGAATAAGTATATACAAATATATATCAGGGTATATCATTTGAGGGTTATAAAAAACATTTCATTGAATGGTTCCTCGAAAGAAACCAAATTGATATTGTTTCCTATTTCTTGCAGGACGTTCCAACAAGCGTTCTTTTGTCTCACTGATTGTCGGCCTAATCGTCGGCTTCTGCCTCGCCGAGCTTTTCGTCTACTCATCCACGCCGGAACGTGCCGAGTACGTGCCGTACGATGGTCATCGACATGGCGATGTCAACGATGCACATCACAGTCACGACATGCTGGAGCTAGCCGGTCCAGAGCAGGATGTGGGCACACACGATCATGTGCACGAAAACACCAGTATTGCGGAGAAGATGTACAGCGAGGTGCGCATTCTCTGCTGGATAATGACGAATCCCGCCAACCATCAGAAGAAAGCGCGCCACGTGAAGCGCACCTGGGGCAAGCGCTGCAATAAGTTGATCTTCATGAGCTCAGCCAAGGATGAAGAGCTGGATGCCGTGGCGCTGCCCATCGGCGAGGGACGCAACAATCTGTGGGGAAAAACAAAGGAAGCATATAAGTACATCTACGAGCATCACATGAACGATGCAGACTGGTTCCTCAAAGCAGACGATGACACCTATACGATTGTAGAGAATTTGCGCTATATGCTATATCCCTACAATCCCGACACGCCCGTCTATTTTGGCTGCAAATTCAAGCCATATGTCAAGCAAGGCTACATGTCCGGTGGAGCTGGTTATGTTCTCAGTCGCGAGGCTGTGCGTCGCTTCGTGGTCGAAGCTATTCCAAATCCGAAACTTTGCAAGAAGGAAAACACAGGCGCCGAAGATGTGGAAATGGGCAAGTGCTTGGAGAACATTAAAGTTCTGGCGGGCGATTCCCGAGATGCCAACAAGCGTGGTCGCTTCTTTCCTTTTGTGCCGGAGCATCACTTGATACCTTCGCATACGGACAAGAAATTCTGGTACTGGCAGTACATCTATTACAAAACCGATGAGGTGGGTTCTTTCAAATTCTAACAACCTATACACAAGAAATTTGTATTGTACAAAATAAGCTAAAAAGTCAGGTGGTATAAAATATTTCTTTTCAATTTGATAGATTTCTCTCACTTAATTCTAATGCAACTATTTTCTGATTATTATTACAGGGTCTGGACTGCTGTTCGGACAATGCCATCTCATTTCATTATGTCTCACCCAATCAAATGTATGTGCTGGACTATTTAATATATCATCTGAGGCCATACGGAATCGTGAATACGCCAGATGTGCTACCAAATAAACTCGGCCTGGGTGAACTAATGCCGACTCCCAAAGAGTCCAAGGAGCAAAATGAGCCAGAGACATCAGATACTGTTCAAACGCAAAAGGGCGCGCAGTAGTTGCTGGTCACTTTAATTGTAAATAGATCATGTGTAAATACCGAGCGGAGTAGACCGCAACTAGTTTAAGATACATAATTTGCCATTCCCATATAATTTGTTGTCTCTTGTGTTAGTTTATTTCTCTCAGGTTACGGTTATAAATGCTCTTGAGCTCCGACTCTTTTGTACAAAATACCAAAAAAAGAAACAAAACAGATTATTTGAGTGCTGTTAGTTTAGTTTTTAGGGAAGTTTGCGCAATTATTGTGCATAACACAAATAAAAATAATAATTAATATAATAATAAGAAATAACATTTAAATAGGTACTCATCATACATATGGCACATGATTAGATCTTAAGACAGCGATAAATAATTTGAAGATATTCAAGACACATACATTGTGGCCCATTTAGTTAGCAATAAATTGTATACTGACATAGTTCTTTCGATAAGCTGTATTATGTTATATATACTTATATACATCGGCATTGCTTCTAAGAAATGTATTACACTCTACTATTTATTTATGTATTTAATAAAATATAATAAAATAGTGTATTACAAATGGAATAAGAAGGATTTTTATTTATTTTTCTTTTTTTGGTTTAATTCGAAAAGCTTTACGAACTCTTGGGATTCTGTTTGTTGAACAGTTAAGTTAAATTGAATTTTATTTTATTAAGTTTAACAGATTTTTTAATGCATTATTTTTAAAATCTAAAATTATTGAATTTTAGGGGATGAGACTAAATTATACGTTTTCATATACAAATATGGAAATGATTAAAATTTCAAATTTATCCATTTAAATTTATTATTGGTTCTATCGTGCGAAGATGTTTATTCTGAACTAATTAACAACTATTTGGAAATCGCATTTGAACTGCTTTTCAAGCAGTGAATACAACGTTTAGACCAGTTTATAATTGTATTTGAACTGCTTGAAAGTTTGCACTGCTTTTTATGTTTGTTAAATATGGATACGAGTAAGTATTAGTAGGAATTATTTTATCTTTCGATTACTTCCCCCGCTTATATAAATATTATAATAATAAATAGTATATCAAATTTATAATATAATAATATATCTTGACATATTATCGATCAATTGTAAAAATTTCATCAGATCGGATAAAAAAGTTATAGTCCAAAATGAAAATATATATGTAACAGCTGAGTTCCCCTAGACGAGCTTTCAGCTTGAGAGCTTTCTTACTTGTTTCTCCTTTATATATGCTACAAAAAATCACATAAATTTCTATACAAAAAATAAAATATCTATATAATAGAATCTTTATTGTCTCCACAGGTTTTAACAGTTCATATTTTGGCTATCAATATATATATATATGTGTTAACTTTGCATGGGTTAACTTTAAGTCTCTTTAGGCAATTTAGTGATTCATTTATTTATAATATGGGTTTCTATTTGTTGAGCAGTTAAATAAAGATATTATTTTATTTTCAATTTATCTTATTTTCGAAATGATTTAGGACATGAACTGCTTGAACAGAACAATATATAAATCTTAAATAATTGAGTGTTATGGGATAATTTGGTTAATTATTGTGAACATTTAGTAACTGAAAACAGTATGGAAATCTATATGGATTTGTTTTGTTTGTATTTGAACTGCTTTAGACGTTTTAGTTTTTTTTTATTTACAATTAAAGTGCCAAGCAATTACTGCGTGCCCTTTTGAGTTGCGGCAGTGTCTGATATCTCTGGCTCCTTTTGATCATTTTGCCTCTTTTGCTCATTTTGCTCTTTCGGCTCTTTGAGAGTTGGCATCAGTTCACCCAGGCCCAGCTTGTTGGGTAGCGCATCTGGCGTATACACGATACCATATGGCCTCAGATGATATATTAAATAGTCCAGCACATACATTTGATTGGGTGAGATATCATGAAATGAGATGGCATTGTCCGAACAGCAGTTTAGACCCTGTAATGAAGATCGGAAAAGTTGCATTAGAATTAAAAATATAATTTATTATTATTTGTAAAAGAAAACATTTCGGAATCGAATTCTCTTATTTTGTTATTTATATTTTTATTGCATACAATTAGAATTTGAAAAAACTCGCCTCATCGGTTTTGTAATAGATGTACTTCCAGTACCAGTATTCGTTGTCCATAAACGAAGGTATCAAGTGATGCGCCGGCACAAAAGGAAAGAAGCGACCACGCCCATTGGTATCTCGGGAATCACCCGCAAGAACTTTAACATTCTCCAAGCACTTGCCTATTTCCACATCTTCGAAGCCAGTGTTGTCCTTCTTGCAAAGTTTCGGATTTGGAATAGCTTCGACCACGAAGCGACGCACAGCCTCGCGACTAAGCACATAACCAGCTCCACCGGACATGTAGCCTTGCTTAACAAACGGTTTGAATTTGCAGCCAAAATAGACGGGCGTGTCGGGATTGTAGGGATATAGCATATAGCGCAAATTCTCTACAATCGTATAGGTGTCATCGTCTGCTTTGAGGAACCAGTCTGCATCGTTCATGTGATGCTCGTAGATGTACTTATATGCTTCCTTTGTTTTTCCCCATAGATTGTTGCGTCCCTCGCCGACGGGCAGCGCCACGGCATCCAGCTCTTTATCCTTGGCTGAGCTCATGAAGATCAACTTATTGCAACGCTTACCCCAAGTGCGCTTCACGTGGCGCGCCTTCGTCTGATGGTTGGCGGGATTCGTCATTATCCAGCAGAGAATGCGCACCTCGCTGTACAGCTTCTCCGCAATGCTGTTATTCTCGTGAACATGATCGTGTGTGCCCACATCGAGGCCATATCGATAGTACGGCACGAAGTCGTTACGTTCCATCGTGGATGAGTACATGAAAAGAGCAGCCAGGAAGAAACCAATGATTAGGCCGATATACAGTGAGACAAAAGAACGCTCGACGGAATGTCCTGCAACAGATAGGAAAACTTATGTTATCCTTAATGAGACAGTCATCTCCCCTATAATATATTTTTTGTAAGACCAGCTCAAGCTCGAATAACATCTTCGACTTCGCTTAGCATTGGGACACACAGAAAAACAAAAGCTACCCCATATTATTAGTACTCAAACTGACGAAAATCATACACTGCTAAATTAAGCTTGAATTCTTTAATTTCATATTTTTACTAGTATGGGAACTATCCTTGTCTTGTATTTGAATCTCAGCAACCTTGCTTTATACAAGTTTCACTCGTTTTCATCCGCTTTCAAAATTTTCTTTTCTAGCTGCCACACAAAAACGCCTGATGGAGCCAGTTATTCGCGTGAATAACAGGCCTTTTCTTAAAGCTTTCGTTGAAATGTTTTGAAACTCTTCCAAAATATTTTTAAATTCTCGGAGAAGTTTTAACGAATACCTTCTAAAAAAGAGTTTAGTCCCATATTGATTACACTTTTCGCACTTCTTGCACTTTTACAATTAAAAATAAGGAAGACAACACTTCTTAAATATGTTTTGTGTAATATGTAATCTATAATTATTTATTGTGATTATTATAAGTTTGATGGTTCTTTATTGGTTTTAATTAACATGAAGTTTATTTTCTAACTGTAACCGACACAAAGTACTTCACGCTATCGAATCGACTGAACTTTCAAAATATAAATTGGGGAATATATGTGTAAAAGTCGATGCATGCTGGTAGCTGCATGTGGAGACAATTGTTCAAACAGAAAAGAGACTTTGTCTTATTACATTATCTTACCAGGGTAAACAATGTTTATTATTTATTCCGTGTTTTAGAAGATAGCTATTTTAAATGATGCTGAATTTTATCAGAAACAATCTTTATTTCTTAAATAATTCAATAATAACAAAATAATAATAAGCAAAAACTTAAGGTAGACCTCTGTTTTAGTATTTTTTTTAAAGTAATTAAATAAGTTTTATAGCTTCGTCAACCATCCAATTGTCTTCGTCTTCGTCTGCATCCGCTGCGTAATCCGAATCTAATAATAAAAATTGTAATTGTTATTACATTAATTTATATATATATGGTGAGACACAAGTATAGAAAACTTCTGTGTTGAAATATCTACAACAAATTTGAAAAATTGGCGCGTTGAAATTTGGTTTTCTACTTGAAACAAATCCTTTTGTTTTAAAACATTGTGTGTTCCCGACAATTTTATATAAATCAACTTACAAATGAAAAACTATTTTTTGGGATTGAACTCAATATTAATATATAATATTTTAATCTAGTAACTTCCTTCCGAAAGGATATTAAGTCTTCGGTATTATTTTTTTATATGTATCTGATCAAATTTACGCAAACACATTGAAACTAAACTCAAAAACTAGAGATGTTACAAAAGTATGACAGTTGTGCAAACAAATTAATTTATGAAAATGTTGCTCGGTGCTCTTAATTTTGTCGTGTTTTTGTTTACACAGCAGTTTGCTGGTTACTTGTGAAATAATTAAATGATTCAAAAAAAGAAGTAATTATATGTATATATGTATATTATATATACCTACATATATATGTATCGAGTAGTTACAGTGGGATTACAGTGCTGTTGGGTGGCAACGCCAGTTAGCAGATCTAACAGCAGCATTAGATTCAAGATTCTCTGATTCACTGTATATACTTATAACAATAATATTAATAGGATGTTCAAGTAAGTTACAAAATTTATTTTTCTGGTAATTTGTGACATGGTTGAGTTTTTCTAAAAAAAAGCTGGCTGTTAAGTTTATTGTTATTATCGCGAATAGTATAATAATATGTTAAAGCAACAATTTTTACATAGTTCTGTATGCACAATGTACATAGAGTTACCAAAACATTCTGTATGCGAGTCTCTTAACAGGTCACTGTAAAGACGCGCATAACATCGCGTTTTTATTATCAGCATATTTTCTTTATCAGCATATGCATTATTAACATTGGACTTTTTCACCATACACTTGCAACACTCGACGCTTTTTTGGACTTGTTGGCCGTGGGTGAATTTGGAGTTGCCTTAAAGTAGGCAATATAAAAGAATTGTTAGTAACCACACTTGTTAAACATACCCCACCTAAGAAAAACTATGCTACATTAAAATTAATTGCACCAACTGATTATCTTAGAACATAGGCAAAAGAAATGGCAGCCCACAAACAAATAGATTAAAATAAAATAAATAAAAAAGTGAAAATGTTTGGAACTTTATAATTTTAAATAGAATTAATAAAATATTTATCAATTTAAAAAACTCAATTGGATTAGTTTTAGTCAGAAATATCATTATAAGAAATTTTTTTTAGTAATAAATTATGAAATTTATGAATAACTCTGAGAAATTTACTAAAATGATTCGTAAAGTGATTGTATTTCCTACTGGCCGATATTTAAGTTAATATGAACGACAAAATTTTCTTTTGGAGGCTTTTCATAAACAAAAAGAATTGCAACGCAGGAAGTCCAATTGGATGGATGGGTAAAGACCGCTTTATAGGGGCAAATAGACTCCAATCAGGAAGGGAGTTCCGGGATGGTAGCAACAACCCCCTCAACTTCCCTGCATGAGCTACCAGGTCCCAAGCCACTACAAGCCTTGGATTCCGCTCACACAATTAACAAACATTTCCTTCGAGTTAACATTACATTTGGTTACAATTTTGGGAACATATTGGTTAAGATTGGTTAATTAATTTTCCAATCTTCAATCCACAGTTTTTTGCTACCCCTACTGTGGGAGTGTACAACGTATTTATGTTTGATTCGTTCGCATCCGTTTAAAATCCCGTGAGGAGGTCAATCAATCGCTGAAATATTTTGAAATTCTGGCAAAATATTATCAAATGCTCGAGGAAATTTCGACGCGTACCTTCTAAACCGGGGATTAGTCCCATATTGATTATACTTTTTGCAGTCTTTGAATGAACAATAAGGAAGACAAAACTTCTTAAATATATTTTATGTAATGTGTAATTTATAATTAAAAAGTTCGTTTTTGGCAATTTGGCAAGGAGACTAACTACACGCACTGACTTTAAACTTACTAATGACGCTGATTAAGATTGCGCAGCACATTTCATGACAGAAGTGCTTAGCTAAGAATGAACACAGAACAGACTGTTCAAACATGCTAGTGTGTCTGAGCACTCCAAATGAAATATACAATTCAAAAACAGTTGCTTTTGTATACACATATACATCTACTAAATATATAGGCATAAAAGAATTTATATACACACTAAACATTAAATAAGCTGGTATAAGAGAAAGATCGTGCTTAGGTACACTACATAAATACTTGGTGGTTTTTATTTTCCTTTTATAATAAAACTTAATTATAATATATCTGAACATCTCTCGAGATTGTACGCTGTGTTTATGTCTTAATGTTATAGTGGGCAGATATGTAACAACTCTGAGCATTTCCTTTAACGAGATTTTACCGACAATACACATATTTCCCTCTTGAGCACCTTAACATGTAGAAAAGCGATTGTGAAACTTATAAATAAAACGTTGTTTAAAATATTATTTTTAATCAAGTAAAAAGTGATTTTCAATATAATAAAATTTCAATTTAACAACTTTTTTCCGCACGGTATTTTCACAGAATCTATTTACAATTAAAGTTATCAGTTACTGCGCGACCTTTTGCGTCTCAGCCTTATCTGATGTCTTTGGTTCCTCTTGTTCATTTTGCTCCTTGGGTTCTGTGGGAGTTGGCATTAGTTCACCCAGACCCAGCTTGTTGGGTAGCGCATCTGGCGTATACACGATACCATATGGCCTCAGATGATATATTAAATAGTCCAGCACATACATTTCATTGGGTAAGACATAATGAAATGAGATGGCATTGTCCGAACAGCAGTTTAGACCCTGTAATGAAGATCGGAAAAGTTGCATTCGAATTAAAAATATAATTTATTATTGTTTGTAAAAGATAACATTTCGAAATCGAATTCTCTTATCTTTTATTATTATTATTTTGTCTACAATTGTAATTTGAATGAACTCGCCTCTTCGATTTTGTAATAGATGTTCTTCCAGTACCAGTATTTCATGTCCACATGCGCGATCAAGTGATCCACCAGCGCAAGAGGAAAGAAGCGACCACGCCCATTGGTATCTCGGGAATCGCCCGCAAGAACTTTAACATTCTCCAAGCACTTGCCTATTTCCACATCTTCGGAGCCAGTGTTGTCCTTCTTGCACAGCTTCGGATTGGGAATAGCTTCGACCACGAAGCGACGCACAGCCTCGCGACTAAGCACATAACCAGCTCCACCGGACATGTAGCCTTGCTTAACAAACGGTTTGAATTTGCAGCCAAAATAGACGGGCGTGTCGGGATTGTAGGGATATAGCATATAGCGCAAATTCTCTACAATCGTATAGGTGTCATCGTCTGCTTTGAGGAACCAGTCTGCATCGTTCATGTGATGCTCGTAGATGTACTTATATGCTTCCTTTGTTTTCCCCCACAGATTGTTGCGTCCTTCGATGATGGGCAGCGCCACGGCATCCAGCTCTTCATCCTTGGCTGAGCTCATGAAGATCAACTTATTGCAACGCTTGCCCCAGGTGCGTTTCACGTGGCGCGCCTTCGTCTGATGGTTGGCGGGATTCGTCATTATCCAGCAGAGAATGCGCACCTCACTGTACAGCTTCTCCGCAATGCTGGTGTTTTCGTTGACATGATCGTGTGTGCCCACATCCTGGCCATATCGATAGTACGGCACGTAGTCGTCACGTTCCGGCGTGGACGACTGAATGAAGAGCACTGCTAGGAAGAAGCCAACGACGAAGCCTACAATCATTGAGGCAAAAGCACGCTTGCTGGAACATCCTGTAACAGATAGGAAAACGAATAATTTTCCATCTTCATGGCACACGTTTTTGTTACCCCTACTGAGGGCGTCTCTACCCCTCAGCGTACAGTATACAGTACAGGGACTGGCGACGTATCAAAATCTCCGGTCTCCGACCCATTAAGTATAAATATTCTTGATCAGAATCATTGGTATAGCCGACGTAACATCCATCAGTTTGTATGCAAAGTAGCTCCATATGTCTGAACCGGACGGATCGGGTCAGTAAGCCATTAAGCTACTATAGGAACGATCGGTTGGGGCACAGTGGAAATCAAAAGCTACCCCATATTATTAGTAAAAATTATACACTGTTAAGTTAAGCCGTGTAACTCCATTACTCTTGAATATATTATTATTACTAGTATGGAAATTATCATTGCCTTGTACTTGAATCTCAGCAACCTTGCTTTATACAAGTTTCACTCATTTTCATCCGCTTTCAAAATTTTCTTTTCTAGCTGCCACACAAAAACGCCTGATGGAGCCAGTTATTCGCGTGAATAACAGGCGTTTTCTTAAAGCTTTCGTTGAAATGTTTTGAACTCTTCCAAAATATTTTTAAATTCTCGGAGAAGTTTTTACGCATACCTTCTAAAAGAGAGTTTAGTCCCATATTGATTACACTTTTCGCACTTCTTGCACTTTTACAATTAAAAATAAGGAAGACAACTCTTCTTAAATATGTTTTGTGTAATATGTAATCTATAATTATTTATTGTGATTATTATAAATTTGATGGTTCTTTATTGGTTTTAATTAACATGAAGTTTATTTTCTAACTGTAACCGACACAAAGTACTTCACGCTATCGAATCGACTGAACTTTCAAAATATAAATTGGGGAATATATGTGTAAAAGTCGATGCATGCTGGTAGCTGCATGTGGAGACAATTGTTCAAACAGAAAAGAGACTTTGTCTTATTACATTATCTTACCAGGGTAAACAATGTTTATTATTTATTCCGTGTTTTAGAAGATAGCTATTTTAAATGATGCTGAATTTTATCAGAAACAATCTTTATTTCTTAAATAATTCAATAATAACAAAATAATAATAAGCAAAAACGTAAGATAGACCTCTGTTTTAGTATTTTTTTTGAGTAATTAAATAAGTTTTATAGCTTCGTCAACCATCCAATTGTCTTCGTCTTCGTCTCCATCCGCTGCGTAATCCGAATCTAATAACAAAAATTGTAACTGTTATAACATATATTTATATATATATGATGAGACACAAGTATTTATTTTCAACATAGACAATTGACATAAGGGGGCGTTAAACCTCCCATTTGTGAAAAAGAGTGACAACAAAGCTGTATTATTTTATGTTGAGATAATATTTTATAAATTTTCTGCCGTTGAGTTGAAATATCTACAACAAATTTGAAAAATTGGCGCGTTGAAATTTGGTTTTCTACTTGAAACAAATCCTTTTGTTTTAAAACATTGTGTGTTCCCGACAATTTTATATAAATCAACTTACAAATGAAAAACTATTTTTTGGGATTGAATTCAATATTAATATATAATATTTTAATCTAGTAACTTCCGTCCGAAAGGATATTAAGTCTTCGGTATTATTTTTTTATATGTATCTGATCAAATTTATGCAAACACATTGAAACTAAACTCAAAAACTGGAGATGTTACAAAAGTTTGACAGTTGCGCAAACAAATTAATTTATGAAAATGTTGCTCGGTGCTCTTAATTTTGTCGTGTTTTTGTTTACACAGCAGTTTGCTGGTTACTTGTGAAATAATTAAATGATTCAAAAAAAGAAGTAATTATATGTATATATGTATATTATATATACCTACATATATATGTATCGAGTAGTTACAGTGGGATTACAGTGCTGTTGGGTGGCAACGCCAGTTAGCAGATCTAACAGCAGCATTAGATTCAAGATTCACTGATTCACTGTGTATACTTATAACAATAATATTAATAGGCCTGTCATCGCTGGATGTTCAAGTAAGTTACAAAATTTATTTTTCTGGTAATTTGTGACATGGTTGAGTTTTTCTAAAAAAAGGTGGCAGTTAAGTTTATTGTTATTATCGCGAATAGTATAATAATATGTTAAAGCAACAATTTTTACATAGTTCTGTATGCACAATGTACATAGAGTTACCACAACATTCTGTATGCGAGTCTCTTAACAGGTCACTGTAAAGACGCGCATAACATCGCGTTTTTATTATCAGCATATTTTCTTTATCAGCATGTGCATTATTAACATTGGACTTTTTCACCATACACTTGCAACACTCGACGCTTTTTTGGACTTGTTGGCCGTGGGTGAATTTGGAGTTGCCTTAAAGTAGGCAATATAAAAGAATTGTTAGTAACCACACTTGTTAAACATACCCCACCTAAGAAAAACTATGCTACATTAAAATTAATTGCACCAACTGATTAGCTTAGAACATAGGCAAAATAAATGGCAGCCCACAAACAAATAGATTAAAATAAAATAAATAAAAATGTGAAAATGTTTGGAACTTTATAATTTTAAATAGAATTAATAAAATGTTTATCAATTTAAAAAACTCAATTGGATTAGTTTTAGAACCAGACCAGACCAGACCAGTGGGTACATCGGCTAAGCCAGTAATGCTGATCAAGAATATTTATACGTGATGGGTCGGAGATATAGACATATCGGCAAGCTTAGCATAAAAATCTAAATCTATATATACATATATCATATGGAAAAGGAAATCAAACTGATTTTTATTCCTGGCTTTGTCCTGGCAGCGTTTTTCATTTACTCGTCCAGGCCGGAACGTGCCTACGTGTCGCACTATCGATATGGCCATGTGCTGGAGCTGGCTAGTCCAGAGCATGATGTTGGTAAGAGAAAAAGGCAGAAGGTCACAGGTAAATTTATTATAAAAAGATAATAAAAACCACAAAGTTTTGTTGCCTGTGCACCTGGTGTACGCTCTTTTCTTCTACTAGCGTAATTGTTATTTATTGTGTACATAGTTTCATGTATACGGAAGCAACTGTTTGTTATATTGTTGTCGACCATTTTATTTACTTAACTTGTACATTTAATTTCGAGTGTTAATACACTCTAGCCTGGGTGTTTGAACAAGTTGCTCTGTGTTAATTTTATGCTAAAAATTAGCTTAATGTATTATTCTGTCTTGACCAGCATTAATCTGCTTAAAGTTATCTTGATGAACTTCCTATACATCCATATTTCGGCTTTGGTCACTTATAACTACGAAATGGGTTTCTTTTTATTAAGCCGTTAAATTAAAATATTATTTTATTTATCATTTATCTTATTTTCGAAATGCTTTAGGACATGAGCTGCCCCCTTCTGAGCCTATAGCTCTTCCGTCAGCCCTAGTTCCCGCACGAATGTGAGGATCTTTGTTGGGTTGTTAAACAGACATTACAAGACTAGTGAGAATGCAAAGATGTGGTTGCATTTGCAGGGCAATTTGGGAAAATATTCGATTTCAGTTAAGATTGTATATGGCACATCTTCCCGCAATTCCAATATTCTGTGAATTTAGCGACCAAACTTAATAAGAAAACTATTTTTTTTAAATACGAAAACTGTTTCCGTGGAAGCTATACAAGTCATAAGTGATCAAAGCCAAAATAAGGATCTTACAATAACACGTTATTTTAAAAATAATTTGTATCGAGTAAAACCAGAGTTTCAATATAATAAAATTTTAATTTAACAACTTTTTAGCCAAGATGGCTCTTGGAGGCAAAGTATATAAGTTAAACTAGCTGCTTTCTGCACCGTAAGATATTTACACATGATCTATTTACAATGAATGTGATCGGTTACTGCGCGTCCCCTTGCGTCTCATCTATATCTGATGTCTCTGGTTCCTCTTGCTCTTGTTCATTTGCTCCTTGGGCTCTTTGAGAGTTGGCATCAGTTCACCCAGGCCCAGCTTGTTGTGTAGCGCATCTGGTGTATTCACGATACCGTATGGCCTCAGATGATATATTAAATAATCCAGCACATACATTTGATTGGGTGAAACATAATGAAATGAGATGGCATTGTCCGAACAGCAGTTTAGACCCTGTAATAAAGACCGGCAGAATTAAGATCAAAATTAAGAGAGATATCTATTAATATAAAAGTGATAATATTAATGCTTTAAGTTTTTTTTTTTAATATCAAATTACTTATTATTATTTTTTGTACGAGACAAAATATTTCAAAACATTGGTAAAAGTTTATTGATTAAATCGGATTCTCTTCTGTTTTTATTAGTATTAATTAATTACTTCTTCAATTACCTATTTCTTTTGAATTGAATTCTTAGAATTGGTTTAAATTAATTTCAAACTGAAAACGATATCCCACTTTGTTAAAGGGTGTTAGAATTTGAAAGAACTCACCTCATGGGTTTTATAATAGATGTAGCTCCAGTACCATTCAGTCTTCTTCGTATGCGAGGGTATCACGTGATCCTCCGGCACAAAAGGAAAGAAGCGACCACGCCCATTGACATCTCGGGAATCGCCTGCCAGAACTTTAACGTTCTCCAAGCACTTGCCCATTTCCACATCTTCGGCGCCAGTATTGTTCGCTTTGCACAGTTTCCGATTGGGAATAGCTTCAACCACAAAGCGACGCACAGCCTCGCGACTAAGAACATAACCAGCTCCACCGGACATAAAGCCCTGCCTTACAAACGGTTTGAACTTGCGGCCAAAGTAAACGGGCGTGTCAGGATTGTAGGGATATAGCATATAGCGCAAATTCTCTACAATCATATAGGTGTCATCGTCTGCTTTGAGGAACCAGTCTGCATCGTTCATGTGATGCTTGTAGATGTACTTATATGCTTCCTTTGTTTTCCCCCACAGATTGTTGCGTCCCTCGCCGATGGGCAGCGCCACGGCATCCAGCTCTTCATCCTTGGCTGAGCTCATGAAGATCAACTTATTGCAACGCTTGCCCCAGGTGCGCTTCACGTGGCGCGCCTTCGTCTGATGGTTGGCGGGATTCGTCATTATCCAGCAGAGAATGCGCACCTCGCTGTACAGCTTCTCCGCAATGCTGGTGTTTTCGTTGACATGATCGTGTGTGCCCACATCCTGGCCATATCGATAGTACAGAACGTAGTCGTCACGTTCCGGCATGGACGAGTGAATGAAGAGCACTGCTAGGAAGAAGCCAACGATGAAGCCTACAATCATTGAGGCAAAAGCATGCTTGCAGGAACGTACTGCAACAGATAGGAGAACATATATGAGGCTGACGAATTTATCCATCTAAATCCCCGAGTTCCGACCCATTAAGTATAAATATTCTTGATCAGAACCATATGTCTGAGCCGGACGGATCGGGTCAGTATGCCATTAAGCTACTATAGGATTGTTGGTTGGAATATGAGTTCTCTTAAAGAAAACTTTTTCAAAACCAAACTTAAGCAATATGATATTTTTTGTAAGACTGGCTAAAGGTCGAATAACATCTTAGACTTTGCTTAGCATTGGGGCACAGAGAACCTCTCGCTGAAATATTTTGAATTTCAGCCTTAATATTATAAAATCCTCCAGGAGATTTCGACGCGTACCTTCTGATAATACACAATTTAGTCCCATGTTGGTTACACTTTTGGCTGGCTTGTTTTAGAATTAAAAGTTAAGTAAAATATGCTTTGTGTAATGTGTTATTTAGAATTAAAACGGTAATTTCAATTTGGATTTATGAATTATTCATTTCTTATTCGAATATGATTATAAATTGTTATGCTTCATTATTGTTTTAAAATAATATTAAATTTATGTTTTAACCGTAACCGACACGAAGTATTTCACGCTATCGAATCTACTGAACTCTCAAAATATAAACTGTGAGTTTGTTGACGTTATCAGCTTTTTGATAGCTTTATTTATATAAAAACCAGAATGTTAGCTCAGGAACGTTATAAAGGTTACTAGTAATGTCTTGAGACTAGAAGCCACGGCTTAGCCTTTTATCCACAATACGTGGACTTGTTTATACGAAGGACTGAAACCACTGCTAAACCGTCTCACAACAAGAGTAAATTGGCACGATCGCTAAGCGAGAGCAATGCGAAACGACTGATTAGCTGCAGCAGTCGGCGGAAAACGCTTGTTGCTGCAGCTCAAACTGCACTTAACATAGTGTGCATGTGTAAAATTACAACTAACAATGTAAATAACAAAAAGCTTTTCACATTATACCTCGCAGGGCGCCTAATTCAAATGTGTAAACAACTCATGACAGTAAACAATGTTATTTATTTCTTTCGTGTTTTAACAGATAGCATTTTTAAATTGTGCTAAATTTGATCAGAAATAAGTAAGTTTGGATAGTGGGCAGTTCCTCGCCCATTAATGTCAACGAGAAACTAAAATTTTACAGAGATATGTTGCTTTATCGATTTACTGATTTTATTTATTTCTTGTACAAACACAACGAAGTCAAATTTAATCGATATACGTCCAATAATAAATTATTTGAAAGAACAAGTAGTAATTGCTGATCACTTTCATTGTAAATAGGTCTTGCGACAAACAATCAAGCGGTGAAAGCTATCTGGCAACCTTGTTGCCATTGCACCGATACTATTGAGAGCAAGTAAGCTATATCAGTAAAGTATCGATACCTGATCGGTATCGATTGATTTCGGTTGCAGCCAGCAATGGAAGAATGGCGCGTGAAGCGCAATTAAGCATAAATACAACTTCATTATCAATAAGCGCAAACATTTCAGTGTACATATATCGCTAACCCATCCATTATAATAAAATATATATCATAATATATGCGCGTTTTAATTGTATTTGAATTGCTTTAGAGTTTTTAGCTGATTTTCTCTTGATAACAAATGTATGTCAGTTGGTAATATCATTAGAGGTTGGTTTTTACTGGCAATATGGTAGAATATTCGACATTGCCAGATACTCTTCACTAGAGTTAATACAGACATTGAGCTGCTGATTTATTTTATGGAAGGCAAGGAGGCTGACTACACACACTAAATTTAGACTGACTTATTATTATTTTCTTTTTATAAAAAATACTGTGAACCTTTGATTAAAAATGTGAGAGTCTTTAATTATAATATATCTTAACATCTATCGAGATTGCACGCTGTGCTTATATCTTAATGTTATAATGGACAGATATGTAATATGTATAGAGAGAGATTTTACATACAATAAACGTATTTCTGAAACTTATAAATAACACGTTATTTTAAATATTATTTATATTTTCACATGATCTATTTACAATTAGAGTGATCAGTTACTGCGCGTCCTCTTGCGTCCCATCTGTATCAGATCTCTCTGGTTCTTCTTGCTCTTGCTCATATTGCTCCGTTTGCTCTTTGGGAGTTGGCATCAGTTCACCCAGGCCCAGCTTGTTGGGTAGCGCATCTGGTGTATTCACGATACCATATGGCCTCAGATGATATATTAAATAGTCCAGCACATACATTTCATTGGGTGAAACATAATGAAAGGAGATGGCATTGTCCGAACAGCAGTTTAGACCCTGTAATGAAGATCGCAAAAGTTGCATTAGAATTAAAAATATAATTTATTATTGTTTGTAAAAGATAACATTTCGAAATCGAATTATCTTATTTTTTATTATTATTATTTTGTCTACAACTTGAATTTGAAAAAACTCGCCTCATCGGTTTTGTAATAGATGTACTTCCAGTACCAGTATTCCTTGTCCACATGCACGATCAAGTGATCCTCCGGCACAAAAGCAAAGAAGCGACCACGCCCATTGGTATCTCGGGAATCGCCTGCCAGAACCTTAACGTTCTCCAAGCACTTGCCTATTTCCACATCCTCGCGGCCAGTGTTTTCCTTCTTGCACAGCTTCGGATTGGGAATAGCTTCGACCACGAAGCGACGCACAGCCTCGCGACTAAGCACATAACCAGCTCCACCGGACATGTAGCCTTGCTTGACATACGGCTTGAATTTGCAGCCAAAATAGACTGGCGTGTTGGGATTGTAGGGATATAGCATATAGCGCAAATTCTCTACAATCATATAGGTGTCATCGTCTGCTTTGAGGAACCAGTCTGCATCGTTCATGTGATGCTCGTAGATGTACTCAAATGCTTCCTTTGTTTTCCCCCACAGATTATCGAGACCCTCGCCGATGGGCAGCGCCACGGCATCCAGCTCCTCATCCTTGGCTGAGCTCATGAAGATCAACTTATTGCAACGCTTGCCCCAGGTGCGCTTCACGTGGCGCGCTTTCTTCTGATGGTTGGCGGGACTCGTCATTATCCAGCAGAGAATGCGCACCTCGCTGTACAGCTTCTCCGCAATGCTGGTGTTTTCGTTGACATGATCGTGTGTGCCCACATCCTGTTCTGGGCCGGCCAGCTCCAGCATGTCGTGACTATGATGCGCATGGCCACGTCGGAGGTACGGCACGTAGTCGTCACGTTCCGGCGTGGACCAATAAATGAAAAGCACTGCTAGGAAGAAGCCAATGATCAAGACGACAATGATTGAGACAAAAGCATGCTTGCTGGAACGTCCTGCAACAGATAGGAAAACAATTAATTTTCCATTTTCAATGCACTGGTTTTTGCTACCCATACTGTGGGAGTCATCTTCCCCTTAGTGTACAATGAATTTAAGTTTGATTCGTTCTCATCCGTTTAAGACCCCGTGAGGAGATCAATCATATGCCTAAATTATAAGCATTTTGTTGAAGCTCTCGCTGACAAAATTGAAATTCTGCCAAAATATCAAATTCTAGAGGAAATTTCGACGCGTACCTTCTAATGCAGAGATTAGTCCCATATTGATTTTTGCACTGTAAGAGTGAACAATAAGGAAAACAACACTTCTTAACTATATTTTATGTTATGTGTAATTTATAATTAAAAGTATGAGTCAATTTGAAGTTAGGAATTAATAATTTCTTATTAGAAGGTTATTATAAATTTGATGGTTCTTTATTGGGTTCAATTAATTTAAAATGTTATGTTTTAACCGTAACCGACACAAAGTTGTTCACGCTATCGAATCGACTAAATTTTTAAAATATTAATTGTGGAATATATGTGCAAATGTCGATGCGTGCTGGTAGCTGTATGAGGAGACAATTGTGCAAACAGAAAAGAGGCTGTCTTTTATATTATCTTACCAGAGTAAGCAAAATAGCAAAAAGATATAAATAAATAGTATAAATACTATTTTTAAAATTTCACAGAGATATGTTGCTTTATCGATGTGCATTTACTGATTTTATTTATTTCTTGTACAAAAACAACAAAGTCAAATTCAATCGATATATGTACGTTTTACATATAATTATAAATTATTTATATTATTATATTAACTTAAAATAATAAAATCAACGTTTTTTTTTTAAATTTGTTTTCGATAATACTAAATCCTTGTTTAAGTCTTTGCTGATCTTTATTTCTAAAATAATATTAATTATTAAAACTAACAAAGAAAATGTTTTGAAAGAGAAAAAACAGTTAGTTTTATTTTTGGAGTAATTAAATAAGTTTTATGGCTGCGTCAACAATCCAATTGCCTTCGCCTTCGTCTGCATCCGCTGTGTAATCCAAATCTATTAATACATATTTAAATTGTTAGTACATAAATTTATATATAGTGAAACTTCTGTGTTTTCAGACGGCCTAGCCATTTTATTTTCACCAAAGGTAACTGACAGAAGATGACGTACAACATCCACATTCGTCAAAGGCAATGACAACAAAGCTGTATTATTATTTATTGAGCTAATATTTGATCAATTTTGCTACCGTCGAGTTAATATTTGATCAATTTTGCTACCGTCGAGTTGAAACAATTGGCGAGTTGATATTTGATTTTCAACTTGAAACAAATCATTTTGTTTTAAAACATTATGTGAAATAAATATTGAAGCCAAAAAAGATTGATTTCCGAATAGGAAATGTTTAGAATTTTTTCCTCTCTATAAGAACTGCGTTGAGCAGGATTATATGTCAGGTGGAACTGACCACATATTAAATCGTTTTATGATTAAGGGCATTCCCAATGGCGCAATCGATAAAAAAAAAAAAACAAAAGATTAAGTCATCGGTATATATTTTCCTTTTATCTATATCTGATCAAATGTATGCAATAAGATTTAAACTGAAGAGGCAGCAATAAGGAGCACTGTTATTCACTGCTGATGATTCGCTCAATTGAGGTAGCTCACGAGCAAATGAACGAAAAGAGCAAGCCGCTCACAATACGTACACACTTTTACAAAAGTCTGGCAACGACGGCGCATGACCGATTTGACAGTTGGCAAACAAATTAATTTATGGCGAATTTTGAAAATGTGCGCAGAATGTTTTGGCGTTTTAAACACATTTGGGGCTCTAGAACTCTGCCCCTGTTAGCTAGTTGCCTCATCTGGTTGGTGCTGCTGGAGCTCTATTTATTCGCGCTAAGCGGAGCCGGCATCAAGCTAATGGACTATCTGCAACCGCCATATAAGGAGAACATCTCCGACTATGTTGTGGGCAGTCGAAACCAGACCTTGGACAATTTGAGCATCGCCGAGCAGCTGTACAGCAGCATCCGAATACACTGCCTGCTGCAGATGACCAACGATCACGAGCATCGCAAGTTAAGACACATACGCAGAACTTGGGGCCGGCGCTGCAATAGGATGCATCTCAGCCAGTCGGTGAATCCGGCGGGTACCTATCGCCGCATCTACGATAGGTACTCCTCGGACTTGGATTGGTTGCTGCACGTGCATGTGGACAGCTATGTGATCATGGAAAATGTGCGCTTCCATCTTGCCAGCTATGCGCCAAATAGCCGAATTTACTTCAGCGCTTTCCATCTGGCCTATCCCTATGCGCATGTTAGCCTGCGAGACACCACGGATTTTATATTTAGTCGCGGCGCACTGAAGCAGCTGGTCGCACAGGATTGTGTTCCCAACAACAACAATTTAGGCGGCTGTCTTGCAGCCATGCAGGAGGGTCCCAATGTGTACCTGTTTCCATTTAAGGTGCCCGCCGAGTTGGTCCCGTTCTCGCTTCGCTCCGAGTTTTGGAATTGGCCATATATACACAGAGCGATCTACTCCGGGCTGGTAAGGGGTACATATAATAATAGTCCCTGTTTACATTTTTTAAGTAAGATTGGACTTAATTTGTATGTATTTACATTGTGTATTGCACTGCACCCAAGTAGGCGGAAATGTTTCCGCTGTTTGATCTTTACAGGGCATCTGCAAGTTGAGTACTTTCTGACTTCTATACTTATCATCATCACTTTACAGGGCTTTAATATATCCACAGATTATCCCATCGCCTTTCCATATGTCACCGCCAATCAACTTTATGTGTTGGAGTATTTTCTGTACCATCTCAGACCGTATGGGTACATGACTGGAATGCCTGGGCTGAGACAGGGATCGGCTTTGCAATTGGCGACTGTGCCTGTAAATGACACCCTATCTAAGCAGCTCTATAAGCAGGTGCGCATTCTCTGCCTGGTACTGACCTATCCGGACATGTATGCTAAGGTGGCGAGGGCCATTCGACAAACCTGGGGGCGTCACTGCAACAAGCTGATTGTGTTTAGCAGTCGAAGGCAGGAGAGACGGGAAGAGGCGGGAATGGCAACTGTGGCACTAAATGTGAGCGAGGGCTACAGCCTACTGTGGGGCAAGGCGAAGGCAGCTTTTAAGCACGTTTACCGACATTATCTGGATGAGGCGGATTGGTTCTTTAAAGCCGACGATGATACCTATGCCATCATAGATAATATGCGCTACATGCTGCATCCACATCAACCCGATGAGGCCATCTACTTTGGCTGCAAGTTCACTCCGGACGTCAAGCAGGGCTATATGTCTGGTGGCGCTGGCTACGTACTTAGTCGGGAGGCAGTGCGTCGTCTGGTCGAAGACGGTCTGGATTCGGGCAGATGCAATCAAAATCAAATGGGCACCGAGGACTTTGAAATGGGTGTCTGCTTGAGCACGTGCAATGTTACCGCTGGCGATTCGAGGGATGCTGAAGGGCGACATCGATTCCTGCCCCTCTCATTGGAGCACATGATGATACCTGGACGCATGAGCAATGACTTTTGGCTGTATGAATACATGTACTACAAATTAAAGGAGGTACCCTTTTCTTATCCATCATGATAGTAAACGGTTTATATAATGATCATATTCCTAGGGCCTGGAGTGTTGTTCAACCTATGCCATAACAATTCACTATGTATTACATTATCAAATGTACTTATTTGATTATCTTCTGTATAATATGCGTCCATATGGCATTATAATGGGATACGAGCCTCTAACTGGAAAACTAAACTCAAAAAGAAATTTTACAAGATTTCAGATTTAAATGTTGAGCTTCTTATTGTGCTTAATACAAACATACTATATACATATTATAGATTATTTATCTTACGGATACTAAATATATATTTTATGGAAATGATTAGTCTCTGTCTTTGGCATACTTTTGCTGCAGTCCTTTCCAAATTTCGTAAATTCCCATTACATAGATGTTAAAGGGTGCAGTCTGTAGATATAATAATCCATCTGATAAAAGCATGCGGCACTAACACAGTGAAACGATATCGCTGAAGTCGAACAGCATTCAAGTGATATCTGTAATATATATATATATATATTTTAGTGGGATCTTTGATGTCATTAAATGCAAAAGTCAGCTTACATTGCTGAATTTGGGGGCGAAGAGTGGCAGTCCGTGTTCATCGCGCGCATTGCCGGATGCCACGCCCACATTTCGAAAACAACGTGCAACTTCCACATGCATCATGCCATAATCCCGATTGCTGCAGATGCTGCTATTCCCGTGTGCCAGTGTCATAAAGCGATGCAGTGCCTCCCTACTAAAAATATAACTATCCATTTCGGACTTGTGCATCTGAAAATTATGATCAATTTTAAATTATTTAATTAAATTATGATTGCATGTAAGTGTATAATTCTGATTTCTAATGCTTTTATTACAACATAGCTTATAGTTGAGCATTTTGCGTGCATGTAAAAATCTACTATATTTAATTGTTAAAAAAAAGAACTTGAATAAAATACTACTCCAAAGTGTATAAATGTCCAACTAAATTTAGATAGAAATTACTGTATCATTGAGTGATTGCAGGTATTTTTCGTATACTTTACTCTATTTCAAGCTAATTCCTTTTATTTTTAACTAATTCGTTTTTTTTTTACATTTGTTCTGCGCTCACCTTTTTTGTGTATTTCCAAGAATTGCTATCAAAGTAAATAGGCGTCTCTGACGCGTGGTCAAACAGAAAACGCTGTAGATTCTCCATGATCACATAGCTGAGATAAGTGAATGATAAGAAGTTAAACGAAAAATAAATGTATATTATTTTTTTGTTATGCATTTCGAATCAGAGTTAAATTTACTAACGTTTCATCCTTGACCAGCAGAAACCAATCGTGTTGAGTGCCATAATGCTTATAGACATGCTGCAGGCTCGATCGTAGCCTGCCCCACGATATGTTGTGCCCCTTTCTCATTGCCAGCCCCATAACGCCCGACTGCTTATTGGGCTGGCCACTCAGGAATAGCAACATCTTGCAGCGCCTTCCCCAGGTGCGTTCGATGTGCAGTTGGCGTGTGCGCATCGGATCAATCATGATAATGCAGAGTATTCTCTGTGTCGTATTCTTGTCACTCGAACCCGAATCAGTTGCTGTAACATGCTGACTATAGCTGCTGGCATATGTTAGCTGGGAGATATCAGTTTGCGCGTTGATATTATCGTAGAATTGCAGACGCACCAATTGCAACAACTTCGACAGCCCGCTGCCACAGATGAGGCCCAGCAGCAGCAACAGCAGTGGCTCCACGCGATTGCGTTGCTGCCCCATGAAATTCATATTCTGTCTACTGCTTGTATTCGGTTCCCAGTGGGAAATGGTGTGTGAACACAAATTGATATTGTCCAGGAATAAGAAGCTTCATTATCCAACAGTCAATAACACACCCTGAATCTGGGAAAAAGTTGAGTGTTTAGATGTGATGTGTTACTCATGATCCCTGTTCACGGTTAACATCTAAAATTAACAGCATTCAGTTTGGCATTTATCACATTGCTTAGTCACAAATACTTCACGCCTACTCACAGTTTGACAGCCACTGCTCACGAGTCAGTTATTTTTAAACCAGCCGTTTTTTTGTTTGTTATTTATTGATGATCTTTAAAAAGCAAGTGAAAAGTTTTTATGCATACAATTTAGTATTTCGCACAGTTTGAGTGTCTGTTTCGGTTAAACAGTTAACATACAGTTTTTATTATTTGTACGACTATTGAATTTTTTTGAAAAAATATGCAACGAAAGAAATGTGTCTGCCACACCAACTGCCGCTCCCATCGCTGCGCAAACTGCTGGATTTCTGTTTTGACTGGGCTGAAACAATCGGGGCAGACCACTTCTACTTTCTTATGCAAATTTAATGTTTCAGTTCGTGTCGCCGTTGTTGTTGCAGCACATTTTTGTGTGTACTATTCTTGATGATGTTGTTGTTGTTGTTGAAATTCCAAATTAACACATTCTTGTGAGGTGACGTAGCGACCGTTAAAAGGCAAAAGACAAAACATGTAAGATGCGGTTGACCTTCACGACCGAGCGGCGCACACAGGTGAGACTAAGACTTCACTTATATATATATATATTTTTTTTTGCTTTCCGCTGCAACTTTTGGGCTTAATTCGATTTGCAATTGGTAAGTAGTAAACTGTTGGCCAGCTGTTTACCGGGTTTTTTTTCGAATGCCTCGCAAACTGTGCTGCCCCTCTTCGATCCGCGCGTGCTCTGCGAGGGCGCAACGCTCGTTTCGTTGTGATTCGTTTCGTTTCGTCTCGTTTTATTTGGCTTTTGTTTATTTGCTCACATACACATACACACGTAAGGAATACAAAAACAAAAAACCAACAAAAAAAAAACAAACAAACGCAGTAAATGTCGTATCGAATAAACAACTCGAGAAGCGGCAGAAGAGCGCGAAGTCGACTTCACGCTTTGACGATCGTTGACAGACTTGCACGAGTCGCTTGTATTCTGTTGCTGTTGTTGTTGCTGTTTTGTTTTGTTTTCTTGTCTTGTCTTGTGTGTTTGTTGTGCTTTTTTATACGTGCGCGCTTCACTCGCGCTCAGTGTGACCATCCATGTCCAAAGCTAGAGATGTACCAAAATCGACAGCTGAATAAGTGGGAACACTTACACATATTCAAACATGAATGAATCGATTCTATCAACTGCAATATTAATCCGTTACTTATGAATGAAATTAAATAAAAAAGTCGCATGGGATTCGTGTTCTGGCTGCAAAATGAAACCAAATGCGTTAATAATAATCGTATTCAGCTCAGCTTTCTGATCAGCCACCTGGTCTTGGCTGTTTAAAATGCACAACTGGTTACGACGTATCTCTTTCGTTTTCTCTTTTGACCTTTGTTATTTTTTTTTTCTATTTGAAGTTCTTACGATACTAATTGTTATTGTTTTATGAAACTATCATCTGAAAGTATTAAGAATACATATTTTAGCTCGATAACTTTTACCTTTTCTAATCAAAAAGTTTTTAAGTTCTCGTATTAAACACTTTTTAACTTGAATTTTATCGTCTGCCTAAAAGTTTGCAATGAAATAAAAGAAGAGCTGCGAATATGAAATTTTTTCAAATCTTTTTTATGATTAAAAACACAAAATTCAGTCTGAATAAAATAATGATATATTTTCTGCTCTAGCACATACAAATTACAATTTAAAAAACTAGAAATATGATTTAAAACAATTGACATTAAAAACTAGGCGTATACTCCACCCGTTGTTCGCTCATTTGCCGCAATCACATAGCTATCACCCGATGTCGATCTTAACGTATTATCAACGCCCCTCACAGTTGCCGAGCCCGAGGAAGTGGCAGAGAGTTGGCCAACGGGCGAGCGCTCGTTCAGCAGCACTGAGGGCGCCACAACCGCCAGCTTCTTGAGGACGTAGGGTACGCGAGTGACGACCGCATTGAAGCCATGCACATTGTCCGCAGTGTAGGTGACGGTCCGCTTGTAGCCATCGGGATCGACGAGGCTGTAGGAGCCACTGACCACATAACCATCGCGTGTCTCGCTGTGTTCCTTGATGTCGCCGGTGCTCTCATCATTCACGGCATAGTTGAAGCTATAGCTAGCGGGCGCAAAGATCTCTGCCTGACGCTGCTGCTGCACGGGCAGTGGCACTGCAAAGAGCGGCGCAGAACCCCGGACAGTGCTGGTGGCAGCACTCGAATCGGAACTATCCAAGTGAGTTGTATAATCATAGCCATTGGGCGTGGCCTGTGAGTTCTCGTTCGTTTGGTAGTCTGTGCGATAATCCTCGTCCGAACTGGATGCACTCTGCTCCACCGAATTGATCTCATTTGAAGCTGAGGTCAGCTTTAAATTTTGATTTATGCTGTTGATGCTCTGATGATTATTGGGGTCGTAGTTGTACTCGGCGTGTATTGCGCCGAACAAGGCCAAGGCGAGGAGCAGCAGCTGAAAAGGATTCGTGTTTAAGTCAGCATCATCTCTATTACAAAGTATTTGTTATTTGTATAGCACACCTTGAATTGCATCATTTTCTTTTCGTTTCTTTCTTCTTTTTTTCTGCCTCTGTTGTTTGTTGTGCCCACAAATAGCCAGCAAACTACAGTTGTGATTGTCGCAGCTTGGCTCTTTTATACCAATGCGGTGTTCGATATTACTTAATAGTTACCGTTATACAATGTCATGCGCATCAATTGGCCGCAATGCCATTTTCTAATTGACCAAATGAAGTGATTACTTATTACTTTCGTTTTTCATTTTGTGTCTAGTTTTGTGCTGCGTAAGCATCCAACAATTGGTCGTCTGCGACAACTAAATACATCTGCCAATTAGACAGATGACAATGACAATTGACCGATATTTAAATTCGCCATTGAAATTGTCAACCTGTTCGTCTGCCATTGCCAAATTATGCTAACATCTTAAAAAGTGTCTTGAATTAATACCGCTAAGAATTCATAGAGACAATCCATCAATGTAACGACAAAAACTGCCTATATGAAAAATCTGATCGATTGGATAAATTGGTAATAGGAGCAATATTTTTAGGTCATCAAGCAAAGGATTGAATTGCATGTCAAGAAACAGTAAAGAGAATATAGGGAAAATAATTGGCATGAGAAATTCATCGCGCGAAATGAAGTTGTTTGTTTTTAGACATTATTATGTGTGTTAGCACACAATAAGCACGCACCTAGACTAGTGTAAACAATGCCTTCGACAATAAAAGGCATCAAACCGGTCGTTGGTCACAGTCTTGGCCTGAAGCTGCACGTCACAGCGAACCACGAGTGCAATAACAAATTAGCCGTCGAACAGAACACAACACAGCAGCCGCAAACGTCGCAATGACAGCGGCCAAAAGCAAATCAATCGCCAGACTGGGGGCCAGCTACGTTGGCCAACTGCGCGGCCAGTTGCATCTATTGACGGGCTTCATATCGGGATTTGTATGCGCCTTCGTCCTGCTCCTCTACATCTATGATATGCAGAATGAGGTCAACTGTTGGTCCAGCAGCAGTAGCATGATCAGCACGACAGCAACGCAGGGATTGGCGATGCAAACGGATTGGGAGTTGGCGTCGGTGCGGGTGCTATGCATGGTGTTGACCTGTCCGGATTATGTTGAGCGCTATGCACAGCATGTGCATGCCACATGGGGCAAGCGCTGCAGCAAACTGGTGTTTGTCAGCAGCGAGAACTATGAACCGCTCGGCGTGGTTCAAGTGGTGCAACCCAATGGCGGCAACTATGAGGATCTGTGGAACAAAACGCGCGAGGGTTTTCGTCATGTGTGGCACACATATGGCGAGCAATTCGATTGGTTTCTCAAGGCCGACGATGACACGTGAGTGGTGCTACTAAACAAATCCAGAAATCGTCTAAGAACTCAGCTTCCCCTCTTCTGTGAACTCATTATCCTAATACTTTTTTCCAGCTATGTCATCATGGAGAATCTGCGGCACATGCTCAGCGCCTATGATCCCAATATGCCCGTCTACTTTGGTTATCAGCTCAGACGTTACAATGTGGTAAGTTCTTAACTGCAGATCATTGTTATATCATCATTTCATATAACTATACTTGGTCTTCTTCAACTATTGTTTCAAAATTTGCATTGCAAATTGCTAAAATTTAACTGCCACCAGTTTAAAACACCTGGCAAAGCTTTATTAAATTTTAGCTTCTTATATAATTATTCTGTCCAAATATCATATTTCATTTATCAAATAGTCAATGCTTGCAGTTGATGTGGTATATCAGTTGCAGAATTGACAGAAAAATGTTTTGTGTGAATATTAAGCTTCTTCTTCTTTAAGCCTGAAGTCATTCAAATACTTTTAAAAATATGCTATATTTGATATACATATGCTTTATTTATTTAGAAAACAATGATATATCTCAGAACATAAAGTGATATTCTAGAGAAACAAATGCAAGAATTTTTTCCAATTTGAATTTTTGATAACAAAAATTTTGATAAGAGTATTTCTGTTACGCCATGCTAATAAAAATATTTAGTTGCTTTCATATTCGGGATAGCGAAATTTCTAAATGCAAGTTGTTTTCTATGCAATAAATGTTGAGCAGATTAACCGGTTCTCTGTTCCGTGGTTAAATAATAATTTGCTGATTTTCGTTTAATTTCTTTGCTAATTAAAGACAATTCTTTGCCATAAAAACCTTGACAGTTTTAATAAATGATGAATCCATAAAACATGCAACAACAGTAAACAGCAGTAAACGCAAATGGAACTGGTGTCAGTGAATAGACGTTGCTATTCACCTGCTTCTGTCTTCTTCTCTCAGTCTCTCAGTTAATGGTCAGTTGACGTAAGGTCTTCGAGGTGACTTGGCATCTAATGCACAAACTCATCGTGTTGAGGGCTGCCACTCCTCGCAGTTGACATTTATATTTTTTTTTTTACCTCTTCAAATTACATATTGTGCAAAGTTTTGGAGGCAGCCAAAGTACACATTGTTGACCAACAGCTGGTGTTTAATTCTTGTTGTGAGCTGAACAGCACAAAAAAATAAAAATATAAGCCAAAACAAATATGAGCTAATGAATGAGTTAAATGAAAAATAATATTTATATATATATAAGTATGTAATCAATTTTGGCATAATAAGGAAGAGCAAAATTAAATTGGCATTTAAATTGAATGAATAAGTTATTAAAATGAAGTTTTTTGAGATAATAATAAATCATAACAGAATTATGTTTGTTATTGGCCAAATGGTTACTTATTAAAAGACTTGTTCAAATAAAAATAAAAACAAAAGTATTTGTATTCAGCTGCTAAGAAATAGCGAAGAGTAAAACTTTTTCTATATTTAGATTAAAAAATATTTTTTAAATTTATATTTCTTATTGCAGCCTGCTTATTGAATATAATTTTCTGCTTATTTGAATAAAATATAAAAATATGGCTAATGAACAGCAATTTTTTATTTATTTTAATGCTTTTTCTCATTAACTTTAATTCAAAGTGTTGTTTTAAAATGCACGCTGCTTAATCTTAACTAATACCAAATATAATATACTGGCTAATTAACTATACTTGGCTCAAAGCAAGTAGCCAAGTTCACAACACAGCAGGTGGCTCAGGCTCAGTTGCACTAAGAAATAGCATTTTTGTTTGCCAACAATATTTGAAAATTGTTTACAATATTTTATGTTTATCAAATTTCTTTGATTTATTACGACGTTTATGTTACTGATTGTATTTTAAAGCTTTGTTAAGGGTTTTGCGGTATTTTGTAGAGATATAAATTAGCATATGTTAATTTTTTAATGGCAGAGCTTTACTACAAATAACTCTGAAATCAATTAGATGCACGCTTGATGCTAATAAAAAGGTTATCTTGTTAGTCATTGGGAATAGAAAAAAATACAAATTTGATTTATTGTACCTAAAAATATGAATTCATCCGGCAAATGTCAAACCAAATGATCTTTAAGCTTCCCGTGTTCAAATTTTAATTAAACTCGCATTTTGACACATCATCTGCAATTATGTTGTAGCAGACGGCCAAAAGGCCTTCAAAGCTGCTTAAAATCCATGTAATGAACAACGTTGCACTTGACGGATAATTATGCTAAATGCCTAAACCATAACTAATAGCTTCGACCGAGCGCTGTTTTCGCGCCTTTGATGTGCATATTTGTATACAATTTGTGGTTCCGTGATGGGAAACATTTAATAGATTTTTATAAGTGGTGGGTGTGGTGCATAGCCAGTTTCTTGAAATCAAGTTATTTCACTATAATTAATACATTTTTATTTGAATATTTAAATTTAATAGGGGGTATATTCATTTTGTTTTCAAATTTGCAACAACAATTGAAGAAGTCGTCTGAGACTCTATAAAGTTATATATTATAGCTATATTAGTTATATGATGAATATACGTCAACATCACTAGGCAAGTCCATATAACAATTAACGCCAGTCTAAAAGGGTATCTAAGCTACAGCTTAAGAGCCTAACAATTATTATTTCTTTCTTTTTTTTTTATTACAATAAGTTTTACTGATTTTTAAGCATGTAAGAGCAAAAGACACATAATTTGGTATTAAACATATTATATGGTTAGATGAAAGTTAAATGCAAGTTAAATAATTCCTTTAGAAAAGATGGCTTAAATATATCATTTAGAAATTAACTTAATACATTCACCTAAACATGGATGTGGATCCGTACTAACTTTCGAAATTTCTGCTTGATCTCTTAAAATATATAATTTGTATATCATTTGAATAATTCCAATAGAGTTATATGTCTGGCGGTGCCTCTTATGTGCTCAGTCGCGAGGCGCTGCGTCGCTTTATGAATGAGGCCTACGACTCGGATAAGATTTGTCCGGAAGCTAAGAAGATGGGCATTGAGGACTTCTACATGGGCATATGCTTGCAAAATGTGGGCGTACATTTGATAGACTCCAGTCATGCCCTGCCCAACGATGAGCGACCAAAGTTCTTTCCGCTGGATGTCGTGAATTATGTATACAATGCTAATGGCAGCATTCCAGATTGGCTGCAAGAGATGAGTGTCTCGCAGATATTAGCCGTATGTATGCCAATTGAAATGCTTAAGAGCATTACGTTAATTGTGAATTTCTTTAGGGCAGCGATTGCTGTTCAAATTACTCGATAGCCTTTCACTATACCAAACCGGAGCGCATGTATCTATATGAATTTGTGCTTTATCAATTGCGGGTCTTTGGACGCAAGTACGAGGAGCAGCTGCCAAGAAGGTTCACATTTACCGAAATGTTGGAAATGTTTCCCATCGAAAACAACTCGCAGATCAAAGACTTGTCACAAATGCAAGAGAGGCCGGATAATTTTTAATTTCTTTAAGTAATATATAATTATTTCATGTGATTTAATTATAAATAAATTAGTTTAATAATTAGCATAACCATGTGGAATGTAAAACAAACGGCAGCAGTGTTGTGGCTGTCAAACTGTTGCCTTTAAACAAAAGACTTAGGCAACAAACTTGAGTGGAAGTTGCGGTATACTTTTAGGTGTCTTATTTTTAGACAAAGCTTTTTCTTGAATAATGGCATACAAATCTGTTATAGGTCGGCAAAAGCTTCATTTGCACTTTATGCATTTCGTATGAATAAATATTCATTTATTTATTTGTAAGAATATAAATTGAAAGTCGATAAATAGATTTGATTGCTGTATTTGTTCAATTTTATAGAATGTATCTTTAAGTGGCTTAGCCCAGTTCCAAAAAGCTAGAAATCAATCTCTAATTGTTCAATAAGCAATTTTAAAATGAACAATTTAGTAAAGATGTGAGCTAAAGTGTCACGAAATTTTAAAAAATATTGTTAGATTTTATTATAAGCCTGCATCCATATGAACGTATGTTATATTCTTTTATAATATTATTACAATTGCCTTGCGGCTGCATTACTTAACAATTGTTTAAGAGGAAGCTTCAATGTATAATTAAACTGATATGTGTATTCCAAGTTAATGCAAAAAATCCTTCAACATAGCGCATTCTTGCATGAAGGGCCAAAAAACCGGCAATGCTTTTCATTACCAAAGTCAATGCCTTAGCCACAGTTGGCCTTGTTACTGCCCCACAATTTGCTTGCCCAGTGCAGTTAATTACCGACAGAATGACATACTCAAGCGCACTATTCCTCACTTGAGTCAGATATAGTGTTGGATATACATATATACACACGGGTATGTAAATATTAATCTGTCGGGTTCGATGTGATGCAACGTGAGAATTAATAAGTGAAAGGGAATGCTGCCTTCGCTTAGTAACTAGAGTTAAACTTGAGCTCAGTTTGTTAACGAATCTTCAGAAGCGTTTCAGTGAACATAAAAGCCTTGAGGAAGCGATTAATGCAGGTGTGTCACTTCTGCATTAAATGGAGTTAGTACCATAAACTATAATTACCAATTACGCGTGCTATAAAGTTATACTAATTGTAGAATTTATACAAAAGAGAACTCTTCATGTTTTGTACACATTTTATAATTACTTTTAGCTCTGTTCAAATTCAACTGACAGTTGCAAGAAAACAATTCAATCAAATTGACTCAATTAATGAGAGACGCACAACGCAAACTGTTTGCTAAACAAGCCAGGCAAACAGCTACCGATTGTTGGCTGCTGTTGTTAGTTAGTTAACGTACTTAGTTAGCTGTATGTTTTATGGATTTCATTTTTGTTAGCCAGCCGTTGTGTCTAACCATTCAAATGGCCGTCAGACGGTGCGTATGCGCAATTCGCTCAACGCGTGTTCCATTTTGTGCCGACACACGCTACACACAGCAAGTGGGTTACATTTTTGTTGCCAGTTGCTGTTGTTGCTATTGCTGTTGCTCTTGTTATTGTCACCTGTCTGATTAATATTTTATAACTATGTATGTGTCCACTTTTCATACCCTCAACCCATTAAAAATGCGGGAAAAAGGGTGTAAAGGTTTTGTACAAAAGTATGTAACAGCCAGATCGAAGCAACTTCGACTCCTTAAAGTGTATATATTATTGATCAGGATCATGGCCGACTATCTGTAGAATCTTTCAATTTGCAATATAGGTTCTCGTATACCCCGCGTAGATCAAGTTTATTTTATTTGATCGATAACTGGCCTCGTTGCTCGCACATCGATACATATCGATTTCCGATTACAATTCAAGACACAATTTTAAAGACAGCCTTCCAATTAATATATTATATACATTGACATATTATTAAGATCAAGATCGGATAACAAACACGCAAGTTATAGTCCAAACGTATTCTCATATGGATCTCATCACTTTCTGTACACAATAACTGCTTACATTTGAGCGTGCTGAGCTGGTTTCAGGGTATCTCGTAGTCGAGACCATTCAACTATAGCATTCTTTCTTGCTTTTTTTGTGTATGTTTCTTTCAATCAAATTGTGCGTCGAGTCATGGCATTTATGTAGCTGGGAGCAGGCGGCTGCTCGCATTCGTTGTTCGCACTCGTGACCTTCGTTGTTGTCAAATGCGAGCTGTAAACTGCTCCGCTCTCGATTTGCAAGCCATTCAAAATTACCACATTTTTTGTAAGCGACGACCAACAAAAAAAAATAAATAAATAAACTAAAATAAAAATAATAAAAATATAAATCCAAATTGAAATTGAATTAAAATCCAAATCGAAACTGTAAAAAATCGGTTACTCAGCTCAGCGTTGCTGTTGTGGCTTTTTGCTGCCTCATATCTTTCATGTCAATTGCTTTGGCCACGCACTTAATTTTTGTGAAAGTTGTTAACTGAATTGTTAAAGCATTATATATAATTAATTAATTCATGATTTCGTAGCAGGTTAAATATTTATTTCCAATTAATATTTTATATGCATAACCAATAAAGTTCTGTCAAACAATTTGACCATTCACTTTTGGTGCCAATCGTATTGCTAAATAGAAATGTAATAAATTAAACAAAAACAGATACCCTGATCTGACAGGCAGAGAATTAAATCAGTCCATATATTTTGACAAAATATTATCAACATTAGTTGTAAGGAGTTGGACTCTGTTATGCAAGGGTACTTAAACTTCGGCACAAAGCAAAGCCAGCTATTATTACATATTTTACTTTGTTGTGAATTGATTCTGAATTGCTGAAATGAAATGTGCGTAGTTTTTAGAGTTGTTTCAAGTATTCGGTGGCACTTGACGATTGGTATGCCATAATTAACGAACTGTCAGGTATTGGTTTTTTCCCCGAAACTAATTGGTTTATTTTTATACAGCAAGTTCCAAACGAGTTGGGATAAATTGAGGAGTGTCCAACAGGAATTATAGAGATGGATATTCCATTTTCGATTATCTTTGAATGCCGTTCATATGAATATATCTGCAGTGACTACAATTCATATTTATCTCTCTTCGTACTGTCAACCTTTTGACCAGAGTTCATGTCTCGACATTTAAGCATTAGCTAAGACAGACAGAGAGACGATATTTTATGTCAATTTTTCTATGGATTGTCAACAGTTTTCTGTTTAATGTTTTATATTTTTTGCTATGTGCTGCCTGATCGATCGGTAATCACCTCTTTGCACTTTGCAGCTCCTTGCTACTGCATATGCATGTTGTGCAGCTGTGCACATTAAAATCAATTAAAATTGTTATTTATCTTCTATTCTCGATGCTCCTAACAAGTTCAGCGTGCAGCGAGCACATCTATAAATATTTATTAATGTTGAAGCGTTCGAAAAATCAGCTGCTAAAAAACGAAGAATATATATTAAATACACACACAAAATACGTTGAATGCACACGCATTGAAATTGAAATTGAAAGACATTCTTGATTCTCAAGTGTACTTCAAAAGAACCACAACAAAAAATATAGTTAGTCTAAGCGACTTGACTTGAGAATTGTTTCGAGTTGCGGCCTCAAAAAAAGTCTAGAAACAACAGTTGCCTTTGCCACACCGAATATTAAATGCGCTTGCCGAGCAGTGATAAACTATTGCCACAAAACTCAGTTATTCGCTTAAAAAAATACTATTATTTAAAAAGAAATGACTAATGTGATCAGCTTTATATAACTCTTCGTTTCGGATATATCTCGTTCGATACGATATATATTTGCTGACGAAATTGAAATGCCCTCATAACAAAGAATTTCATGTTAAATTGACATTAAAATAAATAAAACACAAGTTTAGCACTCGGTCGGTATGTTATGTAGTTAGGTAAGTAATTAAATTAATTAATTTTTATATTCTGCCAGTTCGGTTCAGTCGATTGATGCCAATCGCTTCAATTATCTTATGCGAGAACTCGAAATAAGTTTTAAGAGGCCTTCCAGCGGAGCGTTCATATTGAGCTGAGACCGACTTAAGTCGATTGGTATCTTAAACAACTGCTGTTTTTGGTCAATTCAATTAAGCATTATGACACATACACGATTAACTTAATTCTTGATATTATACAACAATATTAATTGTTACAAATTAAAATAAAAGTAAACGATTCACGAACATTCGTTCGTCTTTATCAATCAATCACGCACTCTTCAATCATCTATGTACATACATTTTCGTAAAATAAATGCCTATGCTAATCGTGACGGTTAAAATACCTAGTGAAAAAAAAAACAACAATCATAAATCTTAATGAACAAGCCGTTAACAATATCAAGAACTCGTAAAATCTGAAATATTGCAGCATATTTACATAACACACTGCTGATGGCGGCTGGCGACTGCAATCATTGACTTTGACTTCTCAATTAGCCAAAGAGCATATTTTGTATTTTGGCCTCTCTTAGCTCGATGCCTGAAGATGCTCACTCTTATGCCGGCCTGCCTGTCTGTCTGTATGCCTTTCCGTTAGTATTTTCTCTTTGCATAGATCCGCATTGCAGCGGCGCTCTTTGGAAATGCCCACACGAAATACACACATATGCTTGTGTTCCTATGGGAAACATTGGCATGACAATGATTAATGCGACACGTTGTCATGTCGTATGTGACGGAACTTATTTGGAGACGGACATGGAGACGGAGACTGAGCGCAAATTCGAAATGGAGCATAAGCCAAACAGTGAAGGGAGGAGCACAGTCCAGCAATATACATAGCGAGAGAGAGAGAGAGAGACCGTGAGCAACGCCATCATCGACCGGTTTCATTGGAGAATGGAGCTGGAGGGGTGCGAGGGGTTAGCAGACAATTTGGTGTGCTCCCTAAGCCAGCTGAGGTGACAGGCACCAGCTGAGGTGCCAGGCACCAGCTGAGTTTTCAGTACTCAACGAACTCTTGGCCGCTGCGGACGTTTGGCGCTAACTTGGTGAGAAGCGACGTGTAAAACGAGCAACGAACGCTCGCAGTGAGAGTGAATGTAAACGTGTCGCGCATGCGTCGTCGTTGTCGTCTGCAATTGTTTCTGGTTCGATCAGTTCGGTTCGTCTTCGTCTTCGTCTTCACCGTTATTATAATTTGTGCTGTGCGTTTTATCTATGCAAAGTGACAAGCAGCGAAGTTATGTGATGGCAAATTGTTCAAATTGTTTGTCGAAAATTGCAAAGCGGAAAGAAAAACAAGAAACTATTCACACACAAGAAAAAAAAAGAAAAAAATCAACTCCACCCGCTGCAATGCTTTCAATAATCTCCAAGTCGACTTTTGTTGTTTTTTCTTTGTGATTTTTTTTGTTGTTGCTTTTTTTGGGTCGCCGTTTCGTTGGCACGCCATCTCTTTTGCGCGCACGCAAATTCATCGTCTTTTGGGGCGTCTTTTCGCCTTCTGCTTTGTTCGCTCTGAGCGTCGTCTTCTTGTCTTTTGCTTATATTCGTTTTCTTTCATGAATATAATTTATTTTCGTGTTTATTTCTGCGGCTGCTGCGGCTTCTTCTTCTCCTTCTTCTTCCTCTTCTTCTTCTTTCATCACCTCTTCATCATCTTCCCACTCTCCACCTGCTTAATGCAACAAAGACAAAAACACTAAAAAAAAAAAAATTTACTTGTCACTTGCGCAATTTTTGCGCTAGAAAAATGTACAAAAAAACATTACCGTAACCAGAAACAAATTCCAAGTTTGCAAATTAAACAAACGGAAGCGCAAAACTAACGGATGAATGTGTGCAAAACCGTAAAAGCTCACAATGCTGGAAAATTTACAAAAGATATTAAAGAAATAAATTAAACGAAAGTTGCAAGCGACGGCTGACTAACTAAGAAGCCAAGTCGTTGACTTTGACTGTGTCTGAAAGAGATTTGCATACGAATTACTGTTAACCATGTTGAACGTGAACTTCTCTCGTTGCTATCCTAATTCTAGATTCTCGTCTATTGAGCTGCAAATTAGAATGAAGTAATTTTTTTCAAGCCACCAATTATTAAACAGTTTGTAGCAGCTTAGGGAAGCGTCTTATTTATATAGTTCAAGTTACAAATAACATTAATCTGTAAAGGATATACAAAAATATATTTTTTTCTTTAAATAGATCAAAGAGTTTGCTTTATTGCGACAAACTTGTAAAGTTTTTAGATTGACAATAATCACTAAGTATCAGCAATTGCTTAAAATCTATTTAAGCTCAGATCGCAGAAAGTGTGAATTTTGTCTAAGCCGAAGTTCATGGTAAACCGAGCTATTTAAAATAAATAATAATAGCACTGCTGAGGTTTTTTCAATTTATTCATGAAAGTACAGGTACTAGTGTCATTTAAGAAATGTAATCTCTAGTCTTGGGGTGCAGGGGCTGTAAACTTTAGCTTGGCATTGATTGCAGGTATTTCTTGTGTTTCTTTGCATTCCATTATAATTACGGCTTTTAAGTCTTCCACGCTTTCTTGCTTTTCTGTTACTCATGGCACACTGTTTCCTCAGCTTCGCTTTACGACAATTTCTAAACAAATGCCACCGAGCAGATACATACTTATGCACACATACACACATGCATTCCCATACATACATATATACACACAACTTGTGTATAACTGTATACCCTTAATGTAGTTTAGGTCTGAAGCTCTTTCGGGTGTCTCTTTGGCTTTATGATTCGCTGGATTTAGCTTTGACTTTGCTGCTTGTTGCCGTTGCTGTTGTTGTTTTAATGGCATTGTTAATTGTTGCAGTTGTGCAATGTATTTTTGTATTTTTACTTTTATTTTTATTTTTTTGTTGTATTGCTTTGGTGTGTTTAAGTTGTCGTTGGTTTTCTTTCGGTTTCCTTCTCGCTCTTGTCGATTATGACTAATGGACATTTGTCGGTTTTGTTTGTAAGCACGCAGAAGGTCAATTGTCTTGTGGGTAATTCCGTTTATTTAATGTATATACACACATAGGCCAGACTTTTTTTGTTGTATTTTTCATGTCTTGATGTGCCGTTTAGTTTGCTTTATACATTGCATTTGAAAAAAACGCTTTTTTTGCTGCTTTACTTTATGCAATATTATTAATTTGAAACATTAACGAACCATTTCGTCATTTACTCAAGTCTGTTGATTTGCGGTTTTTGTTGTTTCTGTTGTCTTTCAATACCGAATTAAATGCGGCTAAATACTCTCCTATTTCGTTTGGATGATGGTATTTTAATCGAACTTTGGATTTTAGGATTGGGTCTTTGGCTAATATTCCAATAATTAGACTTAAGTCTATATTAATAATAAATAAATAAAAAAATGCTCGCAATAAAATAACAACGTTAAAATTTGCATTGAGAAATATATAGTAAACAACTAGAACCACATTCTCGAACAAAGCTTCATTAAGGCTTATGCAAATTTCTCGACGGCAAATATAATGTTTTGGTATTTTAAAACCCGATTTCCGATACGGTATAAGAACTACAAAAATGTTGAAGAAAAAAAACCAAGTGTCAAAATGCGAAAAAAGAGTTATCGTTGCAGCGATGACTGTTAAATAAAATATATAGAATTGTATGAATCAGAAGTGTTAACACAAAATCTCTCATTTTCAGCCCAACTTTGAGTTCCCTGGAAAAGATGAGCAAACGTTAAAAGTCAGCCAATGAGGCGAAAAATAATAATAAAAATAATACAAATCGAATCGTATATAATGCAAAATTGAGTCGCCTCAATCAATTCGACTCCCCCCAGTGCTATACATAGTTTGCTTAATTAATTTCACAATACAATTCGCAAGCCAACAAATTTGCCAACAACAATAGCAAATACCTGGCTATCAATATGAGTGTTCCAAGCGTGCCCCAACAGCGGGCATCAACTCCAACACCAACGCGGAACCAGCATAGCTGGCGACTACGTCGGGCCCCCGGGGCGACAGTCCCTCGCAGCACCCTGCTATTGTTGCTGATTAGTCTGGGCCTCAGTCTGGACTTTGTGCATTGTTACGGTGAGTACTTTGGATACCCTTGCAAAGAGTATTCTAGTTTTGTCACTTTATGTGTTACCTTCAATTATAAGCCGACATAAGGTTATTTTTTTAAATTATTAAATACATTATTTATTCAAACTAATTTAAAATAAGTCAGATAGTACAATATATATATGTCTGCAGCTGGACTTTAGTATGAAAGAGTATTTCAGCACCTGCGGGCTGAAGATAATTGTCCCTTCTCTTTGCATATGTTTTATCAAATTCAATTACGCTAAATTTCATATAAGCCATGAAGCTATGCGTTACGCACATCTAAAACTATATAAAATATATACGTATATATTAAGAATATTTAAACCTAAAATTAATCTATTCCATTTTTTTTAACCCTGATGCCATTAAAAATGGGTAATAAGGGGATTATGGTATGGTGTAAATGTATGTAACAGGCATAAGGAAGCATCTCCGTCCCCCCGAAAGTATACATAGTTTAGATCAGGACCAACACCCGAGTCTATATATCCCTGTCCGCCTGTATGAATACATAAGTCTCACAGACTATAAGAGTCTTCAAACTTATAATAGATAAAGTTTCTTTTTATCAATAACAGTCCCTGTTCGCGATTTCCGATAGCAATAAAATCCATAATTTTAAAGACGGGGCCTTCAAACTGATATATAATATATGTTCATTAACATATTATTGATCAACTGGACAAATCATCAAGATCGAGATCGATAGAGATTATGCCTACCGGCGTAATTTAATATTGTTATTTAATAGATCATATCATATTTATTCATGTTAATTTACGGCTAAAATTTAAACAGATATTGCATATATAATTTTGATATATGAGACCATTTTATTAGACGCCAGTGATTTTATGGATATATATTACCATATTGAACGTTCGATTTTAAACATGCCAACCAGCGCAAGTGCTAATGCCAGATATAATGAAATTTATAAAGAAAGGCAAACAAAATGTTTGCCTATGTCGAGACTGGCGCAACGAGGCAATGTTTAGCTACCCCATAGTGCACCACATGTGGTGCTGTGGGTCAGACCGGGAGAGAGAGACAGGTTACAAATGGGTTAAACAGTAGAATGGATGATGTTAAACGTTGTTTGCAATAATTGCATTACGCTAAACAATGAAAACAAACGATATGCTGGGCATAAATCAAATGATTAGCAAAAAAAAATGGCAAAAATTAAAAATGACATCCATGAAATTGAGAGGGGTGAATACCGAGGGTGATTAGGTGACTAGCTGTAAACAACTAAACGACGGCCCGCCGGCTGACTGGGCCGACTGGGCTGACTGGGCGAGCGTTGACATTTGACTCGGCGCACGAAGCCGCCGTTGGGGCGTCTGGGCCACGCCCACAAGTTAACCGTTTATTCAGCAGCGTCGTACGTGACCGGCTTCGACATCTGTCAGACAGAGAATCGATTGCATCGAGAGTCTCTAGAGCCGCTAAACTGCTCAGGAAGTATACCCGTACTAATGCTTATGCATAATAAATGGCCAACGCTGTCGATTATCGGTCAGTCGGATTCACGAGATCAAGGCATGTCTGCCGATATGCTGTCACTCACCGAGGCAGAGACACACACACACACGGCCATAGAATAAGTGTATTGTTCTGTAGACTCAAGACTCCCCACAAGCCGTAGAACTCAGTCTTCTCGTCGATGACGTCAAGCAATCGTTAGCTGGTTAACAGTGTGATCTGTGTGTGTGTGTGTTATTACGATGGGATTATTTGCTGTAATTACAATGCAATTGCCCAAGTTGTCGCTTATGGTGATTTGCATTGAGGAAATTCGATTTATATTTGATATTTTTGCAAAATGAATCTTTTTGTCACTGACATTTTATTACATAAAGATGACTGCATAATCTTTGCTTTTTGATGATATTTCAAAAAATCCACGCGCACGTTTTGCACTTACACCTTAATAATTCCCGTATGCTCATTGACGTGTATCACCTTTTTAGCTCACAATTTCTCATCTTAATACTCATACTCTATCATACTAAAAATAGATATTGTAATATGGCCATATTCCAAATGTTCTTCTGGATTCTTCAATTAATTAATATCCACCAGCCATGCTGTCAAAACTGCTGATTATAGTTATCACCTTTAAGGTGATCGCTCATTACTTGACAGTACACTGCTAAAAAAAAATATTTGAATATATCTTTAAAATCCAAGAACTAATAACAGATAAACTTTTTAAAAAACACAATTAGAAAAACTCCGAAATGAAAAAAAATACTATAGACTTGTTTTTAATTCTCCATTTTTGGTTTTTAATCACTACAAGAGAATATTAAAATCCTTCCCACTTTGAAAAAATCGTAAACATTTCAGTTTCAAAGATCAAAGAAATAAAGTTGTTTTTAGCTAGTGATATTTACATGTATGTTACAAATGCCAATATTGGAACTTTTAATTAAGCTAATGGCATTTGGATTAATTAAATAAAAATGCCAAAAGTTCTTAAAAGTTATAGCATCGCGTAAGCAACACACTCATTATCTGACAACAAGCCGTTTGGAGAGACTGCATTCTTAGCAAACTATTTGCGTTGCTGACAACTTTTTCTCGTTGGCTAATTAAGCCGCAAGAAATGAATAAGAATTTTTGGTCTTCATTACGATTTCAGTTTTGGGCTGACTATCTGCCTATGTGGATAGTGTTAATTGATTTTGAGATGAAATTAAATCATGTGCAATTTTTTTTTCAACTCTTAACTTGGTAATCAATTAACAGCTAACAAATATATTTAACTGCATTGTATTATTTTTATATGTCAATGAAATATATTTATGGCATTTGTGACAAATTGATTGGGCTGACTGCTCAAATGCATCGACATGCTTGGCTTATTAAAGTATAATTGTAAATTACAAACAATTAAACGAGAAAGGAATAACTAAAACATATATAGAAGACAGGTTTACGTGTTTTGTTTCATTTTAAAAAGAAGCATTATGCTAAGACCTTTAGCCTTAATGTTTATAGATTGTATGAGTAATTGTTTTTTAAAGTAAGATTTGTAGGGAATCTGATATTATTTCAATTTCATGTTTCCACTTTGCCACTTTCCACGCTGCTTGCAGAAAAATAGTACAAGGAATTTTATAAAAAAATCAAGCGGCATCGAAAACTGTTTCACTTTTATTATAGGTAGCTGATGCAATCGTGAAACGAAACTAATCCTAATGAAAAAGTGATGATGAATACGTCACGTTTCAAATACAAACATTCGCAATCATACTTAAGCTAATTAAAAATAAAAATAAATCCATGTACATTTTTCTAAACGATAGATGTTAATTGAAATCTCAATATTTCATTTTCGTTTAAAATTATTCTCATTTGAACATCTTGTTGCATTTCGCAGATATCTGCCTTTCTGTGGAGCAATTTTTTTTAGGTTTTCTTAGTTTTTCTTTTTTGCGTTTTAAATTTTAATGTTAAATTTAAATGGAATGCAAAATTTTTGACAACTTAATTTTGTTTACAAAAATATGGTAGTATTAGCTGGCGGCAAATCAAGTCAATTTAAGCGATTGCTTAGGTATTCTAAGATAATACCATTAAAGACATATTAAAATAACATTTTGCTACTATCTAATAGCACGTTCGAGATAGATAATTGTTTTAGCCTCGAAGAAGATAGAAGATAGTATCACTATCGTCTTCTATCTATTTTTAAACAATTTAAAGTTTCACTAACCAATTTTCCACGCATTAACACAAATCGCCTGAAGATTATGGTGTGTGTATATACAATGCTAAGTTGGCCCAAGACATATTGCAATACACAATCTAATTGCCAAAAGTCACGCATTTGCCCAGCAGTTGAAAGTGAAACACGAGCAAATCAAAAGACTTAGGAAACGAACGTGAAATTGTTTGCAATCGCTTGAAAAACACAATGCGACAACTGATGACGATCGGAAACGATCCGATGCGAACCGAACCATCAACCGTTATCTATTTACTTTATACACATGCATATATAATGTTTTTTTGTTTTTTTTTTTTTGGGAATCCGTGTGATTCCGTCTATGTTGTTTCAAACTTTGATTGCGAGTTGTGCACAGCAGGTGTTTGTATCTAGCATTCCAAAGCCGCCAACGCAGTGTATATGTATGTGTGTGTGGATGTACATATGTATATAGATTTATACATATATAAGGTCAGCTGACTCTTCCATTGCGTCTCCTCCGTCCCTGTCTTGCGATGAGTAAATCTTCAGTTAAATGTATGTGGTTGGTTGTTGTTGATATTGTCGTTTTGGCTGTTGCTGCTTGCTGACTACGTTTTCGGTTAACCGGATCTGATTCTGAATGATTGTTGCCTCTGTGCTGTGCTGTTTATATATGTAGTCTCGGTTCGTCGTCAGTCGTCGTTGCCATCTATCATTCCGCACACACACACATACACAAATACACACACACACATATATTCACTTATATCAACACACACGTGCGAACATTGCTCTCGAAAATGGCACACAATATAATCATGCTGTATGTTGTTACTGTTGTGGCTGTTGCTGTTGTTGCTGTTGCTGCTGTTGCTGATGCTGACTCTTTGCTGTCAACGTCATGATTTTAATAGTTGCTCGTCTGAAGAAAAAACGTTTAGCAAATCTTTTGTTTCACCATCAAATTAAAACGATTGGCATTTCGAGTTCGTGTTACACTAAAATTATAAGTTTAAAGAAAACAAATTTAGATCAAATTGATTTTGGGACTATTTATTTATCATTTATTGGTGTACCTGCTGCAACCACATTAGATATTTGCATTTCCCTTTTCAGTTATATAATATAAATTATTGTCGTGATTTAATTTGTTCTGGTTGTAGCCATTGGCTTTAATTGTTAAACAGGTTTCCAGTAACCATCTTTATGAAAGAGGAGTCTCTGGATAAAAATAAAGGCAACAGAATGCCTGTGGATGAAGAACTTAAAAATACCATTCATTTATTTATTTATATATATATTTTTCAATTAAAATGAGCAAGTTGGCCTCTCAGTTTTATTTAGAATGTGATAAGCCTAAAACTTGATCTAGGCTTAATTGTATTCTTTATTTATTTTTGGAAATAGTGAAAGGCTTTATAAATAAATATATTTTCGAAAGTATGTTTGAGAGCCAAAAACAAAAGACTTACAACAATATTCCACAATTTAAAATATCGCTGCAGTGCTTACTTGAGTTCTTAGAAAAACCAGTCTTAATCAACTTCACTTGCTTCGTAGAATATTGATAAATTTATTTTAGCTAAACTTTTATAGGGTATACAAATATTACTAATTATAGAAATAAATGTACGTAATTAATAATGATTAGTTAATTGAAGTAAGTTTTGAGACGCGTGGGATGAATGATAAAAAAATGAATGAATAAAGAGCGTATTACAAAACGATTAAGCAAAGCACTACAAATAACTTAAATTGCTCGTAAATATTTAAATTTAAGCCTAAAAATACTGATAGGGGCCAGCACCTTATTGCTCTGACCGCAAATAACTCAATTTTTGCAGTCAATTAAAGTAGCCAAACACGTTTTCTCAGTAGCTAAACAATCACAAATCTTTCTGGTCTGATTTAATATTTAAAATGAAAAACTGGTATAAATGTAGTACTCTAAGTTATTTTGAATCTCTTATTTTTTGTGCGTAGCAACATTTATGGCATTCTCAGATCTTAACTGGCACAATTTAATGCGTAATTTGCACGCATAAGTGCCACAAAAATCAATCTAAATAAATTGCAACTGTCAAATTGGCCAGAAACTACTTTTAAGAATTACACACTGTGTGCGATTTGAATAGTGATTAATTTAGATAACATTTTTAAAGTTTGCAGCTGTCAAATGCATTATTTATATCTCATTAATTATATATACTTTACTTATATATATACTTATACTTTACTTTATAAATTTTCGATATGTTATCGTCTTTATTTACAGAGAAAATGTATAGTCAGACTGAAAAGCAGCGCTACGATGGCTGGTATAATAATCTGGCCCATCCCGACTGGGGATCGGTGGGTAAGTGCAATTAAATATGTTTAAGTTTAGCATATTTATATGCATGCAAATGCAAATACACTTGCCCTGAATTATAAAAAAACGCCTAGAAAACTAGAAAGGTTCTCTTGCAACAGTATCTAAATATAAACAATAAAGTTCTAAAAATTAGGAAGGCATTTTTTCTATTTGTCAGACATAAAAGAAATAAAGGTAAAAATATGAAACCCTCATTCTTAGAAAAAAAAACCCTTTCTGAAACTTCTCAAATTTTACTGGGATAAAGCATCACTATCTGATATGTTTGTATATGGGAAAACTTAGAATAATAATACTTAATAATAATTCAAGTAAGAAAAAGCTAATTAAATTTGTGGAAAAATGTACCCTAGAATGAATAAAGGAAAAGACTTTCTGAATAATTTGCTTACTTGGTGCAAAAATAATTCTTATTTTTTTTCTGAGTGTATGTAAATGCAAATACTTTCTAAATGGTCTGACAAGGCGGAATGTTAGTTAGATTGGCTTATCGAGCATTCCAATTAGATTCAAGGGCTCGTCATTTAAATGAACACGATATCGCATATTTGCACCGTCATTAAATACGTATTTTCTGAATTGATTTTCAGATAGCCATCTGGTGCGGAAGGCACCGCCCTCCTACTCGGATGGGGTGTACGCAATGGCTGGGGCTAATCGACCCTCGACGAGGCGACTGAGTCGCCTCTTCATGGGCGGTCGCGATGGTCTCGGCTCCAAATTCAATCGAACCGCGCTGTTGGCCTTCTTTGGCCAGGTGGTGGCCAACGAGATTGTGATGGCCTCAGAGTCTGGCTGCCCCATTGAGATGCATCGCATCGAAATCGAGAAATGCGATGAGATGTACGATCGTGAGTGTCGCGGCGATAAATATATACCCTTCCATAGGGCCGCCTATGATCGCAACACTGGCCAGAGCCCGAATGCGCCTAGGGAACAGGTGAGATTGCACGTGTGGCAGTGCGGTGGAGAATGGGGTGTCTACCACCAACATCGACTGGTGTACAAATGTCGCAATAAAACCTACTCCGCAGATAAATCAAATGACTGCTTGGATTGATGGCAGTTTCATTTACAGCACATCCGAGGCGTGGCTCAATGCCATGCGTTCCTTTCACAACGGCACCCTGCTCACCGAGAAGGATGGCAAGCTTCCAGTGCGCAACACAATGCGAGTGCCGCTGTTCAACAATCCGGTGCCCAATGTCATGAAGATGCTCAGCCCGGAGCGGCTATTCTGTAAGTTCATCATACTAGCAATCATTTATCATCAGTCTGCTATAAGCAGAAAAGAAAATTCAAAATAAATATCAATTATAATTTTGGGTTTGCTTTCCAGTGTTGGGTGATCCGCGCACAAATCAAAATCCCGCTTTGCTCTCTTTTGCCATACTCTTTGTGCGCTGGCACAATACCCTGGCGCAGCGGATAAAGCGCCTGAATCCCACATGGTGTGACGAGGACATCTTTCAGCGTGCGCGGCACACGGTGATTGCTAGTCTACAGAATGTGATGGTCTACGAGTATTTGCCGGCGTTTCTGGGCTCTTCAATACCGGCATATGAGGGCTACAAACAGGACGTGCATCCGGGCGTTGGACACATCTTTCAGGCGGCCGCCTTTCGCTTTGGCCACACCATGATACCGCCCGGCATCTATCGGCGCGATGGCAATTGCAATTTCAAGCAGACACCCATGGGATATCCGGCCATACGGCTGTGTTCCACGTGGTGGGACTCTAGCGTGAGTTGTTCATAATGTGTACCACTACTACTTGTATTCATCGTGTCTGTTGCAGGGTTTCTTTAGCGACACCAGCTTGGAGGATGTGCTGATGGGCCTATCATCGCAAATCTCCGAGCGCGAGGATCCCGTCTTGTGCTCGGATGTGCGCGATAAACTCTTTGGGCCCATGGAGTTCACACGTCGCGATCTGGGCGCTCTAAACATAATGCGTGGACGCGACAATGGTTTGCCTGATTATAACACGGCTCGCGAGGCATATGGCTTGCGCAGGCACAAAACCTGGACGGACATCAATCCGCAGCTGTTCGAAGCACAACCAGAACTGTTGGGGTGAGTGTCCATAATTATCACTGCCAGTTTATGTCGAGACTAATCTGCAATATCTATACTTGCAGTATGCTGAAAGAGGCCTACAATAATCAGCTGGATGATGTGGATGTTTATGTGGGCGGCATGCTTGAATCCTATGGCCAGCCGGGTGAGCTCTTCAGCAGCGTGATCAAGGAGCAATTTCAACGTGTGCGCGACGCGGATCGCTTCTGGTTCGAGAACGAACGCAATGGCATCTTTACAGCCGAGGAGATCGCCGAGCTGCGCAAGATAACCCTCTGGGATATAATAGTGAACAGCACCGATATTGAGGTGGGTCAGATACAGCGTGATGTGTTCATGTGGCGCACTGGCGATCCCTGTCCGCAGCCAATGCAGCTGAATGCCACCGAGCTGGAGCCGTGCAACTATTTGGAAGGCTACGACTACTTCTCCGGCTCCGAACTGATGTTCATCTATGTGTGCGTCTTCCTTGGCTTTGTGCCCATCCTTTGCGCTGCCGCCGGCTACTGTGTGGTTAAGCTACAGAACAGCAAGCGGCGCCGACTCAAGATACGCCAGGAGGCGCTGCGTGCGCCACAGCAAAAGGGATCCGTCGATAAGATGTTGGCGCGCGAATGGCTGCATGCGAACCACAAGCGGCTGGTGACAGTCAAATTTGGACCAGAGTCGGCTATCTATACGGTGGATCGCAAGGGCGAAAAGCTGCGCACCTTCAGCTTGAAGCATGTGGACGTTGTCAGCGTTGAGGAGTCGGCAACCAATCATATCAAGAAGAAACCCTACATACTGCTCCGCGTGCCCAGCGATCACGATCTGGTGCTGGAGCTCGAGTCGTATGGAGCGCGTCGCAAGTTTGTGAAGAAGCTGGAGGATTTCCTGCTGCTGCACAAGAAAGAGATGACCCTGATGGAGGTTAATCGCGACATTATGTTGGCCAGAGCGGAGACGCGCGAACGTCGTCAGAAGCGTCTCGAGTACTTCTTCCGCGAGGCATACGCGTTGACCTTTGGCCTACGACCGGGCGAACGGCGTCGTCGCTCGGATGCGTCCAGCGATGGCGAAGTGATGACCGTGATGCGCACCAGCCTGTCGAAGGCGGAATTTGCCGCTGCGCTGGGCATGAAGCCCAACGATATGTTTGTGCGCAAAATGTTCAATATTGTGGACAAGGATCAGGATGGTCGCATCAGTTTCCAGGAGTTCCTCGAGACCGTTGTGCTCTTCTCGCGCGGCAAAACGGACGACAAGCTGCGCATCATCTTCGATATGTGCGACAACGATCGCAACGGTGTCATCGACAAAGGAGAGCTCAGTGAGATGATGCGCTCGCTGGTGGAGATTGCGCGCACCACCAGCCTGGGCGATGATCAGGTCACCGAGCTGATCGACGGCATGTTCCAGGATGTGGGCCTCGAGCACAAGAACCATCTCACCTACCAGGACTTTAAGCTCATGATGAAGGAGTACAAGGGCGACTTTGTGGCCATTGGCCTGGATTGCAAGGGTGCCAAACAGAATTTCCTCGACACGTCCACAAATGTCGCTCGCATGACTTCGTTCAACATTGAGCCCATGCAGGATAAGCCACGGCACTGGCTGCTCGCCAAATGGGATGCCTACATCACGTTCCTCGAGGAGAATCGCCAGAATATATTCTATTTATTTCTATTTTATGTCGTTACCATTGTACTCTTTGTGGAGCGTTTCATCCACTACTCATTTATGGCTGAGCACACTGACTTGCGACACATTATGGGTGTGGGCATTGCCATCACACGAGGATCGGCCGCTTCGTTATCCTTTTGCTATTCGCTGCTGCTGCTGACCATGTCGAGGTGAGCATTAATATTAATCGACAATCGAGTATTGTGAAACTAATCAATCGCTTTGTGTTCATCGCAGAAATCTCATCACCAAACTGAAGGAGTTCCCCATCCAGCAATATATTCCGTTGGATTCGCACATCCAGTTCCATAAGATCGCCGCCTGCACAGCGCTCTTCTTCTCGGTGCTGCACACCGTTGGACACATTGTCAACTTCTATCATGTGTCCACACAGTCGCACGAGAATCTGCGCTGTTTAACGCGCGAGGTGCACTTCGCCTCCGACTATAAGCCGGACATCACATTCTGGCTCTTTCAGACGGTCACTGGCACCACTGGTGTCCTCCTCTTCATCATAATGTGCATCATTTTTGTCTTTGCCCATCCGACCATACGGAAGAGAGCCTACAACTTCTTTTGGAACATGCACACTCTCTACATCGGCCTGTACTTGCTGAGCTTGATCCATGGATTGGCGCGTCTGACGGGACCGCCACGTTTCTGGATGTTCTTCCTCGGACCGGGCATTATCTACACCCTGGACAAGATTGTCTCGTTGCGCACGAAATATATGGCACTAGATGTCATCGATACAGATCTGCTGCCCTCGGATGTCATCAAGGTCAAGTTCTACAGGCCGCCCAATCTGAAGTATTTGTCCGGACAGTGGGTGCGCCTCTCCTGCACTGCATTCAGGCCGCAGGAGATGCATAGCTTCACGCTAACATCGGCGCCGCACGAGAACTTCCTGAGCTGTCACATTAAGGCGCAGGGTCCATGGACTTGGAAGCTGCGCAACTATTTCGATCCGTGCAATTATAATCCAGAGGATCAGCCCAAGATACGCATTGAGGGTCCGTTCGGTGGTGGCAATCAGGACTGGTATAAATTTGAGGTCGCTGTCATGGTCGGCGGTGGCATTGGTGTTACTCCGTACGCCTCTATACTGAACGACTTGGTCTTTGGTACCAGCACCAATCGCTACTCGGGTGTTGCCTGCAAAAAGGTCTATTTCCTGTGGATTTGTCCATCACATAAGCACTTCGAGTGGTTCATCGATGTGCTGCGCGATGTGGAGAAAAAGGATGTCACCAATGTGCTGGAGATACACATCTTCATAACGCAATTCTTCCACAAATTCGATCTGAGAACCACCATGCTGGTGAGCTCTGTTTATCTATAAATGTGTATATAAATTATCTAATTGAAATCTTTCTGTTGCAGTACATATGTGAGAATCACTTTCAGCGTCTCTCGAAGACCTCAATTTTCACGGGACTCAAAGCAGTCAATCATTTTGGCCGTCCAGACATGTCCAGTTTTCTTAAGTTTGTGCAAAAGAAGCACTCCTATGTAAGTTGCGTTAAATTAATTCAATTAAACTTTAAATTAATTATTTGAATATCGTTTGACAGGTATCCAAAATAGGCGTCTTCTCCTGCGGTCCCAGACCGCTAACAAAGAGCGTTATGTCCGCCTGTGATGAAGTGAATAAAACACGCAAATTGCCTTATTTTATACATCATTTCGAGAACTTTGGTTAAGTTGGCGCGCACCTCAGCAGCGGAACTCTACTCAATTCTACAATTATCTGCCAACTACAAAAATCAACACACACGAAAAGAAAATAACACAATAATAATCAATTCTCGAATTAAGTTTCATTCGTTCAGCATGTTCAACGAATTTAGTAGCACACCCACACCACCCACTACTAACTGTCATCTATCGATATACATATAGTATATGTGTATAATATATATATATATATGTATATGTATATATATTAGTGTGTGTAGGTATGCTCTTGCGTTCATAATTTAGTCAAGTTCTACAATTTAGTGCATTATGAAAATTTTCATTGATATTTGGCTACGACAACAACAACAACAACTGAGAGGCCTCTATTCAATATATATATACTTATGGATATGTTTGTGTATATGTGTATTTATAGTAAAAATATGATTTGTTATCAGTTTTTGTAAACCGTTCGCATTATTTATTAAAATTTACAATTTAATTAAAACAACTCTCTTCGTGCTGAAAAATCATTTTGAGGAAATCAGTGCAAGCAGTTCAGTTTTATTAAGCAGTGCATTTGCAAAAGGAGCCATGCCCAATATTCTGAACCACAGTGTACGGCAGCACGGCGACTGCGTCAAAGACAGCTGTTTCTGTCCTCTGTTGCCAAACAGGATGCGTGCAGTTGACTACAATCTTGCCAAGCATAAACAAACTAACAAGCAACTAATTCACAGTAAAAGCGACGACTGACGACGCATAAATGATTCTAGAAGTGCTTGGCCTGTTGGCGGATTACTATCACAGTTGTCTTAATGCAGAACTGTACATTAACGAATGGGTGCAGGATCGGTAAGTCAAGGACTCTCACCTTGAATGCTAATCTTGCAAACATCCTTTGCAGCCTAAGCCTTGGCGAACCAGTTTTTCGCTTCGTCAGCGTCTATTTGGAGCCAGGCAACATGTTCAATGTGTGGATACCACTGATTGGCATTCATCGCCAGGATTTGCTGACACATTTGGTTTGTGTGATGAGTCTCGTTAGCACAGTGGGCTCCTTCGGAAAGTGGCAAGTGTGCCAGTTATTTAAAATCTCTAAGCTGATTTAATTGGATTTATATCAACAGGATATATCCAGAGTGGCGTCCGCTCTGGCGTCTACGCGAGCTCTACGCCAATGAGAATGCCAATAGGCCCGTAAGCCTTGCCCTGCAGAGTCACGATCTGAGCTGTGAGACGAGTGGCGGATTGCCCTGCTCTCATTCCATGAGCTTGACGGCCCTGCTTATGGTTGTTGGCATGCATCTGCCGATATCGGGACGCTCCACAGCCTGCCGGATAATAATGTATAGCCTAATTGGCTGCTGTACGCTGTGCATGTGGCTAAGTCGTCTATATCTTGCCACGGAGTATCTGCATCAGTGCCTCTTGGCCAGTTATATGGCAGTCAGCATCGTGGCCATCAGCCAATGGCACTGGTATTCCCAGCGACGCAGCTGGGCGATTCTTGTTGTGCTGCTGCTTGGTTGTCTAGCAGTTGGAGTATACTTCATCAAGCTACATTTGGGTCTTGATCCGCATTGGTCTGTGCGACAGGTGAGTCGTTTAACAGCGATCAGAATTGGTTATTTGTGCAATGCAATTTTTAGGCATTCAAATGGTGTCCGGAGCCTACGTATATGCGACATGAGGGTAGTCCCATTTTTCTGCTGTCCCGTGATCTGGGCAACCTAATGGGAGTGGCACTTGCATCGCCCGTGATGAAACTGTATGTCGTATTTAAGGTCTTGACTTTGTTATAATTCCTGATTTTTCTTCTATACGCTGAAGGACAAACAACTCCCAATATTCGCATCGTTTTGTCGGCATTTTCATTCTGGAGCTACTTAACTATATACTGCGTCTCCACACACCAAAGCAGCATGGACGTCTTCCATTTTTGGCCTACGAATTTACACGGAATTCCTTGCACACACTTATGCTCATCAGGTTCCTGCCCCAATTCTTGAACAAACTAGTAAAGTAGATTTATTTTTTGTTAAATTCGCCTTTATTGATTTATTTATTGTATATAATCATCGGTCTAACTTCATTATTATTTCTAAATTCAAATTCCAAAATTACAATATAGAACATTTTAAATATGCTATAATTATTTTATTTATTATATTATTTATTTTTATTTTATTATACACATATTTTCCTGAATTGTAAATATTTATACATATAAATTAAATCAAGAATCTATCATAATTAAACTATAATACATTTTGTAGTAAAGGTAACATTAGCTAAATCTCAAATAAATGGAAAATACATAAAGCATAATTTTGCGCTTTTCAATTAAACTAAAGAATATCAAAATTGAAAAAACTCATGCATACTTTTGGGAGTTTTATCGGACTGCATTCAAGAATAATGGGGACATCTAAGATTCCAAACAAATGTGCAAATTTAGAACGATTTAGATGTCTCAATATAAACTGCTTTAGTTACTTGCAGACGTATGTAGCGGATGCCGCCTCCACTAATACCACCGCTGAGCAGGCAAGGTCAAATTATAGACAAACAGAAATCAGCAGTTGCCAATTTACACCCTAAAATGGTTGCAGCCAACTTCACGTGAGTCCGAATTGTGCGCTCAGCCAACTTCACGTGAGTCCACATTTGCGCGCAACCAACTTCGTGTTTGCGTAAACCGCGAAGCAATTGCGAAGACATGGTCACCCTACAAACCAATTCAAATAAAAACAACGTATTTGAGCTTTTATTATCATTAATTATGTATTTCATTCGATTTTGTTGAAATTTTGTCTTGCCAAAAGTTGTTTTATTTTTTTTTTCTCAATTTTATTATCTATTTATACATAGGTATAACGTAGAATAGAAATTTGTATGCTAGATTTGATTGGAGGCATCGGTTTTTTTTCGAGTTTTTGAGTTTACGAGTACGGTTGAAACAGGCTCAGTCAAGCTGCTAAAAAGGGGACATATCGATTTGATCATTATATATTTATATGTGTATGTATATGTATATGTATATGTTTGTATGTATTGTACTTATTATAAAAAGAGCTACTACAACAATAATATCAGTATCAGTATCAGTATATTTTGTGTGTACCCATTACCAAACAATTCAATTAATTTTCCTTTTTGTATTTTGTTTTTGTTTTTTTATGTTTTTTTGTATCAATTCAGTCTTGCCATGACTCAGCACATGGCAGCATTCTCCAGCGTTATATCATTTTTTTTTGTCATCAATCATAGCCGTTTCAAACATTGTTTTTAATCAGTTCAAAAGTTTATACATTACGAATACCTAAAATTTGGGTTCGACACAGCATCCAAGAAGTGCTCAGAGGGTATAAGTTATAAATATACATACATATATATATAAATATATGTATCTTGAACTATGTGCTAATATAGTTTTATTTTCCTTGGGCATGACATTTAAAGATCTACTAATATTTGACTTGTGGATTTTCAAATTGATTAATTGCCATTTCTAGGGATTAACATAGACACCGAATAAAACATGAGTACTAAATTGTGTGTGTATGTGTATGTGTGTGCGTGTGTGTGTCTGTGTTTGTGTATATGTGTAATTATATTGCTATAAATCTATTAATAATTCTCGTTAATTCATATAGAAAATTGTAGAATTGCTTCTGCATAATATACTAGATATCCACCAAACCGGATCTCGATCACGATCTCGATCATTTCTTATCTTAACTGCTTCAAAAGGCCTACGGGCGGCATTTAGGGCGCTGGTTTCGTATATACCGAACTATCCTTACGAATTTGCTTGTGCCTTTCCATTAAAAATCCCTGAAAATTGCTTTGCTCAGCTGCTGCTTATGACTGGTTTTTCATTTTGTTTTTTGTTTCTTGTTTTTTGTTCTTCGACAATAATGACAATTAATATGTATTGTATTTTTCACATTTAAGCAAAAGTTTGTTAAACCTCTTCTTCTTTGTCTTTTTTTTTTAAATGCTTCATACGCTTATATATATATACATATATATATATATATATATATGATGTATATTGTGCTCTAAAAGCAAATTCAAAACTGCGTTTGCTTAACTACGTTACATATTCTGTTAGACATTGAGTTATCACACCAATTTATATATATTTATAGCTGGCGGGTAGTTGCTTATATAGATACAAATCTTATACATATGTTCTAACAACTCTATCCACATTGTATCACCCTTGCGCTACAGTGAAGCCTGACTTAAGTGTCCAAAAAAAAACTATCAAATGCAAAGGTAAACTCTACACAAAGTACTCAGAGTACACATGTACACCACACATTATATTATTCATATATGTATATATATATCTTCTTCTATATATATATATATAACTGTCTGGTATTAATATTATTATTTGAGAGCTGGTAGATGGTAGTTTTGCTCTCTATTTTGCTTTCTCCGTTTGTAAACGCATCCAAATCGCATTTAGCTGAACATCATCCAATATGTTTTTACAACTAGTATCATAGCTTTTTTGTGAGTATTGCTTTAGTTTTTACAGGGTTTCCGTTTTGTTAATCTATTTATTAAAATGTATACGTACAATGCTTCAACTTGATTGTAGCCGCAGTTGCCTATAAAGGAGAAAACACAAATTATAATTGAACTGAAGAGCCTCACCTGAAATGAAATACCGATGAAATGTTTTTAACAAACAGAAAAAGAAAAATACAACAAAAAAACAAATAATAATTTCATTTCTAGATCATAATGTTTGCTTGTATTAAGTGTGTTAACAAATCTTAAAGACAAAATGAAAAGGTAATTGATTGATTATGATCAAACTAGAAATCGAAATAAAAATTAATAAATTCTTTGCTAAGTATTTATTTAAAGTACTCGAGAATCGAAATCAATTTGTATTACTTTCGAACCCGGCCGAAAAGTGAAGCAGCTTGGCATGTCGTACAAAATAAATCAGTGTTCTATATATAAAATAATATTTGAGAGGACTAGATCGTATTACATAACGCATTTTAGACTGCTCAACTAGTTATTCATATGGCTGCATACTGTGACTGATAGATAGATAGATAGATAGATAGATAGATAGATAGATAGATAGATAGATAGATAGATAGATAGATAGATAGAGAGAAGATAGCAACTTACAAAAGTAAAATAAAGGTCGAAATTCAGAACGGACAAACAGACAAATTATAATTATAATTAATATTATTATCAAGTTTAAATAGTTCAGATCATGCCAAAAAGCCGCAGTGCATGAATGCTAAAACATTCAAAACAGAAAAAAAATAATATATAGATATATATATATAGATATATATATACTAAATAGAGCGACAAATACGAGAGATCGTTTAAAAGTGGAACTTAACTGTGTGGTTAGTCCTAAAATTTCAAGCTATGTTACATTATTGTAGACTAAATACTATATATATGTATATGTATATATATTTATATATGTATATATATATATATATATATATGTGTGTGTGTGTGTATGTGTGTGTGTGTATATGTATATGTATATGTTTGTATATCGCTTATGATTTGATTTGACTTGTTGATTGCCTACAAGCTAATAATACCTTAGGTTTGCGCTAAGATTTCTACATTTCATATAACTAACAACTAAATATATATATATGTATATATGTATATATATATATATACTGTATATACTGTATGTATTATTAAATTATTTGTGTATATAGTTTGTATATGCAAATATGTTAGTTATGTATACATTTGTATAATATTGCAATGTTCCAATATTCAGTTGCATGACATTTTATGCGTGTGTGTTTTGTATGTTTTGTGTGTATTTTGTTTGTTGGTTTTTTTCGTTTAAGCCTATTTACAAATACAAATTGCTTGTCTTCACTTCTTCTCTATCAAATAATATTACAATTTGAGATGTCATTTCTTTTTGTGTGCTGCTGCTTGGCAGGGGCAGGGGCAGGGACAGGGGCAGGGACAGGGGCGGGGACAGGGGCGGGGGGACTGTGGAGGAGAGTTAAGGCATTTTAGACATTTGCCAAAACGAACTTCTCTCATTGACAAGTTTCTTTCTTATTCTTTCTTACTTTTTTTTCCTTCAGTTGCTACAGCTACAGTCTATCAAATATGCGTTACATAAAAGCTTACAGCCCGAAAAGAAATTAACAAAATTAACAAATTCATTAAGTGTTAAATAACTAACGAAAGAAAAATATTAAAGAACTAAAGAAAAATTGTTCAGCACCGAAAATGTGCAGAATGAAAATTTCATAAAATGTTGGAAGTCTAACAAAAAATATTTGAAAATAGTTTCATATTTTGACTTGTTTTCTATTCTGATCTACTACAAAATAATTCATAGATGATAAAAGGTTTTTCTTCTGTTTTTTGTTTATATACAATATTTCTACTTTTGTTTCTTGTTCTATTTGAGAACTTATTCAGTTGATAATTTTCTGTGTTGTAAATAATTTCTTAGATTTTTCTTTCGTTTTGGTTACTTAATGCATTACTTTTTATCAGATTTTTGCTCGGGTTGTTCGCCTATTCTTCTTATTCGCTTTGCTTCTTCTGTTCGGCATCTGTTTGGAACAGTTTGTTGTTCGCTTTACAGGGTATTTAAAATAAAATATATATATATATATATATATATATATATATATATATATATATATAGACATATATATATATATGTATATGAATTAATATGTACGTTTTGTATATCTATATTCTAGAATTCGCATTGTCCTTTCACATTCAGAATAGCCCATTGGCGCCGGCTAAGCGTCGTCGCCGGAATCACATGAATCATCATTTGAGCGTATTGTATATGTTATCCTCTCCAGCCAGCTCCACGGTGGTTATATGCTGAGCACCAGACGCCACATGCCGCTCACCGAGCGCCTCCTCGCCGAGATAAACGGTATGATAGCTGATAGCGCTTGTCGTGGTGGGTGTGCAATTGATTTCGACCCGGCTCACAGATTGCGGCCCATTCGGTTGATACCTGAGCGAGGCGTAGTCACCGTCATCGTCGTCGTCGTCGTCATCCTCATCGTTATCCTGCTGCGGCAGCTGTGTCAGCTGCGTGGCGCCCGAGAAACTTTCGCAGGTGTGCGAGGCACAGATTTCCGCATAGATATTCTCCTTGGTGTAGTCGATGGGCGCGGGCGTTGCTGGTGTCTGCTCCTGTTCCTCGCCGCTCTCCAGACTGTCCACGACCAGCGAGTCACGCACACTCGAATAGGGCAGATCATCCTCCACCAACGAGGTGGGCGAAAGCTGCGCCGCCGGTGATAAGGCAACTAAGCCGCCCAGCAGCGAGACGCCACCAGCTGCACGTCGTCCAGTGATGGGCAACTTGCCCAGCTGCAACTGCGCTCGGAACTGCTGCTGGCTGCGCTTCTCGCGCTCCGTTTCGTGCAGCTGCAGCTTTTGCGGCAGCGAGAAGTGGCGCAACTGATGCAGACTGCTCGAGGACTTGCTGTACTGGCGCGTCTTCACATGGAACTCGTTGTAGAGCTTCTCGGTGATGAAGGATTGCGGCGGCGGCGTCTGATTCTCCACATCGTCCAGCTCGGTGCCGGCCTCGCTGATGGCATCGGTGTGTGCATGTGCAGCCAGCAGATCGGGTCGCTGCTCCTTCCGTTGTCCGTTCAACAGTTCAATATTCTGCAGCGACATCGACTTCTGCAGCAGTGTATCCAATGACTTGGGCATGGAACTGCGCTCCAAACTGTTGCTCAGCGTTGTTGTCTCTGTTTCGCTGTGCAGCGATTGGGTGTCTGCCGCTAGAGCTGCAATGGGCTCATTACTGGCATTGCCGAATCGCTCCTGCAGCAGCTTGGACATGTCCGTATACCGTTCCATGCTCATCCGCTTCGCCTGCACATCCAGCTGCAAGTCTGCGGGCGAATTGGGCTTATCCAGCTGCTGCTGCTGCTGTTGCTGCTGTTGATGCTGCTGTTGATGCTGCTGCTGATGATGTTGCTGCTTGCGAAACCATTTCTTTTTGGTAGACTGAAAGACCTTCATGCGTTCCGTGATCCGGTTTGTGGAGCTCTCGCTCTCTCTGCTGGCCAAAGCAGCGGCAGCAGCTGCTGCCTCTTTGGCCTCCAGTTGCTCCAGATCGGTCTTGCTAAGGAATATGATCGAGTCCTCCTTCTCGTGCGCGGAACTATTGTTGCCCGGCGCCGCCATGCTGCTCTTCTCGCGTCGCAACAACTTGGGCAGATGCAGCGGCTTCAGTATTTTGAGGCCCTCACGCGTCTTGCTGGCTGAGCGATCGTTGCGCTGCAACAGCTCGATCTCCACCAGTCTGAGAAAGTGGTCGCAGTTGAACTGACAGAACGAGAGCATGTTCTGCACCTGAGTGTTGCCCAGCATTCGCATCTCTGACTCAAAGCCCAGCATGCACTTGAGCAGCTGCATCTCCCGGCTCAGATATACTTTGCGCAGCTGCAACTGCAACGGTTGCTGCGGCGGCTGCTGATGCTGCTGCTGCTGCGACTGCTGCTGTTGGCCTGCGCCATCGAGCTCCTCAATGGGACAGCCAATGATGACATCCTCCTTGCACACACGACTGATGCTCAGCTGCTCGGGTATCTCGGCGCCGGCGGGACCAGATATGTAGCGCAACATCAGCGGCAGCTGCTTGGCAGCGGCAACCAAGGCGCCCAATCGATGCACACACTCCGGATTCAGTTTGCGTTGCGTGTCGCCCAGTTTCTGTTGCAGCAGATGCGGTATGCCCTTCTCGATCTCGTAGAACTTGCCCTTGGTGGCAAGCGGCACATACATCACCTGCCGCTGCTCGTTCAGCAGCTGCGCATAGCGTCCCTTCTCCTTGTCGCGCCCCATATAGCCGCCGCCACTTGAGCCACTGTGCGACTTGGACACACTGTGATTCGACTGGCTCAACTGGTGACCATTGTGCTGGCCATGGCCATGACCATGGCCATGCTCCTGCTTGCCATCCTCAAAGACGGCGAGCAGCCGGAACACCTGGCCGCCCCGCGCCGTTGTCTTCACATACTGCGGCCGACTCTTGCTGCTGGGCAAGCAGCCCTCGTGATTGGGACTGCTGTTGTTGCCATGCGGCGTCGATTCGGTGAATGCCGGCATATTGTCCACCGAGGCAAACTTGTAGACACGCTCCCGCACCAACTGCATCAGCGAGTTGTAGACCGTTGCCGTTGGCAAACCCTTCTCGTTCAGCAGCGAAAAGTAGCCTAAAAGAAACGAGCAAAGTTTCAGTTGTTTTCAACATGAATGTAAAATATAAATAGTTATTAATTAAAAGCTTTCATTTATAACAATAGCAAAATATTAATTCCAAGTAAAAGAAATTAAAAATTAATTAAAACTTGCTTTAGCAATTCCTCGGCATGTTGCTATAAGATTTAACTAATAGAATAAAAAAAGCAACAGATTAAAAATAAATTAAAACTTTCCTTAGCAATTTATCTATTTTTTTTTATAGTTTTAACTAATAGAAAAAAATAAGCTATAAGCAGTAAAAAAAAATGAACAAATAATGCAAATGAAACCTTTTAGTAATTGAGCAATTTATCTGCTCGTTGTTATTAAATAAACACAACTGGACAGTAAGATAAGTGCGAGGAAAATCACTTTAAAATTTGAAGAAAAAAAAAGGAAATTTCATGTCCAAAAGACAATATATTAATTTGCAAGTTGTTTCTTAACGAAGTTCAATGGACTCTGACTTAAAATAGCGTCGAGTCAAATTAGTTGGCACATTTCAAATTAAGCTCGATGGAAAAATAGTGACGCCTTGCATCAAATTAAGAAAACTTTAATGTCTTTATTTAACCTTTATCTAATGATTTTGTTTGCAAAAGGTAGGATTTGAATGTATTCATTGCAATAAAGGCTTAACGAAACTTTCAAATAATACTAAATGCGCCGAGGATCTCACTAAAGGGATCAAAGGATCAAATTTACAAACACCTAGCCACATTAATTGAAAGGTATCAAAATATATAAGTTAGAAAGATATATATGTATTAATTTCTTTAATTTAACTAATAGAAATGAAATAATTAAAATTCGCCAATTTCGGAGCTTAACTAATAAATTGTGCAGCATCCGCAGCAGTTGCCTAACATTTGGCTTATTGCATTTGGCTTAGTTTTCAGCTGGCTGTGAGAAATAATCACATTAAGCCGCCAAACAATGGGCTCAAGCCGAAATCGCTGCTTACATAATACATGATGAACAATTGTTGTTGTGATTATATGTTTGACTGTAAACTGCTCCACACAGAGTCACTCAGAGTGTCACGCATACTGGCTGAGGCTATGGCTAAAATGCCCGAATAGTTCGGTAAGTACCAGAATTAGCCAACTTAGCTTTGAGCCGTCATGCATTAGTCATGAGAATGCAACACGTTAAGCATTCCGTTAGTTACGTAAGTGCTTAAACAACTACCAAATAAGAACAGTGTCTATTAACTTTTTAAACATTAAGTAGCTTGAGCAACAACTAATTGCATATATAAAACGCATTGAAACTAACAATTTGGCAGGCCTATTAACTAAATTACAACTGTTCACTTCACAGAAGCTTCTTTAATGCGAAGACATAAAAGTTATAATACTTCAGGTCAAGTGTTATTTATTTTGATTTCCACTCCTATATATTTCGAATGCCGTCGGGAGAGATTCACAGCGAATAAATTGCAGGAAAATTTCAAAATAAAACAAAAAACTAAAGTTGTCTAAGCCTTAATATTAGAATTGATTCATGATTATTATTATTATAATTGGGATACCTGCACTGCGACCTACTAGATCTATTGTGCCCCCTACTGAGCCTATAGCTCCATAGCTCCACCAACGCCAACACGAATGGTAGAACCTTTGTTGTGTTCAGGGTTTCTATGTCTTTGAAGCTCATAATACCCATCCCCAGAATGCTGCATCTTTTCCTAGTTAAGGCGACGCACTCTGCTAAGATGTGCACCGAGGATTCTTCCTCGCTTTCACAATACCTAGTTTAATTAAGTAACTTCTTAGTCTACAATGTCCTGCCAGTAGACCGGTGAGTATCCTAAGCCTATTCTTCCCCATGGTTATTACTTGCTTAAATCGTTATCCAATTTATTCAGGAGACGAATACAGATTACAATAAGAACTTCTAACAATCAAGCATTATCTTTTATATACTCTTCTACTGAAATTATAGTTTTTTTAATCACTGCAATTTTGTATACCATTTCATTTAAGCACTACAAATCGTATACTGTGCGAAATTTCTCTACTGTTTTAATCAAAATAGCTGCTGAAATTTTCAACACAGTTGCCTATAAAATCTTGTCATATATATATATATGTATATATCACTTAATTGATCTCATTTCTGTTCAGCAACAAATCTGAAACCTTGTCTCATCTAGCGTCTCTTTTCCTCCCATTGCAGTGACTCACCTGAAAACTCCTGGGGTATGAGAACCGTTTTCTTGCGCTGCGCCGCCTGCGATTTGGCATTGTGACCGTGGTAAATGTGACGCTGACGCACTAGCCTGTAGAGCAAGAAGAGCTCGTCGTGACCAGGCTGAGCAATGCTGCTGTTGTTGTTGTTGTTGTTGTGATTGCCGCTGCCAGCGCTGGAGGATGAGGTGGTGCCAGTGCCAGTGCCCGTGACCGCGGCCGGATCATTGGACAGCTGCTGCTTGTGGCCCGCCGAGGAGCTGCTCGAGGCGGCCGTGGAGGAGCCGTGCGATGAGCTCGACTGAAGTGTCTCATTGGAGCTTTTGCTGCTGTACAAAATGCGAACAACTTGCGGCAACGAGTGCCGCTCCAAAAATATCTCTGCGGGCAGCGGTTCCTGTTGGGAACGAAACAAGCATTAAATCAATTGAATTGGATGGTGACTGGTGACTAATGACAGCATCATTACTCACCTCGCTGCTGCTGCTGCACTTGGAGGTCTTGCTGTCGCCGGTGGAGTAATCGCTGCTGTCAATTAGGCCGCCGCAGAAGACGCTGTAGACGGCGTTGCCATAGCTGCCATTGGCGCTATTCCGCTGGCGTCGGGCCAATCGCTGCTTCAGCTCGATGTCGTTGCGACGCGCCAGACGCGCATTCTCAAAGTCCGCCACGGAGAACATGTTTGAGCTGGTGTCGTGCGAGTTGAAGCGACGCAGCTTCGGCTTCCGTGCCTCAGCGGCAGCGGCAGCAGCAGCAGCGGCCGCAGCTGACATGTGACCGTGATGTACACCAGGTGGAGCGCCTGCAAAAAAGAAAAAACAAAAACAAAAAGAAATACAGCAAATGCATTAGTCTATACATTAAATATATATATATATAATTGTACACATATCTAATTGTCGCCGCTCTGCATATGGAAAATCCCACACAACAAAAACAAATAAACACACATACACACACACATACACACACACACACACACACACACACATACACACATTCACACACACATACACACATACACACACACATACACACACACATACACACACATACACACACACACGCACATACACACATACACACACATACACACACACACACACACACACATTCACACACACATACACACATACACACACACATACACACACACATACACACACATACACACACACACGCACATACACACATACACACACATACACACACACACACACACACATACAGTTATACTAAAGTGCACAGTAAACGTAAAGCGAAATTTTAACCTGTTGCTAAGCGCTGACAATTTGCAGTTCAAGCGTTTGCACAGTGGTTGAAAATTGCGCAAAAACAGCAAGCGAAAGTTTCGTAAGCACAAAAGAAATAAATTATGTCAAAATAAATATGCAAAACATTCGACTATACAAAAGAAACCTTAATTAGTTTAAGAAACTAAGATTAAATCATGATATAGAAATACATATTAGTCAGCATTACTATCAAATATCTGCAATCTTATCAGATTGATATTTGTAAAATTTTTGATAAATAAATGTAGAACACAATGCAATTTTATTGCACATTATACGACGTGTTTATCGCTTTAGGCTACCTAATTGAAATTCTGATAAAAATATATAATTCGTGAGTCCCAAAATGAATAAATAAAAACCATTCATGCTTTTCGCAGTTCTACGAACTTTCCAAGAAACCTGAAATGCCAGTTCTATGCGTAAAAGGAATACAAAATATTCAAATTCTTTGTTTTTATTTTTTTCATCTGCAAAAATGTTGAATATTAAATGCTATTTATTTGTTCAACATGGCGTTATGCAAAACATTTGTATACCTGAAGAATTATGCGAATTTTGAGATTAGTGTCGAGATCTTATTAAATTTGAGTGTATATTTTATAAAGTAAGTAATCAGTGAATAATAATTGTAGTGGGTTACTCAGCACATTCGATACAAGATTATGGGTAAAATAAAACCTTAAGTTAAGGTCAACAACATTAATCGGTTTATTGACTTGGACAGCACATTATTGTGTAGAATTATTTTATTTTTTTACTTTTGTTTAGGTATAGTGTCTCAGATAAGGTCGATTGACTACTGTAGTAGTTTTTAGTAATTTTCCCCTTTTTTCTTTTTGTTTTCATTAATAATCTTTCATGGTGTGTACATCTGGCTTAAATGGTATATTTTAAGGTAGTTTATTGCCGAGTCAAGTGCGACAGTAATTGCATGTCTACACATATATATATATATATATATACATATATATGTAGGTGTGTGAGCTTTCATTAACTAAATACTTGCAAGTCAATTAAAGTTGAATATCTCGATTTTTGATTGCTTTTTTCTCGATTGCTGCCCATTGTCTGATTTCAATTTATTGTTGTCGCTGTTTTTGCTTTATAGGTCGGTCGACGGAGCTATTACTCACTTTAATTGCGCACATTTGGCTTCAGTTTTTGTTGTATACTTAATAAATACACACACCCAAATGCACCTACACACACGCAGGCACACATATACACATAAATGCAGCTAAATCACAACGAAATTATTGTACAATATAACAGCGACAGAGAATGAAGAAGCAGCAGAAATAAAATATATAAAAAAATACGAAACGAAACGAAACGTTTTGATATTGCGCTTATCTTTTGTGAAATATCAATTGCAACAATAATAACAACAACAACAACAATAAGAAGAAAAAACAACTGTGCCAAGTGCTCGTCAGGCGAGTGGGCGAAATGCGGTGCAAGCTCTGCGTTGTCGTCACGTTTTGTGAAATTAGGCGAAGCGAGCGACGCGCGCGCTCTGCTCAAAGCGAAGAGCACACAACAGATGCAAGCCAGCCAGCAACAACTAGACACACACACACACACACACACAGTAAGCAGTGAGCAATGAGCGAAATTAATTCTCTCTCTCTCTCTCTAGCTTTCGCTCTTGCTCTTGCAAGCGTCTTTTTTTCGACTGCATTGATGTTAGCGCGTGCCTTACATTCACACGCACACACACACACACAATGTGACGTGTGTATTTATGCATATTTGCGCACACACACACACACACGTAAATCTTTTTCAACCTCATGCATCCCCCTTATGTTGCATTACTTACCGTTACAGGCAGCAGCGCTGTTGCCAGGCGCGCCTTGCGCTGCAACTGCAGCTGCCGCCGCACCACCACCACCACCAGCAGCTCCTATTGTGGCTGCCGCTGCTGAAGTTCCAGCTCCTGCCGTGGGTGGCGCTGCGCCCGCCGCTGCAGCAGCTGCCATGTGCGGACTGCTCTTCACAAGCCAATTGGCCAGATGACGTTGACGCTCAAACTCAATGTTGGCTCGTTGCATTTTTCTTCTTGTTTTGATTTCCTTCTTTTTTTTTACAGCTATGCAAATTTTTGTCGAGGCTTATTTTGTTTGTTTTTTGCACTCACGACGACGGCGACAACAGCAGCGACGCCGTTGCCGTCGCTATTAACTACGGTGCGCGTTAAGCGTCTCGCGTTGTCAACTGTCAAAAGCTTACTAATGCTGAGCGCAACGTAACCAAAGTGCAGATCGCCCACCACTCTCTCACACAGACGCTCTTTCTTCGCTGTCGCTGTCGTTCTCGTGGTTGTTGTTGTTATTGTTGTTGTTTTCGCTGCTACTCCTGTTGCTGTAACGAGAGTAAAAATGAGCGAAAAGTTTACATAAGTGAGAGCAAAATACATAATACAATACATATATATACGTATATCTATAGCAAAAACAACAACAATGTTCAAATGTGCAAAGCAAATGGGGGAAAAAAATTGTTGATGTGAGAGAGCGACGGAACGAGTTGATTGTTGTGCTTCTGTTTGCATCTGTATTTGTGTGCCATTCTATATGTGTGTGCGTGTGCGTGTGTGTGTGTATTGTGCATAAATTAAAATCGGTCTGCGTAACTCTGGCACTGATGATGACGACGTTATCAAAGAGCACAGCTGCGATTGAAATTGCGCTCTCGGCTCTGGCTTCGTGCAATGCCTCGCGTTGACTTGCTCAATGTCGCCCCACACCCCCCACCAGCACCCGCCAACACCCAACACCTTGAATTGTTATCGCCTCCCCCGTACTAAAAACAGTTAGTTCGGGCGTGCCAGAACGTCTGGCAGCGCAACGAACGCCGCGCGTCATCTTCAAATGAAATGCGACAATGTGTTCGCCTTCTCCTAGATGTGCAGGGAGGGGGCGGGGCGGGCAACGGGGGTGTCTGTTGTATCAAGCGTTGACGTTCACTCTGACAATTTATATACAAAATACAATTACACGAACAGTGCGAACAGTGGTCTCCCAAATATTAAATGCATATTATTCACAGATTCACAAATCATTTTCAAATTTTCCGAAATGTACAAATAACATCTACATATTTCTACATTTGAAATTGACTGATTTATATAAAGCAACTTCAAAGTGTCTATAAATAAGATATTAAGATACAAAGTGTCGTTTGTATGTGCGAATTATGCTTATTTATGTTTGTTATATTTCTCGAGCGGCTACTGTATTGCTATTGCTTTGTCTTTTGTCTTTTGTGTTTTTTCTGTAGGTTCTTTCTTAGAAAGGGTCTCATAATTTTGTCATAATTTTGGCAAGGCAGCCGCAAACGGCAAAAAGCCAAAAACACATTGAAACACACTGTAAGTATATATACAGATATATGTATGTGTGTGTGTATTATATACATACAATAAATGTGTCATACATACATACATTTGTACGTAAATGTACATTTGTACATTTGTTCCGCATGACGTGTTGAATTAACCGATCTGCTAAAATTTGCCATACATATTATTCAGCGACTGTTGCTAAGTCAACTTTTTATTAGTGCACTTAAATTGTATTGTATCTAACAATGTGATGTACACTATAATTGCTGGGATTATATTATATGTAGCCCTAAACAAAAAAGTTACTTGAAAACTTTTCGACAACTTTTTTTTGTTTTTTTTTTTTCTCGCAATTTTTGTGGCTAAAATACATGTGTTTAGAGAACGTACATACATAAGTACGAACAAAGGCGGCGAGAAAAGCTCTGTTCTATACACAGTACACAAATGTGTGTTCTCTGTTTATAATATAAAATAAATACTTTAGAGCAAATAACATATGTACTTTCCATTTAGTTTGACATGAAATGGGCAAACATTCATTTCTACATGCTATATGAAAAACAGCTGTTTTCTGTGTCATTTTGTTGGTCATTCACATCGAATTAAAAATATTATTTATGACTCTCTCTCTCTTTCTCTGTCAATACAGCTAAGCTTACAAGAATGCTAACTGAGCCGAGACTCCAAATTAGCAATTCCTGTTGAATCCAATTAGAAGTATTTGTTAAAAATGGTTATCTTATCGTATGATTAATATAAAAAAAAATATGAAAAAATAAATAATAATAATAACTTTAATCTTGTTCAAAACTTATGCTTATCACGTTTTGAATCTGGGTATACAAGTTTTATATATTTCCCAATATGATTCATGTTCGATTTCAATTGAACACGGTGAGTCTTGCGTAAGCGTTTTATGTATGAAAATAAAGACGTGATATTGTGCATAGACTTGAAGGTTGTCTCTTAAATCCGGAAATCAATTGCCACTAAAAACGAACGTAGTTGTATCATTGTATACCCTTATTTAGTTGTTGCCACATACAAATATGTGTGTAACAAACTGATAACAATATCTGAGTTTATCACTTATTTCCTTTGTCTTTCCGTTTGTATGCGAATGCTTAAGTGCTTAAGTGACTGCAGCTGTTGCCATTTTCATATCATTCATACAATTTTTAAGGGTATTTCAGCTTCATCATGTTAGAGTTGATGTTTTTTCTCTCGTTTCTTTTGTACTATATTTTGAACACGCACGCAAATTCGCAATTAATTTGTACACATATTAAATGATGTTTGGATATTATAGAACACAACAGAGTTTTTAATGGCACTAAATGTATTTTACTCACACAAACATATAAGGCTTTGTCTAAAAAGAACGGCAAATGATGATTGCTCTCTCTCTCCCTTTCTGTCTTTCTCGCTCTCCAACTGCAACTGCATATGCATTACTCAACACAAGCTCTTTTTTTTGTGAGCAACGGGATCAAACTGAAAACCGCGAAACTTTTAAAAGCTCAATCATACATGTGATCAATGGAGAGAGCTTAAGCTCAACTCAGAGCATTTAAGCTTCGGTTTCGTTTCGCTGTCCACCTTCAATTCTCGAGTGTATTCCCTGTCAACTGCTTCGGTTTTTTTTTTTTGCTAATGAGCGTCGGCAATTCGCCGAGAGCCTCAGGTGTTTCCCCCGACTTGCTGTTGTTCGCTGTGATGCCATTCATTGTCTTGCGTGTGTTTCTAGTTGTGTTAATCGCATTTCCATGCGTTGCTGTCGGCTCTGTCGTCCGGGGCCCTGTCAGCTGTCGCCGCTCTTTTGATGAATCACAGGCCTGGCCAAACAGCTAAAAATACTTGCGTACACATAGAAAATGCAAAATTCATGGCCGCTGATCCGTGGAATGCGGTGAAGGTGGCTCCACATCTACAGCACAAACTGAGGCAAATGAGCCAACATTTTGGTGACGCTTACGCTGATGCGCGGAATTTGCAAAGTGAGGCGGGTGGCGCGGCGGATTTGTTTAAGTTCAAGCGCCGCTTGAGTTACGCAAATATTTGAAATCTGGTAACCAGGCAACGTTCCGTTGCGGTCTGTGACTCAGAAAAACCATTGCAGATCCACATTTAGCGGTCAGCGAAGCGGCGTCAGGTGGCCAGGCGACACTCAAACATGTGGATGTAGCATGTGTATACACATATGTAAGTACAGTTGCGGTCAAAATAATAGTAGTGCTTCTTGATAAAAATATGACTCATTTTATGGTCGATTAATAAAATCGAGACTTTTTCAAAAGGTTCAATGTGGAGCAATTCTGCAAAGATAAAAATCTTTGGTTTCTCATCTGAGAATGTTGTGTTTAAATAACATTTTAAGTATTTGTGTGCACTGCTATTATTTTGACCGCTGCTGTATCTATGTAGAAAGTTTGGGTGAGTTGAATGCGGAGTGGATCCCAAACACAGGTCATTTCAAAGGGCAAACGATGCAGCATAAGCATATTTTATTTAAAAACGCTCACAATTTCAACTTCCTTTTTATTTGGTCTTAAATACTTTAGTCTCTGTGAAAAACTTGGAGTATATTGAAATAAAAGCCGGAAGATGCGAAATCGGAATACAACATTTTTGCAATTTCCAAATAACCGTTATGATGTAATAAATTCGTATATGACGTTATATTAAACGTTACGCCATCTATTCTTATTGATCATACAATGATGAGATAACCGTAAGTTAAAATCAATTTGAATTTAGCTGCACTTTGTGTTAAGATAATGCGAATGTGGCCTAGACAAAAGCGTCTTAAGACGTGGCTTAAGCGGGCTCGTTTGTCTGCGGCTGTCTGTGCCCCACTGCGCACTTCCCCTTCTCTCTCTCTATCTCCCTGTCTGCCTGCCTGTCCGTCTGTCCGTCTTTCATTCTGTCTTCCTTAGTTTGGGGCCCATGTTATTGCATTCATGTGCAACTAATCGACATATGCAGGTTTATTGGTTTCGGCATCGCCCCGCTGTTGTGCGGTGCTGTGGCAATTACGTCGCTTTTGCATTTCCCATTTGATGATGTGGTCAGCCGGGCAAGGCAACAAACAGGCAGCAGGCAGCTAGCCAAAGCCGCAACTTGGCTATGCGGTTGCAAATGCGCCGTTAGAGCAGACCAAAGCAGAGCAAAGGAGACCAGAGCAGAGCAGCGCAGAGGAGAGGAGAGCAGGGCAGGGCAAGGTTGGTTTGAGAACAGCATGTGGTCACCTGGATAGCAAATACTTGTGCATAAATAATCTACAGTGGTCGAAGTTGTATCCAAATTAAATTGTTGCCTTGAATTCACAATTCGAAAATGTAAGACTTTTTTTTGTAAATTAAATCTTAAATTAATACAAGCACATGGCAAAACTTGTAAAAATTTGCAAGTTTGAATTGTCGAATTAGTCAGCATCCACTGCACCTATGTATGTATCTATATCCGATATGCATGCTTAAACCGCTCCGTGCAATATTGTCGTGAGTTGTGCAGCTTTATTGTACTAAACACATTCAACGATGGACAATTATTTATTAAACAAGCAAATGGGCATAGATAGAAAGAGAGCGCCAAGGAAATAGGAAGAGAGCGAGAGAGCGAGAGCGAGAGATATATATATAACGGTGACTTGGGCAAAACAAAAGAGTGAAGAGATGAAATGACATTGGGAACGGATGATGATGATGAATGAAGGCTGATAATAGAAGAAGCCGAATAAGAAGAAGAAGAAGAAGAAGGAAAAGAAGAGAAGAAGGGAGAAGAGAGCTCACAATTAATTCGAAAAGGAAATGCAAAGTGAACTGAACTTCAAGTGGAATTTTTCATTTGACAGATATGATGAATGCTTTTGCTCTTGAAAACAAATTATTAATCAATGCAAATTACAATGTACATATATCCAATATACATACATGTATGTAAACACACATATATAGTAAAGTAATTACTTAGAATTTGTAATCATTGCAATTAGATTTATGACCATTTCTATAATACGCCATGCCATAATGCTAAATAAGTCTCTAGTGGAAATGTTTGTTTCTTTATTTGAAAAATATACTGTTGGGTTATGGGAATTTCTGCTCGTTTCAAAAAACCATATTTTTGGTATAATTTGTATATATAATTTATATGTAAAATATTTGAGCAATATTTAGTTATGTCTACAATTTTTACTATAAATGAGAACTTTGCTTTCATTTATAAATGAACAAATTAAATATATGTGTATATATATATATAAATATATATGTTAAAATTTTAAATGGAAATTGAAAGCCGAACATATTCTATGTATAGCAATTCTCAAGCCGAATTGTAGCCTTAACCTAGGATGAAATAAGTAAAGTCAACTCTTAGCCGGCTGTAGTAACTCAGATTTCCTGGGGGCAAGTGGGTCTGTCTTCTAGGGCCTGTGGCACGCCTCTGCAAAAAGTTACTGCTTGGTAAACCAAACTTTGTTGAAAGTTGAACGGCGACTGTTACTGGGCATAGCAATTGAAATGGGAAGTGGGAAAAGGGAAATGGGAAATTTGGTTTGGCAATGGGTGTTGGGGATTCGGATGTTTGATAGTTTCAAGGCAAGGGGTTTGAATTTTTTTGTATATATTTGTTTTTTTCTATTTTTTCTTTTGGGGCAAAGTAAAACGTGTCTGTCTGTGGCGCCGGCAGCTGGTCGCTGCTATCTGCAGCTGCGATTTATTAACAGTTAGCTGCCGTTGTTATTTTAGTTGTTAGAGTTGTTCCTGTTGTTGTTGCATTTCGCAGCTAGCCGAAAATTTATGGGCTGCAGCCACATGATGAATGTTTCTGATAATAATATTTTGTTATTGCTTTTTGCCTTAAGCACTCTTTTTATTTCCTCTATATGTATTCTATATATATATATCTTTTTTTTCTTGCTGTTGCAGTTGCCTTTGGCTGCGTTTTGTTGCCAGAAAATATTTTTTTAAGTCAACATGGAGCCTTAAGTCTCAAGGCCTTGCCCGCAAGATGGCATCAGAGGGACGGAAAAAGTGCTAAAGGGGGGCAGGAGTGTGGAAGGGAGGGAAAGGAGGGGGAGGGGAGGAGCGCTAAACTTGCCTCCTGCTGTTAACTTAAAACAAGCATCAGCCAAAGTAATAAACCAAAGGTTGCCATAAAAAATTTGGCAGTAAATTTTACTGGCTACACACAACAACACTCGGCATAATGTATTTATATATATACATATATATTATATATATATATCCGACAGGATTGTGTCTAGAAAAACTTTAAGAACGCTTACGTGCATTCAGGAATATTCCCTAAGGGCAACATCTGGAATTGCACACATACAGGACATGTATATACATACATATATATATTTATTTGTATATATATGTATATATATATGTGTGTATGTATATATACATATATTGAGACCAGTGCTAAAGAAATCTTTGTTCTTTAAGTGTCGTTAAAAAACTGTTGGAGGCACTTAAACATAATTTCTACGAAATGTTTATACCCTTGCAGAGGGTATTAAAAGCATCGAAGGAGACGACTCCGACTGCGAATTAGTCGCTCAGTTTTTAATGAAACTTGGAATACATGCATCTCTGTGCTGCAGGTAGTACATATGTCGATGCCTGCCGGATCGATGGAATATATCACTTGGCTGCCCTAGCGACAATCGCTCGAAAGATGAGTTCTTTTTTTAACAACTTTTTTTCAGCGTGATTTAGATAGTGGTTCTTTCTTGTTTTAAGTACGACACTCTTCATTTATTTGTGAATCTTTTTTGTGCTGTATATTTTAGTTAGAAAATTTGGATGGTTTAAATTTAATACCAATATAGTAAATGGTATATAGTATATAGTAACACGCTTCAAAAATGGGAGAAAAATATTTGGACCACGCCTAGTCCCAGCCACAAAAAAAAGGCAAAAGACTAGATCTCCTATAATTTAAGAGCTAAAGTTGTCAAAATAACAAAAATATTAATCAAAATATAAATATTAAAAGTGATATGAATATTAAATTTTATTTTAAATTTAATTATTTTTTGCATTTTGTATTAAACTATTAAGGAAAAATCAATAAATAAATAAAAGGAAGGTGCCATAAAATATAATTAAATTTCTAAGCTGGCGCTTAAATTGCAATATAAATTTTAATTGACTGTCTTTTGCTATAATTAAGTTAAATTGTATTTTAATAGTCCGGTTACTTGGACTCATTTTCATGGGTTTTTTTTATTTACTAATTTACTGTCGATTTAAAATTCGAATCGATTTGACTTCCATCCAAATGTTTTCTTGTAAAAACCACAAACATTAAACATTTTTAATGTAAAATGAAGCAATTTGCATTAAAGATTGAACTAAGTTGCGAACTAAATATGATGTAGATCGTGCCATATGGGTTGTAGCTAGTGGCATGTGGGATATCGGCGTAATTAGCCATTATATACGCCGTGTATTGGGCTCATTGCATATGCAAATTGCAGTCGATTGGTTTCGCATTACGTAATTAATAATTCAATGAAAATGTGCATGTCAATCACTCGCATGTAAGAAACAACTTTTATTCTGTTGTGGCTTGATGCGAATTTCAAATAAAAATGCTAACCACTTCAGATACCCTGTTCACATGTAATTGGGTATAGTTATGCTGCTTGCAGTGTCACTTTGAATTGCTAAAATACAGATTCAACTATTGAGATTGAGAAAAACGATTATCATTAGCCGGTTTTAATTTGATTTTAGCTGGCAACAAAATATTTTCAAAAACAACTTTTCGTTTTACACAAATTGTCGCTTTGAAAACTATATCTTACAGTTCTTACTGTGGTCCGACCAGGACATTTCAATAAGATTGCTTTCAAGCTAAGGGATCAAGAATATATACACCCTATGGAGAGACTTCTCCATCAATGCGTCTTGAAAACTTTAAAATCAAAATATCCAATTTGATACAATTTGATGGGATAATATTATATATATAATCAATAACTCTGTGCAGAACCAGTTTAATCAAGTTAATGCCGACTAATTTTTGAACTTGGTTATTATTTCTACTTTCTGATAATAAACACAAAAGTTATTTACATGTATCGATTGGATATTTGGTCTTGTATATATATATATATATTTATTTTGCTATATAATTTAATGCAATTGGACATTAGTTGTTTAAGAGAATAGTTATAGGGTATGCGCTGGTCGAGTTATAGTGAATCTTGTCGCGTGGGTGGGCCTATATTGGCTGAGAGCTCTCTAATTATAGCTAGTTAGTCGACGTTCTCAATGGAGCCTATTTGCTCGTTGCTCGAATCAATAAATTTTACAGTTGAACGCACAGGTGGCGCTTGGCTTTGGGTGGTGCAGCGGTGTGGCTGTGGTGCAGGCACATCAATTTGGCAGCAGCGAGCTTAATGGGTCTTTTGTTAACTTTTCTGTATATGTGTGTGTGTGTGTGTGTCTGTGTCTGTGTTTGTGTGTGAAATGAACATAATTCCATAAATGTTTGCGGGGCACTGTTGCTGCCTTGCAACCCCGTCAACCCATCCACAGCAGCAGCAGCAGCAGCAGCGGCAGCTGCTGCACCTGACTGCAACCCTTTTGTGGCAAGCAAGCAAGTCAAGCAACAACAATTGCAGATGCTTCCTTCAGCTCAACTAATAGATATGTCTGTGTATTTGTTGTATATATACATATATATTTATTTATATATATATATATATATATATATATATATATATTTATATAACCCACCCTTGCTCGTTAAAAATCACTTAAAATTCCATCATCATAAATTTGTCAAAAAATTTGTTTACACTGATGCGCTGCTTTAACGTGTTACTACCCGGCACCCACCCACCCCCTGGAATCAGTGGATTAGTTATGACATCTGCTCTTATTTGCTTTATGGTCTCGCGCTATCGAATTATATTTTATAATGGTTGTAAACAAATATTTCGGATTACCGCCGCATTCGTAATTATAAACTTTTGCTGATTATAAAAGAATAAATTTCATTCAATTTTTTTTTGATTAATCAAGTCAATAAACATTTTCGGGTCAATATAGTCAAATATGAACAAAGCGAAAAGCATTAATACAAATTTGGTAAATACTGATTTGTATGTTAAGTCATTAACTAATTTAAGTGACTCAGATTATCTAATCCAATAAATAACACTTCTTCAGTGTGGTTATTGCACCTGAATGTGAGGCGACGCCGTCGACATAATTTTGTCATCGAACTCCGTATGGGATTTGTGATTGAAAGTGTTTCTGGCACTGCGATTGGTTATCCACCAAGAGCCCAGTCACAATTTGCATATCCATAACCAAAGCAATCCCAATCAAATCCCATCGCCCATCCCCCATCCGCCATCCTTCATCTCCGTGGAGACGCATACAGAACCCTCGCAAATGTTTACATAACATGGACCACTGTAGCTGTTGCAGTCGGAGTTGCGCCCCAACTCTCTATTTGCCTGCCTCTAGACGCTACCCTGTAGTCTGGGCCATTGAGATGTGTCATGAACACTCATAACTCAATACGAATTCAAGTGTTTTTTATTTTTTATATACTTCGATATACCCTTCGATATACATAGTTTTCAAACACGACAGCTGTGAATTTCTACCTTAAGTCGATTATAATAATAATTTATAATTTCATGCAAGAGATAAGATATTTTCAATACCATTATTTATGCAGCATCTTATAAGCAATTAGTTAATGAGCTAAAATAAAATCAAGTCGTGAAGCGAAAATGGTTTATCCTTGTCCTTGTTTCGTACTCGTCGAATAAATTTAACGCTCCTGCATCTCCTGTCTGTAGTCCATAGTCCGTTGTCTTTAGCCTATTGTCTGTTGTCTGTTGTCTGTGGCTCTGAGCTTGTAGGTGTGATGTTTGCACTACACTCAACTGGCCTGGCCTGGCTTTACTATACCCTTGTATAAAGTACTTTAATTTTGTTTTCAGATTTGCAGAAAAACGACGTCTACGCAAGGCATATCCATCCTTGATCAGCAGCACTAACTGAGTTGATATAGCCATTTCAGTCCGTCTCTGATACACGTGTCATGTGGAATAATCAATTCCAAGCCAGACATAAAACTGGAATCATCATAAAAATATTTGTGTAAATGGTAAAATATTCCAAAATATTTATTTAAGGCGAAGCTTTGTTTGTTCAAAAAAAGGAAAAGAATTTAATTTAATGTGAACTAAAAATAGTCCACACTTTAATAAGTAAAAACTCAAAATTCAATTCAAAATTAAAATTACGAATTGAATTACACAAAACTCAAGCAGAGAAATTAAACTCAAAACTTAAGATTAAATAAAAATAGTAAAAACGTTAAGAAATAAAGGGTATGTAGTCTTCGGTGTGCCTAAGATAAATGTTTTTTCTTGTTTTACTTTCCTTTGGTGATGCTGTTGCTTTGCTTTTCAGTTTTACGGCCACCGTGTTTGCTTTACTTGGATCGGGCATAAAGCATGGCCGGGACTTATCCCTTGGTCCTGAGCAAAGAAGGCGCAGACGTCGGCATTGTTTGGGTTACGGGTTACGGGCTAGAGGACGTACTGCACCACTTGCCGTAAAATAGAGACGGGACACCAAGCGGCAACTACAACAACATCGCTGACGCTGCTGCTATTAACATTTGCGTTGACATCCTTTGGGCTGCGTTTTTCTCTTTATTTTTCTTTACTTTACTTTTTTTTATTATTTTTTGAGTGTGTATATTTCTTCTTTTTTTTACACTTTCATATTGCTTAGCCGTTTTCCCAACTCAATTTTTTTATATACGAGACATTTTCATTTAACTTGAATTTTTTTTAAGGCGCTTGAAAGCCTGGTTAGTATTTCTAATAACATTGATCAATATTATGTCCGCTTTGGAAAAGAATGTAGATTTTTTATTTTTTTATGACTTCTTTTTTAATTTACAAAAAAAAAAAAATGGAAAGGGATGCTATTCAAATTATAAATTTATTTAAATTTTCCTTTGTAGTCGCTTTAGCGCTGTTTGTTTATTAATTACATTTATAATACTATGGTTTATGAGTTGTGAGTTTTATTTTGTAAAAAAAAGTAGTACAAAATGTAATAATTTCATTTTCAAATGTGTAAAATCAAAATAAAAAAAATACCCAATAATCATGTTAATATTGTTTTATATTAGTACATAATGGCAAATTTGAGTTATAACAACAATTAAAAGTCGATTAGCGGTCAGAATAGGCAAATTACAGTTTGATTCAGTTTTCAATGGCAGTGGAATCAGCAAAGGCGATCAGATAGAGTACCGGAATGGATCTGCGAGCGGTCTACGCCTGTCTCTACGTAATCACCACGATTGCCATTGGCGCGTTGGGTGACTATGTGGTGCTTGTGGATCATTTTGATTTCGAGCCAGTGGATCGCGAATTGATCGTCTCGAACAGTGCCTTCATTGAGCAGGAGGGTAATCGCAGCTATATCTCTGGTCATTTGCAGCTGGGAAGAACCCTCAACGAGATAATCATGCTCACTTCAATGGACATATCTCGTCCCCGGCTGCCACGTGTCCGTCTCTTTGACACAAAGCTCGATTTGTGCGCATTTCTAAATAACGCCTATCGCAGCAAATTTGTGAGACATTTTTATAAGAGATTCGTTAACTTTGTTAATATTCAACCCACTTGTCCGATCCAAGCGGTGAGTATTCATTTGCATGCGATCTTCTCATAGGGGTACTCAAACTCTTCGGACTGCAATTAGCACATCAATTATAGCCTAACACGCAGCTATCTGGATGAAAGCGTTCTGCCTGAATTACTGCCCGCCTGCAGTTATTTCCTGAAGGTGGAAATTCGCAACAGGACCAGCCGTTTCGCAATCATTCACTTGTCGGGCTATATTCGACCGGTAGTCGTTAGGACCACAACTCCGAAGCATCAAACTTTTTAAATCGTAAATTTGTCAACTACTAAATAAAATCAAAGCATAAATGTATTATGAAAAGTTATATATGCTAATAAAAAGATATGTTTTCGCTCACCAAAAGAAAGTGTCTAAGAACCAGCTCGATTATATTGAAAAGTTATGTTTGGTATGCTTGCTTACAAGAAAAAGTGGCTAAGTATCAGTCAATATAAGAAAAAGTATCTGAGCACCAGTTGAAAAGAGCTTATAGGGTATAGTAGAACAGACAGAAATTCAGGTCATTCACAAAACTAGATATGCAAAACCCACATTTTTGGGAGCAAAAATATATAAAAATATGTTTTCTACATTTTAGAAAAATTTGAGCTGGGATTGAAAAAAGAAAAATCCCAAAGTAAAGCGATTATCTCAAATTCAGTGCAAGTTGTTTTACTGGGTGTAAAGCTCTATAGCCATTATAGATACAGATACCAAAATGAATCCAATTCGGTGATAATCTAATATTGTTGAATAAACCAATTGACTTTAGTGCAATTTGAAAATCATTTCAGCTATCAACACTCATTACACTCTAATAGTAAGTAATTATGAACTGTTTTGTGTACAGCGAACACTTCCAGTTCAGTTTTACGCAATGGCTTATTGGCTCTGGTTTTCGCTCTGTTTGGGGTTGCCACACTTTCTGCAGGTGGATGCCAAAATTAAGGAGCGTACCTTTCGCTTATATGTCACCGAATTCACTCCGCAAGCAGTGCAAATGGATCTTTTTGATGTGCTTAACTGTAAAGTAACAGAGTTCCGCATTGTTAACTGCAATATGACTTTGACCCGCAATGTTGATCAAGTGGAGAGTAGGGTAAACTTAGACATCATAAGCCCCAGTAATAAGACAACGCGTTTTTTGAATTTACGTATTGATGGCTGTCAATTTTTCAATATCATCCATAAGAATCGTTGGTTTCAAATTATTTCAAAGAGTTTACAAAAAAAAATTCATGGAAACCCACAATGTCCGGTAATAGCAGTAAGTAAATATTCCAACAGTCTGATTAAAATCAGATATACAATCATTTCACAATAATTAGAGTCTTTTTTTTTTGGCAGCACTTCAATTATTCGATTAACGACTGGACTCTGGAGGCAACTAATTTTCCCACTTATATGCCCAAATATCAAATGCATATTACGATCAACTATTTTACCCACAATGCATTAATTGCAAACTTGATCGTGAAGTGTAAATTACAAACTTAGTGTTAAACTGCCTCTCGAAATTTATATGTAGCAAAATATATGTTTGTCAAGGGCAATTAATTGAAAATACAAAATGAAATAAAAAGTAGATTTCTTTTTATTATAATTGATATCAATTATTTTTAACTTGAGCCATTTCAAATTATATATTACCCGGCAAGCCAAAACAACGCAATTTTCACATATGAAACAAGTGAGAATGCTGTAGTTGAGTGAGCTCGACTACGATTTAGAACACAGCTCTAAAACTGACAATTTATTCATCTTAAATCTAACATGTAATTCATTCAATTTACAATTTTAAATTATTATAGTTTTATTTTTGAAATTATTTCATTTTAATTTTTTCTTTCACTTAAATTTAAAACTAATTAATTGATTATGTAACTTTAATTCATTTAGTTTGACATTTTTATGTATTATAACCATTTATTTTAATTATGCACTCTGTTTTGTACACATTAAATAGATAAATAAAATTAAAAGTTGTTGTTATCGAAAATATACTCTTATCGATATCCCAGTATCGATAAGCAGGGCGAGCTATCGATAAAATGAAATAAGCATCCATCTATCTCATATCGTCTCTTCTTTGTCAACTGTAATGCCCTTTTTCTCAACTTTATTTTTACAGGGTAAACTATTTTGAATAATCGACATATTGAATCTCTTCGACAAATAATTATTATTTTATGTTACAAATATATTAATGCACATATTATGGCTGGTAATAATAACCCAATTTAGGCACTCGACTGTCATCTTTCACCATGGTTGGTTGGCTGGGGATTTGGATCTGTTGGCAGTGGATACTCTTATCACTAGTTGGGGCTGCAGCGCTAAACCGAAACTTTCGCTTTTTAGTGAGCCATTTTTCCCTGAAACCCATAGATTGCCTTTTCCTGGATTGATCCGGAATCTCTCAATAAGAATCTCTCAAATAGAAAAGAATATAAATTTCTGGAGATTCAATAATGTTACATACTGTTGCACAAATTCGCTATCCTCTATTTAAATATTGAACATAGAGAATAAAACTAAATTCCGAGAAGCAAGCGATTAAAATAATGCAACCATCGACTGCCTTGATTTAACAATACACCAATATAAATAATTCTATTTAACTCGTGCTATTCCAATTTGACTATGGATCATTTGGTTGTTGGCTTCCCTTCAGACATGTCTGTCTATCTCTGGTTGCTACTGATAAGCATTGGTGTTGTTTCGGAGGAGCGTAACTTTAAATTCATAATCGATAGGCTTACTGTTAGGCATTGGGAGCCTGAGATTGTCGAGGAGCTCAACTACTCTCTGATTCAATTAAATAATCGGAGTTATATCAGTGCTAATTTGCTGCTAAAACGTGATATTGATAAGATTGTAGTGAACACGACTTTGGACGGCTGCACTATGGACAACAGAAAGATCCGGCTGTTCAAGTTGCAAACGGATGTGTGCATTTTTCTAGCAAATATCCATAAGAACCGTCTTTTGAATATATTCGCAAAAAGTTTGAATAAGCATACTGCCGGACAGTTAACGTGTCCATTGAAAGGGGTGAGCAAAGTAATTAAATTAATTCTTCCATCTTAAATGATTATTTCATTTGTTTTCGGCAGAAATTTAACTACACGCTGAATAATTGGTATTTGGACGAACTGGACTTTCCCACTTATGTGCCAGCTGGCACCTTTCAAGCAAATACGGAATTTTTTGTGGACACGAAAAAAACAATTTACGTAATGGTACGTGGCAGAGTGCTCCACTAGCTGAAATACAGAAAAATTAAATTTAAAAAAAAAATACATTACACGTAATAGCAAAAACACGGGGTGATTGTAAAGCTAATAGTTCCATTCTATTTGAGCATTTAAATAAACATAATTGCTAAGTAATTTAGATTGCATTCCAAACAAAGCCTATTTATATTTATTCATTTATGTTTTCAGTATAATCCACACGACCAGCAGTTGTGTTCTATTTTATGTCATTTTTGAAAAACAAAGCACAACAAACGACAAACATTCAAAATCCTTTTCAGTTATTAACTTCTTTAAGTATTTATGAAATTCAAACCACAAAAAACGATCTTTGTGAAATAAAGTATTGACTGACAATAAGCTGACTGCTCTGCGTACAATGCTCTCGAAACATATGTTGAGTAAGTAAATATTCCAACAGTCTGATTAAAATCAGATATACAATCATTTTAAAATAAATGGAGTCTTTTTTTTGGCAGCACTTCAATTATTCGATTAACGACTGGACTCTGGAGGCAACTAATTTTCCCACTTATATGCCCAAATATCAAATGCATCTTACGATCAACTATTTTACCCACAATGCATTAATTGCAAACTTGATCGTGAAGTGTAAATTACAAACTTAGTGTTAAACTGCCTCTCGAAATTTATATCTAGCAAAATATATGTTTGTCAAGGGCAATTAATTGAAAATACAAAATGAAATAAAAAGTAGATTTGAGCCATTTCAAATTATATACTACCAGATCTTAAGCCAACAATTAGAAGTTAAGCTATTGTAATGGCTGGTTGGCTTTTATCCCATTCCCATTAGTGGATGGCAAGCCGAAACAACGCAATTTTCACATATGAAACAAGTGAGAAAGCTGTAGTTGAGTGAGCTCGACTACGATATACCCTGAACACAGCTTGACAATTTATTCATTTTATTTTTTAAACTATTTTATTTTAATTTTTTCTTTCACTTAAATTTAAAACTAATTAATTGATTATGTAACTTTAATTCATTTAGTTTGACATTTTTATGTATTATAACCTTTTTATTTAAAATATGCACTCTATCGATGAAATAAGCATCCACATCCATCTATCTCATATCGTCTCTTCTTTGTCAACTGTAATGCCCTTTTTCTCAACTTTATTTTTACAGGGTAAACTATTTTGAATAATCGACATATTGAATCTCTTCGACAAATAATTATTATTTTATGTTACAAATATACTAATGCACATATTATGGCTGGTAATAATAACCCAATTTAAGCACTCGACTGTCATCTTTCACCATGGTTGGTTGGCTGGGGATTTGGATCTGTTGGCAGTGGATACTCTTCCCACTAGTTGGGGCTGCAGCGCTAAACCGAAACTTTCGCTTCTTTGTGAGCCATTTTTCCCTGAAACCCATGGATGCGGATCTGTTTGAAGGTGTCAATGCGGAGGTGATGAATGGCAATACTATCACCAGCTATATAATATTTAAACGGAATGTCGACCAGTTCGAATTGGATACATCCTTCGACATGCTGAAGCCCAACAATCAGAAATTGCGTCTTTTTCAAAATCGCTTTGATGGTTGTCAATTTCTAAATACCAATCATAAGAATCGTCTATTTAATATGTTTATTAAAAGTCTCAAGCAAAGCAGTAATACCATATTGAGATGTCCATTAAAATCGGTAGGTATTTTTTTGGAAATGTGAACTGAAATTGATTACTTTCTGCATTTTACTTGAAGCATTTCAACTACACCATCACCAAGATGCATTTAAATGAGACGGATTTTCCCCAATATGTGCCCGAGTGTGACTTCCAGGGTCTAACTAAATTTTACATACGCAACAAATTTGTTTTTCGTATGTTCATGAAGGGTAGAGTTGAGTATAAAAATTGAGTTGTATTTTTGTTCATTACTGAATAAATGATTTCTCATAACTGATTTCATTTTATATATCGTGGATAAGTTCGTTGAAAATAACATACAATTTATTATTTTATATAATTTTCTTAAATGAAAGCTTTAAAATACGAAAAAATAAATAACAAACTTGATGAGGGTCGGAGATGTTATAGAAATTGTAAACCATTTGTAACGCGATTTTAATTGTCTCCTTATCTGAATATTATGGGTCTCGGTATTTTTAAAATAGCTTGCTAATAATTTGTTTGTAAATAAATAAAAAGCTGGGCAACAGCAGATTCAATTGGCATTTTAAGCTCCTCAAAGGATCTATCATCATTCCTGGTTCACCATATTATTTATAGATACTTTTCATTATATGAGTAATCTGGATTTGATAGTCATATAATCGAAAGTCACTTTCCTTTAGCAACTTGGATAAAGTGCATAATAATTATGTATTAGAAATATTACTAGGAAAAATAAATATTTTAAATGGTCAAAATGTTTATGTATTATTTAGATTGCCTTTTCCTGGATTGATCCGGAATCTCTCAATAAGAATCTCTCAAATAGAAAAGAATATAAATTTCTAGAGATTCAATAATGCCAGCTCCTACATGTTACATACTGTTGCACAAATTCGCTATCCTCTATTTAAATATTGAACTTAGAGAATAAAACTAAATGCCGAGTAGTAAGCGATTAAAATAATGCAACCATCGACTGCCTTGATTTAACAATACACCAATATAATTAATGCTATTTAACTCATGCTATTCCAATTTGACTATGGATCATTTGGTTGTTGGCTTCCCTTCAGACATGTCTGTCTATCTCTGGTTGCTACTGATAAGCATTGGTGTTGTTTCGGAGGAGCGTAACTTTAAATTCATAATCGATAGGCTTACTGTTATGCATTGGGAGCCTGAGATTATCGAGGAGCTCAACTACTCTATGATTCAGTTAAATAATCGGAGTTATGTCAGTGGTAATTTGCAGCTAAAACGCGATATTGATAAGATTGTAGTGAACACGACTTTGGACTTCTGGAATATGGACAACAAAAAGACCCGGCTGTACAAGTTGCAAACGGATGCGTGCATTTTTCTAGCAAATATCCATAAGAACCGTCTTTTGAATATATTCGCAAAAAGTTTTGATAAGCATACTGCCGGACAGTTAAAGTGTCCATTGAAAGGGGTGAGCAAAGTAATTAAATTAATTCTTCCATCTTAAATGATTATTTCATTTGTTTTCGGCAGAAATTTAACTACACGCTGAATAATTGGTATTTGGACGAAATGGACTTTCCCGCTTATTTGCCAGCTGGAACCTTTCAAACAAATACGGAAATTTTAGTGGAAAAGAAAAAAACAATTTACGTAATGGTACGTGGCAGATTGCTCTTCTAGCTGAAATACAAAAAAAAATTATATAAAAAAAAAAATACATTACAAGTAATAGCACAAACACGGGGGTGATTGTAAAGTTCCATTCTATTTAAGCATTTAAATAAACATAATTGCTAAGTAATTTAGATTGCATTCCAAACAAAGCCTATTTATATTATTTATGTTCTCAGTATAATCCACACGACCGGCAGTTGTGTTCGATTTTATGGCATTTTTGAAAAACAAAGCACAACAAACGACAAACATTCAAAATCCTTTTCAGTTATTAACTTCTTTAAGTATTTATGAAATTCAAACCTTAAAAAACGATATTTGTGAAATAAAAAGTATTGACTGACAATAAGCTGACTGCTCTGCGTACAATGCTCTCTAAACTTGACTGAATGACAAAAAACTAAGTGCTATGCTGAGCAAACAAAGAAGAGGTCAATAAATTTGAGAGAATTTTGCCATACGAACAGGGAAATCGCAATTAGAGTTGATTTGATTGTTTCTCTCCGATAACATGGATAATAGCCCAAAATGTCATATTATTTTAATACATATGGTAATAATCGAATTTTTAATAATAAATACATATGTATGGAATTTTCAACAATTGATCACTGCATCACAAATTAGTAGTTTGGGAACAATAAATATGAACGTTTGCATTTTTGGTGCTGTGGCAGCATGGCTGTTCGGTTGTGTATTGGTCACCCTAGCGGCAACGGCAAGTTCCTTAAAAATATTGAATAAGTCGACGACACTTGGAGAAAATAAATTGAAAAAATATAATTTCTTTGACAGCCCAAGATTATCGCTGAGTTCACTAAGATTGAGTGCGAGAATCAGAACCCAACAATAATGCAGACACTCAATTGTCAAATCAATAAGACGGCCTCAAATCTGTCTTCTTTCCACATGAAGGCTGTAAGTGCCGAAGACCTGACTAATTTGGATGGGCTCTACATTTTGGCAATTAAGCGTGGCAATTCTTATTTCAATCATACTTCGATAAAGATGAATTACTGTGAGGCACTGCACAAGAGTTATAGAGAATTCACGATCAAAATGGTTTTTGAAGGGCTGCGTCACGTATCCAATTTTCCAGTGGATTGCCCATTTAAAAAGGTTGTGTTGATTGTGTCTGATTTGAAATAATTATTTCTATACTATGTTGCACATTGATATTGTATACTTGCAGAACGTTCCGTATTATATAAATGGATTTACATTCGATCCGAAGGCAATTCCATCATATATGTGTATTCGTTTATCCTTCAGAATGGACGCGAAAATCTTCTTCAATCGGAAAAATCTCTTTCGCATCCGAGTATATGGAGAAGTTAAACCAAATTAACGCTTAGAGATGCTTTAGCATTAATAAAAGATTTGAAAAACGAATAAATGGTAAATATTCGGAGTCACCATATTATCTCATACATATAGTACCTACTAATAAAGGTTAAGTGAGAGGTCTAAAAATAATGTTTATTTAATTGTTTTTTTTTTGTCGTTTTTAGTGCGCAACGTATAATTTTAAATGTATTAGAGAACGCTAAAATGTTCAAAACAAATGAAATGCGCACAATCCACTTCATTGGATGACAGACTGATAATCTATTGCAGACAATTAAGATAAACGTTAGCATTGGCTTTATTGGCCACACTGAACAAATAGAGAGAGAGAGAGAGAGAGAAAACTTTTCGAT